CTCAGTTTGCTCAGTACTGCCCTCCAACTGATCTCACTGATCACCTCTAAACATTCGTTGCTTCCTGATTCGTTCCGTGTGAAGGTGCTCAGTGTGCTCAGTTCGCCTGGCGACTGAGCCCACTGATCCCCTTAACGTTACCCTTGTTTCTTGAGTTCCTTGGTGATTGGTCCGGGAGCTGCCGCCTGTGCCCCGCCGGGTTTCTGGCATGCGGCCTTCCTGTTGGCTTAGTTCGTGACATATAACTACAATATCCCTACCCTAGTAAGCTTAAGCTAATGGTCCTATCTTTAGGATCTTAATAATAACAACGGCTTCCTTACCAGATACTAGTATTATAAAGACCAAGCTAAGAATTTATATAGTATAGAAGAGGTCAACAAATACCTCGTCGAGCCTATAAACCGGTGTAGGATATATACGCCTAGTAGGGAGCAAACTAGAACCAGTACCTACACCTAGTATATATAGTGTAGGACCTCCTATCGATCCTCTCAACGTCCTGCTAGTGCGAGCGAATTTTCAGCTTGGCTAAGCTCATCCTGGGAATTTAGCGCTAGAGAATGGACAGAGAGACGATTTGTATACTTGAATGCCTAAGGAACTGGCTTAGGGAAGTATGCACTTGTTATTAGCTTTATCTTTGTTGGCTGACGTTGGCTAATGGTTTGAATGGCTGGGAATAGCTTCCCTATATAGGAAGACGGAAGGGCTGGGCTGGAAAGGAGGGCTAGGCTGAAAAAGGAGAGCCGGGCTGGAAAAGAGGGTTGGGTAGCCTTGGCTGGATTGATGGGCCCTGTGTGTAGTAAGGTAGTGCGTTCTGACTATTCCTGGGCCAATTCGCTCAAATCTGAGGTCTTTTCGAAATCGCGTGCGTTTTCGGGTCGGAATAACCCCTTCCGAAGGCCTTGGCAAATGGCCAATTCCCTGCAAGCCGACTTGTAACCAAGCTAAATGGGTGGAAAAAAGAGCCAAGTAAGCCAATATGAGGGCGTGCTTGACTTACTTGACTTATTGGGAGCGCTGATAGAGATACTGAGATGCCGAGATGCACCTCCATTCCTCCAATGCGATTGATTCAAGGGCCGCGCCGAAGCGCTGCCGCCACAGTGCACGACAATGTACACATGTCGCGACGACTGATTGGTGATAGCACAGCCTGCACAGACGGGAAGACTGTGATTGGTGTTGGCACACGCGCCATGACGCAGCAACATCCAGTGGAGCAGCCGGCTTCTTCCGTAACTGCCCCTGGGAGGCTGTGAGGTTCTCATGGTCCAATGAGCAACCTCTTGGGGCAGCTTAACCCCACACTCGACCCGCCTGGCCGCCTGGCGACTTGCAGTGGCCACCGTGCGAGTTGATCGCTTTTTATTCGGCTGCTTCCACGTTTGGACTGCGGCGCGGCATCAAGTGATAATCGCAGCAGCCACAGCGCGTCCATATCTTTTCAGGGGGTCTCAAGAGTACAGCAGAGGGAGCTGTTCCCGGTCGACTAGGCATGGTTTCTGGCCTATTGGAATGCTCGTCCGTCCGTCTTGACATCCCGTGACTCATTTCACAGTTGAAAACTTGAAGCTCGCTCACACTGGGCAACTATCGCGCCTTCCATTGATCGCATATAGAAGGTGCCATGGGCGTCACCACTCGCTATGGGCGAAGCATTCGCAAACGGCCTTGGCACAGCAAACTTGCTGAGGCATCTCGACAATGTGACAGCTTCGCTTGAGGGGTACAACACCATCTCAGGCCCGGAGCCGAGCGCGACGGATCTCCTAGAGCAGACCAAGGACCTTGTTGCAGTCACATCTGAGCTTGACAACCTATCAGTTAGAGAGCGAAGGCGTTACTCTCAGTCAGCGTCTTAATCGGCCGCCGATCTCGTCCAGCTTCATACCGTCTGCAATTGCACCGTCGAAGTGACGCAAGAATGCGTGGGGTTTGTTGAGCCTCTTCAATCGAGCGTTCAAGACATTCTTCGTGAACGGGATAGTCTTGGGTACACTCCTGATGGTCATCGACTTGGCGACCAAGACTGGTACGATGACATATGCGAGGCTTTGAGGATTCGGACTGGCGTCCTCCAGATTCTGTTGTCGGCGACCTACCTACTGCTGCACAAGAACGACAAGGACGATGCAGGCAAGCTTTCGACCGAAGCATGGTCCCTCGCATCAAAACTGCAGTATCAGATCGCCTTCATCAACCCCAAGCTCCATAACTCCCGCGAAAGAAACACAGCTGTGGTACGTCAAAGCCCCGGAGATGTGCTGGCCGTGTATCACTGATAAGTCGAAACCAGCTACAAAGAGCAGTGACAGCAGCCACTAGCGCTACATTAAATATACCGACATCTCTCAATAAGCATTTCCTTGTGGGTAGGTCCACTAAAAGCTCCTATACTGGGCGAGCACGGCAAATGGCTACACTGAAAGCTGCACTGGAAGACAGCACTTATCCTGGGCAAAGGAGGTTTGTCATCTATGGCCTAGGAGGTTCTGGTAAAACCGAGCTTGCGATAAAGTATGCCGAAGAATATCAGCGGAACTACTGGGGCGTGTTCTTTGTGGATGCTACTTCCCGAAAGACGGCGTCTAGGAGTTACTTGGAAATCGCTAACGTGGGAGGAGTCGAGCCTAATGAGAAAGCAGCCAAGAACTGGCTGACTACCCAGGTCCTTCCCTGGCTTCTCATTATTGATAATGCCGACGACGACGAGGTCAATATTGAAGAACTTCTTCCAGCGGGAACACAAGGCTGCATCCTGATAACGTCGCGGAATCCGGCCCACAAGTCACACGGCACCGTTGGCGAAAGATACTTGGAACTCCAGGCCATGGAGGCCGGTGAGGCCAACGAACTTATACTCAAGGCCGCTGAGGAGCCGTGCCCATGGCCTGAGACCGTGATAAAATCGGCTAGCGCCATTTGCCATGCCCTGGGGTTCCTCCCCTTGGCCCTGGTCCACGCTGGAAAGTCCATTCTCCTCGGCCTCTGTTCTTGGGCGGGATATTTGAAATTCTACGAACGCCAAGTGGAGAGAATCCGGCGCCGTCGGCGCGAGAGTGGTTCGGGTAGAAGTCGGTCTGAGGAGAACAGCGGCAGCATCGCCGTCTTCTCCAGCTACGAAATTCTGTACCAGTCCCTAGAAGCGTCACAGAGAGAATCGTTTCAGGATGCTGTTGAGCTTCTTAACGTGTTTTCCTATTTACATTTTCAGAATATTCGGCTCGACATTTTGATCCTCGCAACTACGAATCCTCTGAGGGAGGCATCAGTAAGGGAAAGGGAGGCACAAGAAGCAGAAAACCTGCAGCTGAATGTCCCTCATCCAAGGAAGACATGGCGCCACTGGATGAGAGAGCTAGCTGCGCGTATGCTTGGATATCTTGATACTCCGCCACCATTGCCCGCCGCCCTGCGGAACCCCGACGGCCTCAGTGGCAGCGTTCTCGAGGGCGAGGTACACGTCCGTCTGAGTGAAGCCCTAAAGGTTCTCCTTTCACGGTCACACATCATGAAGCAAGATCGGTTAGAAGACCGGTATAGCATGCAGCCCTTGGTCCACAAGTGGGTCCGCGAGCGTCCCGATATGTCGACTTCGCAACAAGCCCTCTGGTGCCAGGTTGCTGCTAACACCCTAGCAAGGAGCATCCTGCTGCCTCCTCTCGGCGACACCGAAGACGAAAGGAGAACGAGGCGGGAACTTCTTCCCCATATAAATCATGTACGGACTTGTCGGGAACTCATCTTTCACAGGATGGAAGAAAACCGAGCCTCAAGGAGAAACAAACTCTGGCCGGTGCTGAATAGGGGCTTCAGCAGGCATGACGCCAATGAGCTCGCACGCTTCAGTCGAATATATTCTGAATGCGGACTTTTTCACGATGCGCTGGAGCTTCAGTCAAAGGTGCGGAGCTTTGTTAATGCGATGCTAGGCGAAGATCACCCTCTTTCCATCAAAATTACTCTCGTTGTGGCAGGGACCCTCTGGGAGCTGAGCCGCGCTGCCGAGGCTACGGAACTGCAACAACGCGCACATCGCATATGCGTGGAATCTCTCGGGCAAGACAATCCTATCAGTCTTAAGGTCGCTGACCTGCTAGGTTCCGCCCTGTGTTGGAAGGGCCGCTGGTCTCAGTCCCTGGCGCTCCACCAAAGAACCGTCGAGGGTATGAACACGGTATACGGCGCGCAGCATGAAACCACACTCAAAGCCGTTAGTAACCTTGCTCGAGTATATCTTCGATATATGGAGTGGGAAACGGCAGCCGAACTGCACCATCAAGCTTGGGAGGGGATGAAGAAGCAACTCGGCGAGACGCATCTTGATACTCTAATATGCCTCGAGGACCTTGCCATGGCCCGCATGAGGATGGGAGAGCAGTACCTTGCAGAATCCCACAAGATGATGCAGTTCGTCCTGGAACAGCGGACAAAGGTATTGGGGAAGGAGCAGCCGTACACCCTGCTGGCAATATGCAACCTAGGTCGAGTCAAGTCCGCGATGGGTCAGCACGCCGAGGCCGCAAAAATCATGAGCGAAGCCGTCATAATCGCCGAGCGCAATCTGGGCGAGGACCACTTTGGAGTCTTGGCCGGCAAGACGCACTATGCACAGGTTCTCGTCCATCTAAAGAGGTTTAAGGAAGCGGAAGAAATCCTCCACGCCGTCGCCGACAAGCCGCAGTACCGGAAAGCAACTGACCAGGACGGCGAACATCCGGACCGCATCATTGCGCTGTGGTATTTGATTGGCTGCTTAGAGAGGCAGGGCAAGTTCGCTGAGGCATTGGAGACCTGTGAGGGATTGGTTAACTCTTTGCAGGAGATTGGGGGTAATGGGCTGGGGCCAAAACATAAGTTGGCTTTGATGTTGCAACGCGAGATCGAAAAGCTAAAGGGGAAGATAGACGGGGAGGTGGAAACTGAAGAGGCATATGTTGCTGTTCCTGGGGAGATTTAAAGCACATTGAAAAATGGTCGTGAAGTACATAAGTTTCATACTTAAGACACAATACATAGCTTCCAAGGCAATAACGTTTACTTCTCAGGTGAAAGAGAACTCGAGACTCAAGTACAGCACAATCGACGTCAAAGGCGCATGCAATGCCCTTCTGCTATAGTCTTGTATCCTTCCATCGAGAGATAAAGCGCTTATTCTCAACAGTCACGACGTCAACACAACTAATCGACTCTAGTCAGGCCACATAGCAGATCCTAAATGGTAAGTAGCTTATTCCCTCGAGGAGATTATAAAGGCAACGTCTCCGTTGCCTTCCTTCACCACACTCCACAAGCTTCGTAGAGCAACACCAATAAGTAAGCGATATGAATGTCGTCGACACCAAGCGTATACCTACCTTTCATGTTCATAGGGAGGACACTACAGCAAAAGGCTGCTATAAGCTCAAAAGCAACCAAGCTCAGAAACAACCCTACAACAAGCATCGCCAACACCAACCAACCAACAAGCCATGTGCTACTACAGGGAGATATTCTACAGGTACTCATGCCGTTGTATGTGGCAAAGGGGGGATGAGCTAGTCGAAAGATGCCGCAGTCGCAGCCTGGGCCGCCGGTGTAGACGTAGACGATACCTGACACCCACGGTTAGATACGTCGACTGGAAATGTTACGACCACAATGAGTTCGCGTGGTAGAGGAAGGGTCAACCGCTGCGGAAATCCAACCCCTGGCTCGCCAGCCTGATTTGTCTATGCTATGCTTTATGTATGTCTGGGTAGTATAATAATGGATATCAAAACCGAGCCGCAAGCAATGCGAAAAGCTAAGCAGCTACCACATATCAGACACCACCCACATCTACTAGCTTCCTACAATACCTCACACCACCACATTACGTCTATTCATTTTATTTTATTTTGATTGATTCGAACCGCCCCTTGTATTGCCGTAGCTCGTCTCACCGGTATGTTCCACTCCAAGCAATGGCCCTTCCCTTCCTTTGGGCACACAGCCTTGGCAGAAACGACACACTAGAGCTTACTACCTCCGCCCCTGGGCCTCCTCAGCAGCCAAATCCCTCTCAACCATTTCAATCGCGCTGAGACTGGGATACCTCTTTTGGAAATTGCTGATATAGTCATCCTTCTCCGCAGCCGTCATCTCCAACAGAGTCGGCCCCTGGCCGGGCAGGTCGACGGCAAGCAGCGCCTCGGTCCCGGCAGCATCGGGACCAACACTGCCGCTACCACCAATACCGCCAGCGGGCCGGATTTTAGGCACAGAGATCCCTAGCCCAGCAGCCGTCCTGTTTGCGGGCAGCAGCGGCAAGTTCTGGTTCTGAGTCTTGGGCGGCGAGCCAGCTCGTCCGCCCGCAGCGAGGTTCCCACCACCGCCGCCGCCGCCGCCAGCCGTGGGGTTCATGCCGAGACGCGTCGGTTTTGGCGGGGCCATGGGCCGACCCGCCGCAGCCGCAGTACTGGCTGTCGTGCGCCCAGTGGCGGATGGTTCCACGGCGGGACGCTGCTGCTGCTGCTGCTGGCCAGCAACAGCACCCCTACTAGTACCCCCGGTAACCTGCGCAACACCAGGCTTTCTCGGCACCGGCGGCCGACCGTCACCACCAGCACCGCCACCGCCAGCCTGCGACGACCGGACATGAGCCGAATCCGCGTAGTGCCCATATCCCTGGGCCGTGCGTGTCACGCCGGCCGAGGACCGATTGCTCTCGTCGATCAAGCTCTGGACTTTATTCTGGATGGAGATCGCGCGGGACACGCCGCCGATACTCTTGGGCAGAGGCGTCTGACCAGCGCCAACGCCGGCGCCAGCACCGCCTCCACCAGCTGCAGAACCCGCAGCAAGACGCTGCCGGTACTCGGCCTGGGCGGCGGCGACGCGGGCCTCCTCCTGCGCGAGCATGCGCGCCTCTTTCTCGCGGCGCATCTCTGGAGTCAGGTATTCACCGTCGTCCTCTAGCAGATCACGCACCTGTCCGTCGTCGCTGCGGCCGTCCATGGTTTCGGAGCCGGCGATGGGCGTGAGCTCGCGCCGTTCCAGATCCTTCAGGGGAGATGGCGTGCGTGGGCCAGGCGGGCCACTCGAATTGCCCTCGAAGCGCTTGAAGGCGTCGCCGAATTTGCCGGAGAGAATGCCTTTGGCCCCAGCGCTGAGCGAGGACAAGCTGCCACGTTTCATATGTTTTGAGCCTCGCTCCCTTTTCTTCTGGTCAGAATCCTCCAAGGACCGGAGGAACTCGACGTTGGACTCAATGTTCCGCTCGTCGTCGCCGGTAGGAGAAGGTGGCAGGCTCTTTTCTCTCGAGTGACCTGGTGATGGCAAGCCTGGGGAAATTGACGGTCTCGGGTTTGATTCCCGCTCTCTGAGAAAGGCAAGATTGGATTCCAGATGCGTGCTAATTGGCCTAGGCTTCGAAACGACCCGTGGCTTCGTTTTGGAAGTATCTAGAGGCTCCAGGCTCGGCCGTCCGCCTTCCAACGACGGCCGCGAAGAGGACGGGTAACGCGTGTGTGCTGATGGCATAGAGCCTTGGAACGATGTCGTTCGCGCACCTGTCCGTGATGTCATTGCTCCATCACCAAGCGCAGAAGGCGCAGTCGCGGTTACAGGTGATCTTGGCAGGCTTGCTGCACGGTGGCGCTCTGAGGTCGGGAACCGTTGGACTTGGAACTGTGGAGGTTGGTCCGGAATCGGAGACGTCATGGTTCCCGTTGAGACCATGACTGGCTTGGGAGTCGGCTGGTATAGTGGCTGCGAAGCCTGAGACGAGATGGCTCGCAGTTCGGGGCTGCTCGAAATGATTGCGGAGGCACGACTTATCTCCGGGTGTTTTGGGGGTGCAGAGGTGGATTTGAGAGGGGGCGAAACAAGGGACGGGTCAGAGGTCGTCGTCGGGTACACATTCGCCCTTTTCGCGTCGACAGACTGTCTCTGGCTCGCTTGCGCAGGGACGGGGGCTGGAGAGGTTTTCACTTGGAAGGCCTCATCCGCCAATCTTTCCGCGACTCTCTGACTGAGATCCTTGGTTTGTTGAGACGGTACAGACGAACCAGAGTCAAAATCAAACTTCTGCCCCTTGTCGTGTAGCAGTGCAAATTGATCCAGTGTCGGAAACCTTGACGAGAGCTCGTCGCCGCCTTGCGTCGAAGGTCTGGCGTCAAGGGCAGCGAACGGGTCGCCATTGGTGACTTTGCCAGGGGACGGATTTGGGCGGTTCGGCTGGGGTGAAGACTGTGCGGCGGGCAATCTACCCCGTCTCATGCGCTCAACCTCAGGGATCACCTGTTGCTGCTGGACTGCCTGCGGGGAGAAGACGGCTCCTACCGTTGGCGGTGAACGAGGATCCTGCTGAGGCTGTTCTAATCGCTGCTGGTCTACCTGTGGTCTTCCGGAATAAATCTACCGTGAAATCATAAGCGATTGGCCGGATACAAACTGAAGAATTAGTCCGCCACTTACATCTTTGACTGGAGGCTCCCGGCCTTGCATGGCGCAAGCCTCCCGGAGAACCTGGTAGATATTGGGTCTAAGCTGCGGATTCTCGCGCAGCATCCAGCCTAGAGAGTATTTATCAGCACGCAGCAAGGCGGGCAGCAGAAAAGCAGCGTGGCGGAATACCAATGAGCCCCTTTAATCTGTCCGAGAATACGGGGTAGCTGGGAAATTTGTAGCTGGCATTCAAGATGGCAAGCTGGCCCTGGTCTTCGAAAGGCGTGGTGTAGTAGCACAGCTTGTACAACAGGACGCCAAGCGCCCAGATATCGGACTTCTCGTCGATAGGCTGCTTCCTGTAGACATCTATCATCTCAGGGCTCCTGTATTGCATGGTCGTGTGTTTCTGAACATCCTCGTCCATCAGGCGGCACTCGACGACGGTGGTGGGAGCGGGCCGCGGCGGAGCCGCAGAGCCAAAGTCGCAGAGCTTGAACTTCCTGGTGGACCCGACCATGGTTATGAGCACGTTCTCCACCTTCAGGTCGCGGTGCAGCAGCGGCGGGCGGAGGTAATGCATACAGGCGACGCCCTCGGCAACATCGGCGAAGATGTTGAGGATTTCAGGTTCGGTTAGGCGGTGTTGCAGGCGCGTGTTCATAAAGTCTATGAGGCCGCCGCCGTTGCAGTACTCCATTAGCAGGAAGACCTCGTATCCACCACCGCGCAGTTCCGAGGCGTGGGAATCGATGTATGTCACAATGGCCTTGTGGCCCTTGAGCCGCTTCATGGTCTCGACCTCGGTGCGCATGCCTCGCAGCGACTCCTTGTCCGGCACCGCCACCCGCTTCAACACGGCTTGATCCGTCCCATTGACCGGCGTCTGCAGCTTGACCAGGTAGACGTGCGCAAAGCCGCCCTCGGAAAGGTATTTCTGGATCACCACCCGGTGATTCCCAACCTGGATCTTGGTGCCCGGCGAGAAGGTGCCAGCAGGCGCAGCAGGGGGAGCCATAGAGGCGGGCGCTGCGTAGGGCGCTGCATAGTTTGCAGGCCGATGCGCCGATGGAGGTACTGCCTGGCCGTACGAAGCCATGAGGCGGTTTTTGTCTGGGGAATCTAGACGAGAAAGGCGGTGTGTCCAGAGGCAGCTACAAAGCTCGGGGCTCGATCGGGAGTCGACGCAGCAATGACAGCGGGAAAGCGACGCAGAGGAACGGGGGCGGTTGTCGGAAGGGATGTCGGAAGCTATGTCGGGGAGCCACTGAGGCGGAGCGGAGTCGGGAGCCGGGAATCGGGAGTCGGGAGTCGGGAGTCGGTAAGACGACGGGCTCAGGGCATTGAAAGGAATGTGGTTTACGTGGAAAACCGGTCTATGATAAGCCAGGCATGGCCGTAGTGTAGCTGTCGTCGCACCGAGCCACGGTTGAACAGTTCGAGGTTTGGGATGGGCGATGACGACCAAGGGAAGGCCAAGACGGGGCTCAGCGCTGATTCAATGTTGCAAGTCAACCATCTCAGGTACTTCGCACAATGGGCAAGCAGTGCAATGGTCGTCGAAACATCTGTGTGCAATCAGGTGGTGCCAGCTGTCGCTGATACTTGGCGGATAATGGAGACCTACTCCGTGGTGGGGCAATCAATTGAGCCACGCAGCTGAAGCAACGTCAACATCAGGCACCGAGGTCCAGGGACGCGGCTGCCTGCCCGATCGGATATGTTGTCGACATTGGTGTAGGGCTCTTAAATCATTTTATCGTTTTCATGAAAACATGCCGGAACCTTGACCATATCCTGCTTTTACATTCACACGTTTTGAGTCGACATTGTGGGTCAAGATGTCAAGGGTCGTGTTGCCCCAGATCCCGTGCGAGAGGTGCCTTGCTATGTATCAAGGATAAGATCATGAGAGACGAGAGAAGAAGATTGTTCTATCGATACAGTATCTTTTTCGAACTCACTAGATGGCAAATAATTAAGTGATGAGTGGTATTGTACAGTATCGTTCATTTCACTCAGAATACCTAGCTACATAAACACCGACCTCTCTCTCACCTTGCTGCCCTGTCCAAGCCCCTAAAACAGAGCATTCGCGACACGCTTTGGCAGGTTCTTCCATGTCCTCTCCAGCACGGGGTTACCGTCGTCATCGCCCGGTACGTGCATTCGTGCACCCGTCACCAGATCGATTTCATGCGCAGGAATCCACATCCTCCAGTCCCCGGAATAAACCTTCCATCCCAGGTACAGTACAAGGACGATGGGAAGGGCAAGATACTGCTGAAAGAACACCTCAGCCTCGGGAGTCGATTCCAGGTCGGGCTATGAAATAGTCAGCAATGTGATGACATTTGGACTCGCTTCAGAATGGGATCCAGCCAGCGACTTACATAGAGCGCACTGTAGAAGGTGGCGATGAGGCAGAGCAGGTTGAGGATAAAGCCGATCCAGCTCCCATAGACTCCTAGAGCGGGCTTATAGGGGATCTGATCGAGCGTGTATCCCTGCGCCTTCCAGGCGTAGCGGAAACGAATGTGCGCCAGGCAAATGGAGCCCCAGACGAAGAAGTACGAGAGGCCTGAGAGGGCGAGCAGCCAGGTAAAGACAACGTTACCGCCGGCCGCCAGACCGATATAGGCCAACAGCCCAAACGCAAGCTGGACCACGACGCACCACAGCGGGCGGCCGTGACTGTCGATATAGGCCAAGAACTTGGGAGCCATTCCCTGTGTCGCAAGAGCCTGCATCGTCCGCGTCGAGCCAAAGGTACACGAATTGGCCACGCTGATGACAGCAACGGTGATGACGGCGTTCATGATGGACGGAAGCACCTGGATTCCAGCGTCTTGGATGGCGAGAACGAAGGGCGAGGCCTTGGTATTTGCTCCAGACGAGTTCAACAGCCGGTTGTCGGTCGAGGGCAGGATCAAGCCGAGGATGAAGAGGTTAACAATGTAGAAAAAGGCGATACGCCAAAACACCTGCTTCGAGGCCGTAGGAATGGCCTTACGAGGATTCTCCGACTCGGCAGCGGCGAGACCGACGAGCTCGGTGCCACCAAATGAGAAGGCGGCGATGACGAAGACGCCGGCAAATCCGTTGAACCCGTTCTTGAAGGCGCCGGGATCGTGCCAGAACCGGGCGCCGAGATAGCCTCGATCGCCGACACCGCCAGTGTTGATGACGATGCCGAGGATGATGAATCCCGCGCAAGCTGCGATTTTGATCATGCTGAGGACAAATTCGACTGCGTCCCGTGTTAGACCGCTCGACCCTGCCAGGGGAAGGGACACTCCTCACCTTCACCGTAGCCACGGACACCAAAGACCTGGATGATACATAGGATCACGAGGAACATGGTGACCCACACGCCCATATTGATGTCTTCGCGCCAGAACTCAATCGTGATGGACGCCGCAATCAGCTCGAACGGGAGGATCGTCAGCCAAGACAGCGCATAGTCCCAGCCCATGGCAAAGCCCCTGAAGAGTCGGGTGAGGTTAGCGACAGTCATGAGGCAGCCACATAATAGGGCGAGACTGTACTCACCATGAAGGGTCCAGAAAGCGGACGACATAGGTGTAGAAAGCGCCGTTGACGGGATACAACACGGCCAACTCGGCAAGGGCCTGGCAAGTGAATAGCAGCATGATGCCGACGATGGTATAGCAGATGACCTACGAGAGTCAGCTGCTACTGGCTCCATCACCCCTTGCTATCTTGCGCTCACCAAAGACGCCGGACCGCCTTTCGACAAGGCGCCGCCCGAGCCGACGAAGAGACCGGCACCTATCGCGCCGCCTGCACCCCCGAATCATGTCAATTTCGCTTGAGTTCAAAGAAGAAGGGATCAATTCTCACCGATGGCAATCATCTGCATGTGCCGGTTCCTTAGCTCCTTCTTGAGCCCACCGCTTTCTTCGGCGATATCTCCATGGCCAGCGGAGCCGGACCCGGTTTCGAGATCGGCGGCTGCCTTGGCCGGCATCTTCTCGATATCTGTAGCCATGACTGTTTCGACCTATGGTGTCGCCGGAGTAGATCTTGAGAGCCCCCGAGGCGGGTCAGGGGCGGCTGCAGAAAGGGAGACGGCTCCGTACTTATGGACGAAAGGCAGAGATGGGGGCGGCCAGGAAACTGGCTGGGAAGGGGACATCTCTATGTACTACTGTGATAACAAAGGCCCCTTGGCGATGGAAAAGACCCGCATATTAAGGTGTGTAGGCTCATCATGCAGGTCGGATAACTGCCAGGAAGATAGCTCTACTCGTCCAGGACTGGGCTGTCTGATGCTACTACCCTGTCCCCGGCCTCGAATGATATGCAGCATCCCTTGCCGCCTCCCAAGAGCACATGGGCAGTTTTGCGATGCATGGAACCTGTATGGTGGCATCGAAGATCGCGGTGGTCAGAGACGTCAACTGGGAGGCAAATGCTGACAGTACTTATGTACCTAAGTAGGTAGGAAGCAAAGTGGTACTTCGTCGTAATACTCTGTGAAGTGTGAGAAGCTCAACAGCGAAATCAACAACGACTCGAACACTCGAGGAGCAAGGAGCTGGCCTGGGTTCCCCGGCTATGCACGCTCCCCCTTGGGAAGGAACTGAGCAGTCCATGCTTGTCTGTTCTCCTCCAAGGCTCACGAAAAGGCCCCGATGTTGTACTGCTGATACCAAGCACATACCCGCGCGTCTCTGATTCGGCGTGTGCTATACACTACCTTACCGAGCTTACTACTACTGATAGGACTAGTAGTAGCAGTGAGGCCGGACGGTCTAGATTCTAGAACTTTGAGGGTTGGCCCCCCCCCGGGGAATGCAAGCTAATGGCAAAGGGCCTTATCGTTCGCTTGGCTTCCTGGTTGATGCGTCGGTGTAGAGTGTCGTCAGTTGTATTCGGTCCTGCTCCCAATCCGCCAAGCCTTGAATATATACTAATTTTCGGCCATATACCTGGAAGCAGCTGGTCAGCGAGGTCGAGCTGATAAGCCCTCAGTTACACTTATTTGCACACCAATAGGGAAGGTCGCACAGCGCAGCGAAATGCGAGGCTCCAGCATCCCGGCATCTCACCAAGATATCGCACAAGATTCGGACTAAGGTAGTGATGGGGCGAGGCGATAAACAATTGAGTAAACCATCCGCGCTGAACATGACTAGTAGAAGGAGGCCTTACCCTGCACAGTTACTTGTCCATCGGTCTCAAGAACAAGAACGACCGGGACACTATTACGAGGGGTGAGGCCATCTTGATTGCTGTCAAGATAAGCTTGTGCCAAGCCTGGCAAAGCGAGCGCCACAACTTCCAGCCTAGCGTACCAAGGGATAGGTAACCAAATCCTAACCCTAACCAGAAACCTCCGCTGCCTGCCGAGCCTGCGTAAGAGAAGGAAAGAGCTGCTCGAAAAGTTGTTTGGAACTTCCATGAGGGTGCCTTCCAAGGTCCATGCAATTACTGGAGCTTGCTTTCACGACAGCATGTGCCTGCCTTAGCTTCTTCGAAAACACCAGTACCTACCTAGGTATGCAGTATGGACGCTTAGGGTATCACAGTATACTCCTCCGAGCCGCCGTCCATTCGAGCAACCATCAGGAAGCTCTCCGGCTAACATTCCAAAATCGCATTTCTTTGCATATATTTTTGTTCTTAGATTCCGATGAGCGGATATATATGCTGATATTGGAATGCTTACCACGACCGACAATGCCCAACGACGTCTAGGTCTCTGTCCTAGTAAATCCATCTTCCAATCCTCGGCGTTAGCATAGGACGAATACGCATCCTAAAGTAGTGCACCTTATTCCCGGTCCTTAGATGTGTATCAAGGTGCAGCGCTGTGATTAGGTACGCCGTTTCGATGCGGGCCCTGCTGAAGCGGGCCGAAGTCGGCAATGCAAAGGCTCGGCTAGAACCATGGCGAGGATGCACTCCGCATTCCGCATGGAACCGGTGCCCCGGAAAGCTCTATGGCTCGTTGCTCCCCCAAAGCCCCAGACAAAATTGGCAAAGTAAGGTACCTTATAAGGTACTAAGCAGTCACACCTCTCAAATCCATCCTCGCAAACTTCCACTTCAGCCCTAGTCCCAACCCCTCTTCCACCACCGGCGGCTCCCTCCCCTCCGCCACCATCCCGCGTTCGTACAAGGCCAGCCAGACGGCGTCGGCATTGACCGTTTCCAACGCCTCCTCCAGCTCCGCGTGCTGTGGCAGCACATCCACCACCAGCTCCAGGATATCGTCAAACATATCATCGTCGACCCTCACGTACGACACAATCGCCGCCAGCAGCTCCAACACGGCCTCCCAGACCTGCGAGGCCTGCGCAAACCTCCCCAGCGCAGCCGCCCGCGAGAAGGAGCTCTGAACAAGCTTCACGCCCGCATCCCCATCTTCCAGACCATCACCACCACCGCCGCCAGCTGACCGTATAGGTATGAGGATCCCCTCTCCCTCACCACGCACACCACCTTCCTTTATCACACCAACCCTGAGTCCCTCACCACCGCCACCAACCCTCCTGGCGCCTGCCCCCCTCCTACCGACACCACCCGCCTCGCTCTTAACCCTGGCGAACCACCCAGCGAGGCCGGCAGCGCCAGGCCACTCGGTCTTGAACCTTGAGGCCAAAAAGTCGCCCGCGGCGCGGCACAGGGCGGCGAGGGCCCGGCACGCCGCCACGGCGACGTAGGGCTCCGGGTCGCGCAGGCGGGCGAGCACGACGGGCCAGACGGCGTGGACGAGCGGGAGGAAGGCGTTCTCGTCGGGCGCGAGCGCCGGGCTCACGGTGCCGACCAGGTCCAGGAGCGACTTGCGCAGTGTTGGCGTAGGGGAGGTCAGGTAGTGCTGCGCCAGCGAGAGGATGCGCGTCAGGAGCGTGTACGTCGGCGTTGGTGGTGGGGGGTTGCTTGGTTCGACCTCTTGGGGTTGCTGTCCTTCCTGGTGACAGGGGGCATCGTCTTCGGAGGCGGTGGAATTCTGCTTGGTTTTCTCGGTTTCCAAGGCGTCCAGCAGGGAGGCTGCCTCGCTTGTGGATTTGGAGTCGTCGGTGGATTGCGTCCAGGGTCTCTTTGGGTGCGTTTCGGGTGTGCTGCTGAGATCCACCCCGTCCGCCTTTGAGCGTTTAGCTCTGTCAAGTCGCTTGTCTAGCGTTTGCAGAATGCCTGGGATTCCGAGGGACGTCGGTCTCTTCTTTCGATGGTCTATCGATTTGACACCCGAGCCTTCCAGCAGGAGCATGTCGGACTTGACGCCCTGGGTTACCACCTCTGATAAAACCGAGAACATGCTCTCAACAAACACCGGATAGCCATGGTAGCTGTCGAGTGCGCCAAATATTGCTGTGATGACATCGTCCAGGTAAGGAATCAGCTTTGGCCCGGTCAGCCGAATCAGCATGGTGAGCACCTTGGTGGATGCCAGGGAGATATCAAAGGCACCGAGCCGCAGAGATACCGAGTTGACCATGTAGTCAGCATTGTCGACGATCAGCTCCGAGACGCTTTGGTATCCACATGCCGCGGCAAGTATGTTTAGCGTCGTGATGGCGTGCCTTCGGAGCTGCGGTATTTGGGAGCCTAGGAACGTGGTGATTGGATATAGTATGTCAATGAGTTCTGGCCGGAACTCCAGCTTCAGCCGTGAAGCAGCAAAGGCCGTGACCTCTAGTGCGATGGCTTCCATCTGCCAGTCCGTCTCGACGGAGTCAGAGTGGGCAGACAAGACCGACGCAGAAAATTCATAGAGCTCCTGGAATGCCAGATCCTGGCGCCTTGATTCCCCAAGTGAGGAAAGGTCAACCATGGTGTCGAGGTCCGATGACTGCGTATACGTGGATTTGATGAGCTCGAATGCCAGCCAAAACGAAGCAATCCGGTCTACACCTTCCGAATCGCGGATATAACTCAGCATCAAGTTTGCTAGGTTGACCTGCTGAGTCGACGATCCTATGCTGGATATTAGGGTCTTAACTTCGTTCCTTGTAATTTTCTGGCCTTCTGAGTCGAGAAGAATAGGGCTGAACAAGGCTAGCTCCATCCCTGACGCGGCCAAATCAGTGCTCATTGAGAGGTCCGCCTCAACGGCAGCGTCGGTGATCCTGGGCGGTTTTGAAGCTCTGATGAGCGTAACGAGGCTGTCTCGAAGCGAGTCCCCCAGTGCGTTGTCGAAGGTCGGGGAGTCTATATGCAAAGCTGCGGCCAGCTTGCTTCCCCTGATTATGCTTCTGATGGCTATCTGCTTGACCCGCTCATCGTTGGACTGCATGACCCGGGGCATGCCAGTAACCCAACTGTGTAAGCTCAATTTTATGCTCTCCCCGAGCTCCGGATAGACGCCGGCAAGGTCCTGCAGGCTAGTTTCGAGCCGCGATCGTGGGGTTTCATCCTCCAACATCAAAGAACTCTCGACCAGGATTGACTGGCAGTTGGCAAGTGAGGAATGGCACTCGTCGAGCAAGGCGATACAGAGTCGGTAAACGGCAGACTGGATGTCTTCAGACTCGTGGGTTCGCAGCTTAAGAACCGCTGACAAGGCAATCTTGACTTGAGCCCCGGTCGCTTTCAGCCAGGCTGGCGTCAGCTCTTTCAAAGGTTCGGAATCTCCCGAATCGCTCAAGGGCTCTTCTTTACGGTCGTCCGATTTCTCCAGCCTATTGAGGATTCCTCTGACTTTGAGGTCTCCTAGCACGTTTATGAGAACTAACCTCAAGGCTTCTAAGCAGCTCCGAAGCACCCTTTTTTGGGTCTGATTCGCCAGAGGCGGGGACAAAATCTTGGTAAGAGCAGAAACTGTGCCAGGAAAGAACCGAGCGAGGACAGCATTGTCTCTGATGGTGGTGAACATGGTCTCCAGGCAATTTACTGCCTCGAGTTGAATAGAGGCGACGGCTCCCTCAGTAATACCATCGAGCATGATTTCGACACTGCTAAAGAGGGCCTGTATGCTTTTGCTTTCTGGCACGTCTGCCGGCGCTGCTAGGTGGTGAGGTTGGGCTATGCAGATCAGAGCGGCCAGTGTGCGAAAAGCCTCTATCGTGGTCTCCTCGGGGAGCTCTCGTCGATTTGCCTGGCCCGGCACGCCGCCAATTGCAAGCGACAGAAAGACTAGCAGCTCCTGAAAGAGCTGTGGAGATGCCTTGGCCTTCCAGCCATGCTGGATCAGATCTCTGAGCAAGCGAATCATAACCTCAAATACCCGCATGGGATAGCGATCCCGATCTCGCAGCAGGTGCGACAAGGGGAAGAAAACGTAGTCTGCCAACTTGTCATCCAAGATGGAGCCATCTTTGCTTGCTTGAGCAGTCCAGAGGCTGATGAGGGACTCCAAGAGGCTGGTGACCTCCTTCGCGTCGACCGCCCGGTCCTTTGGTCGGAGGGCAAACTGACTGAGGGGGACACAGACCCGCTTCAGCTGAACAGTGACACCAGAGTCAGTACTTCTGTGGATATGACAGCACCGGGAGGAGGACAAACCTGCTGAAAGAACTCAGCCCGCGGAGTCGAAGAAGGAGCGACTGTCGTCATGGTACCGACGAAAGGGCATTAGAATCAAAACTTAGATTCCAGAACCCTTTTCTGTCAGAGTGATGTTGCTGTTGTTGCCGGATCATGCTCAAGTGCAAGGCTGATTTGAAATTTTGAATTGATTTGAGGTTTATGTATTGAGCATCGACAGTTCGACGCAGGCCCAAAACATCATTCGGCTGCAATAATCAGTGCACTGGAACGAGTTGCTAGTTCGGATTTCTCATGGCGCTCTTGGGGCGACAAAACAAGAATAACTCTTTTCTTATCTCAAGTGTAGTCCAGAGAGTCATCCCAAGTGAGATCATTCAAATCATGCAGCATGAGTGTTCGAACTTGTACTCAAACTCATTATGTGGAGAGAATTGCTTGGGCTATGAATGTGATGAAATATGGTAATTAAGTCTTTGGTTCTGGGGAAATGAGGTAGGCTAACCGTTTTGGGCAGAGATGTTTTGCGTAACGTTTAGCTACTTGACAGGTTCAGAACTTCAGGTTCCCGAGTCTCAACTTTCAACAACACATCTTTCCCTCTGCCAACCGCATTCGCACACTCCCAGCTAGATATCGCAGTCCAAAAATGCCCCCAGCAAAGAAGAGAAAGACTGCGCCCTCTGCGCAGGTACCAGAAAAGCAAGCTGAAAGGGACCCCAAGGAAGACTCGGCTGCACCCGAGCAACCAGACGCAGAAAAGACAACAGCTGACGACACCAAGTACCCCTCGCCACCACCAGCGAAACCCGAAGCACCGGCTTCTTCTACCACATCCGCAGCCTCATCAGCCGCTGCCGCCGCTCAAGAGCGGCTTGCCCGCTTCCGGGCCCTACAAGCCCGCGCCAAGTCCTCCTCGGACCAGAACTTGAAGGAGGCAACCAGAGAATCCCAGCGCCTCGCAACCGACCCGAGCCAGCTCACATCACTCAACCGCAAGCACGCCATCGCGTCACACAAGCTGCTAAAAGCCGACATTGAGGAAGCGGGCGAGGACTTTGAGCGCAAGCGGGCTTGGGACTGGACCGTCGAGGAGAGCGAGCGGTGGGACAAGCGGATGCGCAAGAAGGAAGCCCACCGCGACGACACGGCCTTCAAGGACTACGCGCGCGAGAGCGAGAAGGCGTACAAGCGCCAGCTGCGCAACATGGGCGCCCCCGACCTGGAGCGGTACACACGCGAGAAGATGGCGGCCATCGAGAAGGCGGCCGCCGCCGGCACGCTCGACATTGTCGAGACGGAGGACGGGGAAATGATTGCCGTCGACAAGGACGGCACGTTCTTCAGCACCGCCGACTCGACGGCCTTTGCGCAGCACAAGCCGGACAAGGCCGCGGTGGATAGGCTGGTCGCCGACCTGCGCAAGGCTGAAGAGGCGTCGCTCAAGAAGAGGCGGGAGCGCATGGCCAAGAATGGTGACGACGGAGGGGACGTCACGTACATCAACGAGAAGAACAAGCAGTTCAACCAGAAGCTCGCCCGGTTTTACAACAAGTATACGGCCGAGATCCGGGAGAGTTTTGAGCGGGGCACTATGGTTTGAGCAGGACCCGGATGGGATTATGGGTAACTTCGCCTTTGTCGGTCATCAGCGGACGGAGTTTCGGCTGGGTATTTGTGATTTTACACTCTACAGCTAAAGTACAGAGGGGTGATACATCCGGTCTATCGTATAATACATTGATCATAGCACGCCCTAGAGCATCGTCTTCCGCCACCCCCTATTCGCCAACTCCTCCAACTGCTGCACCTCCACCGGCCCGGCTACACTCTCGTCAGACAGCGCCTCCACCATGGCATCGGCAACTTGATCCGCCTTGAGAGGCTTTGCCGCCGCGCTGCCCAGGAAGCCCTTCATTACCCCTCCTGTCAGCCCATTAAACACCGACCCCGCCATGGCCAACGCAGCCAGGGGAACCGTAATCTTCCTCGAGCTGTCGTACATGAAGGGCGCGCGGATGAAGACGCCCCTCATCTCGGGGAACTCCCTGGCCACGACGGCCTCTGCCTCCCGCTTGGTACTGATGTACCTGCTCGGCAGCACCGGCGCGCCCCCCGCGGCCGACATGTATCCAAACGCCTTGACCTTTTCCCTGGCCGCCTCCTTGGCCAGCAGGATTGCGCTGTCCCGGTTCATCATCTCGTACGTGAGCTGACTGGCCGACGGGGGCGGCTCGATGGGCTCCTTCTCCCCCTCGCGGATGCGCTCCAGCGGGTTGGGCGAGTGGGCGCCCTTGGCCGGGTTGAAGGCCTTGGCGAGGCCGGAAAAGGGCGATTCCCGACCCGAGATGACGCCCTTGTAGTCGGCCTCGAGGAGGATCCCCAGGCTGTGCACGACGTAATCGGCACCTCGGAGAAGGGAGACCCATTGGGCTGGACGGAAGATATCACCGCGTTCCCAGGCGACTTTGTTGGACCATGAGGGGGGTGATGCAGACGAGGTCACGCTGGACCAGTGCGGTTCGCCGGAGCGGCTGTGGGTAGTAGAGGAGTAATTCAAAGTCAGCTGCTTGCTTCGTGATGGATCTGAGAGCCAAAGCCAGAGATCGGAACATACCTGATTGATGTGACGTCCCAGTTCCTAGCTACGGCGGCTCTGCATATCCTCGATCCTACAAAGCCATTGCCGCCGAAAACTATAATCCTCTTGGTTGCCGACATTGTAAGTGGTTAAATATGGCCTCACTCGCAGCCTGTGAGTGGCGCCACGAGCTTGACAGTATTCCTCAGCCCGATGAAGGTTTCAGTGAATCATGAATTGGCTGATGAACTCTGTTCCAATCTGACAAGAAACATGATCTTGGAATGATATCACTCTTGGTTCTGAGACACCTGATGTTGGTTGGTACCTTGACTTTCTGTAGACTTTGACTGTTGCTTCTGGACCTTCTGAGCTGCAGTTGATCTCGTCACAAGCTGCAGCTCAATGCAGGGGTTGCACAGACCTCTGTCTGCACGCCGTTAGCTTATCGGACGCCACGCCAAAAAAAAAGCCTGCCCCGCAATCAAGGCTGAACCCGCTGAAAGGGTTAAGGGAACCTCTTCGGCTCCAGTAACGTTATGTATCTCGAATTTCTCAGAGAACGCGACTCTGAACCTCGCTCCTCAAACCGACTCTCTACCTTTCTAGCCACCAGTTGCTCACCATGGCGCCACCAACAGGGAAGCGCGTCAAAGGCGTCCAAATATTCCGACCCTTCGTTTACGGCACAACCGCCCGGCCTTTCGACGAAAAGACGAATCCCAAACCGCCCGGCGTACCGGACGACCATACGCACTCCTGGACAGTTTTTGTCAAGGGAATTGACGATGTCGACATCACCTACTGGTTACGGCGCGTACAATTCAAGCTGCACGAGTCCATCCCCAACCATGTACGGAGTACGTCCGACCTGCCAACCAACCTCCTTTTCTCTTCCCTTCCCACCAACCTAATCTGACAAAGCCCAAAAAACAAGTGATCGAAGGCCAAAAAGGAAAGCCCTTCGAGCTGCACGAAACAGGCTGGGGTGAGTTCGAAATCGCCATCAAGCTGTACTACGTCCCGGAATCGGCCGAGAAGCCGCAAACCCTGTACCACCACCTGCGGCTGCACCCGTACGGGCGGACCGAGGAGGAGAAAGAAGCCATGCACCTTAACGGGGGGCAGGTGATTTCCTGGTCGTACGAGGAGCAGCTGTTCAACGAGCCGTACGAGCCCTTCTACGAGATCCTCACCTCGGGCGCCATGCCCCCGTCCTCACCCCTCCCGCCCAACCACAACAGGTCATCATCATCCGGGTCAAAAACCGGCGGCGGCAAGTCCAAGGAGAAGGACCAGGGGAAGATGGCCGCGCGGTCCGAGGGAGGGGTTCTGGAGCGCAGCGCCATGATTCCGCTTACCAACCGGCCCGGGCAGCCGTTTAGTCGGGAGACTGAGCAGGTCGAGATCAAAAAGTTGAAGGAAGCCCTGGTGAAAGTGGAGGAGCTGACTAAAAAGACGAGGGAGGAGATGGAGGCCAAGGAGAGGAGGTTGAAGGAACTGAAGGCGGAAGCTGCTAAGGGATGACCATTATGATGGTTTATAACCAGAGTACATCTTCGGTGGCGAAATGGCCCGGACATGGTGGCACTTGGCAATACGGAGGTAGTAAACTGGCAGTTGGCAGGCGAGGCAGGTTCGAGGCGTATATGGAGTTACGGGCTCATCTGGCGGGAATATGATTCAATCGACATTTGTGACTGATCATTTTCAGATGCTCTAACCTTACTGAGAGGGTCATGACAACGGTGTAATGGTTATAGAAAGGTCGGTGTCAGACATAGCATTCTCTTCCAAGCGGGTCGCGGTAACTCAGAGGCGTCGTGGGACTCAGGGAAAGCATGTAGTTAGGGGGGTTTTGTGATTTCTTATTTTTTGAGATGGGAGTTTGTCTCCAAGAAGTTCCCGTTTATAGACCCGCTATCCCAGCAGGACTTCCGTCTGTCTTCCCCGATCCGGCTTCCTGTAAGCCTAGCCCTCGTACAACGGTATACAGCTGCGTCAACCGCAGTGACGGCTCATGACAAAGGAAATTGTACAGCAAATAGTAAATAGTTGGTTGCCAACCAAGGGTTTAGTGTCCTTCCGACACTTGAGTTCCCGTGCCCACGTTAGGCCCGGCTTCCATCCCGTCTATATTGGATATCTTGACCGCTGAGCACCCAGACTGTTCTTCCGTATTTAAGCGCCCAGACTCCACACACCCAGCAAACAATAACACATTAAGTTGTCCAGGTCGCGCTCGAACGCCTGGGGGAAAAACATAGCGAATGCAATACCATGCGACCGGAAAGCAAAACGACAAATAGGGGCAAGGAAATATGGATCTTCAGAGTCTTAGCAGCCTCTCGCCTCGTATGCGGGTGGAGGGGTGTCATCCCGGTCATCCCAGAAAGCGGGATTCCGGTTCTTCTCATCGTACACGCGCCGTGCAATCTCTCCAGCCATCTTCATTATCCAAGCCTGCTCCAAGATGACGGATGAGGTGTCTGACATTGGCCGTGACGGCCTCCATTCCGACTTGGTGTCGGCAAGCACTGGCTCTCGCGAAGCCTGAGTTCCAATGGGCTGGCTTTGCTTCTCAGACATTTTCTGAGTAACATTAGGAACGTCGTTTACTTCGATCGAGGGAATTTGTGCCTCGGGGGCCTTCAGAGCTTCGGACCGAAGAGAGGGTCTCCTAGGCTGCTGTAGAGTCTCTGAGGGTCGGCTGAATCGCACCTTGCCTTGGTTTGTAGCCGAGGGCATGTTTAGGTGCTCCTCTGGAACTTCGAGGATCGGATGTGGCATGATTGGTTCTGACATGGGAGCGGCGGTCGAGGCTGTGTCCGAGACGTTGTCTCCCTGTTCGCTACCCACTTCGGTGCCCGCTTTGCGACGCAAGTTGACCACGCGCGTCTTCTTCTTCCGACCAGCCTTGTTGTGCCGGCCCGCGCCCAGCGAAAGACCGGCGGTGGCGGAGTTGAGGCTGACCAAGGACGGCCTTGAAGGAAGCGAGTCATGGGTCAAACTGCTGCTGTCCGAAAAGGTGTAGGTATGGGCACTCCCAATGTACGACGACGACCGCGCAAGATTAGGCGTCGACAACGGGGGTGTGTTGGTCCCGTCCGCCCTGTCCGACGGCCCAGCCCAAGCCCTAAACAACACGTCTCGAATAGCAGGGGTGTGCAATGATGACGTGACTTGTGAGCTGGTTAGGCTGGACAATCGAAGCAGATTCTTCTGGGAAAACAGGGATTGTGACTCTGGCCCGCCATCAAGAGATAGCTCTGATATGGCAGCGGAATCAAGTAGATGTCCATTAGCATCGACCGCATCGAGCGGAGGCGTCGCCAGAGGGTTCACGCCGTGCTCGTCAGCCTCTTTTGACCTGTCGTCCTCCTTCGCAATCTGATCCGGACACCAAAGCTGAAGGGAGAGTCTATGGATGATGGAGGGCAGCTCGTCCATCATCAAGTTGCGCAGCTTTACCTCGATTGTCCGCTGGAGGTAGTCACGCACGAACTGGATCGAATCGAAGGTCGATGAGACCTTAAGAGACTCGAGGGGGTCATCTCGGAATACTAGAGTGAGACCCTTCTGCTTCGAGAAGACCACGATGATGAATGCTTTGAGTTTGATCTCAGATAACGTAATCTGAAGTGGTATTGTAAGCCCTGACGCCGCCGCCAATGGCTGCGGAGATGTAAAGCTGGGCTTGGCAGAGAGGTATGTGTTTAAGGGGTTTGCCTGTTGTTTGTTGATATATTAGCATTTGCTATGCACACCCTAGGCTAGCGTGGGGATTAATGCGGGCGCGCACGCGCACCCCTGCACGGCATATCGCGATAATTTGCGCATCACTGCGCCAAGAGCTCCCGGGAGAATTCCAAGTTTGCGTTGCTTCTGGAAAAAGGGGGGACGAGGACAGCAAGAGGGATCCCAATCAGATTACTGCCCGTAACGTCGCGAGAGATACTGAAGAGCCTCTTGCAAGACCTGGCGACCCATACAGACGCCGGAAAGAAGGGAAATGACGTGATGTGAATTCAACTCTTGAATGCCCAAGCATGCATAGCGCTTGCCATGTAGCGATGCCTGGTAGAAGCGAGGCGAAAGAGAAGCGATTTCATGACCAAAGGCACCCAATGGAATTGATGAGCTCCTTTGGGAGAAACGATCTGCTTGTTTGCCCGGGATGCTCTCGTGGAAGGTGCGCAGACAGAGGGTAGTTCAGAAAGCCATTGCATACCTGTACTCTGGTCTTGAGCGTCAAAAAGGCGTCCCCAGAATAACACATCTTGAAGATGCCGCGGAATCGGTCCTCAGCCAGGTCGCCAATTTCCAAAATCTCCAGGTCGGGCGGCACGGAGCCGAGGTTGAGCTCTGTCACGAAGATGTCATCGACAATGATGGGCGGTTTCGGCGATTTGTTTAATGCCGTCGTCAGGAGATCTCGCGCCCGCTTGTAGAAATCGGCATCAGCCGTGAGCGGCGACCAGTTGAAATTGAAGGCCATGTTGAATTGGCACGCCGGTTAGTGACGCATCGCAGTCAGAGGCGGTTAACCGGAGAGTCCGGCGTTGTCGCGACGGGGCGGGACTTTGTTGGCACAACAATAACGATCGGGGTGATACGTGTTTAAAGTTCGTTCGCAAATTCGATGCGGCGGATGCGATGAAGTTGATGGTTCAAGGACCATGAAATGGACAAACTTTGAACGCAGGATCGTGGTTTTCGTGGGAGATGCGGAGGGATGACGCTATCTGACGAGGTGTGCTGGAGACGGAACGGTTGATCCTTCTCTGGAAGGAAATTTTTAGCCCTTGCGCCGCGGCTGTGGGGCCTGTGGGGGAACCGGTCTTGAACAGGTCCTCCAGCTCCTCGCATCAGTCAGACAGTGGGCCGACCAGGGAAATGTCACGCATGACAGTTCTAACTTCCATGGACTGCGCCCGTTCCCTGTCCAGTAGATTGCTCTGCGAAGTAATATACAAGGACCGTATAAAATGCATGAAACTCATTTTCCAACTACACCTATATCACGCGGCGAGCCCAACAGACCCATCCTACAGTACTTTCGCGGGTGACTGAGAATGCTCACGCGCAACTGACGACACTGGCCATTCACACCACGAGGGCAGTCTTAGGTTGAAACACAGGTGTGGAATTGTACAAGTACACTAAAGCCGGGGTCGGCAAACTTGCGCTTGGGTTCCCAAGGCCCACTCTGGAAACCTCCCGGGATCTGACGAGGAGCTGGGCTCGCTGTGGAAGCCCCGGAACGGATCCACCAAACATGATTCGGCAAACCCGGGCTCGGCCCTGCCCTATCGTCCGCCGAAATCAGCCCACGCCATCGGAACCACGGGATAGCTATTCGTATGTACAGTACACCAGAAATCCTGATGAGGCTTTGGTCGGGTCATCTACTAAACACTGAGATGATCTGGAGTGGGAATGCACGAAACAGAGCTCGGCCGACCTGTTACTAATGAGTGTTACGGTAAACAACTACCGGTGATAACTGTAGGTAACCTCCGAGCCTCCTTCCGTAGAAGCTTGCCTGTTGGCTCGTGCTCAGTCTGGGCTTTGGTCGACCAACTCATTAGTGTTGCGTATGTACACTTAATAAATACATACCATAGTTGGCGGCGGAGGCGGCTAAGGAAACGCAGCACGAACCAACGGGCACCGGTAACTTTGGGAACCATCATAGGATGCCTTCAATGCGGAAGTTGAGAAGTGAGAAAAAAATGAAGACAAACAGACCAAGCGCTAAAGAACCCGCTATGACCCATTTATCAACCGATGACCTAACGTTAGAACTTAGAACGCATCGGGCAACCAACACACATGAGCCATGAGCTGCTCGACGTTTGAACGGGCTATGCAGTCCGCCGCTGAATGACAATCATACATGGACACAAGTGTTCACGCATGAGGTACCTACGTCGATGTACTTGTACATGACCGTCAATACCAACCTCTCGTCGTCCATAGTCCAGTCCAAGATTACTGCTGGTAAGTAGTTAGCAGCAACATGTCATCCGCAATTCCCTTGGCAGGCATCCCGGTTTTTCCGTCATCAGCGGCCGACAATTATGAGTTCAAATTCGTGGGCGAGGGTAACGCGAATGTCATCTTCGAGATTATAGAAAAATCCGATGGCGCATATGTCAATGGCATCTTCCGTGGTAAGTCACGTATCGCTTGTTTCCCAGCTCCGAGGTTCAACGTTAACATGTCATACAGGCAGTCTTCTTCGTGTGCCTAAAGCGGGCAAGGAATCCCACAGTTATCTCGAACTTCAGGAGTACTGGGAGACGGTGATAAAGCCCCTGTTTGGGCGCGAGGATCTGGTTCAACAGCGCCTTGTACGCATCCGAGATTCCGCTGTCATCTCGCGGCTCAACACGACTCTCAAAGGGGAAGAAGATATTCGCAGGCCCGACTTTAGGGGCAGCCAGATAGCTCAGGCAGAGTACGCCATGCTGGTCGAGGATATGCGTCAGCGTAGGTTACATTCTCTAGTTTCTCCCTTCCATTTCCCTGCTTCTAACGTCTCAGGCGTCGTCTACGAGCCAGACCACCCTGAAGATCTAGTCCTCGAATTCAAACCCAAATGGCTCGCTCAGTCTCCCAACGCGCCCAAGGGGGCGACCCGGTGCCGGACCTGCGCCCACAAAGCTTACAAGCGTCACACCAAACTTGCCGCCAACAACGGCACCAGCACCAAGACCGGGCACAACACCACCATCCTCTGCCCCCTGGGCCTCCTCGCTAGCGGCAGCTCCCCGTCCTCTCTGGCCAACGTCATCAGCCACTTCTCTTCTCCTAACCCACCCCTCACCCCACGGGCCCCGACTCCCCAACAGCAAGCCCGGTTTGCCCACTGGCTCCAGACGAACACTCTCCTGCCGCGTGTCCGCGCGGCCCAACTCGCCAACGACCGCGCAGGGCCCCTGGCTGCCGATGCGCACGACCCACGGTTCCAGCTGGCCATGACACTGCGCGACTGTACCTGCTTCGTCCGGATTCGCGCCGATCCCTCGGCGCCGGTCCAGGCCAAGCTGGGCGACCTGGACAAGAAGAACTGGGCCGCCAAGCTCGGGTACTGGCAGGCGACGGAGCGGCAGCTGATCGACGGCGGGTACTACGACGGGCGTGAAGAGCCGAGGCAGACCACAGACTGCCAACTTGGCAAGATCAAGGCTGAGATTGAATGATGGAGGGTGTAAGATGCGACAAGCAACTTATCCATGTATAATTTAGACTATAAATTGGAACAAAAGGCAACGACGGCGCACGGTTGGTTCCTTATTACATGATAGATGCTTCATCTTACTACCTTGTTTAATGACTACTTCGAACCCAGTCTCCGAGATCTAATCAAGACAGTGTATACCCCATGCTTTGCGAAGAAATGCAGTCCAAAACCCCAACGCCATATTCGTTAAAACAAGGCACCAATATCCCCAGAGATTGAGACACACCATTCAAACACCAGCAGCGGTAAAACTCAACAAACTACCCGCCGCTAACCCCGCAACCAGACACAGACTCATAAACCCGCCCGCGGCCTCCCTCTCGTCGTCAGCAACCCACTCCCCGGCCGCCATCATGGCGCTCGACCCAAGCCAACCATTCGTCAATCCGAACAGGAACTGCACCACCAGCAAGTAAAACAGATCGCTCTTCACAACGGCCCCCTCACCGTGGAGGTTACACAGCAGGTACAACGGCAGAAACAGCACCCTGGCCAGGCCAAAGGCAAACAGGGCCTTGGGGCGGTGTCGGAGAGAAAAGGGCAGGATGGTGGCGACGCGGCCGGCAAGATCGCCAAGGTTCCAGAAGAAGAAGCCCAGCGGGATGAAGGCGCCCGGCGCAAACAGCCGGCTAATGCCGCCGCCGCCGCCGCCGCTGCCACCGTTATCATCATTGACCGAGAGGATCTTGGCCGTGAAGACGGGGAAGAACATGGCGAGCGCGAAGCACACAAACACCGACGCCGACACCCACCGCAGCTTGCGCAGCAGCGTCGTCATGCTGACGAAACGCCTCGTTGTTGTTGCTGTTGTCGTCCTACTCCGCGCCGCCCCCGCCCCCGCCCCCGCACCTTCGAGGCCATTTGGCTGTGAGAGGCCGTCGTCTTCGGCATCGCCATCGGCATCCGCCCGACGCAGCGGCAGGCGGCTGTGCCGCCTTAACAGGGGTATGAAGGCCACCACGGTGAGCGTCGAGATGAGAACGGCGGTGAGGAAGTAGACAAAGGCGGCGGCGCCGGATTCGGCTGGGGTTTGTACTGCTGCTGCCGCCACTCCGCCTGGTCGGTCGGGTCCCGAGGACGACGGGGAGGATGGGGCAAAGGCTAAGAACGAGACCATTTGTGCTAGCGGCGGCAAAATGCCTGCAACCCCCTGTCCGGCCATGATGGCCTGGGTGTACTCGCTCCGGCCGAAACTGGCTGCGAATGCAAAGGCGCCGTTTTGTATCATGCCCGTTGTGCACGCCGTCAGGCCGACCATGAGGAGAAGGAAAGCAAGGTATGCCGGTGCCGAGACGTCGAGGAAGTAAGAGGTTGAGACGGTCAGGAGGGCGAAGATGACGGCATTGATGAGCAGGCCTGCGGTGATGCGGAACGGGTAGCTCGCGGAGGACTGGATATTGGTGAGCACCAGCATCGACAGCAGATTGCAGATTGTAAAGACGGCAAGCACCGCCGACTGCGAGTTAGCGAGGATGTAAGGGTCGTCCTGGAATCGGGTTTGGAAGTAGGGCGCCGCAGCGAGGAACATGTTCCTAGCAGGCATATCATGTTAGACTGGAACGTCCTCGGGGCGTTGAGAGAGGGGAGATGGGCAGTAACATACCATGCCCACAGCATCGCAACGCCGATTAGGGCAAAGATCGAGTATTCCATCCATGAGAACGGCGGCCCTTCGTCGAAAATAGAGCCCTCAAGTGCCCCGGAGTCCCCGTCCGTAAGTGGCTCATACTCGTTCGAGCTGACCTTGGCCGGCGCCAAAAGCGACTTGATGCGGTCCATGGTTGCGCGCAACTCGTCTAGCATTACAACGCATAGCAGTGCCTATTCAGTCGGCATTCGGACAAGCAGAAAATCCACTATCGGGAGTGGTAATTGGGCCTGTCGTCTCCTCCCGTGGTGTCGTCAGGGCCAGTCCGAAGAATAGCGGCAGAAACCCGCCAAAGTTGTCCTTTAACGCCTTCAAAGGTGATACTATAACGAAGGCGCCCTTCTCATTGTCCTCCTCTGATAGTACGAACGGACAAATTGCGGACTAGAGTCGGTGAACCATCATGTGGGAGTGTTGTCTCAACGGTCACTCACCCGCCAAGTTGCGGCAGGCTGAGGGCTGATGGCTGCCAGTGGACAGATGATCCAGACTCAGGCGATCCGATAAGGAACCCCAGGGTCTACGATAAGATGAGTGCATGTCTTGGCATCGCAGCGCTTGCATCACAGAACGTCAGATGCAGGCAGCCTCGAGGCAGCCTAACGTTACCTTACAGCTTCAGGCGTAGGTCAGCTGTTTGGTTCAGGTTGCCCAACATTATGCTGGAAAGCGGCTAGGATGAAGATGCTGTGTCAAACAATGTAAAATCGTCCTATATAGATTAAACTAGGAGCATCTTACTATCACATACGACCATACCTACTGGAAAGCTCGGGATCCCGTCCGCTCTCCCCTAGATAAACCAGTAAGGGCCAGATTAGTAGTTGGGTCGGTGACGACCAGCGAATCCCTGGTGTTGTATGTTCTTTTTTTCCTATTTGTTAAACAACATCAATTCCCATTTTATTTCCACTTCTCTATTTTTGTACGGAGGCATTTGTTTTAGTCTCTTCTTTTCTTGCCCCCTTCAAGACTCGCCATCTGTTCCTGTCCACCCTAATTAGGTGCGACACATCTCACAGAAGGATCTCAAGAACCGACTTCAGGTTGCGCGATAATCTGCGCTTCAAAATTCTCAAAGGATAATCAGACCGGTATGGATCCTCTTGTCTAGGTTGAGAACTAGGCAAGCCACAAAACACGCCAATATCATGGGCGTGAGCCGTGTTTTCTTTCTAGGTTATTACTATATATCCGGGGGGCTTCCCCAGCTATACACAAACCGCTGCCCGCCTTCGTCGTGCGTAGTATTATCATTACTTCATGAATCCCTCCTCCCAAATCCCCACCCTTCAGAGAATCCCAGGACAGCTCTACTCGTCCTGAGGAAACCGATCGGTGAACTGTCACATCATGTTAGCCTACTCCTAGCCACGGACTGCAATACACTGCAAGTAAGGATAGAACACTCACCCTAAACCTGGCCAACCCCTCCTCGAAGCCCTTGACAAACGCCTCGACGCTGACGTTTCCAGCCTTCTGAACAAACACGCCCGCAGCGTTTTTACCGGTAGGCACACCGGCGCTCTTAAGAGCTTTCTCTCCGGAGCCCAGGCCGCCGATCGGCTTGCCCCATCGGTAGGCATCAAGGAGCACCTGGGCCGGCCTGCCGGCGGGGAAGAGCGGGGAAGCGGCACCGGCGCCCTCAAACAAACCCTCGGCGCCGTCAGCCACCACGACGCCATCAAACCCAGTGGCATCCGCTGCCGAGTATGTCTGGTCGACCCCGGCGGCGAGTGTCTCGCCGACGACCGTGACCACCAGGCCGTCCTGCGTCAGTCTCTGCTTGAGTTCGCTGGCTTGCTGCAGGGAGCTGTTAGCCCCGGTGCTGGCCAGCACGCCAACGCGCAGAGTCTTGATGGTGGGCAGGGTGAAGTTGAAGATGGAGATGCCGGCCGTGACATTGTTGTGGTAATAGGTCGGGTCGGGCGCGGGTGCTTCGAGCCCCAGGGCGGTGGCGACGCGCTTGGCCACGTCATTGCTGACCCGGTTCAGTTGGGCGATGACGTTTTGTTTGACCGCGGTGGACTTGAGATGGCTGGTTTCGAAGCGGATGGCGTTGATGAGGAACTGCTGCTCGACGGGTGTGAGGGAGTTGTAGAACAGCCGGGGTTGCGACCAGTGATCGTCAAAAGTGGGCGACTGCGCGCGGACCAGGCGACCATTGGCGATGCGGCCTGGGGTGGTGAAAAAGCCGCGTCCTGAGGTCTGGTTGGCTTGGAGGGGAAAGCCTTTGTTGAGGGTGTTCGGTGTGTCTTGAGACGTTAGTCTTAAGGTGTGCTTGGAGAAAAGAGGGCAACCATGACAATTGCTTACAGGGATGGACGTTGGTGTGGATAAAGCCCTGGCCAGCTCCGTCGCGGTTGTTGTTATGGATAGGGATGCGCGGCATATTGATTGGGAGCTGCTCAAAGTTGGGCCCCCCGTGACGGTTTAGCTGGGTGTCCAAGTACGAGAACAGCCGCCCCTGGAGCAGGGGATCCTCAGTGAAATCGATGCCGCGGACAATGTGGCCCGGCTGGAACATTGCCTGCTCGGTCTCAGCGAAGTAGTTGACAGGGTTGCGATCGAGCTTCAGCACGCCGAGCTTCGTGAGAGGAGCGAACTCCTCGGGGATGATCTTGGTGGGATCGAGCAAGTCGAAACCGAATGCTTCTGCCTTGTCCTCGTCGACGACTTGAACCGCAAGCTCCCATGACGGACCATTGCCCGACTCAATCGCGTCCCAAAGGTCCTGACGGTGGAAATCGGCGTTCTTGCCTGCGAGCACCTGAGCTTCCTCCCAAACTAAGCTGGCCTTGCCTTGGAGAGATTTGAAATGCCACTTGATGAGTTTGGACGAGCCATCGTCCTTTACGAACCGGAATGTGTGAACGCCAAAGCCGTCCTGGGGCCTGTCAGCAAGTCGCGCCGCTTGATAAGCTCGACAGGGACCTCACCATATGACGGAAGCTGCGGGGAATGCCGAAGCCAGCCATAGCCCAAAACAAAGTGTGCATGGTGCTTGGCTGTGAGCTGAAAAAGTCCCACGCCGAGTCATGGGCCGTCGCTGCTTGGGGAATCTCGTTGTCCGGGCTAGGTTTGACGGCATGAATAAGATCCGGGAACTGGATAGCGTCCTGAATGAAGAACACGGGGATGTTGTTGCCGACGATATCTGCTTGGGTTAGTTCCTCTCGGAAGCGGTCTTGAATGGCGGCCAATATGCATACCAAAGTTGCCCTCATCGGTGTAGCTGGTTTGGACGTCAGCTTGAGGCATATCGCTTCAAAACAATGGGAACTCACAAGCGAGTAGCAAAGCCATGGACATCCCTGGCGGTGTCCGCGCTGCCTCTGGAGCCAGCGACGGTAGAGAATCGGACGAAGACGGGTGTCTGCTTCCCAGCAGCATTGAGGAAGGACGCCGCTGTCAGGTTGCTCCAGTCGGCATAGCTGGTGAAAGTGCCATGAGCTCCTGCGCCCCGGGCATGAACAGCCCGTTCCGGAACCTTTGAAAGGGTACTATGTTAGTGTCTTGGGTTCTAAGGCATGTCCTTCCACAGTCGCGAATGTGTACCCACCCGCTCATGGTCGAAATGTTGGATTTTCTGGCGGAAGATGAAGTCCTCAAGCAGTGTTGAGCCCCTGATGCCAGCCTTCAAACTGGCCTGTTCCTCGATAGGGCCACCGACATCGGATGTCATGTAGCCGGCGCTGTCGTCGACCTTGTACTTGTCAAGGAAGTCGGACGACTGCTGACTGTCATCGCGCTTCTCCTTGAGGGCGGCTGGGTCGGCGAAGGGGCATGCGGCATTGACCAAGCCCAGCACGCTGCCGCATGCAAGCAGGGCTGCGATGCTTCGGTGCATCGTCGGAGGGAAGGCAGGTGAAGACGTTGCGGAGGGTGACACAGTAGGCGACCTCCAATATAGGACGGCGTGTTGGGCTTCGTGTGACTATGATTCCCGAGTCACCTCAAACTTTGTCGCTCAACGTCTTCTTCTTATAGACGGCAGGCATGGAAGCATCGGGAATGTGACGATGGGTATGTTGCCTCCACCACTCATAGGCCTTCCGTTGTGGGATTGGCAACCGAGGCAAACCAGTTGCAGGGCGGCCACGCCCGGGGTCTTAGCAATCCACCAACCCAATGCCACCGCTTGATGGACCACTTTCTAGGTTCTAGGTTGCGGTTGGGTGGTTCCTTCCTTCTGGATGGAATCTGGGTGACCGTTGGGGCCGTCGCTGCCAGGATCAGCAGGGTACTACTAGTAAGGTAAGGTAAGGTGTGTAATACAATATGTGCTGTTGGTACCTTAGTCCAAGCCGAGATCTGAGGCGCGTACCATCAATCTCCCGCAATCACAGGCTAGACCGTGTTCAAAGCCCATGTTGGCATAGGAAACGTTGAGAGTGGGAACTGGGAACATGCATTGCCTGGATGACACAGACGGATCGCTATTCGCCAGGAGCCGCCGACGCGATGCGAGAGAGATCACATCATGTCATACACCAGAATAGACGGTAGGTAAGATGCGCTGACTCCACATCGAAAAGACGCGTTCCATGTCCCGCGGCATCTAGTGTATTCGACCAAGGCCAAGATCGACGGTGAATCCTATCTCGGCTACCAGGATGGCCTGTCCTCGCCTCTGTATGTTAATATGTGGCAGCCCGCACGCGAGCCATGGGGACTGCCGACTCGTCCGGCGGGGGATCCAAGTCACCGGAGAGCCGTAACCTTCCTGAATGGCACGGCAGGTCAACGAGATATGCATCTGCGAGTGTTGGGTTGTCAATCACGGTTGTGTTGTTCTCCAGAGCTGCCTAGGAGCTGCCCTGGCTCGCCTCGGCGCCTGACCAGGCTTGAAAGGCTCTCGACAAGCCTCACGTTATTCTAGAGTATGCAGTATGGGCCAAATATCCCTTGTCTACAAGGGAGCAAAAACATGGAATCAAGGGACAATATCATCAGTGCCAAGTAGGCCCAATCGGACCGTGTCAGGGAAGATTTGTAGACATACGTAACGGACTCCATCCAGGATCCTATCCACAAGCCCGATGAAGAGCAAGGCATACAGTAAGGTGTTTGCGTTAAACATCGACTCTGAGCGGAGTCTCACGCAGATTTTCGTTGGGCTTGGCTCCGTGATGCTCTTGTCCGATATTCGGGGCACAGTCCAACAGGCGAATATAGTATTCGGGAAGAAGCGTCGGTACTGTGAAGTATAAGTGGAATTGGGTTATATCCGGAAAGTGGGATTCCAAAAGCGTTCTGCGGGGATTGAGTATAGATGCAACGTCTTTCTTGAGCCCCTTAATAAACTCCATATCGTCGGTCTGCCTCCCGTGTATTGCTACCACGGTGGTACTGCAGCTAGCCGAGCGAGCGTCTGCATTGCATCGACATCAGCTAGGCTCAGAATATACGTCTATGCGGGACATGAATGGGTGGATTGCGTGCATCGGTACTTTCTATCATAAGACAGGAAGGTGCGGTATAGAATCCGTATATTCTCGTGGACCACATCTGGGGATCCAGTTGAGTGGAAAATTTTCTCTTGCTAGCTCAGAGCGTGAAGATCTGTTGACTCATCGTGCTCTCGGTGTATTGTCGCGATATGCTACGGATATCGGAAGTATGTAGAAATGGATTCCCAGGTCCAAAGTGCCGCCCAGGATGGGGTCGAAGTCTCCCTCTACACGTGGAAATCGAAGACTCCCATCTGGTGGGATTCTAAAGCAGGGCATGACTGGGTAACTTGAGTAATGGATCTCCACATTCTGGGCTTGGATGGGTATGATGGGGCATTGAACGAGTTCAGTTCGCCGACTTTAGCAGTGCCGGAGTAACGCTGAGGGAATTGGGATGGAATCAACATTTCCCTGAACAGCTCATTCGCTCTTTCCTGCTCACCCGAGGAGCTTGCCAATTGAGTCTTCCTCAAGAATTGTTGTTTCCAAATCATCCCAACGAATTCCCTGCGGTAAGCTGCTAGCTTACGAATACATCGTCTGCCGTTGGAACCATGTTTGCGCTTGGCATGCAAAGCAAAGTCGCATATCACGCAGTTGTGAGGTCGGACAAAAGGCCGTTTGTGGCGGCGGCACCCGGGAGTTTTGGACGGGACTCGATTGTCCCCACAGCCGATCGCCAACGGCTAGACCGCTTTCGGCCAAGACGCCGGCTTGGCATCTTCATGTACCGGACAGGATCGGTGAAGCCACGCAACTTCACCGGTGCCTTGTTGATCCGGTCAGTTCAAACCTTCAAATGGGTTTGGAGGATGTCATTCTCCTAGTATTTCATTGAGGTACTGTATCGTTCTATGTAGGAATGTTGCAGCTTGTACACTAATCCAAGCTTCCTTCTCCGGATGTCTATCCCCAACTTCCATGTCCAACAAACTCTTCTGAATGAAATACGGTACCTAGACAGTTTCTAACATACGGATACCTCCCAGCAAATTCTCAACACCGATTGACTCGTGCCTTGAGCCAAAAAAAATATATATGGTATACAGTCTCTCGCATCGTCTTCGATGTTCCTGAGTATTTGCAAGGAAAAATTCATATCTGAACCCTTCGACAACATCGGACTCAATGTTCTCTTGAGGAGATGGAATCGATGAGTTTCCATAACCTTATCCTCAACCCGGAATTTCGTAAATTGGTGTTGTATTGTACAGTGGCTCCTGGGATCCAGCTACCACCACGCAGATCCGTTTTAGCACTGCAGTACCGTATGCATCCATGCAGTTCGCATGCGGTGCCACCCGACAATGCCGGCATCCCAAGTCGCCGGGGACCTTTCCGTCCAATGGGACTCTAGTGTTTGTGATGGAGAGAGTTGCACTGCGTTCGCGCCGGCGGCAACAACTGAGCCTCTGGAATGTCCTTGCATACCTAGGTATCTCTTGTCCAAACCCCTTATCCAGCGTCTGTCGTTCTATAATTAAAATTCTTTCTATGTAGGTGTACACATTTGTGGGTATCTTAAGCTGCAGCTCACCTGAAGTCGCAAATCCCCAAACCCAGAAGGAACACACCATACCCGCCCCCCCCCCTCACTTGACCTCCCGTGGGATCATGCTCACAGCTGCTCGAACGTGGCCGCATGTCCCTTACTCACTCGCTCACCCGGCGATCACCTCAGATTCTCGCACCCACCCTGGCTTCATCTCATCTTGCCTTCCTCCCCTCTTCCCCCTCTGCCTCTGGCCAGAACACCCTCATACCGCCCTAGTAGCATCCCATCATTTCCCCAGCTCCCCATGACCATGACCATGACCATGATCATGACCATGACCCTGCTCACCCTGCTGCTCACCACCACCAGTGCCACCACCGCCACAGCCAGTGTCCCTTTCCTCGCCGCCTAACCGACCCGACTATTCCCCTCCAACCAACTCCCATCCATGTCCCCCACAAGCTGATCTTCACCCACCCACCCAGCCTCAACCGCAAACCTGATAACCTCACCAGCACACGGAAATGACAGCACCCGCGGCGGGGCTTTGGGGTCGAGGTGTGTCCTGAGCTCGGCCGTTTCCCTCAAAAAGTCCTCCAGCTCGCGCGGGTCCTCGCCGCGGAAATGGCTCGTCAGGTACTCGTACAGGTACGCAAGCCACAGGACGTTGGTGTAAGGGTGGTAATCACGCCACGAGATGGCCTTGCCCTTGCCCTTGCCATTCAAGGCGTTCCGCGAGCGCTTAGGGTACGCCCCCGTCGCTGCGTGCTGCGCCGGGTCTAGCATTAGTGGAACTCGGTCTCCGTGGATCAGGAACGAGCGCATCGCCCGGTACGTGTTGGTTTGCAGTGGTGCGTGGGTTGACGTGAACAGGCTGAGGTCCTTTTCTAGGTCGTAGGCTACTACCGATGGGTTGGTGCTGCTGCTGTGTAGAGAGCTTGGGGACTGAGGTCGGTCTGGATACGGGTTGGTGGCGCGGGAAAGGCCGTAATCTAGAATGGTGATGTCTAGGCCGGAGAAACCAAATCGGAGTGGGCTCGAGGAAGACGAAAAGGGTTTCGTGGTTGCTGGCCGGACGCGGCGGATGCAGAGATTGCCCTCGTGTAGGTCGCGGTGCTATTGGGAGTGCGGTGAGCAGGGCTGAACCGCTGAAACCTTCCAAGGGTAAGGGGTGCTGATGGTTGGTGCGTGAGAGAGACTCACCTCAAACTGTATCAGATCTTCTGCCCGCGCCAGGGCAAGCGCCGTGTGGAGGAAGATGTCCCACACCTGGCTGATGGAGGTGAGCTCGAAATCTTCGAGGGCGGTGCCGGCGTCGCCCAGCTCGACGACTAGAAAGCGCGTCTCATCCAGGTACCGGCTCGGTGACGGGTAAAATTGCAGTCTGTCTGGGTCCTTGCGCTTCATCCGGCGATGGAATGCCTGGTGCGTCTGGAGCAGAGCCTTGGTCGCCTTGCCCTCCACAATATACCGCTCCTTGTAGACGACAAAACCGGGGATGTCGGCGAGCCACTCGGAGATGCGGAGTTCCCCTAGCATGTCGTCTTCCGAGTGCGGCTCCTCGTCTACCAAGCCCGATCGCTCCTGCGCTTTCGTCTGCGGCTTGATGGGCGACTTGAGCCGGACGACCTTGATAATGGAAGTACCGAGTTGGTTGGTGATGCGGTAAACCTCAGCGTACGAAGCCTCGGCTATCTTTTCAATGCGGTTGCCGGAGGGACAGAGGTCATCCCAGGTGAGAATCCTGAGGCCATCGAAAGATAAGTCTTCGTCTTGAAAGCTCTCTTCTTCATCGTGGTGTTCCTGTCTCTGTTGATTGTCTTCTGGCTGTCGGCAACTAACGGGTTCACTGCCAGAGGCTGCGCGTTCCCGGACTGGAGATGATGATAATAATTCGCTAGTCTGAGTGCCGGGACAATCGGCTGTCCATGCTGTTGCGTCGAGTGTGACGGATGCAAACTGTTGTGTTATGTCGGTCACCTCACCAAGCGGCTCGTTCTTTGCTTCCGGTTCTGATTCTGACGCCGCGTCCTTCTTAGTTGGACTCCTCGGCAGCTCTGCAAAAAGTATCTCGGCTCTCGTTTTGCGGGCCGACTTCCCATATCTGCGAAGTGTGGCTGTCCGCGACATGTCGCTTTCGAATTGCTGGAATTTGATTATATACAAATACAATACATTGTGTTTTATGTGGGCAGTTTGGTTTCCATTCCCTTCATATTCGTGATTCTGCGCAGTCTCACCTCCCTAATTTGTTGGTCTCGATTTCGGTTGTCAGGGGCAACCGAGAAAGGGGACGCTTTGCCAAGAATTCCAGGTTTCAGCATCAATCCGAAGGCTTGGAGGCAGACCTCAACCTTTTGATTCTGGACAACTTAACTTCTCCAATCATCGTTGCATCTTATGGAGCTGACCATAGTCCGGCCCTGCAGCACCAAATTTATGAAGGTTTACGTTCAGGTTCCTCCATGTTCTCGTTCTCGGCAGACTGCCCCGCGTCTGTTCCCCTGTTCAGGTAGGGAGCAGTGTGGGAACGATAACTTGGGGTTCAGCGCGATTGGAACCCGGGGTTGTGGATCCGCCTCCCTGCAGGGAGCACGGACGTCTTTTCTGGCGTGGGTAAAATTGGCGTTGGGCAACCGGCGATCTCACGCACGTAACGACCTGGGAACAGCGCTCAGCGGGACGCGACACCATGGCCAACGTGCTCAACAACCTCTTTGGAGGCAAGAAGTCCTCGGCGAGCCCGGATCCTGCACAGGCCGGCGACTCGGGTAAGCAATTGATATTCTTTGCTAAACTATCCAACCATCTGCTTCTGCGTTTCGCTGGCAACTGCCCCAAACCTCAGACTTAGCACTGTGGGATGGCCATATATTGAACCCCTAAACCCATTGGCAGTACAAAACCTTGGGCTTCTTGCACGACAAGCTGCTGACAACGCTGGAAACTACAGACTTTGCAGATTTCTCGCAAAGTGCCGACCCGTCGCCGGTCCCCTTCTCGCCGGCATCGAATACGCTTGGCGGTGTCCAGCCCCAGCAGACGCTCCGTCCCTACACGAAATGGTACAGGATACACGAGCGCCATACCTGGTCTGACTTCAAGGCCGAAGGCATTATCCTGTCTGTTATTGCCGTCGCCTTGATCTTCCACCTTATCGGCGCTCGCTTGAACCGCACCAAGGCCAAAAAGTGGATCCGTGACCATGCCAACACCCTGACGTCGGAATTCGCTCTTGTTGGCTTTGCGGGCGTGCCCCCAGCGGTTGCCGACAAGAAGGGTGATGAGCTTGTGCAGGCCCTGGCCGATTCAAATGCTCGTCAGGGCGAGAGCCTCCTCAAGGAGAAGAGCCTGTTCGAGTTCGCTACCTACGCGACCGGCCGCGCCAATGTCGCCTTCCTCGACGTGAAGCTCACGCTTATGAAGCGCTTCAATCCGCTGACCACCCTGGCTGAGACCGCCCTGGGCTTTTTCATCGACAGCTTCCCCCAGCCGCAGGACGTCGTAGAGGCTACACTATACCCCTTCGATGGCAAGGAGGCATCCATCGTCCCCGGCCTTCCCGGTGCCGCCGAGCTGCGTTACAAGGACGGCAAGAGCTCCTTTGACGGCTTCGTGTGGGCCATTGTCCACAAGGAGTGCATGAAGCAGGTCCGCGACGACCGCTACGATGTCTCGCTTACCTACACCAAGGATAACGCCAAGCTCCCCAACTGGCTGACTGTTATGAGCGAGAGCGCTGAAATTACCGACGCCCTGCTCACTCCCGAACTAGCCAAGGCCGTTGAGGCCGCCGGCGACCTTCTTGAGTACCTTATCGTCTCAGACCAGCCGATCGACAAGCCCAAGACGTGAGCGCTCTCCTTGCTGGCTTTCTACCCCCGTCCCAGATAGATACTAACAAGGCAATCGGAAACAAAGAATCGACGAGACCACCCCGCGCAAGCGCATTTTCCTCAAGTACCGCATCCCATCCAACAACGACTACACATCGCTGCTGCCCATCTTCAAGTACTTTGTGCGCATGACGGACCAGCTGGCCCAGCTGGCCCACTTCCGGCCGGCCGTAATCAAGAAGGTCAAGCAGATCCGCGAGGAGGTGGTCAAGCAGATCCAAAAGGCCGACGAGACGAGCAAGGCCGAGGAGCGCGCCCTGGAGCGCGAGCGGGCCAAGAAGCTCAAGCGCGACCAGGAGTTGAACGCATTGGATGCCAAGGGCCAGAGAAAGTACCTTGAGAAGGAGAAGGAGAAGGAGATGAGGCGGAACGTCAAGAAGCAGACTGCCAGGGCATAGTGGGCTGGTGACTGGTAAAGGTAGAAGGGATAGATGCGGGTGGAGGGTGTGACTCTGGGGTGGGGCGGGGTTGGTTTGGGAGGTTTGGTTGCTTCGGCTGACGGTATTCTGTACGCTTCTTTCTGTACGCCATATTTTAGGGGGATAAGTAAAAGTCTATAATGAGCTGTCTCTGGATGAGAGCCGGTGTGTCTTGTGTGAGACTGCTTCCCCGACTGCGGCTGCCCATTGGGGTCTCATCTGCCATAGATGCTCGGCAACAATAGATGAGATAGCGGTCATAGGGCTGAAGTAAGGTACTCATAATGGAGAAAAGGACAAATTATGAATACCTAAGTACCCAGCAACGTTGTGAGAATGACGGTACCGAAAGTGGTAATTAGGACATATATTACTACAAGACCATGAGCTACTCTCAGACGAGAGGTAACCTCTTGGTGACTTCGCTCCATTCAACGACCGATTCACTGTCCGTCCTTGGCCAGAATCTCCTCGACGCGCTTCACCTTCTGTTCTGCCGTCTGGGCCTTGTCGGTCCTTTTGGGCGGGAAAGGGTCAGATCGAGTCAGCCTTGTCTTGATATTCCTTTGTTTGTTTGTTTGCTCGTTTTACATGGTCTTACATGTCGATAAGGGGTAGAATGGCAGGGAACGACAGATCGGAACAGGGTGGATATGAATAAGGGGTGCAACAAATACTCACCGAGTGCCAGCCCGCATCGACGTCTGCACTCGCACGGCGCCCGTCTTGTGAACCACTGTGTGGGCTTGTCCGATGACTTTCATCACGTCGTCCCAACTGCCTTCTGTTGGTTGGGCGAGCGATGTGTTAGTAACGGAAAAGGAGGGGTAAGGGGAGGGAAAGATGTGATAACATGCCAACCGTTGTCCCGGCCGAGTGCATGGTGTAGCTGAGTCCGCTGGCCTTGAGCAGCTTTTGCACCTCGGCCACTTCCTTCGCGACCGAGGGGTGACCGGTGCCAACCTGGTTTTTGTTTTGGTCAGTTTGGGGGCGCCACTGACATGAACGGATGTGCGAAGCTAGGTGTTGAAGTGTGGAGAGGTCGAGGGAACTGTCAAAGTGGGAGAGGGGGGATTGGCCAAATGATGGATATCCAACAGGCTTGATTAAGAATCTAAGAGAGACAAATGTATGCAAAATGGCAATACTTACAGGAACGAGACAAAAGTCAACATAGCACCTAGCAGGTGTCTCAACCTTGGAATAATCGGAGACCATTGTGTCACTTTGTCTGGAGGACGATAAGCGTCTTACGGTTGAGGAATACGATGATGCTGCGTGAGAAGCGCTGCGCAGAGCAGAGCAGGTGAAGGAACGGAGCTGGCAAAGAAGCTGTTTTCGAGAGGCCGGCCTAAGTAATGGCATTGAAAACATCTCCTGGCAAAGCTTGTTGAGAGGAGGGAGGGGTAATGTCGTAGTTGTTTCGTGGGTTTGGTGTAAGTGGGAGTCCCACTCCGTCGCTAAGATGGATTGTTTGCGACACAATTACCAGGTGTTCGGGGAATGCTACTGCGTATCCGTACATAGATTGCCGATCGCCGGTTTCTGTCTGGCCGTTTTCAGATGGAGAATCCACCGGTAACGTTTCATTTAAATGTTTCCCGCGTATGAAATGCGCTAGCCCCCGGGCCGTCCCGTCTTTTCTCATATCTTCGTCAGACCCATCACAACCAAAACCCCATTTCCCCAACTTCCAGACATGTGAAGACGGGAATGAACCAATACTCCAAACTCTCCTTATAAAGCCATTCATCAATGCCCAAATTGCGCCGCATTCCTAACTCATGCCTAACCATCCCGAAAACCCACCGAGATAACTGCACCATATGTGTATGCTCACCGTGAGATACACTCGGCTCCAAAGACAGCAGCGCTGCCAACGCCTAGCCCTCCCAAGGCCGTCAAAGCCCAGGCTAGTGAAGCAGGTTCCCAGTCAAACTCATCATCCGGAACGACGTCGCCAAGGCCAACTTCTGCCTTGACTTTCGGAGAAGGCTCGTAAGTCTCGTCATCAGTTGTCCCCTTCTGATCTTCCAATCCTGGTCCCGGCTCCGGCTCGATCTTGATCTTCCGCGGACGGCCTCGGCGTCTCGGTGTGTGGTGTAGAGGGTCGGCCGCCTCCTTGGTGTGAATGCCGGGCACAATCGTCCTGGCAGGTAGGTCCCGGTTTCGCAGGGACATGGAGGGTGCAGATGTTGGCTTCTGCGGCTCTTCGTGAACGGAGTGGTCGAACTTCTGAGTAGTCGTCATCGGCGCGTCACCGAACGGAGAGGCTGGCGTAGTGTGGATCGGCGATACCGATTGGATCATCTTGCTCACATCCACTGCCCGGACGGCTGCCCAGAGACCAAGGCTCAGAGCGCATAAGAGCACGTCCTTGCCGACGGCGGCAACAGCAGGGTGGTCGGCCATGGAGCCTAGGACTTTCTCGATAGCTGTCGCGCTCCGCTCCCATTTGGACCGTTTCTCCGTATCGAAGGGTATCTTGATGCTGTGCCGATGCTTGTAAGACCCTGGAAGATTGTAGTATAGGCTAGTTACGGTGCTCCTGGCGTGGAGTAGAGCGCTTGCCATGGTCATGGCGTTGTAGAGCTTGGTAATGCTACGGTAAGCATCGTGCGGGTCCGGGTGGACGGTACCCCAGGATTCTGGTATAATCATTGGCAGCACCAGGGGTGCGAGGGTCAGGATGTTGTTTACTGTTGCTGCTGTTGCGAACCGTGGCGTTCCTGCCGCATATGGGAGCCAGACGGTGGCGGCATATTTGAGAAACAAAGGGGCAAGAAGCGCAGGAAGCCTGGGGCACCAGTTCCCGGACTTTTGCGGAAACAGCTGATCCAGGATGTTCGGGGAACTGTCTACGTCAACACGCGAACTCTGGTGCGAGTCAGGGCAACATACCTCGACTCCCGAGTTAGGTTCGCGGATGGGTTCAAGAGCAAGGCGATATAGAAGAGGTTTTGAGCAAACGACAAATTGACGTAAATAGATAGTAGAGCATAAGCCCAGAGGTGCGGGATTCTGCGTCGGCGCCCTTCGATTGCTAGCAGCGTGGTAAAAGCGGCTTTTGCAAGCTCCGATTGCTGACCCCACCACTGCCTCCGAGGCTTCTCGGCGACAATCTCGAGGGCGTCCATATAGACGGGCGTATCTCTCAGCCAACGTCTCAGCTGCAGGCTAGCTGCAGTGGCATTGTTTGTACTTGACTCGTGGCTCCCAAATAGTCTAGCGTGGCGCGTTAGGAACGACCTGTCGAATAGTAGAAAGATTGAGTAGTAGCCGATACATACGAGGTTGGAACTTCGATTCCCCTCTCGGAAGCCCACACCTTGTAGGAGAGCGAGGCATGGTTCCAAGCTGATGTAATAGCGAACACCAGCCCTAGCGCGGCGAGGCTTCCAAAGGCAGTTGTGAGCTTTGAGCGCTGCGCGATGCGGTGTCGTGTATCTTGAGCAGGGCCCAAGGCTTGGTGTGACTGGTAAAGGCTCCTTCCAACGGTGTATGAGAGATAAGCGGCTGCCGAAACGTGCGATATTGCCTGAATCAGAGGCCAATAACTGGGGAGTCGCGTGGTCAGTCCTCACGTACTGGGCCGAGACAGTCAATGACACAGTTCTACACATACCCTGGCTCTTCGTCAATGGCAACAGGTGCCATTTTCACCAAAGTGGAGAGTTTGCAAAATCACTCAGAGTCCTGTCACGGAGCCATGAAAAAAAGTTATGAGCGTAAATATATATGGGATGGTTGAGACTGAGAGAAGGAACGCATACGCTTGTGGAATAACACATCGCATGCTATGACGACACAATTCGGCCTCTTTATCTTATCAAGAGCCCGGCTGGCCCCACCAGGGCTGAAAATTACCGCCAACATGATCTCACGGTACGTTACACAGCATCTTTATTGTTCACTGTACGGACTACGGAGTACATAAGAAGATGGAATGTTACATTACAAGATATCGGCACGGCTCGCTCTGCAGCGCTAAATATAGCGCTATGCCCGCTGTTGGTAAACGGTTGGCTTCCCCAGAGTCCAGACTGTCAACATTCGCAACCCGAATCCATCTTTCCGCCCGGCAGACGCCCGCCACCGGCTATTGCTCAACCCAGACCTACACCAGCGAGAGACAAAATGTACCACCTCGCCAAGGGCCTCTACCGGCTGGCAACAAGCAAGGAGGGTAAGCTAGCACCTGCTTCTTTTTCAGACTCTTTTCATGGAACGAGCTTCTAACCGCGACTATTAAAACCAAACGAAACAGAATACTCCGTCCTCCTCCTCGGCCTCGACAACGCCGGCAAAACCACGTTCCACGAGCAGGTCAAGTCCATCTTCTCGCCGGACAAGCCCGAGCCGCGGCTCAAGACGGTGCCCACGGTCGGGCAAAACGTCTCGACCATCGTCCTACCAGACATGTACCTGAAGCTGTGGGATGTGGGGGGCCAACTGTCGCTGCGCAAGCTCTGGCAGAGCTACTACGCGTCGTGCCACGCCATCGTCTTCATCATTGACAGCACCGACATTGGCGACGGCAGCCTCGACCACGAAGACAGCTCCGGCCGCCTGGAGGAGTGCCGGCTCGTGCTGGAGGACGTGCTGCAGAACTCGGAAACCGAAGGCGTGCCGCTCCTGATCCTGGCCAACAAGCAGGACCGCGAGGACTGCGTTGAGGTGGTGCGCATCAAAGAGGGGCTGGTGAAGAGGGTGTTCGAAGGCGAAAAGTCCGGGGGAATCCGGGATTCGAGGGTGCTGCCTGTTTCCGCGCTGACGGGGACCGGAGTGCAGGAGGCGATCGACTGGGTCCGGTCAAGGGTCAAGTGGAATAAGGAGAGTCGCCCCCCGGTCATGAGGTGATTGCAAGCAATGTGAAGGGTGACGCCCCGCGTTGGACACGACGGCGGGTTTCTATCATCGAACGCGACCGGTGCAGGGTCTATGGGAGACGAATGGTCGGGGACGGACGACCTCAGAGCTCTCATTTCATCGCTTGGCGCGGCTAGGCTCAAGGGGAGGCTGGTATCACTCACAGCTTCTTACCTATTCAGTGATTCCGTGGGGACTACGGAGTCTAGCTCGTTTAGCCACAGCCTTGATTCCACGATCCCAAAGAGACGGATGCCAGGACTGCCTGCTAGTTCGCCCTGCAGAAAGATTAGCGGTTGAGGATCACTACCAGCCGGAAACCAAGGACAATTCGGGGTTCGGCCCCTGGGCGCAACTTCTCGGCCAACTCATTCGCAGTTGCAGACATCTTGCGCCGCCATCGCCATGAAATGAAGGACTACAGGGTTCGTGGTATACTATGAATGGATACCTCGGGAGGATGGTGTATCTTCATGATGCTTGTTTTTGCGGCAGCCTGATGCTACCGGCGTGCGCATACTAAGCGCAGAGAGGATAGACCAGATGCCTGTCCTAGACGGTCTGTCTGCGGCCATCAAATCTCCAAATCCTGGCGCTACAGAGGACTTGCTGTCTCCCAGTGTGACCGGTGCAATTCCCACTCCCAGCTCGCCCATTTTAGTTCTTATGCCCCTATTTAGTCCAGCAGACTGGGAGAACTGTGACCTGCTTCCCAGTCCCGGCAAAACCACTGAAGATATGAATGTCCTTGTGGCGCATTCTAGCGGCAGAATCTTGGTCGCCTGGTCGTCGGCGGCTTGAGCACACCGGTTGGACTCATTGGTCCCAATCGGTTACCCCAAGAACCGCCACTCTTAGTTCAATGTCAGGGCTTTCGCAATGGCTCGACGGGCCGTGAGCGTATCCTAACGCCCGCCCTCTCCATATCTATCCTCAGGTGTCTTGTACCCTCATCTATCGTTTTCCGCCTTCAACTCGGCCATCAAGCCCCCTTTATCCCTCCGCTTGAGATCCTCGGCCAGCTTCCTATCCACCAAGGCCGAGAACTCCTTGGCCTTGGTCAGCGCCACACTGGTGCACTGCAGCAATGCGACGGCCTCGACGGGGGTGCCGCCGAGCTTGGCAATCTGGCAGATTTCGCCGTGGCGGTTCAGGCTGATGGTGCAGCTGGCGACGCGCACCTGCTCCTCAAGCCAGGTGGCGTCGAGCACGGCAATCTCGCCTTCCTCGCCAAAGAAGCTCCAGGTGACGCAGAAGGGCGAGTGCAGCCAGCTGAGGGGCACGGGCTCGCGCTCGGCGGGCGTGTAGACGGTCAGCACGCCGCCCTCGATGCTCGTGTCGGGCTTGCGGAAGTGCCGCAGGCTGGCCACCACGGCCAGGCACGCCGCGTCGATCAGGTTGCCCCCGTGCGACAGCACGTGCACGTCGACGCGCACCGACCAGCACTTTTGCCCGGCCACCAGGCACAGCGATTCCGTGTCGAGCGCGCCCGACCGGCGGATTGTCTTCTCGAGCAGCCGCGAGAGCAGGACTTCGGTCTCGGTCGGTCGATTAACCTCGAAGGATGGAGCCGTCATGGGGCTGAGCTCGGTCGCGATGGTGAAGATGCCGTCGAGCGGCCGGTCGGCGTAGGGAACTGTTACTTCGGCTGAGGCTTTGGCGAGAACTCTAAGAAGGAGGGTGAGTGGTTAGTTCAAAGCCTTGGGTTCCATCGAGATGGGTTCTTTGTGTAAGCTTGTACCTCGTCTTGCCCAGTGTCACGTCGGCGACGCCATACTGGTCTCCGAAGGTAAGTTCCAGCGGGCGGTACTGATCAAACTCGCGGCCGTCGAGCCGGAGGTTTTCTTGGAGTGCTTGTAGCACAAATTGCTTCTCACTTAGTGACGGCTCAGCTTCCCGTGGCATTTTGGATTAGAATGCGGTCTTGCTTTGCAAGGGGGACCGTTGTGGAAATAAACCGTCGTTTCTCAAGCTCTTAGCTCTGGAGGGGCGACATTCTGCCGATTGTGACCGCCTGATTTTGTGAATTCTGCCGGTGCACCATTGGCGGTCAAGGCACCTACAGTACCGTACAGGACCGTCCCCAACCTATCCACCTTGCCTCGCGCACCTTGCGAACCCATCAACAGACAACCTATACTCGTATATTCTCACATTGGAACTGGACAACGCTCTTTCTCTAAATAGACGGGAAACTTAATTGGCAGCTCAAGATGACTACAGCACATAGACCTACGTTTGACCCGGTAAGCCCCGAGGAATCACAATGCTTTTCCTCAGCGACCCGCTGACAGTCGCCCCCCACAGGCCCGCGGCAAAGAAGCCCTTCGAGGACCAGCCTATCACCAGCGCCTTCTTCCTGCATACACGCAGTTGAAATTTCGGTATGCGCCGCACCTTCTGACATGCCTATACCTTGCGACCACTAACGATGGTAGACAACCCGGGCAAGGCGGCGAGGCCGACCGAACAACCCGCGACCTGCGCGCCGAGCTCGAGGCCGCCGAGGCAGCACACTACGCCAAGCTCAAGGGCGCTCCCGTCCCCGGCGCGTCAGCATCCGAGAGCAACGGCCAAGGGTCATCGGCGACAGCAAAGCGGCCGCTAGCGCTAACCTCCCGGTCCGGAGGCGATGACGTCGACGGAACATCTCCACCAGAAGGAGACGAAGACGACGAAAGCCCCGAAGCCAAACGACGGCGGATATTAGAGGAATCGCGCGACATAGACGCCGACGACAGCGACGAGGCCGGGGAGGACGATGACGACGACGACGAAAGCAGCGACGAAGACGACAGCGACGACGAGGAGGCGGAGCTGCAGCGGGAGCTGGAGCGCGTCAGGCGCGAGCGGGCCGAGAAGAGGGAGCGCGAGGAAAGGGAGCGGCAGGCGGCCGAGCAGGAGGCGCGCGAGCGCGACATTGCCCTGGGCAACCCGCTCCTCAACAAGCCCGATTTCACCATCAAGCGACGGTGGGACGATGATGTGGTGTTCAAGAACCAGGCGAGGGGGACGGAGGAGAAGGGTAAGAGGAAGGAGTTCATCAATGTGAGTGGTTTTCCTGGGTTTGACCTTCCCGGGTTGAGGTGCTAACGATGTGGAAGGATCTTCTCCGTTCCGATTTCCACAAGAGGTTTATGAACAAGTATGTGCGATGAGCATGCTGGCGAGCGGAGCGATACCCCTGGGAGGTTTGGTGGGAAACTGGCATGTGTTTATAATATGTCTCTGGGATTCACAAGCGGTACAGTCTACGAATAGACGAGACGGCATTCGCCCGGAACTACACATTACATATTATGCGCATCTTCCTGCGTGCTCTATACCCATTGAGACTTGTTCTTACTATCAGGGTCCCTTCCCGTCATCTCACTTTCTTCCGCTCCTCTGCCCGCCCAGCCGCGGCGAAGGCTCCCTGAATGGCTTTCGCACTTTGAAGCAGCAACACTATCCCTCCAACCGTCAGCCCCTGTTTCCCAGTCTTCCTTACACCCTGCATCTTAGCACCAAACTCGAGCAAGAAGATGGACTCACCGCACGGAACCACCGCCCAAGGCGCGTTCATGCCCGCAAAGTATCCCCAGTAGTACAGCGGCTCGGGCCGGCTGTACGACAGGCCACGCATGTGCTCTGCGAAGCCGCAGGTCCCGTAGTAGAGCGCTACGCCGTACAGGTGGCCCACGCAGACGACTGTCTGGAGGAGGTGTCGCGTGCCGTGATACCTGCCGCTGGTGCTGCCGGGTTTGGAAGACAAGGCGATCAGGAGCGCCGTGAGCAAGGACAGCGGACCCCAGGTCAACTTTTGGTTTTGGTTAGTCTTTTGGGGCTGGTACCTTACTTTCTACTTCGAAGGCAAACCAGTTGGGGGTGGGAGGTCCAAGTACGTACGGTTGTGAGCGTCTCGATGCACAACATAAACGGGTCCGAGGTCATGTAGCGCGAGTCCGAGAGGGAGTATTCCTTCCACAGCTGGGCAAAGAGGGATTGCGAGGATGTGATGGAGGCATGGTTGAGGACGAAGTAGCCTGTTTTTTTTGAATTTCAAGTAGTCAGGATAGGGGTAAGTAGTAGGCGGGGGGCTGGGGCTAGGGAGGTTGTTGTTTGTAGGTGTAGTGGACCTTCGAAGAAGCAATGGAGGAACCCGCCTGCAGCAATTAGGTTACTACTTTATCTAGGGTGGTCGAAAAGGGGGACTTACATAGCACAAACCAGCCGATGGCCAGTTGTTCGGCCTTTTTCAGGGCAGGGTTACACCATCTTGCGAGGGAGATGCACCCGAGCAGGAATACGGCAATAATGCCGCCAAACGCCCCTGTGATGACGAGGAGAGGGGCGCTATTGGGAACATATCCCGGGACTGCAGAGTCCTGCGGGAAGTAAGGGTGACTTTGCTTATCGGGCATTGTTTTCACCTAGCATGATGCTGGGAACTTGAAGAAGCTACCTGATTTGAGCAAAAGTCAGGACAGGAGGGATGGGAGATCAAAACCGGTGTTGACTGCCAATGACAACCAACGCTGCGACGAGGGCGGCTTGACAGCAAAAGTTAAGCACCGTGTCTAGTCTGCCAACATCGGCGTTTTTGCAGAGGATCACGGATTTTTGTTGATGCTGTATGTACAGAATTGGCGAACTGCTTGTTGACCTTGGCCGGTTTCTACATAGAAGTTGGGGAACTTCTTGTCCGTGCCATCCCTGGGCTACAACGGGTACTGTACAGTCCCCGAGAAGGTAAGATCAAACGACTCCCTAGAGTCCCGCCTCCAACGACGTCTACGCATTGTTGACAGATATGTAGTCTGTTCAAAACTTCAAAAGCCCTTAAGCACTCGGTAGGGCACCCAACAGAGCCAGAGCCTTTCCTCGGTGACATCCAGCATAAGCCCACTGCGACAATACATTCACACCACATACTAGTCGTCAAACCCTCCCCATTCATCATCATCCCCTCCTTCCTCCTCCTCTTCCTGCTCCTCAACCCTATGCCTCTTCAACCTAGGCATGCCGTCTGCATTCCTGATAATCCTCCCCTGCGCGTCTTTCTCAAACGGCCCATCGCCGTCATCACCATCCCCATCCTCCGCGAACCTCAACTCCATAGGAAAGCCATCATTCTCATCCTCCTGCAAAGCAAACGCCCGTTCCCCAGTGCTCTTCAAAAACGGAATACCATCCACGTCCCTGGCAATCCTCCCCCGTTCATCCCGTAGAAATGGCCCATCCGGATCCCCCTCCCAGTCCTTCTCAACCCCATCCCTAACAAAGCAGGCCACGAAAAACCCCATAACCCCCATGCCATCCCCAGCCTCAGCTCTAACGCACCCTTCCAGCGCGGTACTATCCATTTCCATCCCATCCTCACCACCGGACGTGGAGGAGGAAGAAGAAGAAGAAAGAGGCTGCCCACGAACAGGCCACTCAGCCATGCCACGGACCTGTTCGTCGCGGCGCAGCACACGCCAGCCTCGGCGGCGGGCGACGTCGGAGCGCAGCGCCGCGGCCACGACCTGCTCGTTCTCTTCCGCGTGGATGGAACAGGTCGAGTAACTGACTTTCTTTGCCACGGGGAAGGACAGCGCGTGGACCACCATGGCCAGCTGGAAGCTTGCTAGCGCTGAGAGGCGGGTTTGCAGGTCCTTTTCCGACTCTGGTTCTGTTGTATCTGTTCCGGGTCCCGGTTTCGGTTCGGGTCCGGTTTGTTTGACGTCTGCGCGCCGTTTCCGTTTTCGGGATTTGCTGTTGTTGTTGTTGTTGTTGCTTGCGTCGCTGCTGGTGGATGGCGGGTTGGTGAGGGCAGGGAGGTGGAACTGGGGCGCGTCGTCCCGCCCGACGATGCCGCTTCCCGAGCAGCTCGGATCCAGCAACAGGGCGCCGACGTTGCGAAACTCAGGGGAGTTGGGGTCGGTCTCGAGAAAGTCGTGGCCCGGATAAATGACCGTGACGCTGTCTGAGCCTGCGGTCCTGACCATCTTCTCGAGGGTCTTGGCCCGCTGCTTGTCCTTCTCAAAGGCAAAGATCTTCTGGCCTCGTGCGAACCCTCTCTCGTGCAGAATCGCGGCCAGATGGGTCGTCTTGTTCCCCGGGGCGCTGCAGGCGTCGATGATGTCGCCGTCTTCGGGCCGCGGGTCGAGCAGGTAGGCCGGAAAACAGGAGGCTTTATCCTGGAGGATGATGGCACCGGATTTGTAGGCGCTTGTCTTGGTGAAATCCGTCCCTGGCGAAGCAGCGACGAGATTGGGGACGTGAGCGTCGAGGCAGATCAGCTTTCTGCCTGCTGAAGCAGGGGACATGACATCGGCGATAGTCGGCACAATCTCAAACCCGTTAAAGGTCGTGTCCAGCTGCTCGTCGAGAGAGCTCTTGATAGCGTTTACCCTGACCCATCGCGGATGAGCAGGCCCCAGTTGGGCGTCGACCATCGCCTTGAGCGCGTCAAGAGTAGGGCATTTTCTCCTTAGTCTGGCCCGGGTGAACTCGGATTGTAGCCGTACTCTGTGCTTCTCGACCGAGGCACGCAGACCGTGAGACGCGGGGAGTGCGATGCCGCCTTTATTGAGCAACAAGTCGTGTGTAAGCAAAATGGAGAGGACTGGTGAAAGCTATCTGGTGTTGGTAATTTTCTTCAAAAGGTATATTGAAGGGTCAAGTATGTGAAGATACCTTGCGCTCGCGCTGCAGCAGCTGGGTATTTTCAACTACCTCCTTCAGTACGGCACTCCACTTGCTCGCTTCAAACGCAAGAGCGTAGACCTGGGCGGGCGGCGATTTGAGGTCTTTGTTACCAAAAATCCTCGACTTCAGACTGCCACCGTGGGTCGACGGACCCGTCAAGATGGTGGCTGTTTCATGGTAGAGGGACATGGCAACGACCTGGAAGTGATCTTCTTTTACAATGTTCTCAGTCGAGTCCAGGACTTCACCTAGCCAAACGTGGTGCCAAACTAGGTTTGCATGGCAATCCCTCTTAGGTAGTTTGTTTCTTGAAGTGAGGAGTTGGCGGAGTTGAGCATGATCTCCTGAGCTTGAAGAGGAAAGAGTGACTTATGCTCTGGATCAGTGAAATCCACATTATGACTTAGATGGTAAAAATCATCGTTCGGGGTTAGGGTTTCTACACTGAACCACCACTCATCATAAAGTTCATTCACTCGAGCATCGAATCTACCCTCCACGAGCAGCAAATGTCATTTGTATGGTATGCTTCAAGTATCCAAGACAACGCTTGTTAAAAACCTCCCAAATCACTCCGCCGCTCAAAACCGGCGGCGAAGGTCCAGGGGCGCGAGTGTCCGCGTACCCCAAAAGAATAAAAATAATCATATACATGTGTAGAAGTGAAGATGATGGACATGTGCTCGGAACCCAAGTTCACTCCGAGCCGGCGACGGCCCGTGAGACCAACCAGATTCTGTCCAAAAATGTTGTAAGTTCGTGTCGTCATGAATCCCAGAAACTGTTTTCCCACCGCCAATCAAATGGATCTAGCGCCTGTCTTCTACCCGTGCCCTGCCGTGTGGAATGGATATGATGGATGCACGGCGAAAGGGGTCCCCATATATGAAATGCTCCTGGCCTAATCCCTCTAACCTGTTTGTCCCCAAGGTATCCTGAAACTATAGCGAGCAAATACAGAAGCTCCGTCTCAGCCAAGATGGAGCGAGAATGTGTATACAAAATCGAAAAGGATGGAAGAAAGAGCCCACTAGATGGCCGCCAAAGCCGCAGAGCATCTATCTCCTGTGGCGGGAGGGTATCCGCGCATGGCGCATGTAGTGATTGTGCTGGTGCGCGCTTCGCTTGGAAACGGAGGGGGCAGCGCCGCCCTTGGTGTAGACCGAGAGGGCCCAGTCGCCGCCGCACGTCTCGCTGGCCTGGCCCTTGCACGCCATGCTGCACTTGGACTCGTCCAGCTTATCGGCCGTCGTCAAGCTGTTGCCGCAGAAGCACTCGCCGCCGTACTCGGTGGCGGCGACGCTGAAGCCCTTGGAGGCGCAGTAGTTGACGCACGCAGTATTGCTGACCGACCCAATGTTGGGCAGGACCTTGCCGTTGAGTACCCGGCTGCTCGAATCCTTGTAGCACCCGACGTACTTGAAGTCGGCAATCTGGGCACCGGCTTTGCTCACCTGCGTAGGGGCAGGGCCGCTAGCGCCCTCGTACACGGTCGCTGTCGCCCACGCAGTAACTGTCTGCCAGACCGTCTTTGTCTTGCCGTGAACGACGGTGGGTTGTGGTTGAAGAGAGGGCGAGCCAGTGGCGACCCCTTCAGCGTGAGAGGGGCTTGGCTTCTCACTTGAAGCGGGTGCCGCAACGTTCGAGCTTGGTGCAGGGGCCGCACTCGAAGACGGCAACTCCGTCTCGACGGCAGCAGCGGACTTGGAGGTTGATGTCGACTTTGTCTCGACGACAGGGGGCTGACTGGCAACCGGCGAAGAGGGCACTGGTGCGACAACATCGCCGCCGCCAAGACCCCAACCGGCAAGGGGGTTGTTCCCGGGCAGTTTCTCCAACTTGCCATCGACCTGCTCGTCGACAGGGCACTCAATGTTGCAAGAGCTGCTGCCATCGTTGACGCCGTACTTCAGACCAGGGCAGCTTTCGAGGCCGGCGTGGCCAGCGTCGCAGGTGTCGATGATGTGCTGCAGCTCCTCCTCGTCCCAGCCCGAGATGAAGTCGGCGTGGGCCGAGAAGCCAGTGGTGTCGCCATTGGCAAAGACAAACGGACTCGCCTTTCCAATCAGCTTCTCGAACCGAGGCTTCAGGGCGTGCGTGTCCCAGTACGTCTCGAAAAACAAGTGGGGCACGTGGATCCAGCCAGGGGGGCAGTTTTGCTTGCCGCCGGCAGCGGGCGTGGGGAACCGCATGTTGTTCTTATAGTTAGTCAAGCCGGCTGAAGGGTCGTAGCACGAGGGGAAGTGCACGTCGACACGCATGGGTGAAGCGTATCCATCGCAGTCCTGGAAAGGGAATCCGATGCCCGAGCCCTGGTTGTTCGGATCTTGAATACCGGCCATGGAGCCATCAGAGTTCGCGGGCCAGCTGGGCGGGTTGAAACCCGAGCGAGGGCACGTAATCTGGACCGGCTGCACGGGACCCTTGGAGGGGTCCAGCTGCGCAGCGCCAGATTTCGAGGGGGCTGACCTCAGCTGGGCGTTCCCGCTCACAATTTGCAAGCCAAGAGGGAAGGCCTTGATGTCGTCGTCTGTGGGCTCAAAGCTAGGCGAAACTCAGCTCGCGTCCTTCCATCCACAACAGAACGGCCCAGAGACTTACAAGTAGTAGACGTTCATGTAGAAGAATTTGACCTGCTCAAGAAGGCCGGTGTCGGGATCCCGGAAGTAGAGAGTTGGGAACCAGTAGGCGCTGAGGTCGGCCTTAGGCTTAGCTGTAGTGCAGCTGGACTGTCTCAAGGACTCGCCCGTGACATTGGGACCAAAGTTGCTTGCACCCATGACGGTGTGGACATGGGCTGAGGGACCGCCAGGAGAAACAATGGGATCGAGGCGGCATGTGGTCAAAGGACCATTTCCATAGTGATGGAGTACGGCAAAGGTGCGCTTGTCCTTGGCGGCAGCAACCGAGGCCACCAAGGCCGCTAGAACAACTGAGAGACGCATCGCTCAGGTTTCGCTAACAAGGTTTCGGGGGAAGAGTTGTATGGGTATCGTTTTGGGGTATCGTTTTGATCGACAGATAAGTCACTGGAGCCGTTCTCCTCAAATGACGCTGGCAATGATAATTTGAGTCGCTGGGACTGAGAGAATGGGATGCCTCGAGGTGCCAACACCAGTTGTCACCGGATAACGTTTTCTAGCAACGGGCTGTTGGCAGCTTTTTGTTCACCTGTCTTCGGGATATCCAACGGAGGTGTGAAGTCGAGACCGGCAGCTCGTGCGAGAGAAAAAGAACTGGATCGTGCTAAGCAGGCTCAGCAGCTCAATTTTTGAATGGGAAAAAGGAATGTGAAGCAAAGCGCTGATGCGCGAGCAGAAAAGGAGAGACTGGCAAAAGGTGCCGAGAAGGGAACGTCTGAAAGCCCAGCGACAAGTTGAGAGAGAAGGAGGGTGGGGGAGGGGGGAAGAGAGAGAGAGGACCGGAACCGCGGCCGGATGAGATGGAAGCCCGGTTTATAGCAGTTGTGGCACCCAGGCCTCAGCTGAATGGTGATGAAATCCGCTCATCTGCATGGGCTCGTTGGCACGTCTTGGCAGGCACAATTTGGCTGGTGTGGATGTGGATGTGCTGGGACGTGGTCAGGGCGGACTCCTCCATCCTTGCAACCCAGGCCTTTGATCTTCACAGGGTCACAGCTTCTAACCTATCATGGTAGCATGCTACGTAGAGGAGGGGGGCCCAGAACATGGGTCTTCTTTTGCCCCTTTCACGCAGTTACACATCGCCAACATGTTTGGCAATTGACGGTTGGTAAGACGACGTTGAGTGAATCTCAACCTCTCGCTAGGAGACGTCAAGAGGTGAGATGAATGAGCGTGGAAGACGCTGCGGTGAAGTGAGCGACAACAGGTTGAACTACCGTATGGAGTGATCACTTAGTACACGTGTAAGTGAGGGGAGACGGGAAACGAAGGCGGAGGGCGGCTGGCAAACGCCCAGGCCCACCAGGGTGCATCGGTATCGGCGGAAAGCAGATCCTTGGCAGGGACAACAAGTCATCGCCCTTTGCCTTTGCCTTGCCTTGTTTGCGTACCTGCGTCTTGCAGCCCGAGCGAGGGTCTCTATTGGTCGGCAAACCTGCAAAGCTTGGTGCCTGCATTGGCGCGGGATAATTAGCAGGATGGAGGAAAAAATTCTTATTAAAGTTGCCACACCAGATTTGGGTGTTCACTACCGGCCTTGACGGAGGAGGCGGAGAGCCGACGCCTTTTAAGTCGGTACCTGGCTGAGTTAGTACCGTAGTGGACAATAACTGCGACAGAGTTGCAAGCTTACAGAGGATATACTCTCAGATGGTGAATATCATGCCATACGGAAAGGGGACTATCTGAACCTTGAGGCTATGCGCAGCCGTTAAAAGGTCTGTAAATACTGGGATTGCAGGTGCTGTTTGCATCTCGTCCCATGTGCTGCTCATAGCATGGGACAGAAGTTCATCAGAACATGCTGCCATCTCCACCGTGAACGGCCCGACCGGGTGGCTCAATCGAACCCTGAATGGCCTGGAACTTTTCTGTGGGGCTAGGTAACAGCGTTTCCACACGCTATCGAGGCTATGTAACAACGAGGATGGAGCTACACTTTATATGCTTACATGATTCCTCTCTGAACTACATCATACTTACGAATGTCCTCATCCAATTTTGAAATTTGACAGGGGCTTGCGATTTGCCTCATCATGTTTGGTGTTTCCCCAGGCTACAGAGGTAAAGCCCATCATCTCCTGGCAGAGAGAATTGGAATGACAGACTCGATTCCAGTCTTCAAAATTCAAACCGTCCGGCGGCTCAGCTTGTCAACGAGTTGGGTTTGGCGCCCGAAGGCTTCTTGGTGAAACACGCTAGCGGGGGGTTATTGAGTGCACTGAACTAACATTTTTGTACGGACTATCAAAGGTAACCTTATAATCAACCTAAACCAAATGCGACCTTTCCTGGACTTTCCCTTTTGGAGCCACTTTTGACAGGTCTTGACAGGGCCTGTGCTTGTTTCGTTTCACTTTTTCACTTTTCCATCTTGGATTGTCTTTCACCCTTGCATCGCGAAGTTATGTTATAACCATGAATCCGTCCTGGGCATAACATCTACACACCGAAAGCCAGGTGGTATTGTATTTGTAACAATACTCTGCCGCCCAACTCTGTTGACAACATGGTGATGTCCCTAACTTGGTGACGTTGCTGACCTCAGCGTGTAGTCAGGACATAGACACTTCTACAGATACGAAGGCACAGACTCAGAAAGAAGGAGGATCTGAAAAGACCCCAGGTAAGGATCAGAAATGAGGCGTGGGCGGCGTTCTCCTCTCTTTTGCAGCTACAACACCAACTTACAGTAGCATGTTCCCTACGAAGCGGGCATTCAACGGGAAGCAGATTGAAGAAGAAACTCGGAAGACTACCTGAATTACCTACCCAACTACAGTCTACCGTGTGTAGCCTGTCGCTTGCTCACAACTTGAACCGGCACACAACGACAGGTATCTGATTGGTTTGTATGCAGCGTGTCTGTTCAGTAAACTCAATAGTCTCAGTGACGTGGCCATCAGCAGCTCTTGAGACCCGGTGTTGAGTTACGGATAATCTGGACCCAATGGCAGTTTCTCGCTCTACCAGCCCCGAGGAAACCCAATGAATCATCCATAGACCTCTCTTGGAATATCGCTCAGGTAATGGGAGAAGCGGAAGTTGCCCAAGGCGCCGATTCTCCTTCTCTTCAGGTTGACTTGTCAGGAATGCCCAACTACGCATATATGTCAAGCGACGTTGTACGAATGCATCTGACCTCGACTCTTCGCGGACCCGATTATGGACCGTCTCCCCTTTGCACTCCTTGATGATTGATCTTGTCCGACAGCGGGTGCAGGGTTCCTTCCTGGCCGCTTTCATGATTGTCCTCCAAAAAGAAGCGCCCCCGTCATGCAGAGCATACAACCTGCAGCATCCCATCTGGTAGTTGCTCTCTCAACCATCCCCGAGGGCTGCCCGCACCAGTATACTGTTAGGTATACTGGACGTTCATGCAGTAATGATCAAATTGGCTGTAAGAGATCCAAACGCCAATTGCAGGTTTGACTGCAGTCGCCGAGGTCCAAGACAAAGGCGAACGGTGCGGATACAAACTACTACTTACTGTATGTGTATAGACGGAGTAGCCCCTATTCCTATTGTGACGTCGCTGGAATTAGGGTTGGAGTCGACGAGGTGTGCATATGTGAAAGGCCGAAGTCGTCGATCCAACTAACGTTCCTACTGTACACCACACTAGTAATTAGATCCAGATCTTGAAATGTTTCATTTTCCACCTCCTTGTTTTTCCTCCTTCCTTTTCCTCTCTCCCTTGTTGGCCCCCTGACGCCACTCGCTCGCTCCCGGAGCAAGCGTCGTGCCACGGATTGTTGTCCCAGTCGTCGGCCGACTTGGTCGCCCCAATGGGTTGGAACATCTGACGGCCACGTGCAGGTAGGCACCCTAAAATTGGGGGCTCCGTGTTTTCGCCGGTTGGCCCCTTGATAGATGGGACAGGATTGCTCGTGAGGGATGATGGCATTATGTTGAACATGCCACGCTCCAGAGGGTTTTCCTCAGCAGAGCTTCGGTGGGTGACTTGGGTCAATCCATACGGAGCTCATCCTCAACAAGGGGGTTTAAATCGCAGCCTTCGTTCATTCCATAGAGCATCGAACATCCCTTCACTAACCACGGGTGGCCGCGCAGCCATCTTCACCCGCTAACGTGGAGAAAAGGACCCTCAGGGTATCGAAGCCCAGAACTCCATTGAATGCTACCGCCGTACCTCACCAAACCCAGCAAGTCCGCAAACCGACGCCTATATGTATGTACCATGCGCGATCAATCTGCCGATGAGACCACTTGAGATAAAAGCAACCCCTATCCCATCACTCCAAAACCAACCACCTCTCCGCCACCGCCCTCGCGCCCTCCACATCCCCGAGCAAATAACACATACTCCGCATATTATACGCCGCTTCCACCGTCAGGTCCTCACTCCCCATGGGCACACCACCCAACAATCTTTCCCTTTCCCTGACCCCTTCGGCCTCCTCTAGCACCTTGCTGTAGTACTCGACCGCCAGGTTGCCCAGCCCGATAAGCGAGTAGGCCCTGGCGACGTTGTAGTGCGCCTCCTGCCTCTGGGCGGGGCTGTGCGGCGACGCGCGCAGGCGGTCGCGGTAGTAGCGGAACAAGAAGGCGAACCCCTGGGTGAGAAGGTACTGCCTGTTGGTGGCCTGGCGCTTGAGCGCGTAGTGGATGTAGGCGAGGGCCGTGCTGAGGTTGATCATGCAGTTGGACGGGTCGAGCGAGGCGGCGCGCGCAAAGTACGACAGCGCGTAAGTGTAGCTCGTCGTGGTGAAGAGGATGTGGCCGTAGATGGTGAGGAGGCAAACGTCGAGGCCTATGACGTCGTCGTCGTCGCCGCCGTCGTCGGTTTCGGTATTCCCCACGCCTGTCTCGGTCTTTCGCATAACAATGTTGTCCATGGTTTTGATCTGGCGGAGAATGAACTTCTGGGCTGGCCCAGACGTGTACCAGGACACCGGCGTCTGGCAGACGCGGCACATGGCCGAGAACATGCGGTACGAGTCCGTCCCCGGCATGTAGTCGCGCATGAAGTAGCGGGCGATGGCCACGCACGTCTCTTCGTCGCCCGCGTAGACGGCACAAGAGGCCCAGGCCACGTGGATCAGGAAGGTGGTTTCGGGCGATGTCCACACGACCGAATCCCGCGCAGCGTGGCAGACAACGTAGGCTTCCCGGTGCTGACCCGAGCGGACGAGAGCAAAAGCGTAGTTGAGGAAAATATCGAGCCACGTATCGAAGGGGATGCCTCGGTGCTCTGAGGGAAACTTGATGGGCAGCTTGATGCCTTGCTCTTGACCATCGGTGGGCGCGAGATCTGGTCTTATGGTTAGCGGTGATCTGGGCAACAAGGGCGGCAAGGAGTTACATACGCTGACGCAATCGCTCTTCCATAGCCGCGAGCTTCAGATTCCGGGCTGGAACAGCAGCCTGCCCCCCTTGGACATTGGATGTGTAGCCTAGATATCTGATGTATTTCTCCCAGGGGTAGAACTGCTTGTACGATCGGAAGTCGTCCACAAGGTCCTTCGCCGCTTTCATCCAGCCCGCCTTGGCCTGCTCATCCCCTTTAAGAGCGCGCTCCTCGAACTCCTTCAACAGCTGGAAGTTCTTGGCTGCTTCGGCCGTCATTTCGAGGTCTTGTTGCCTCCTCTTCTCGGCATTGATGAGCCGACGAGGCACATATTTCGATTTCCTGTTCGGGTCCCTCGGCTTTTGAGGCTGTCCATCCCTAGGTTTCCGCGGGCCATACGGACCGCGACGTCTCCTAACTCCATCACCGCGTCTCGCCTCCAGATTCAAGGCTTCCCGAATCAAAAGAAAGGCTTCCTCTCGACCCTCTTGTTCCTCCACACCTTCGTACATATTCGCCAGCTGCACGCGAGCCTCGATTTGGTCTTCGTCCTCTTGAATTGCTGCAATGAAGCACTCCTCGGCGGCAGCTTTCTCGCCAAACGCAATATGGCACCGGCCTTGGCAAACAAGAAATTCGGCATCCAAAGCAACGTCTCCGGTTGTAGTTGCTATGTGTCTGTAGAGATCGAGATAACGGATAGCGTCGTCAGCCCTGTCGCGATCCAGCAGCGAGACAGCTATTTCCTTGAGACAATCCGGGAAGTCCATAAAGGATTCTGGTCTCGTGGGGTCGAGCATCTGCAGGTGCAAGTTGGCCTCGTACTCAAAGCCGAGTTTGCTCCTGTAAACAAAGAGCTTCGCACGCAGATCAATCGGCAGCCCCTGCCCGTAGCTCTCCTGTGGGAATCGAGCTGGTTCGAACCCGGGCACCACGAGGCGTCTGTCGTCGTATATATCCCACTCCCTATCATCATCAACCCACTGGTCCCAGTGGGACTCTGCTCTCCGACCCAGCAGCCAGCGCGAAATCTCCTTGAGCTCCTGAGCGCCTTCTTGCCATTGCTCGAGGATTGTAAAGAATTCGAGATAGATTCGCAGATCCGACCACTCAAAGCTACCCTCTTCGGCGTCGAACGTCCCCGTCGCCTGGAGGTGGTCAATGAGGCGACGGTATGCCCCCTTGGCCACCTCGGCACTCTTTCTCGGGTCCTTGACGTCGAGCGCGACATCTGCAATATTGCGCACCGTGCGAATGTTCCAAGGCCGGTAGTTCAGGGCCTTCTGGTACTCGATTAACGCCTTGTTCGCATTGCCCTGCAGCATGATCACATCGGCCCTCCCTGTACGCGCGATGATGTTGGATCTGTCCGTCTCAAGCGCCTGCGTGTAGCAGGCGTACGCCCGAGTGAGCACGGCGTCCTTCTCGGACCCGTCCTCGAGATTCTCCATGGACTCGAGCGCATACTCGGCCGTACTAATCCACTGCTGCACATCCCTTGGGGTCAGATGGGCGGCTGTGATGCGGCACCAGATGGCCTGCTCTCGGTTCCCGAGTGTCTCGTGCACTGTCGAGAGGAGGGTCCAGGCGTGGAAGACCTCGCTATTGATGCGGATGATCTCGCTCAGCTGGGCCATGGTCCTGTCATAGTCCTTTTGCTGGAAGGCTTCGTTGGCTAGGGAGAGACGGAACTGGATCTCGGGGGGCGGCTTTGCCGGTTTCCGTGGACCCAGAACCCTCTTTGGCTTCCGGCCGGGTCCTCTGCCCGGTTTGCGAGGTGGCGGCGGCTGGTAGGGTATTCCAGACGCTTCAGCTCGCTGCCGAGCCACAAAGGCCTCTTGTTGGAGGTCGAACCGCTCAACCTCGGCACGCAGCTCGAGGGCGTCGGAGTCGGCAGATATGTCGCTGGCTACATCGTCCTCATGGTCGTCCTCTGCTGCAAGATCCTGTTCCAGCCCGTCTTGCTGGTATAGGCTTGGGTCCACCATCGCCATCTGGAAGTTGTCGGCCGTGTATGCCGTGGCCGCGGCCGGCTGATCCATGTCCATCCCATCCATGCTTCGACGGCAGCGTGCTCAGGGGGTTGCCAACTGGTGCGGTGCTTCACATAAAGTGAGCTCGGACGCTGAATGGAGGGAAAGATACCAGGGATACTGAGGACTTGAGCGGAGAGTACCGCCTATTCACCCTTGGTCTAAAGCTGGGCGCAAATATTCTGAACTTTCCCAAGCTCCGTGAATATCTATGACCTTTGCCTACGGGACTCATGGGCCCCAAATAGGTAATCGTTCATGCAAGAAAATCTCAAATTGGTCAACCAACCATTTCGAGGCGTATAGGTTGCTGAGAGAAGCTGATTGCGATGCTTGGCAAGATTGGCTTGCAAGGATGGAAAGCAAAGTTTGAAGTGTTGAATTCCACTTACGGATGTGGAATTGTTCAGTTCCCACATTATCACAAAGGAAGTCCGTATGGAAAGAAAGGATGACCTTGGATTCGAGTATGAATTAGCCCAATCGGCTGTGTAAACCCTAACCCTGTTTCCGGCACCAGTGCAAACCAGCACCAGCAATCGCAAGCCAAACAACAAGCACAGTATCACTAATAAGGTTGTCATCATTGTAGCGACCGGTTATCACGCTTGGTATAGGGCAAGGCACAGGCCCTGAAGAGTGTCACCTACATGTGGACGCCAGTTCCTTCCTCTCTGCCCTGGGGATACAAGTCAAGGTGCTGACTGTCGGGTAGGTAGTCACTTAGCCCATCGCACCTACTCGGGTGATTAGAAGGCGGTGCCTGTATCGGCTCATGGCATGACCTTCTGTTACTTCGGATTCCAGGGCTGCTCAAGATACATAAAACGAGCAAATGCAGACCAGCCATTGCAATTCGTCCTTACCAGGCCCAGACGAGGGTAACTAACCGTCAATATACTCCCTACGTCTGGCGGTTATGGCATCACGTCAAACAAACTCCCTTGGCCACTGATTGGTCCCGGAACATACAAATACATCAATTGCATCAGTAGCTGCCCTAAGAGCAAAGAACTCGGCTCAAAACGCTCGTTCAAAATTCACTGAGCGGACCTCAGTCACTTTTATCCACGCATATCTCCCAGATCCCCAGAGATCTGCCCGCAAGGGCGGTTGGCCTGCTCAAGAAAATGCCATACCGCTTGCCGTTGCGTCTCTAATATAGATTCCTGTATTGATCAATCTTTCCCGCTTCGTAGGTCGTCTGGAGAGCCACTAGCCCAGCTTCCCCTCGTTGCGGGCTTCTGTTAACCGGTATTAGCGCTTTGTTCTCCCGGCATTCGAAGTTGCGGTACCTACCCTTGACCTGCTCAAAGACCTTGAGCATCTTGCGTCTAGCACCCAGCGCATTGACGCCACGCTCTTCAAGCTGCTTGTCGTCCAGCTCAATGAGATCCGTCCACTTCATATCTTTGAGGTTGTCCGTGTATTTGTGCAGGCGTAGGCTCCGCAGCCAGCTAGGGATATCCTGCAGAAGAGACGGATCCGTCGGATCCTCCGGCGGCTTCGAGGTGCCTCTCCGTCCACGGGGAGACCGGCCACGGACCATTTCCGAATGGTCCGAATGATAACCCTCGTGGTGACCGCCCAGCCCAAATTGGGCCAGGTTTACTGGAGCCAGTCCATTGTTTAAAAGCGAAGGTGCGCCGTCATAGGCGCTCAAGAAACCGTTATTCTGTGGAGATGTGAAGGCCAAAGCGGGGCCATAGTTCTGCACGGCAATGCCCGGCGAATTGGGCCGCGACCTATGGGCCGCGAAGCTCAAATTCTGCGGCTGTTGCAGAGCCATCATCTGCTCTCGACTCAGAGAGACTCCATGTTCGCTAACCATGATCGCCCCAGGGATTCCAGGAGATAAAGCATTCTGTCCCTGCCCCGGCGCATCGTTGGAGCGAGCGCGGCGGTACTTGCGGACATCGTCCAGCGCAAACCGGTTGTTAACCGTCGAGAGAGCCGCAAGCTTCATCGCCGTGGCATTGGCCACCATGTCGGCATTGTTCCCTTGCGTTTGATTAAATGTCGGCACCATCGGCGTATTGACCATCGAGGCCCAGTTACCACTTGCCGCATAAGGCGACAAAAGTGGGAGATCGTTAAGCTGCTGGTCCGCAGCGTTCAGCGTTGTAGACTGGATATTCGTGTTACCCGTAAGCTGGGGGCGAGGGGATCGCAGCGCTCCGCTCGACGGAGGAGGTTGCACAAACTGGCCCATGGGCGGCTGGCCAGAAGACGACTTGGGCCGGTTGGGATCATTGGGGCCCCACGGCGAAGCGGGATTCTGTCCGTTAGAGTCATCCTTGGGGGCAGAAATGGTCGGCGCCACCAACGAATTCCGGTTATCCACCAGGCTGTTTCGAGTCGAGGTGGGCGGATTGCCCGTCTGCTGCGTGAATTTGGCCTTCTCTGTCGCGATTGCCGCGGCAGCATCGGGAAACATTGCATTGATGGTCGACGAATCTAGGCCGGATTGGCGCTTCACGTTCGGGCTCGGGCGGGCAAGCGAGTTCCGAGCCGAATCGACGTTCAGCTTGCTCATAGCATCGCTCAGTCGATTCGACATGGGGTCTGGATAAGACTCGAGTCAGAAAAAGCAAGTAAGATACCCGGGAGAGCCGGACACGCACCCTTGTCGAAGTTTGCGGGCGACAGCACGCCCGACATGGGGTGATTTTTGCCCATCTGCTGCAAGACTTGAATAAAGAAACGGATCTGAACTTGGGTGGTCTGCTGGAGGAGAGCGTAGAGCGCCGCCGTACGCTCGGCCTCGCTAAGGACCCGGAACCACTGCTCAATAGCACTGAGCTCGTCTTTGAAATCCTGGTCAAGGGTAGCAGCAGCCATCTCCTCAAGGGTCGTCTCGTACTGGTCGATATCGGCGATCCACTGCTGAGCAAGTTTGTCCTGGGCATCCATATCTGTGTTGCCCTGGCCCTGGCCCGCCTGCACCTGACCGTAGAAATCAGAGGACGGGCGGATCCGGCTTGCGGTCCCCTGTCCAGTCAAGGCGGCCATGTCTGCCGAGGCGCGGAGACCATGGGTAGCCCCTCCAACTGCACGCGACGAAGGGGGCCGCAGTGAAGAGAGGTTGCTAGCCTCGGGCGTGCTGTTGCGATTGCTCATGATGCTGGACATGTTGAGCATACTCGCCAGTGAAACAAAAGTCTCGGAGCTCGAAAGATTCGAACTGCTCAAGCTAAGTCTATAAAATGCTTTTCGGGAAAGAATCCGAAGTAGGGTCGCTAGATTGCCCGGGACCTGGTGCCAGGGAAAGATGAAACAGGGTTCGCGGCTGTTTGCCCGTTAGCTGATGCTGCGGTAGCGACGCGTGGGAAGTAATGAGTTTGTGATTTTCAGGTTCCAGATTTATGCTACAGAGCAAGTGCGTTCCAAACGTACCAAAGCCGGCTATTCGATTATTCGTATGCGCTTGGAGATATATCAGATGAGGATATCGGCGTCGCTGTCGAGGACTTTCGAAGTCGCTGCGGGACGAAAGTACGAAAAAGCGCGAAGACTTTCGAGAACTCCTGCAGTAACCCGCTGGCCTCAAAGGAGTATCGAAATTTCGCGAGAAAGAATAGTTGCTAGAGGTCACGAGGTTCTGCCGAGGGAGCAAGGAGTCGAATTAGCACTGGCAAGCGAACCACCTTCGCGATGTAGGAAGTCAACGGGCGTAAAGGTGGTGCAAGAGATAAAACCCCAAAGACAACTTTTGAGATTGAAATTTCAATTGTGTGGTATAAGAGAGGACAAAGAAAGCGATTTGCTTTCCCAGTTCTTCCTTACAGCCCGTTGACTTGGGTGGAGGGGAAAGGCCGCAGCTTTTGACATACCCATTAAAGCAAAGCCAGACTATTCAAAATCCAACGCGAAAAGAATGGCGAATGCTGGCTCCGGCCTTGAACCAGCGGAGTCGATGGTTCGCGGTTAAGGAACAAAAGCAGGGAGGGAGAGTCGAAGGACTCGAAGACCTGGACGTAACCAACGGATGGGACGGAAACCGGAAGCGAAAGCGGGCCCAGCTGAGGCTGGAGCCTGGATCAATCATCGATTGCTTAGCGCTCAGGAGTGACCCCACCCACAGACGTTTCGCTTTTCCTTCCACAACCGCCGCCCCGCTACAGTGGCAGTTAGGTCACACAGGCCTCCCGTCAGAGATGCCCAGGCGAGCCAGGCACTAATAATTACGATACGTATCCACAACAAATTCGACGTCGGCTCGTCGAAATGCAGAGCAACTTTCAGCGGGTTTGTCTTGTCAGACGAACTGAGTCCGTGAGTATCCGAGTCTCCTTTAGTCTCGTGTTGAGATATGCGATAGATATCAACCTTTGTTCCCATGCTTTTATTGTGCCCGAAGCCAACTAGTGCCACCATCAATTGATCGGGGGCGACGGAGTGCCTCCATGAGGCAAACGATTCGGTGAATCTCCCGCCAACTGGCGGCGCGACCATACAGTCAGCACTAAAGTAGCCAAACTCTCACTAATGTCTTTAGGTATGGACTTCAGCTTCAGTCGGTAACACAAGATAGACGGCACGTAAGACATCCATGTAGTAACTTCTTGGTAGATGAATATATCGGGACAAGGATGTAGTACCGTACGCGACGGCCAGCACCCATGGTAAGCAATTCAAAGCTGCTTTAGGGCACTACACAGGATACAAATAGGAGAAAACCATGATGGTCTGACACGAACTGAACTCTATACGAGGCGGAGCGGATCCACACAAAGCTGGACTAAGCACTAATGCCCAGACCAACGGAAGTAGCAGAGAAACGTGAACGGCTAGATGCGTATATTGGGCATATCGCCTGGCTTTCATGCACCTTGGTCTTTCGAAGACAAGAGCAAAGGTGTTTGGTAATAGCAAGGCTGCTCCTTCTCGGCACGATATAATCCTTCAGCAAAAGAGCACGGGGAGAGAAGCTCAAAGCTGTACACACTAATGCCGTTATGAGATCCGACAGGTACCCCCAGGACGACAGTCCAGTCGAATCCGAGAAGATCAACAGGGGGAAGTCGCCAGTCGCCATAGGTCTGACATCGCTTGCACTTTTTGGCCGTGTCCTTGGCGCAACGGCTTCGTTCGAGAAAGGGGCAAGAACGCACCCTAAGTGGTTCCGCTCCGCGCCCACATGAGACCAATGAATTCCGCTGGTTGATGAATGACGCCCTAGATAACACCTCGAAAATCCGGCCGAGAAGCGGTGGATATGCCGTCACCGCAGAATCCCTTTCGTAAAGGTCATGTCCCAAGATGCTTCTCCAGCAAAACACCCGCGCAAACAAGAGAAATTTAAGCAGTCTCCCTCTTGCCCTCCCGGAACTCCTTCTGTTTAGCGGGGGTTAGCTCAAATCGATCGTAATTGTAATTCGAGCGGGTCGTCAAATTCGTACCAGAGCCTTCGCGGTGCCGTGGAGCGCATGCCTGTGGTTTCTCCGGAACTTAGGGTCGGTACCCTTCAGCGAGGGGTATCTCGAGGTCTTGGGCTTCTTGATACTGCAGTTGTCTTGTTGTCAGTCCAGCTCGTCTGTCTTAACCATTCCACCATCGATGTGCCGTACCCGTTCCGGTGCGCCTTGCGCGACTGGTTGTGCTGGGACGAGTTCTTCGACTCTGCAAAAAGCGTCAATAATTCGCCGGAAATGGTTTTTGAAAGTATCAGAGTCACTCACTAGCCATTGTGACGGATTTCGACTCCAAATGAAGACGATTGCTGAGTCTGAGAAGCTGAGGTGCACAGATTCGACAAGGGAGGAACGTAGCTCGCGCACAAAAAGTGGGAGGGAAAAATGGACTGCCCTAATTTGGCATGTGGCTAGATCGCGTGTGGCTGAGAGTGGCTGATGACACCCGATAATCGAATACACAGCGATCCAACCATATTTACTTCGTACATACTCCGTACTTCATGCACCGCTTTAACTTCATTGAATTTTCCCAAGTGGTTGTCTTTACGATTACAAAACTGCAAAATCTACCATGTACTTAAGTAAATGCGCTCTTATACAAAAGCGTTACCCAAAACCAAATTCAAAATCCGGCAAGCAACGCAGTAATGTCAGCCCATCTTTCGAGTCTTTCCAGTACCGCACTGTCGATGCTGTGTTCTTATCGAACAGTCAACGGAGCGGTCAGCTTGGCTGCAGCCGCTAGGTCCGCCGTCCTCCTGAGTTGGCGTGACCTCATAACCTGGATATAGCGGACGAAGAGTACGAAGAGGAGCTCGACGCTGCAGACAACTCATCAGTTTCCTTCTCGACCGGTGTCAGGGATTTTCCTGCAACGTACCGCTCCTTGGTCATCATCAGAATGCCCTGGACCAGCAGGCCCTTTAGGATTTGTGGCCCAATCCCTTTGAACAAGCTCAGGGGACCTTCATTCTGAATGATGAATTGCATGACCTCGACGAAGCTCTTGAACGGCTTCCCTTGCCGCGCCGGAGGTGGCTTGGATTGCAGGCCTACCTTCGCAACGATCAAAGGCTGTGTGACGATGGTGGCCAGCGCCTTGGATATAGCGCCGAGCGCTAAGACGTCATGTTAACCTCTGGTTGGGCTCACAGTGGGATGATCAAGCTTACCGAATGCCTCCCAGGGGGAGAGGCTCTTCTTCCCAGGAAACAGAACGTCCTTCAGCCGCTCATAAGCGCCATAGGTGATTGATGGGTTGATAACCAGGACCAAACTCGCCTTAAGTCCTCTCCACAGCCCAGTGATGCCGTCCTCGCCATCGATAACCTCCCGGGCGGTGTCGATGATGCCCTTCCGGTCCTCCTTGCTCTGAGTTTGCTGCCGGGTGGTGATGACGGCCACCGGAATCGTGAAGAGCTGGGCGAGCGCGCCAGCGACCGCACCGAGAGAAAGCTCCGCGACTGTGGATGGCGGGGCGGCGGACTTGGCGTACTTGAGGTGGAGAGTGCGGACAACCGAGTACCAGTAGAAGTAGGCAAAATTTGTCGAGGCAACTCCAATGAGGGAGCCACTCATACCAGCATAGAGGCCTGCGATACCCTCGGCGGACGCAATCTTGCTGATGGCGTCCCATGTGGACTTGTAGTGTGTGTAGTCGGAGGGGGCATCCGTCTTGTCGGAATCGCCCGGCTTTACTTGAACCTGAAGCTTCGTCTTGACGCTAGTGGTGTTTACTTTGTCAACAGCAGGCACGGTAGAATCTGCAATTGGTTCACCTACAGATCCAGAGGGTACACGAGCGCATTGGCGAAGACTGCGCCCGCTGCGCCGGCCGTCGCTTTACCCCAGGGCCCAATTGGGGCTGGCTTTGACTGCACGGCCATCGCTTTCTCCTCTGTTACCCCGGAAAAGACGTGCCGGCGGCCTGCACGGCGTCGAAGGCCGATTCTTATGTCTGTGTCGGTGGCCGCGAGGAATGGTCGACGTCGAGTCCGGAAATCGGGGCTCTGGCCCGGCTAATAAACGTCCCCACCGCTGGCTTTAAATTACGGCAGTTGCGTCGGTGGCGTCGGAGAATCGAAAGTACTAGGTACTGCAGAAACCGCTAAACAGCTTGATAAACACCAAAACCAGGGAGAATTATGGCAATCACAGAAGAGAATAGCGACACCGGGGTCACATCTTCTGTTATTTAAAGAAGGCCGAGGCGGTCCCGGCAGTTCGGTGGCCCGTGGGTGGGTCGCAAAACAGTGCCAGTGTTCCAGCGTGTGGTGCCCGTGAAATCGATAACCGGATAGCCTCGGCTGCGGCCATGATTGCGATCAAGTCCGGGGCAACATGGGGGCTCCAATTGCCCCGCATCGCTCTGAAGAGACCTACATAGGTTGAGGTGTACAAGAATCTGCCTGTCTGACAGGTCGAGTTGGGGATGCGAATCCAGAAAAACCAGGGACAGTATGCACGGAGTGCCTATAAGGCACTTGAATGGCTTACGGGGTACTGCCCGTGTATGCAAGACATCGATCACCGTGGAACATGCTGTTCCTGAATCTAGATCCAGCAGCCCAAGTACCTTTTGTACAGTACAATATTTGCCTGGGTTCTCTCTTCTTCCAGATAACGTTTACTCTCTCATCTTGACTTGCAAATGGATGCATTCAGCGCTCAGCCTACCGTACCTAATATATTCGTGACCGATCCCAGGTCAATAGGCAGTTTTCCGGTCATATTGTGATTTTATCGCTTCAGCTGAGGTCCTTCAGGTAGTGAATGACTGCCAGCGACTCATCATGACAGCCGCCCTCTGACTGTGCATCAGCTAGGCAATCGTTCGCTTATGTTAGTACTATACCGTACCCTCCTTCCACAACACGTCAAACCTTGAGTTACAGTTCGCGTCGGTCATATCTTACATCGTGTATGATGCGCGAATGGTGACACGGCCAAGTGTTGCATTGCCCTGTCTTTCCCTAGTTTTTCTTCTTTCCCTGGGCTGTTCTGTTCCATTTTTGCTTGGGGTGTCCTGGACGGTCGAGACTCGAGAGGGAGACTCGAGAGTCGACACTGCCGGTACACCCCAATGCGGTAGGGATAGACCTTCCGTTGCGCAATTCACAACCATCAATGGAGGCCCAAGCCCTGGTGAGCCCAAACTGCCAGCCGTATTCATATCGATTTCCTCGCTCGCCTAGCAACAGAAGGTGTGACATTGGATCTGACTGCAACGCCAGGAACATGAGCGCCGGCTCGAGAGTGCGCGGGGCGAGGAGGCGCTGAAGCATGCCATATCGGCTGCAGAATTGTATATGCAGGCCGCCGTGAAGGCAAAGACTCACGCAGAACGGTCCCGTCTCAAGCGGAAATGTGCCGAGCTCATCGCGCTTGGGGAGCGTCTCAAAGCAAACGCCAAAGCCGCCGCTGCTGCCTCCCGACCCCCCGTGCCCGAATCGACCCGTACCCTGACCACGTCCGAGAAGACCATCCTCCTCAAGGCTTCACACCTGCACGGCAATGTCTTTCCGCCTTGGGATTCTGCAAAAGCCCCCGGCAGCTCCGAGGATACCGGGGCCACCGGGGACGCTTACATGTGTGTGCAGGTTGCTGTGTCGATAACCGCTTTGGCCCGTTGCTAACATTGTCGCTCTAAAGCGATCCCTCCCCCTTCTCGCTCTCTGCTGAGCAGCAGGCCATCTTTGCAGGCTGGAAGCGGCCCGCCGAACTCGTGCCAGGGGCTCAAGACGGACTTACAGAAGTAGATTTGGAGCAATCAATGGCTGCCGTCACCGAGACGGACTTCGCCCAGGACTTGGCTACCGATTGCTCTGTTGTAGCTAGTCTATGTGCTGCGACCCGCCATCTAGGGCCTACAAAAGACTCTGTGAGCAGCTCTCGTGCCGTATCGCGGGTCTTGGGCCTGTATGCTGACGCATATACCTGCTGCCATAGCTACTTGCCTCACTTATACACCCGTTTGACCACAATGCCATACGACCCGCCGTCTCCAAGAACGGCAAGTATGTATTTCGCATGTATTTCAATGGCACTTGGCGTCGGGTCATCATCGACGACCGTCTGCCTGCTTCCTCGACCAATCGCACCCTCTATGTTGTTGACAGACGCAATCCCAAGCTCATCTGGCCAGCCCTCATCGAGAAGGCCTATCTGAAAATACGCGGCGGCTACGACTTCCCTGGGAGCAACTCGGCGACAGACCTGCATGCCTTGACAGGATGGATTCCCGAGCAGATCTTCCTCCAGAGGTGAGCAGGGCACAAAGGGTGGCTGGTGATGTAGGCTGATTAGTTTCGTTTTCCCCAGCCACGATATCGAACTAGACGAGACATGGAATAGAATCAAGAAGGCCTATGACGATGGCAATGCCATACTCACCCTGGGGACAGGGAATATCTTGCCCGAGGAGGAGCTGGCGCTAGGGCTAGTCAAGGAACATGACTACGCCGTGCTCGATCTGAAAAAGGATGGGAGTAGCCGGCTACTCCTGATCAAGAACCCCTGGGTGGACAGCCTGGTGTGGACCGGTGTCGGGTCTTCGGCGACGCTCAAAACGCACACGCTAGGCTCGACGTCCGCCAACGGGTCGAACCAGTTTTGGATGGCCTTCGAGGACGTCCTCCAACACTTTGACTCTCTTTACGTGAACTGGAATCCTGCGCTGTTCGCCCACCGCCAGGACCACCACTTCAAATGGGAGATGCCCGACAAAACCGAAGAACTCGTCTTTACGCACAATCCACAGTACAGCGTTTTGTCTCCCTCGCGCAGTCCCGTCTGGGTTCTGCTCAGCCGCCACTGGCAGGACGGCGAGCTCGACATACTCCGCGAGCGCAGAGCCAGCAGAGATCGGCCCGACCCCTCGCTCGCCAACGTCTCCAAGCAACTCGGGTTCATGGCCCTCGCGCTTTACGCGACCAGTCCAGCAGGTACTCGTGTCCCGCTACCAGACGAAACCCGCCGGCTGCGCCAAGGGCCCTACGTCGACAGCCCGAATACCCTCCTCCGCTACAACCCTACTCCAGGCATCCCGCAAACCCTTGTTGTCGCGCAAAGCGACCTGCCCCTTCCGTCATACACCTTCACCCTCTCCTTCTTCTCCTCGGAGCCCCTGACCATCTCCCCGGCTCCGGAACCATTCCCGTATAGCACTACTCTTCGGAGCGCCTGGACGCGGCGCACGGCGGGCGGCAGCGCCACCCATCCGACCTATCTCACCAACCCGCAGTGGTCCTTCACCCTGGCCACGCCATCCCCCATCTCCCTCGTCCTGAGCACAGACACACGGGACTTACCCGTGCATGTAGCCGTCCTGTTTTCCTCCCCCGCCTCCTCCACCTCCTCCACCTCCAACGGCCGTTCGGCAGCAAAACGCGCGGCGTACGTGTCGGGCCGGGACGTGGTGGCGTCGAGCGCCGAGTACCAAAGGGGTTTCGCCTCGGCTGCCACCGCGACGGCACGGCCCCTCGACCGGGGCACCTACACCGTCGTGGCCAGCACCTACGAGCCGGGGCAGACGGGCCGCTTCACCCTCCGCGTCTCGGCCGCCGTGACCCTCAGCCTCGTCCCCGTGCTACCCGACGCGGCGGGTATGCTGCGCACTACCGTACCGCAGACACCACCGCCACCCCGTCGCGACGGCTCGCACTCGCACTCGCAGTCGCACGCGCACAGCCGCAGGTTACGCGCCAGGGTCGGTCTGGAACGGCTTACCCGTTTGAGCGCGCTGGCTACTACTACTACTACTCCTTCTACATCTTCTGTCGCCTTTGCTTCTGCTTCTGCTTCTCCTCCCGCTTCCGCAGCCATGGTGATGGCGGTGAGGGTTGCCCTCGAGCTGGGCACGGGTCCCCACCGGACTGTGCTAGCCGTGTCCAGGGAGGGGGAGTTTGCCGACGCGTCGATGGGGCTGCGGACCGGCGAGGTGGACGTTGAGCCCCAATTCGTCCGGGAGCGGGGTGGGTTGTGGGTGGTTCTGGAGCAGATTGGGGGAGGCGGCGGGGCTGGTTCTGATTCGAGGTTACCGCTCCAGGGGCAGCAGCAGCAGCCGGGTGTGCAGGTGGAGGTGCTGAGCGATGCTGTGGTGCACTTGGGCGCGTGGGAGAATGCTGATGAGGACTGAGGGCATGTGCCACAGAACACAGAGAGATATGTATATCACGTACGAAAGCATTGGGCGACCCAAGTCTAGCGGAGCAATTTGACAAGGTCCGTACGTTGGGAGCAGAGACATCAGCCAGCGGCCAAATAGCAATTGTATTCCACGCGCCAATGATACTGGAGCCACGACTGGGATCTTGGCCCATCACGGCGGCCAGACACTCTTTGAGTGTCCAGAGTCTCGAGCCGAGGAACTGCACAGCAGAAGTCCACCATAGCCCTCCCCTTTTCCCCATCCGGCTTCCTTGGACCATTGAACCCGTCATCCATAGCCCCTTCGGTGTGTAAAATTCATCTGCGCGAGCTGCCGTTGACGTGCCTGTCATATATGAACGCCATTCTCCTCGCCCCGACATCGCTCTCGCAAACAACGAGGCTAAAAAAACTTTAAAGGGAGCAAAATATGGCCCTACCAAGTCCGTCGGCCCGACTGCCTTGTTTTCCCTCCCAATTCCAATTCCGATTCCGATTGCTGCTCCCTTTCTTTCCTTCCTTCGACTTGTGTCAAGCAAATGCAAACAAAAGGGTGGTATATGAGTCGCATGACAGGGAAGTGAAAGCTATCAATGAAACACCTTGGACGCCCCATGAAACAACACACCATACCAACGCGAAATAAACGTAAAGCCCATACCAGGGTAACACCATCCTGAAGGGGGTAACTGGCAGCCCGAATTGTGAATCGTGACTCCCATGTTGAAACCTGCAGCCAGTGCCATACAGAACCGGAGTTGTGAGTAGCTCCGAAACGAATACCCTATAAACGCCCAATGCAGATCGTAAAGGGGAAGGAACCCAGAACGCCACGAAAAACAAAAGCAAACAGAGGGAAAAAGACGGGTTCCATCCCAAGGACCAGCGCGGGAGAATAGCTTCAGGCTAAAGCGGTCCCACACCGGCTCAGGTATGTGTCCGTCTCTGCCTATGTACATTCCGTCAGGCAGCAAGAAGGAGCTAGCAAAGAGGCGACCGTCAAGGCGAATATAACAGACGGGCTGAAAAGTATGTGCAAAGAAAACAATAAAGATAAACAAGAAGGATATGAGGAAAACGAATGAACGTGTTTTGTGCAAGCTCAGGAGTTGATGTGGGTCAACTCGGGCCGCCTCGTCTCCTTCGGCCACGATTGGGGCCGTCAGGTCTTTGGGCGAGAACTTCACGTAAGAGGGGGTCGTCCTTATCCTTGTCCACGTGGTGTACACGGACATGCCTAACATCCAGTTAGTATGCTGTATGGTAGCACAGCGATAAATTATATCAGACTTACCTTTGGAGGTTATCTGGACGGGGATACTTGTGCTCCCGGTCTGGACAGAATGGGCAGACATAGCCTGGAGAATCATGTACAAGACCATGTCGAATCATTTCATTTTTCCGCTTGAAGCCTTTTCCACCCTCGCCTCGAGGACACCCTTTGATCGGACAGTAGTGTGGCCGTGCAGACGAGTGCACGTTTGCGTGAGAATTGAGCAGATATTGCGTTTGAAAGGGCAGTGCCGTGCAACCAGGGACCTTGCATACATATATCCCCTGTGGATTGGTGATCCCCTCGATACTCATCCGGTCAGTGATTGGCGCCGTCGGTGTAGAAATCACTTGATCGGGACTTGAGGATTCTGCGGAGCTCCTGGCATACTCGGGGTGTATAGGCACGCCATTTGTGGGAGAGTAATAGTAGCCGGGACTGGCTAGCCGATGGCTCGGAGAAATAGGATCTCGATACACTTCGGCCGGTAGCATGGAAGGGGACGTGTGATGCAAGGACGGCAGGCGAGGAACAGTACCTGGTGGAGAACCGGGGAAGCTGGAGTGTCTCATCCTCTCGTTTTCCGCAGCATGGTTGTTGGCGAGTTGATGAAGATCGCCCAGTTGCGCTCTGATGGACGGGAGCGTTTGCCCGTTGGTCTCAAATCTGGGCGAGTTGAGCTGGATAGGTGGTAATCCCTCGCTGGGAGGTATGTTAACGGTGGGCGACTTAGGATCCAATTTGAGGGACTGCGGTGTGGCACCATGTTCGCGTGGTGAGTAAAAGCTGTGGGGACTGTAAGGAGACGGCATTGCCGCCGGGACGGCGCGTTCGTCTCTCGAAGTCTCTGCTCGCGTCGTTGCTATTGCCATCGGACTATGCAAGGGTGCTGCTTGAGGTCTCTCTCCCACCACGTCATTTTCGGTGACTGGTGGGGTTGGACCGGCATCGACGGGCTGAGGGTCCGCAACTGCTGCCAACGCGCCGGCTGCCAGAGACTTCAGGTCGAAAGCGCCCATGTTGTCCTGGTCTGCGGACCCCTGAGACATTTTCGGGATCCCTGACGCTTCTTCGCGCGTCACACTCAGCCCGTCAGGATCCTTTCCCGCGCCCGACAGATTCTCGCCTGGGGAGTCACCGCAGTCGGAATAGTCTTGGAAATCGGCGTGCTCTTCGGGCCCGGATGCTAACGACTCGATTTCGGCGTAGGCTGCCTTGTCGCGCCTGTGTCCATCTAGATGGCTTATCAGGAGTACCTCGCCGTGGCTGAACCCTTCCGTCTTCCCCCGACGACTAGACCTCTTGTTACCAGGACTAGGGGGAGGACTGACAGAAGAGCAGACGGTGGGCGTTGGGCTCGGCGTCGGTCGTGTCTTGGGATAATATGGCTCCAGAAGCGGGCTGTCCTTTGGTAACACCTCATCAGGATCGTACAGGTCGCTAGCCGGGACTTCTGTGAGATCCGGAGCAGCTGACGTACTCATAGTTTCGAGGCCTGCTCAGCGCTTGTGACTCGCGAACCGTGGGTGCATCAGCTCGCCATCGATAGTTGGACCGTCGGCGAAGGAGTCGAGAGCGATCCCGGAACTCTGGCTTCTCGGGCCCGTGGTACCTTCCCCCTCTTGCGCGAAGCCGGTGGGCAATATCGTTTCCGATTACCCTGCGCTCTATTTGCCTCGTCCCTTCTTCCCTTCACGGGTGGGTGCAATGCAATCCTTTGCAGGCACCTGTCCTCGGATCGTTGACAGGCCGGGACGAAGGCGTCGTGCGCCGCTGCTCGCATGCGCAGGCGGACGACAGGACGCGGAAGGCGGGGGAGTAGCCGTATAAGAGGCTCAGTCACAGCCGAGAAGTGGAGAGGGACCCGGCGGGCAGCAATCCAGGGAGAGGTGGCTCAAAGGGGCTCGAAGGAACTGGCGGGCTGCGCAGGTACCGAAAGAAGGAGGAAACGGAGAAACCCCCGTGACTCGTTGATTGAGCGGGGGTTCGTAAATTGCAAACTCGTCCGGGATGGGAGAGGTGGCTGGGTTCCCTGTCGCAAGAATGCGGCTCAAGACCGTGACGGTTGCACTGTACCTGTTTGACAACAGAACCAGGTGAAAGACGAAAGGGTGCTCGTGTATCGACCCGTTAGGGAATGGCACCGGGGTCTACGGAGTAGTGTAGGTCTAAACCCGGGCCGGCAGACAGGCGTAACTCGTAAGGACGTTGTTCAAAGTCGGATACGAATCGGACACTTGCTTGCTATGAGCGGTTGAGAAGATGCGGGTCATGGAAGCTTTGCCGCACGCCCGGGACTTTTTCTTCTTCGTCTTCTTTTGGTTACTGTATAAGTTAAGCCGCAGGGGAACGGACAACAGCCACCTGGGGTGGCCGGGGCAAAGTCGATAAGTTACGGGATGCGTTTGCGTCGCCCCAGAGTCCCAAACAGCTGACGGCTAAGACTGGAGTAAGGATGGCGGGGCTTGGCCCAGCTGAGAGGTCCCGTCGACCGCTGACCCCGGGATTGGAGGCCCCACGGTCCACTGTGTCAGAGTGCAAGAGCAAACAACTTGAAGCCCGATTTCCCGGCCAAAACGGTCGTGTGAAATGGACAATCACCCACTCAGCCAGGAAACAGATTGAAGTGCAAAAGTGTACAGTACAGTGGTGTATTGTACACTACGAAGGTACCGCGCTAGAGTGAGTTGCCACAGACGTAGGACAGAAGCTGCTGGTTTCCGTGATGTCTTTGGGGCTTGACCTCGTCCAGGTAATTAGCGTAAAGTCAGGCGCAGGACCCAGTGGTGCGACCGAGGGCATACTATGATATGGATGGAGAGGTTGCGGCTCTGTCGCGGTGTGTCTGATCGGGCAGGCACTGTTTCGCAGATCTGCCCTGATTCCGAGTCGGTAAAATGATCTCAGCAGTGTGCAACCTGCAGCTATGGTAAACTGCCGACAAGCTTCGGGATGTCGATTGTGGTTTCAACTTCAGAGAGGCAGACGAGGACGGCACGCCAAAAAGGGACCTACAGTGTATGTAGAGCGAGATGGGTGCGGTGGCACGAAGACCCAATGCGCTTGGAAAACCGGTGTGTGCCAGCCGGTCGTACCTGAAGAACATCTTGGGCTGGGCTGTGCAGCACCTTCCTGAGGTACGGTACCCAACCTTAAACAACAGGCACCCGTGATAACCTCAATGGAGTCTGTGAGTTTTAGTGTGGGGCATGCTGACTTGACACTTCACACTACACTAAGGAGTCCCACTAGTATTCGTAGTGTAGATGATCGTTACGTTAAGTGTATAATACTGTACTGGTAACTGGGTAAGGTAGTTGAAGCTCCCTGCTCGACATCGAGCGTAGGTAAGCTTGCTAACAGCTCCTGTCAACCTGCAATACCTATCCGAGCAGTGCTCAAATGGATTCTGATCCGGGGGCTCAATCGCTGGAGTGATTGTGGCTGACCCCACGTTCCGATTCTGCCGTCTGGGGTGTCGTCATCCGCAGTGCAGAGAGCGAGGTATGTAATAATACCGTAATGTCAACTGCGTCCGTTGAGCTGTTTCAAGTTTCGAGCAAGGATACGGCCAGTACGCCACGACATGACCGGTGAGGCGACAAGATCCGCAATCCGCCGGTTCCAGAGACCCGTAAACGCTACCCACATCTCAACAAGGGACGGACCGTCCGAATTAGAGAATCCAGATGCTAGAGGATACCCATTCACATCAGATATTTCCTACACTACACTTGCTACACAAGTATGTGTCTCGGTTGAATTTATGAAGCGCCCAGGCATCAGGCACGTACTGTGTAGTAGTACCTTTCAGGGCTTTTTTTCCTTCTCTTTTTCCCTTTTCCGCATCCCATCCCTCCTATTCTGCACCGGACGCCTCGCAGTCACTCCCGTCAAGTTTTGCCCAACTGGTCCTGGGATGAGCTAAGCCAAACCGAGGTGGCCGATTGTGCGGTATTGCGGTCCTGCCTACGGCCCAACCTGACCCTCCCTACCGATAACGTCAAGCCAGACCAAACTTTTGGGCTGTCACCGCCTATTTCATCTGCTCCCTTCACTAAGGATAGGGAAAGCTGGGGCGGGCCTGGAAACACAACCGTGGACGGCAGATAATTTGGCTATGTATTGTACAAGTGCGCAATACAATACCTCCTTGACGATTCATAATTCTACTTCGACATTCCGCATCGACTTCCCCGGGCCCAAAGCCAACTGGCGACGACGGGAAGTCTTGGACTCTTGGGTGGGGTCATCTTTTCTGCAAGCGTGCTTGCCGGTTGGGACAGGCGGATCGAGACTTCAGCCTCATCGTCCTGCTCGGACAATACACATAGGCGGTCTGCACTATAAGGGCGTTCCCTGCTCCGGCCTGCCTTGGTCCTGCAGCGACCCTGTCTCTCCGACGTTTGGTTTCTCACGGATCCCCTCTCTTTGGAGCTTCCAACAGATATGTGCCCTTGTGGCCTCTCTCCGTTCTCAGGAAAGCGGCCATAGAGTAATGGAGGCTTATGCAGGTTACATCGACGACCAAGACCAATCCTGCCGCCTGCAAGGACGGCAAGTAGCGTCTTGCCGAGAGCAATCAAGAGCCTGCATTGCGATTTTTCAAGCGAATGGCCAGGCGCAACAATTCCCAGGCAGAGGCCTCTCGCTGCTTTTTTATTGTCCAGTCCCCGTCGTTTCCGCCAAAGACGTCTCCTTTCTAAATGGCCGGCCAAGCAGGCGAAGAATACTCCTCTGCCGCATGTCTTCGCACAACATGGGGGCCAACGATGTCATCGACTTTGGGTTGCACAGAGAAGCAAGCGGTGAGGTTCTTCCGCCCGACTACTGCTACATGGCAGCGGAAGCCCCGCCAAATGCAGTCAGGTCACCTGCTATGCTCAAAAGTGCGGCAGTCGTGGTTGGGCCAGCAAGTGTATGAATGTATGTGCATCGCGCCCTGGAGTGTCATGCAGCATAGCTATCGATTCTTCAGTTTAGCCGGCCCTGGACAGAAGACATCTAAGTCGTGTGAGAGTACGACCTCGGGTCAGCCTCAACTGTGAGCACCAGAGAACGCTCTTGGCATCTGGGATCAAACACAAATCCGAGCTACTAGTGTCCTCGGAAGCGAGGAGGGTTCTATGGGTAGCAAACCCGATGGAACTTTGACAGCGTCCACTCAACATGCAGCTTCAGGTTATGTTCTTGCGCGATTTGCTCTCCTAACCAAGGAAGCGTTACAGCTAATATGCGTTCCCCGCAATCGCCAATGCTCGGTGTTTTCCCAGTTCGGGTCGGTTGATATGATCCTTGCGACGGTGGCGTTTAAAGGTGCAGATGCGAGGCGACAAAAATCGCGGCGGCATTTCGAGCCGCACCCTTTGGGACATATGGTTATCTTCTCATCTTATTAGATCTAGGGTCTGTTGTGGTGATACACCCGACGAGGCCTGTTGCGAGGATATCGGACCATTGGAAGTTGGATCCGTCCCATGGGCCTATTATCCATTGCGCTTCCTTCCGGCTCCGAATTGGTACACAGCGCTCCGTCCGCAGTTTTTCACTCGTTGCCCGGGTCGATCGTTCCTCATGAAGACTGCTTCTCAATTCGCTAGAGTCCAGGGCGTCGTCGAGAATCAAGAACAAAAAGGGGCATGCGCTAGGTTCCGCGATATCGGTAGCAACTCGATTAATATTATAATGAAGTATTGAAGTCGCTTGAGAGGTTGCCTTTATCTCAAATTCTCAATTTAGCTAGCCTTAGTGCGCTTTAAGAGGCCGAATTGGACTTTAGACCTGCCCCGGGTATGGCAACGCAATGTAGCTCGTATCTTTGTCCGCGAAGCCAAACACATACAAGATCCCTTGACAAGTCAAAAAGAGCTGGGACACCCGAGTTATTGGTCAGAGTAGGTAACGAGTCCCATTCTATAGGTTTAGATCAGATGCCGCGCATCAGACATCGTTTGGTAGTGCCTCCAAGGTGAGTGCGCCGAAGAGTGGATCATTGGCCGGACATTCTCTTGTTGAAGGCAATGAGGCATGGCCGCAGTCTGTCAATAAACATCATAAATGCACGGAGTAAGGGAGTAAGGGAGACATTAGTCGTGCTGACAGGGCATCGCTCCGAGTTAGGTCTCGGCATACCGCAGCCTGCCTACGTACGTATCTAGTCGGCTTCGGCTCGGCAAGCTCGGTCGAGACCGAGGCATTGTAAGCTCCCGGAGCGCAGCCGGTGTGGGGTCGGGATGTGATACGACCAGACCTAGTATGATTGTATGTTCCGTACACTAAGCTACGACCCCAAACGTCCAGATCGAGGTCACGTCATGTACAGTACACTCACCTATCCATCTAATTCTGAAATCTCCAAGCAGGATACACACGTACAACCCGAGTGTCTTACTAAATCACAAGAATCATGTCGACACTTCCGGCCACAATGAAAGCCGTCGTCTTCCACGGGCCCAAGCAAGTCTCGGTCGAGGAACGGCCAGTGCCAAAACGCATGCAACTCCCCTATCCTCCTCATCAGACCTCGTCTTATCTTGTCACACAATACCCGCAACATTGTTGCTAAGCCAACAAAGACATTTACTAACGCTCGTCCGAGATATGCAGTGCAGGACCCCAAGGACATCATCGTCAAGGTCCAAGCCACAGCGCTCTGCGGCTCGTACGTACTGTTCCCAGATAGCTACTAACGCCCCCTATATGCCGTACCAGACTTGGATTGCTATGTTAGGCGTCTAAACATGTTGCAGAGAACTGCACGTCTTCCGAGGCCACCAGCCTTCCGAGACAGGCTTCATTATGGGCCACGAATTCGTCGGAACAGTAGTTGAAGCTGGCAGCGACGTCAAGAATATCAAGCTCGGCGATAAGGTCGTAGCCCCCTTTACCGTCTCCTGGTGAGTCCTGACTTCCCAGCCCTGTTCAACACAAACACACGCACACACACACATGTCCCATATCCCAAAACGAGGCAATGTCCTTGGCTGCTTGACCCAAACCCTCCTATTGACCCCGTCTAACCCTTGCGGACTCGGGGGCTATACAGCATGGAATGCTTCTACTGCAACCGGGGCTACTCGTCGCGGTGCGTGCGTTCGCTCCTGTTCGGGAGCGCTGCGCTCGACGGGGCCCAGGCCGAGTACGTGCGCGTGCCCTACGCCGACGGCACCGTGACCAAGGCGCCGGCCGAGATCGGGGACAATGCGCTGATCCTCATGGCCGACATCTTCCCGACGGGCTTCTTCGGCGCCAAGAATGCCTTTGACCTCCTGCGCCCGCAGCCCGCGGCCGAGGCCACCGTCGTCGTGGTCGGCTGTGGTCCCGTCGGTCTTTGCGCCATCGTCTCGGCCCTCGAGCACCGCCCGAAGCATCTGTTCGCCGTGGATGGTGTGCCCTCGCGGCTGGAGCTGGCGCGGCAGCTGGGTGCTGAGCCGCTGAATTTCCAGGATGGTAACGAGGAGATGATGAAGAGGGTGAGGGATGTGACCGAGGGCAGGGGCGCGGATGCTGTCATAGAGGTTGTCGGGTTGAGCCCCGCACTGAGGACTGCCTTTGATCTTCTGAGGCCGTTTGGCGTCATCAGCAGTATCGGTGTCCACAACGCAGAAGTAGGCATCCTTTGTTATTTTCTGTTGTATGTGATCTGGCTAACAAGTTGTCATTAGATACCGTGGACAGGTGCTGAAGCATATGGGTAAGTTCTCATTCCTCTCCCGCGGCGGTACACGCTAAGCTGCTTGCTAACGGCGAACAGCAAGAACCCGAGGATTCAGATGGGTCGTTGCCCTGTTCGATCGATATTTGAGGAGGCGCTGCCGGTGTTGACGAAGAACCAGGACAAGTTTAGGTACGCGTCGCTGGCCGGAGCTGCGTGCCTCGTGGATTTTCACACTGACTGGCCACAGTTTCATGTTCGACAAGATCATGCCGCTCTCAGATGCCGTCGAGGGCTACGACTTGTTTGACAGCATGAAAGCGCAGAAGGTCATTTTCAAACCTTGAAGGCGGTTGGTTCAACTGTGCTATGGAGCGACAAGAAGCTGCTGAGGTGTTCCCCGAGCAGATTCTGCGCTGGGGAGTCGTGATGGAGATGGATGGCTCAGTTCTGCCTGGGCTTCACGAGCCCATCATGTATCCAGTAGTATGTGACGGTCGAGTCATCCTGAACTGTCGCAAGGAGGATCCGTTTCCCTCGCTTTGGGCCTCTCCAGAGTCTCCATGGAGCGTCCGCGTAGTCCAGACCGACTGACTCCTGGGCTGCACCGGGCGGGGGAATGGCTTCGATGGCATCAAATACAGCTGCGAATTGGCAAGGGGACCATTTTTCGGACAGATGCAACGGCAAGACCCACTCGAATTCGGGTTCCTGCGGAATTCGCTCCTTGAGCTGCTTTTCGGCTTTGATGATGTCGATTTGCTCGTCGGGATGCACATACAGACGCTTGGGCGGGAGTCCGAAAAGAAGCGACCTGGGAAGGTTTGATTGGACGTGCTCTTGTAGACTTGTCCAGTCGTGCTGGAATTCCAAGTTCTTGAGCACTATTTTGCTGAGCGCCGCGAGATGCATATCCGAAGCCAGTTTGCCTGTTTTAATCTTATAGACACTGACGCTGTTGAATGAAAACTTTGGATTTCTTTTGATAGTTGCAACTTAGCGTAACACAGATCGACTGCTAAGGGTTACCAGGTAACCTTCTAATTTTAAAGTTACACGAGTGCTGTACGAAGTAATACGAAGAACTCGTACACGTGTACGGATACGCGTAACTTTATGCGCCTAACGATAACAGGACACCTTAGCGAAGAATTGAGTTTGGGGAGCCGAATAAGATCCACACGTCATGGTGCCTTCCCAGCTTCCTCCCGCAAAACCTTCCTTAGGTTTGTATTTTGGGCTTAACTTTGATCAACTGTGAATGAATGAGACTCGCAGGAAAGCGGATGTTGTAAAACCCATTGAACTACAGCTGTTGATCCCATGACATCACAACCAACTACAGCGGCAGATGTGTGGTAGGAACGCATGGAAACAGTCGTTGCCAAGCCTCCAATTTGGCTTGCGCCCCCTTTGACGCGCCAGTGGCCGTGGCGCTTGCCAGCAGCGACGGGGAGGAATTGCCCATTGGAGCCCAGAACACAAAGTACTACGAGTGACGACACCGGCTGTCACCCGTGCCTCCTGTCGCGGATACCATGTTGGTCCTGCAACCACATATATAACGTTATGTGACATTCTGTTTCAGCCCACTGGGCAAGAATTGTTATCTTCTTTAATTACCAAGATTGAATTCGAGTTTCCAGTGAATTTGCTAGGAGCCATTGCCCCTTTCCTGCCTCTGGATGCAGAACAAGATTTGAGTCCTCGCCCCTGAGCAGCTTCAACATGATTGACGATAATTCCAAACACAATGCGGCCAACCACGGGCGAACTAGAGCCGGGTCAAACGCCTCATCGGTAGTTCAAAGGCTGTCCCAAGAATTTCAAGACTCGCGGCCGCCAGAAGGGTTTATGGCCACGACTGGCGAGCTGGCTTCGACATTGGCCGCTAAACGCACGGCGTCCGCGACGGTAGACGGGAAAGATCGAACGCAGGCAGCTGAGCATAATGCAGAGCGAGTGTCAAGCCTTGAAGACGCACGACAAATGGGCGTAGGCGCCAGCCATACGCCATCCTCAGAGGAGGCTACCCTTAAAACGCAAACTGGCAACGGCGCGCGAGGGCTAGAATGCACCGAGCCGTTCGCGAATGGCTACCACTTCCCGCCCAAATACCCATGGCAAGAAACGACGCGGCGAGGATTAGTCTCTTTTTGGAAGTTCTTCATCACGCCCATGGGCTTCTTTTGGACCATCTACGGCTTAAACGTCGTCGCCTGGGGTGGCATGCTGTTTTTGCTACTTTGCAATGCAGCCCCGGCCATGTGCGTCCCCACCTGCGATGACATCGACTCGCCGCGACGCTTGTGGATCGAGTGGACCGCCCAGATCCTAACAGGTCTATTCTGCGTCACAGCGTTCGGCTTCGCACCTTGGAGGTTCCGGGATTTATACTTTCTCCTCAGATACCGGATGCTCAAGGATTACGACGGGCTGCGAAGGCTCGCTGGGATTCATAGCAGCTGGTTTCGACTGCCAGGTTCACAGGAGCTACCACTGGATGTTGGGCCAGGCAACGTCCCGGATACCATTACCAAGTCCTCGGTGCCCATCCCCGAGAAGAGCATGGCCAATCCTCCGTTGACGGGCGTGCGAGCTCCGGCGACGGCGGTGTGGAAGTTGGACTATGTTATCCAGTGTATGGTATGGAATACCTTTGCCCAGTGTGGCCTTTGCGGCATCATGTGGGGTATGAACAGATATGACCGGCCGAGCTGGGCTACCGGCTTTTTGGTGGCCATCGGGATGGTCATCGCCATGATGGGAGGACACGCGATATATCTGGAAGGGAAGAAGGTCAAGCGCATCGAGGGTGTGCCAATCACGGAGCAGGATATCGAGAAGCTGGCACGGGACAAGGAGCTGGGCATTCCACACTACAACAACCTTGGGGACAAAAAGCCGAAACGGAAGGCAAAGGATCTCGAACACGGCGGGGAGAAGTAGCGGTCGTGGGTTCTGATTGGCGATGGTGATAATAGGGTTTCCAAGTACACGATACCCCTTGCATTGTGTTTGGACAGGTAAAAGGGTTAGGGTTGACTGACATGGGATACATTGGTAGAGACCATGATGCGAGCCACTGCATTGTAGTTACATCATAATCAACTGCCTTACCTAATCCGAGGCGGGAATTCAGATTCCAGACTCTTTTGTGCCTGATATAATCTATCCATAGTCGTTGCTCAGCCTGCAGCCTTAGCCATTGGCCGCAAATGTCGCAAGGCCATAAAACGGACAGCCAACACATGTCTTCGATGTTTGGCGGCGTTTCTTTGTTTGGTCACAGGGCATTGGGTTGGCTGTAGGCCCGTGCTAGGGCAGATTCGACAGGCCACAGCCTATCAGTTGACAGGGCTCTGGGCCCAAGTGGGCCAGACCTGGGCTCCAGTGATCGCCTCAGCGTCATCTGGGGTCCCGCATTAGCCGGCCCAGCCTTCCACAAAGGCAACGAGACAACAAGGTGCTCCCACCCACACCTCGCATTTAAAGGCGTTGCTGCCGGCCTCGATCACCACCGCTGAAAGGTATTGTCCACAAACGCCGACGAGGTCGGTTATCGTCAAGCTGTAGTTTCATTTCAGCAACGCAGTGCCTTTATCCAGGCACCTTACCCTCCCATTCGGAGGGCACTCCAACTCCAAGTCCTGCCCGGGCACAAGGAGTCGTCACACTTTCACAATGGCGTCCTCCATCATTCCCTCACGGGCCATTATCCCGTTTCTAGTCGCCATGATGTTGTTTACCGGCGTCTGCAACACGCTCTTGACCAAGTATCAGGTACAAACCCACTAACGTCGCCTCCCGGCGAAGCTTATCAGCAGCTGGCTAACCGTCTATCTGCCCAGGACAACCAATGCGTCGTCAACTGCTCAGACCCGGACCCCAAGAGACGCAAGCACTTTGAGCAGCCCGTGATCCAGACGCTGCAGATGTTTATCGGCGAGATGGGCTGCTGGCTCGTGGTGGGGATTATGGCGCTGTACAGACGCTTCTTCCCCCGGTCGTCGACCACCACCGTCTCCTACCAGCCCGTGCGCACCACGCCCGACGATGACGACGGCACCGCCGCAGACAACGCCAGCATCCGCTCCACCACGGCCCTCACCAGCGCAGGCAACAACAACGACAACACCTACCACAACCCCGCAACCTCCATCTGCAAAAACCACGACCACCCGTCGGTCCTGCGCGGCTGGCGCGTGTGCCTCCTGGCGCTCCCCGCCATCTGCGACATATTGGGCACGACCCTGATGAACGCGGGCCTGCTGCTGGTGGCGGCGTCCATCTACCAGATGACGCGGGGCGCGCTGGTGCTGTTTGTGGGCCTGTTCAGCGTCATCTTTTTGCGGCGGCACCTGCACGCCTTCCAGTGGCTGTCGCTGGTGGGCGTGGTGGTGGGCGTGGGCCTCGTGGGCCTGGCGGGCGCCATCCAGCCTGACAAGAAGCCCGGAGTCGTGGACGGGGCTGGCTCCGGGGTTCACCCCGATGCGCTGAGCGTCATCATTGGCGTCTTGATGATTGCCGGCGCACAGATCTTCACGGCTACCCAGTTTGTCCTCGAGGAGTGGATCCTTGAGAGGTCTGCTATTGAGCCCATCAGGGTGGTCGGGTGGGAAGGCCTGTTTGGGTTTCTCGTGACGCTGCTGGGTATGGTCATCCTGCATCTTGCCATCGGCCGGACCCCGGGTGGAAAGGGCGGGCCATTTGACATGGTGGAAGGGTGGCGGCAATTTTGGGAGTACAAGTCGGTGTTTGTCTCGAGCATTCTCATCATGATCAGCATTGGGTAAGTTTGTCTTTGACCTGCACTAGAAAGGGGGGATGGTATGTGCTGACATGGATGTGCTCTAGGGGCTTCAACTTCTTTGGCCTCTCGGTCACCCGCAGCGTCAGCGCCACCTCACGCTCCACCATCGACACTTGCCGCACCCTCTTCATTTGGATCGTCTCGCTCGGCCTGGGCTGGGAGACTTTCAAGTGGTTGCAGGTGGTTGGCTTCGTCCTGCTCGTCTACTTCACCTTCCTCTTTAACGGCATCGTCCAGCCGCCGTTTAAGTTCCTCCGCGTCAAGGAGGTTGAGGAGCTGCTCCCTGAGGAGCCGATTGAGCACAACTAGGCGTCGTGCTGTCTCTGTACATACTTGGCTCTGTATGTGTGCATACACTCGATAGTGGACGCGTAGGAGTTGATACACTTGGTCAGGTTACATGTCATCAGATTGACGGCGTTGCGGGTGGGGTGAATCTGGAGTCACATCATTGGATCTGGGCATATCGGAAGGGTATCATTTTGCTCTTTTCATCTCTACAGAGCTAGAGTTTTCACTGTACTGGCCCAGCGGAGTCATTGGCGCAAGGGAATCAATCTAATGTCACTGCCAAATCCTGTTCACCACCACCAGCTGCATTAAGTGATACTGCTTGATTCAAGCGCATAAGTTGCCAGGTGCTATCCTGCTACAGTATCCTACCTGTCCCATCCACGCAGCAAGTCTGTTTAGCCATATATACAAAGATGCCCAAACTCCAAGCCGTCCTCAGCAGTGATGCTCCTGTGTCTCCCTCCGAGCTGTGCGTATCAAAGTGAATAAAATGGAAGGGGAAAAGAAAAAGAAAAGAGACAGGAAGGATAAAAGAGAACCAAAAGAATCTGCCTCCCTATTCAACCAGTGTCTCCCCGGGTCGTATTCTGCACTCATTCCCTACAGCTCCATGTACTTGTTGTACTCGCATAGCTCCCATATACCTAACATAAGCCTCTCAAAGACCGGACTTCAAGCCTTCTTCGAACCGTTCTTTAACTCACCATGGCAAGCAGCTCGGCCTCGAGTATGAACTTGCCCTCCTTGTACTTCTCGCTCGACTCGTAAGCCTTGTCGTACTTCCACCCGACCACGTCGTGGCACATGCGGCAAGTGATGTCGCGCACCACGTGCCTCCCCGTCGTCATGTTGCGCTCCGACGGGTCGCCCGTCTCGACATTGACCACGCTGTTGAAGAGATAGGCTTTGCCGTGCTGGCCGCGGAAGTTCTGTCCATTGTCGTTTCGTTAGTTGGTTTTGGTCTGTCGGAAGGGGGAGGAGTTGGAGAGGAAGGGGAAGTCATATAAAGGAAAGCACGGGAAAGGGGGGGAGAGGGGAGAGGGAATGGTACTTACTCGGCTGATGATATCTTCATGGTTTGCAAGGTGTGTTTGGCACTTCTTGCAGCCGTAGATTCGGCCGCTGTTAAGATACGTGTTGTAGGCGAGACCCATTGTGTTTGCCCGCTATCGCTGGTTCTCTCTTTGGATATCCCGCTGTTGCTGTCGGAGATAAGGGTGAGAACGAGGATGAGGATGATGTGTGAGGTTCTGGAAGACTCGACGGGGGAACGTTGAGCGTGGGATCGTCGGGGTCTTTATCCTAGTACCACACTAAGAGTGCCGACGAGGCGGGGGCAGCTTGACCAGCTTGCCGAGGCAGCGTGGACAACGGCGAGGACAACGGCTTTGAAGGGGGCTTTGTTAGGCGCCAGAGGCGAAAGCTGTCAGAGTGATACAGGTAGGCCACAACGAAGAGAGGCTGGTGACCAGACATGCAGCAAGCCTGACGTGGCAGGCTCAAGTTCGGGACCCGGGAGATGGACAAGAGAGAAGATAACTTGGGGTAATTGTATGTTTTAGAGGATCTCTCCGCTGCGCCGCAAGCGGTGACTTCCTTGCCTTGGAGACCTGAGGCAGCCTCGCAACACCAGACACCGTGCTATGTAACAGGTAGATAGCTCACCTTTGTCCTGGAATGGAAAGAACGGGTCTGTCAACTGGTCCACCTGGTCATGCCAGTCTGCTACTGAATCGCAGAATGGGACTGTAGCACAGGGTGGAGGGTTGCAATCGACTTTGGGGAAGACGTCAGATGGATGCCAGCGGCAGAGATAGGGCCAGGCTCCCTGTCAGCGTGGACGCACTGTCCTGTATCCTTAGCGTGTAACCCACTGCAGTAAACCCACTGAATAAGTGGTGGGGTCTGCGGGGTTTCTATCAATATCGTACCTGGTAACCTGGCCCTGGAGGTGTTCGTTTCAACGTCAACAACCAAGTTCCAGACAACTCAAACGCAGAGTCTGGGTAGGTACCTTAGGTAAATTAGGTAGGCAGCACTCATGACATGAGTCTTAGTTCCTGGCGTTTAATAGCTCGAGCCTTTAGCTCCAGTAGGTTGATTACCGGCTACCTTAGCCTCGCCAGATGTGAATCTGATGGAGACAAGAGGTATTGCTCATTGATACCTTTTATCCTTACTAGGAGTGATAACGGCGGGTCAAAGGGGGAGGCGAAGCTGTGACAGTTATCCTACACTCTTCAAGGGAAGTGGCCATGAATGCACCGGAATGGTTGATTTACATAGGATATATACAAATCCACGCTCCTAAGATGCGAGGGAAGTAAATCATGTACAAGAATTTTGTCCCGGGGAGCCCCATTTAACGGGCTGCCACCGTTAGCAGGTTTGCGTGATGCCTGTACAGTAATGACCGACATATGGGAAACATGCAATCCCGAATCAACCCCTCAGTTCATCCGCGAAGTTGATGGTCAGACCGGCAACACCAATCCCTTCCTTTGTCAGCCTGCCTACCAGGAGAAAGCTTCCTCGACGAAGTCGATGGCCCCCTGGTATTGCCTGTTCCGCACCGCCCTCCGCACTTCATCACTGAGTGCACCCGGGCCACACACCGAGACGCCCATCGTACCGACCTGGTTCTCCATTTCCATGCCGAGCAGCGTGTCGATGTTCGGCCGGCCAGGAAACATTTGGACTGTGGCACTCGGGCTGTGGATCTCCTTGGTTGACCGCGGGCGACTTACGAAAAGCATGATGCGCAGCACCTCGCGCCGCTTCTCCATTGCCAGAATCTCTGACATCCAGGGGCGTATCCACTCCAAGTGCTCCGGGCTTTGAATGATCCACACCATGATAACCTTGCGTGTCGCTACAGTGCCGTTGCTATAACCCGCCACCAGGTCCCGGACGTGCGGCACCGCCTGGGTGACGCCCACACCTCCGGCAAAGAGCATGACAGTCCCGTACGAGTGTAGCCTGATAGAGCCCATGTAAGGGCCTTCGACCAAGCACCGCGTCACCATCTTCCCGTCCGGTTGGGCCGCCGCTCGGAGGTACAGTGCATTGGTGAAGCCGGTTCGGCTGCGGATGATGAATGACACCGTAGTCTTCTTCTTCGCGAGGACGTCTTGGCGGGCCACAGGGAGCTTCTCCTTGTCGTGCTGTTCCAATTCGTCGCTCCATGCAACTGTAAAAGGGTGTGATTGCCAAAAGCCAATGGTCGGCATGTAAAGGTACGCGTGCTGCCCTGGTCGAAACTTCCACGGCCGTGCCATGTTCACCGTCACGCGGCAGGCGCCCCCGGGTAGTGCCTCCACCAACGTCTTGGTGCCGCCAGCGCCTAGATTGCGGTATCCCAAACGGAGAAGACGGGCAGCACGATCCAGAGCCCAGAAGGCGACGGCCACGTAGACATATTTGATTTGCGGCAGTTTCTTCAGGTCCAAGTGGTACCAGAGGCCAACGATTGAAGCGATTGCTAAAGCGATGTGAGCAAGCTTGAAAGTTTCGTAGTAGGCGTGCCTGAACAAGCTCGCTGCCTGGACACCAATGGCCACAAAGGCGCAAGTAGACTGCACTAGTCAGTTGAGGTCACATGGAAGCAACAGATGTGGAACATACGATGAATCCGAACAGCAAGAATTGCGAGCCAAATACGCCAGCGAAGGCCGCATCCCAGCCATTCTTGGAAGCGCTATTGACGAGGAAGGCCAAGGTGTGGGCAAGGCTCTCCAGAATGACAATGCGGCCTAGCCAACGGTGAAGCAAGTTGAAAGTGTCGAACGACATTCCAAGCAGGTAGATGAGGGGATTGTTCCTGCCTGCCATCAAGATCAGGGGTATCATGTTGACGACGGCAAGGTATCCAGTCCGGTTCCTAACCAGTCCGGCAACCTGGGCCAGAGGTCGAGAGAAGTCGATGGTCAGGACGCAAAAAGCCACATTAGTGGCTAAGTAGCCGAGGAGGAAGACCAGCTGCAACCGCGTAGGGAGAGTTCCAACATTGACCGCTGAACTGAGCTGAAACTCGCGATTATGTCGTTTGCTGAGGATGGGGGCGTAGATGATGTTTCTCTTGAACCACGATAGCTTCTCGGACGGCTTGGCGAAGTAGCGCTGTGTGTCGTTGTGCAGACATGTCACAGTCCGGACATACCTGACCAGGAGCGTTGTGAAGCGCCAGGCAGCGAGGGCGACGGAAAGGGCGCCCAGAACGACAAATAGATAGTGTGAAAGCATCTCGTTCACAACATCCGGATCCACGCTGGAGGTGGTACCGCCCTGGGCCTGACTCCCACCGTTTCCATTCCCCTGGCCGGCCGCTGCCGCCGCTGTCGTCGTTGTCGCCGGCGCAGCCATGATGTCAACCCTATCGCAGAAACCACGCTACCCAACGAGTGACTCGTTCCAGCAATGTCGGATGAAGAGTATCAAAGCGTTATTCCGGTCGTCCTGGAATCCGGTGTGAGGATAATTCTGCGTCACGGCCGCTGTCAAAGGGGCCAGATTGTGAAGATTTGAAAATGAGAGTACTGCCACAGTCCCAATGCTCGCCGAACCCAGCAGCGGAGGGTGGGAACCGCTCTATAGTGAAAGGCGGTTGATGTGGTGAGATGTGTTACTGCGTTCCTTCACGGACGGATTTTCGTGAAGATCAGGGAAAGGAATGCATCGAAGTGTGTTATTGCTCGGTTACCTCGACCTTGCCATGTGCACTCCGGGGTTTCGAGAGAATGTGTCGGCCTGCCAGAAGGGAAGCAGAACGGTAGAACGCGACCAGCGGTAGAGAAAAGGATGAGTGGCCGGCAGTGAGCAGACGGAGCGACGCCCAGGTAGTCGGTCGAAAAAAAGGAGTGTGGAAAGAATGCTCAGATATGGATCTGGGCATTGAGAATAATGGAGTAGAAGAGAGAGAACCGGCAACCTGAACCTAGCCAGCTCATCGTCCGTGGGTTGCGTGGACTGGAGGGCGATCGGACCCAGGATCAGGCCTTGGGTTGGGAAAAGGTAGAAGATGAAGGGGATCTTGGAACCCCTCATCTTTCCTGATTGGGTTATTCGCTACGCTGCGATACGGTAATGATCGTTTCACATCAGTCATTTTCCCAGAGGGTGGTACCCTCTTTCCGTATCCTCTCAGGAAACTTTACACTAAGAATTACACCGCATAACTGGGGTATGTACTTCGCACTGCCACATCCATAGAAATCGTGTACTTGCAAAGCCTTCCGTTAGGCTTTTCTTACGACCCCTCACCTCCCAACCAACAATGTCCTGCGTCCGCGGGTGTCTTATGCCCAGACATCGTCACGCAACGTGAAGGATGACAGGATGAATCGTTTGCTGATTCTGCCTAGTGTATTTACGGATACCTGTCATCCAAAACACTTGACTAGTCTGTTACGTACACGCACGCTCATTTTTATGCCTTTGCTGGAATGGAAAATCTGCGAGTCAGCTTTGCGAATGAAACCTGTCGAAGCTCCCGTCGCTGGTTTTCTTGTGGCGGTGGATCGTCGGCCGTCAGTGGATTGCGCATGTCGCCCGAGCACCCAGGGCCTGCCAATTTGCCCGATGTTGTGCCAATCGGACGACGCGACCATGTTCCTGCATTGGGCTCTCCACGCCGATGCAGCGAATGGGACTGCAGAGCACTGATTCGCCGCAGGGCGAGCGAGTGAAACGATGCATGGGTTGATCTCAGGGGCCGAGATCTTTGCGCAGCTTCCTCCCTCTCCGCTTACAGGTCCTCGGGAACGCAGCCAACCACGGCAGTCAAAACCGAACGCTGCGAGCCGATTCCGACGGCCTCGAGCTCAAATTTTCGACCGCATCCAAGGCCAACGCCACCTTATACATAACTAAGGTAGCTAGGGTAGGCAATGCCAAAGGGCACTACAATCAATTGCTTAGTGTAGACTTTGAGAACTGCCGAGGCAAACCTTTCTGCGGCATCGAACAATAAAGCACAGAATACCGGACACACCTGCACTTTAGGTATGTAGGCCCAGGTAGGGACTGGTGCTGCCCAATCCACCATCATCCCTAGGTAACTTGTCGCATCTTGTGCGACCGGCAGCGCTCCACTGCAGTAGCGCACTCTCTGGACCCACGAGCCGCGGATGTGGATGGCCGCCGGACGGGCCCGATATTGCGTCTCCACCGAGGTATCGACTTGGGAGTCGGGAGTCGGGACGGAGGTAACTGTCCCGCGGCAAGAATATATGTTTGTCCTTCTGCAAATGGCCCGCCTGCGTGGTGCTGGAACGCCGACAGGATGGAACTCGATGGTTAGAGAATGCAGCCTCCTCAAAATTGATCGTTTGGATTATTCACTTCCTGCGTCCAAAGCAAAGCACGTATTCGCTCCGCAGTGGAAAGGTTCCCAGACACTGCCAAGACACCAACATTTCCTGCTCCCCGCCGGCTAGACGTTTGGACAAGATTGACGCAATGGATCAATTGCCGGGTTTCCGTCACCGAGTGTTTGGTGTTTCAGCGATCACGGTCGACGGTCACTCCACTCGTGTGGACTTGGCGGGAGAATAGCAGGGGAAGGGATGACGAGTGACGACAGCGGCTTCGTCCTGAAACAGCCACCCATAGCAATTCGGCGCCCAAAAGTCTTATCAACGGATGGTCGACTTTTTCCTGTCACCTCCTGAGCATGCAAGTCTAGGTCGTCCCAATCCCGAGCACATTAAAGCTGCATATTTTGTATGTACTGTACATGCAGCGCTCAAGTCAAGCTGCAAGGGGTAAAAGAAGCAAAGAACAGCATTCCAAAATCCAATTGTGTGACTCCGGATGGACTCGTCGAGGACGGGACCGACTGAATGACTAGCTCCCGAAGAAAGCTGCGCAAGCAGGGTCAAAAGAGAAACAAGATGTGCCTGAGAAACATCATTTAGTGAATGCATAACCATCACGATCCCATTCGTGATCAATGCTGGCCATTCGCCACGTTTCGTGAGGCTACATAACACTAGTGTGTCATGCGAGTTGACGGGATGTGGGACGACAAACCCGGGCCTCCATCCCCTGAGTCAACCATACTCGAACTCTGGATCGCCGGCAAGGTCAGTTCTGTATGCATGCGGCAGGTCGTCAAGCCTTGTCTTTCCCCCAAGAAACGAGCAGAGATGCAACTCGAACCGAGACCACATAGGTGTATGTAGATGTTACTGATTAACTGAGATGCGTAGGCTACACTTATAGTCCTGGTAAGCTTGTATATACGTACAATACGTAGGCAATAGCAGTGTACGGGTACACTATTCGTAGATCTGCTCTGTTCACGCTCCCGCCGACAACCACTCGATATCAGGGATCAATCAGTGTCAGTCGCGGTACAAGCCTCAGAACGATATGCTTGCCTGCATCCATCCATAAGATTGCTAGCAATTCCAACATTGCTGCTATATCAATCATACCCTCCTGTAATACCCTAGTAGTAGTACAGACACGCACCGTGACTCTATCCATCCGTCAAGCATCTAGTACTCCTCACGCCCAGTCCCAGTGGGTATCCTGTATCCTACACAATAAACCAGACAGCATTCACCAAACACCCAAAACACTTCATCAAACCCCTGCCGCTATAAACCTACAAGAATCCTAGAGGATACTCAGCTCATCATCACTCTGCCCCTCCGCATGATGCTCGTCTCCCTTGGCAGTCGTTCTCGTTCTCTCAATGGGCTGGAGATACACCAGCGACGCCCTCGCCACTCTCTTTCTCACCACAGCATGAGGGGCAGCGCCGCCAGCAGCAGCAGCACTGGCATTCGCCGCTGGGCGAAACCGCGCAGGCTTCTTTCGGCACAGCCAATTCTCCTTGTCCTCTGAGTCCCTGGCATGGCTGTCTAGAGCAAGCACATCACTCGCCTGGGTGATGATGATCCGTCTCGACAGGCGGCGGGGTCTCGTTGCAAGGAAACCACCCGGAGGCGTTGGCGGCGGCGGCAATGGTGACGGTGACGAATGCTCGTCGTCGCGGGTCCTTGTGGCTGGTTGATGTTCGTTCGATGCCGGGTCTGGCTCTGACTCGGCCTGTATGGAGGGGGCTATAGAACTGCTCCGCGGGGAAGGCGCGCTGGATTCATCCCCCTCGAGCGTTTCAGAGCCGCCGCTGGTGGTTGCATTACACTCGTCACTCCTGTCCCCTACGGGGAGGGATTCCAGGTCGAGTTCGTCGGCGGCTGTTTGTGATAGCGGCAGGGATGAAGCGCTCGAGTCAGGGGTCCTCGCCGTGTCGCTGTCGCTGTAGCTGTGGCTATCGTCCTCGGAAGAAGGTGCAGGCCTCTTTACTCCCTTCGACCGCGTCGGCCGTGTAAGCTGATCAGTCGCGGGGGTAGCAGCGACCCACTCGCTGATCCCGTCATCCCAACGGATTCCGGAGAATGAATTCGCATGCTTCTTGTCTGTGCTGCTCCGACGGGTCCACTTGGGTGTACTGTTCGTTGCGGCGGCTTTGAGTTTGGCCCGGAGACTCTCCGCAAACGCAAGGTCTCGGAGATCGCCTGTCAATTCTGCCAGACGGAGCGCTCCATCCACGCGCATGTTTCTCAGAGCGCCGTTTGGAAGGCGTAGGGTCTCTAGCTTGTCGCAGAACTGTGACAAATAGACATTGGGCGCCAGACCTGTTCCGCGGCTGCAGTAGTGCGCCATAGCGCTCATAAGAGCCGTCGTGGCGTCATACTGTAGCATGAGGCTGTTGTTGCCCCGGCAGTTTTGCACGCCCTCCCAAGAGGCTTCAATGACCGCAGAGGCGGAGCCGGTTTCGAGGCTTAGGAAGGAGCAGAGAGCTAGAAGGTAAGTGCCGAGCTTCTTCCCTCCCTTCTTTTGCCGTTTCAGATTCTCCGAACACGTCTTGACCACGTACTCGATCCTTCTTTTAAGAGTTGCCGCTCTGGCTGCAGACGAGGGCCCCGGGCCTTGACTTGATCCTTCTTCACTTAGTAGAACAACGGACCCAAGAGCTGCGATGGCGCTGATCAGGGTGTTTTGGGGTTTCCCGCGGAGTCGGGTTTGGGGTACGCCTCGAGGCCGTCTTGGGGATGCAAGGTTGCATAGTTGCTCGAGCGTAATGATAACAAAGTCGGCAGTGTCCTGGCAAGGCTTCATCTCGGTGATCAGACGCACCGTTGGAGGCCAGAGGGCCATGAAGCTTTTGGTCAGAATCCAGTCAGCTGGCAGCAGGCCGTCGGCAAGAAGGTCAGCCAGAATACCCTGTAGCAAGGTGCTACTAGAGGCTCTGCAACTGCGTAGCACGCGGAGTGGTCGAAGTGGTGGGGACGCGAAGAGGTCGTTGTCGCTTGGGTTGGGTTTTGGATATTGCCGAACAACAAAAGTGTTAATGAGGCCTAAACATTCTGTGAATGGCATGTATTCGAGGCATAGCCTTATCAACATATCCGTAACTGGGTCCTCCAACAAGCCCTCGGAAGCGGCGTCTTGAATGATCTTTACGCCATGAGCCCGTACCACAAAGCTAAGATGTTTCCATCCTTCAAATGGCCCCAGAGACTCCAGGTCTGAGTACACTTCGAAAGACATGCCCGCGCCTTGGGCCGCTGGCCTCTCGCCGTTCTCCTCAGCGTCTTTAGCCTCCCATTCCTCAAGCGCTGCTATGTAGGCTGGGACTTTGCGAAGACACATGGCAAGCAATGACTTTGAACCGGCCGTCTGGTCTTTCCGAGGTGAGGTGACCCTAAGGAGCGAGTCGAAAGCCTTGATGGCAGACTCATAGAGACCAAACTTCTCGCCATCCATTGTGGGGCGGAGACTAGCCAGCTCGGCCTCAAAGGCACATCGGGAAGATCTGCCGCAGCTTCCCTGATGGAGGCAGCGGCCATTGGTCGGAGCCGGCTCTTCTAGGCACTTCTCATCTGGCCCCCTTTGCGGAGAAGATTGCTGGTGATTCCGCACGCGGCGAAGCAAGGGAGTCGGCAACGCCAAATCCTGGGAGGCCTTGTTGTCTGGCTGGCGGCGCTGCTTCTGGGGAGTAGATGATGGGTCACCCGATGATGATGATGCTCTGCGAGATGCTTTTCTCGAATACTTGCGACATGGCTTCTTGTCGTCGTAGTCCGAATCGTCGGCGGGGTAACTTCTCTTGCCCAAAACTGTTCTCCGCGGCCTGGTAGTTCGACCCAGCGCTGCTGAGCCCGCGACGTTGTGAGTCAGGGCTCTGCGCTCCTTCACTTTTCTGAGGGACGCAACATGCGCGAGAAGCGGCCGTAGAAGACGGTGACATCTTGTCGCCGTCCACGGCAAGGACGTCTCGGAGAAGGCGAAGCTTTGTCTTTGTTGATCGCGACGTTTGGGCGATGTTGCTGAATGTTCCATCAGTGAAAATAACAGGCGAGCATAAAGTACAAAAAGTACAAAAATAAGTGACGTTAAGCAACCTATCGCCTGGTGGCGTGCTAATTGAGATATCGGGTCTTGAAGACCATGAGAGACATGGTATGAAGTGTAAGTATTTCTGTTCACTAAATTGTAAAGTTATCTGTCCCGTTGCTGCGGGCCAATCCGAGTGGTATGATTCGTTTCCGTTGTAAGAAATGTTTACTTGATTGCCGCTTTGGCACTAGCTTACAAGGTGGGGGTAGCAGCTGTCTGGTGTTTCCCGAGTCGTGCCGAGAGTCGCGTGGGCCGTGGGGTCTTGACTCAGGAAAGTCGGGTCCTTTCCGCTGCGTCCGCTAAACCGCAAATCTGCATCATGGGTCCCGGGCTAAAAAAAAAAAAAGTTCAACGCAGCACAGCTCGAATACATCAAACGACTCCGATGTCCTGAACAGCACTTCTCCCTGCCACTATATTGACTGTCGTTTCCTTTACTCAGGTGTTCGGCAGCAGATTGGATCTTCATATTCGCAATTGGGTTATTTTTGCACCCTCTATTGCTCTATTTGCCTCTAGATCTGGCTTGCTGTTGATCCTTTTATATCTTCTTTCGATTCGGGACGCCCGCAGAACCGGCCTGCTTTCGATCACGTAGTATTTATTCAATCCGCGCTATCGTTAGGCCCTGCTGTTCAAAATGGCTGATTCACAATCGAGCAATGTCGCCGCGCAGGCCGGTACGTCCACATGCCCCTACGATGGCGTGGAAACATGCAGTAGTTCGGCTCGTTTGCGACTGACACACTTCCTCGTGGCAGACAAACCAATTGCCGAGGCACCTACAGCCCAAGATACGCCCTCTGACAACTCGGCAACAACACAGGCTGTAGACGATGGTGCTGAACAGCCCGAAGGTATGTGACCCCGGCTTACCAAACGTCATGTCCATTGGATCCACTGGATGCCGTTGCTGATCCAACTGCTGTTCAGATGCCCCTTTCGCTGTGACTATTGTCCTCCCGAATGACTCCAAGACGCTTGAGCTCCCGGTACGTGTTGCAGCTAGGAAATATGGCAGATGGGTGCTAAGACGACACAGGTGTCACCCTTGGAGCAGATCCACGAAATCCGCCAGTCCATCATTGAGCACCCAGTTGCTGTGCAATACTCGTGCTTCCACCTCGAACATAACGGGCAGCGCATCAATGATTTTGTCCAGGTCTCGGACGTCGAGGGTCTCGCTTCCGGTTCGAAGCTGCACGTTGTGGAGGATCCCTACACGGAGAAGGAGGCCAGGATCCATTTCATTCGGATCCGGGAACTGATCGGAGCTGCTGGAGATCGCACCGACAGCGCCCAAGGCATTCTCGCTGGCGCTTCCGTCCATGATGACGTTGCAGCCCGTGCTGCCGAGGAAGCCGAGAAGGAGGTCCAGCCTTACGATTTCAATGCGCCAGCCGACCTGTCCGCCCTGCTGCCCAAAGAAACGGGCCCAGCACCCAAGACGGTCAAGCAAATCACACTGTCCCCATGGAACCCTCCCCCTGCCCCCTGGCGGCAAAAGGGCCATCTGCTTTACCTGGCAGTGACAACGAACGAGGGCGAGCAGTACCATATCACCGCGCACGTTGGGGGCTTCTTCGTCAACCAATCCAGCAAGGACAAATTCAACCCCTCTGCTCGGACCGATTCCAAGGGCGCTTCAGCTCATTCTCTGTTCACCCTACTAGAGAAGATCTCGCCGTCGTTTGCCAAAAGCTTCGCCGATTTCCAGCAGTTTGCCAATGCCAAGGACCCCTTAGCAACATTCCAGATTGGGAACACCATTCCCTCGGCCCCTTGGCTCGTGCCTCCCGCTTCGTCACCCCAGGTTGCCCACATCTCTGACGCGACCAGGTCCCAGGAAACATTCCTGCTAGGTGGCGCCGAGAACACAGACTCCCTGAGAGACTGGAACGAAGAGTTCCAGTCGGCCAAGGAGCTCCCCAGGGATAGCATCCAGGACCGCGTTTTCAGGGAAAGGCTGCTTGCCAAGCTGTATGCAGACTACAACGATGCCGCTGCACGCGGTGCCGTGCTGGTTGCTCGCGGGGAGGTTGCGCCTCTTAACCCCACAGAAGGCAGAGATGCCCAGATATTTGTGTACAACAATGTGTTCTTCTCCTTTGGTGCCGACGGTGTCGGCACGTTCACGAGCGAAGGTGGTGACGAGGCCGCCAGGGTCGCCACAGGGAAGGACGTTCTTGGTGTCAAGCTTGTGAACCAGCTCGATATTGATGGTCTGTACACCCCGGGCACGGTCGTTGTGGACTACCTCGGCAAACGCATCGTTGGTCAGAGCATTGTCCCTGGCATCTTCAAGCAACCCGAGCCTGGCGAGAACCAGATCCACTACGGCGCTGTAGACGGCAAGGACGTGGTCGCCGCCGACCAGAGCTTTGCGCCTGTGTTTGAGAAGCTGGCTCAGTCCCTGAGAGTCAAGAAGCACGCCGTCTGGGACAAGGAGAACAAGCGCTATGACCTGGAGGCGAGCGTCGAAATGAAGGGTCTGCTTGGTACAGACGGCCGCAAGTACGTTCTCGATTTGTACCGCATCACTCCGCTGGATATTGCCTGGATGGAGGAAAGTGGTCTCGAAGGCTTCGAGTACCCACACCGTATGACGGTGCTGCGTCCTGAGCTTGTCGAGGCTTTGCAAAAGCAAAAGGCTCGCGAGTATGTCAACGCGGAGTTGCTCAAGCGCGGTGCTTTGAAGAAGCAGGCCGATACGAACGGAGAAACAAAGGAGGACGACGCTGAAAAGCAATTGGATGAGAGCAAGCCCGAGGAGAAGCAAGCCCAAGACAAAACCGAGAATGAGGAGGGAAGCGAAGCGAAGGAGGCCGAGAAAGCCGAGAAGGATGACAGGATCGATATGTCAAGCTTCAAGTTCGCGTTGAATCCGGATGTCTTTAGCGGCCAGACTCCCCAGACCGAGGAGGAGAAGGCAGAGATGGCCAAGGACGAGCAAGATGTCCGGGCTGCCTGCGCATATCTTCGTGACACCGTCATTCCTCTCCTCTTGCGCGATCTCAGCGAGTCGGATATCAGTTTCCCTATGGATGGACGGTCTCTTACTGCCCTGCTCCATCGTCGCGGCATCAACCTGCGATATCTTGGCAAGCTAGCATCCCTGAGTGACAACCCCCGCTTAGAGTGCTTCCGCGAGGTGTGCATCCGTGAGATGATCGCTAGGTCATTCAAGCATGTCGCCTCCAAGTATCTCAAGACGTTGCCGGTGCCGTTAACCTCATCTTGCCTTTCACACCTTTACAACTGCCTTTTGGGCACTGGACTGAACCCTAAGCCGGTTGCTGAGGTTGACGAGTCTTACAGGCGACTTTTCGGGGATGCCGACCTCGCTTTTGAGCAGGTGACCCCCGAGAGCCTGAGGGAAGAGATCCAAGGCGAGACTGCCCGTAGGTTCAGGTTCATCTTGCAGGATGGCTGGTGGGAGCGGATCAGACATTTGCAGCTGCTCCGCGAAACCGCGCTGAAGTTGGGTCTTCAAATACAGATGAAGACCTTCCGTTTTACCCAGCACGCCGAAGAGTCTGCTCCCAGCAACGGGCAGGCTCTGGCCCCTTCGTCTGCTGCCGGCGAGCCAGCTGGTAAGAAAAAGAACAAGAAAAAGTCCCGCGAAGGTTCGCCAGCCAGTGTGCCGTCACCCGTAAGGGCGCCGCATACTTTCGCCCCTGACGACTTCGTCAATGTTGTACCGATAATCAAGGATTCATGCCCGCGCAGTGCGCTGGCTGAGGAGGCCTTGGAAGCTGGGCGTCTCTCCATCTACCAGAACCAGCGGAAGCTCGGCGAGGATCTGCTGCTCGAGTCGCTGTCCCTGCACGAGCAGATTTATGGCCTTGTCCATCCAGAGGTTGCACAGATGTACCACACGCTTTCTCAGTTGTACTTCCAGCTCGATCAAAAGGATGCGGCCGTGGAGCTCGCAAGGAAAGCTGTGATTGTTGCCGAGAGGACAGTCGGGCTTGATTCTGCAGAGACGGTGCTCAACTACCTCAATCTCAGTCTTTTTCTTCACCAGCGCGGCGATAGCAAGCTTGCGCTCGGCTATGCCAAGCATGCGCTCAACGTGTGGAAGGTCATCTACGGATCCGATCACCCCGACACAATCACCACCATCAACAACTATGCGGTGATGCTGCAGAGCATCAAAGCATACCACGAATCTCGCCGCTGGTTCGATGAGTCTCTGCGCGTCTGCGAAAGGGTGTTTGGAAGACAGTCGATCAACTCGGCCACGCTGCTCTTCCAGCTGGCGCAGGCCCTTGCTCTTGACCAGGACTCGAAGGCGGCCGTGGACCGCATGCGGGAGAGTTACAATATTTTCCGCAACGCTTTGGGACCCGAGGACAAGAACACAAAGGAGGCGGAACACTGGCTGGAGCAGCTGACGCACAACGCCGTCTCAATCGCCAAGCAGGCCAAGGATCTCCAGGCTCGCAGGGCGAGAGCCGGCTACCGTTTTGCTTCGCGGAACATCAGCGTCGGCGCCTCGGCCACCAGCTCGGCTCCGACGGAGCTGCCCGGCAAGCCGGCCCCTCCGCCCTCGATGGACAGCCGCAGCATCGACGAGCTGATCCGGTACATTGAGGGCACCGACAAGAAGAAGAAGCCCAGCGGCAGCGGCGCTGGCAAGAAGGGTGCTGGCCGCGGAAACCCCAAGAGAAGAGGCGGCGCATCCGGTGCTAGCGCCTAGTCTGGACCAAAACACGAGGCTTGTACTTGTATACTATTGCTATCTGGTTATACTCCTCTTTTCACCGGCTGAAGCCTGGCTGTATTTCTTCGAGGAATTGATGATGATGCCTTTGAGAGGAGGGGAGAAAACTACGCATGGTGGTTGCATGTATTGCATAAAAGTCCTATCTCTACCCTAAAACTTAAACCTACTCACTTCCAGCATTGTCTTGTAAATATCAGGAAGGGTTGAGCGGATTGGACAAGAAAACGGAGCATAGACGGACTTGTCGGGGGGGTATTGTATCACCATTGTTAGGTGTAAGCGAGCGTTTCTAGGCGACCTGGGAAATGGGAACAAATCTTCACTCTGTCATGGACGGGATGGAATTGGTTTCGGTTTGCGCTGGCTTTCGTCTTTTGCACCTTTCGTCTTGTTTTGTCGTTTGGAGGGTTGGCATACCCAGCCCCTTTTGGGCACGTGACTTTTGGATAACATTAAGGGGCTTATAAACACGGTGGTGATGGGGAGGGTATGCACGTTTATCAAGCAAAGAACCGGGAAGTGAAACTCTCCTGTTTGTTTATTATTGTGGCATGTGCTTTACTAAGGTACGGCGTTATGAGAGTGTTGGATGCTTGCATGTTGGTGACCTGGTTACCATAACGTTGGGAGGCTGGTTAGGGGATTAGGCGGTTAGTTGGTGGTTGAGAAACCACCAACGTAGTTGATAATGATCCAACGGCGCCAACAAGACAATGGCTAGGAGGAAAGTCTCGCTTTGGATGTGCAGAGGTATTCGAGTCAAAAGGATGGGTGTTGCCTAACACGGTTGAGACAGATTGTCTAGTGCGCATTTTGTGATACATGGCGTTTGTTGACTTGGAAAGTTGAGACTGGCAGAGTTCTGGATGTCGACAATTTCTTGGGCAGAAACGTATGGTTACTGGTTGAATTGCAGACTTTGTCTGCTCAATGGAGGAACCCAAAATCACAACTATTGTCATGAACCAGAAACTCTGACCCGAATTACGGCGTCGTATTCACAGATCGCAAGCGCGAAGTGGAGTTGCATTCCTGCCTCAACCCCGGATTTATTCGATTTTTGTTCGATTTGCTCCGGGTGGCTGGTCGCTTCCAAAGTCTCTGATGACGGACAAAGTGCACGTGCATTTGTCAGTTTTGCCCCACTCTGACTCAAACGGGCTGCGTTGATTGGGCATTGCCCCTTCAATCCTGCCTCGCGCCTTTGACGCGAAAAACCTGGGAGCGTTCGTGTGGTCAATTAAACAAATCACTCTTGCCTCGAGACTCCCACTGATTGTTCGACCCCAACTGGTAGATTTGCGGCCCTGCGAAGGATTGGAACCTCCATTGCGCTTTGCAGCCTCCGGTAGTCGGCGCATCGAGCTCCTTTCACGCCGACAGCTCGTACCATTGAGTATTCCGGCCGTTGCTCGCCTGGGAATCAACATTGTCGCATCCAAAGTGGCCGCTTGGCTGCGGCACCTGAATTCCGATCCGGGCAAGCCAACGTTCCGTCGCCAAAAACCACCTCCAACCCGTTCGCTACCCCTCCTCACCATCATCCACCAGATGATCTAGTGGCGCATCCCACGACGACACACACAAACACAAGATGCCTACGCCGCAGAAGCGCGCGCAACGCGCCCGTCGAGAGTTGCGTAGTGATGCCGTTGTTGAATCCTCACCCCCTCGCCCGACAAAGCGTAGAAAGAAGGTAAGGGCCCGAGCCTTGCGCCCCTCGGTCGCGCGCATCCCGGATGATTGCGGTCCCTCCCGAAAGACGCTTTTTGTCCCGGCCCGTGCATCTCCAGACCGACGCACAAACATTGCTGTAGCTGACCGTCCTTTTTGTTTGGATAGAATGGCGATGCGACCGCCGAGCCAGGTGAGACCTCGGAACCCATCGACGAAGGGGATTCTTCGCACGTTGCCGATCAGTCTGTGGTGGACGATGAGGACCAGATCGTCACGCGGGTGACGCAGCATCTCCTGGCCCCTTCGATACCGGTGCAAGCCAGCAGAGACCACGCAAACAGCATCCACGAGTATAACAAAGAAGGCGTCAAAGCCTATGCGAAGATCGCGGCACTCGATTGGACCTATTTTATTACCAAACTTAGTGTCAACATTGGCCGGTCGTCCGAGCCATCCCAGCTCCGAGCCGATCAGGTCAATGATGACGATGCCGTCCACATCGATTTGGGGCCCAGCAAGCTCATCTCGCGCCTGCACGCCGTCATCTACTTCAACCGCGACCAAGAGAAGTGGTGGTTGCTCGTCAAAGGCCGGAATTCGCTCAAAGTGGACGGAGTCTTGTGGAAGGCTGGCCAGGCCGGACCCCTGCACAGTGGCGAGGTTATTGAAATCGGTGGTGTCGAAATGATGTTCGCCCTCCCGACTGAGCTTAGCCCTCTCCGGATTGCACCGCAGTACCTTGAGCGGGCCGGCATTGTCAAGACGGAGCCATCCGCTGCGCCTTCGCGGCCGACGCGTCACCCCCTTCCATCGGGAGATGGCGCGCATTCGAGCTCCCCGAGTAAATCGTCGCGCAGCCAAGGCTCGCAGAAGCCACTGGCTCCGGCGCCGCCTGATTATAAGAGACCGGGTACCCCTCCCTCGGCTCGGGGTCGCGCCCCGACCGTTGCCAAGACACCGATGATTGAGCAGTCGGCAGGGCCCTTGCTCATGGGCAACGGCGATGTAGATCTGAGCTTGGACGAGAACCGTCACATCAAGCCTCAGTTTAGCTACGCCCAGATGATCACGCAGGCGATCATGAACACGCCAGAACAAAAACTCAACCTTTCAGGCATTTATCATTATATCCAGGCACGCTATGCCTACTATAGACATCAGCCCCCCAATGGCTGGCAGGTTAGTTTCGTTCTGATGCGCAAGCCCTGTTACACACAGCACTAACTCTGATTGAGAACTCCATCCGGCACAATCTGTCCCTGAACAAGGCTTTTGAGAAAATTGCTCGCTCCACGGACGAGCCTGGGAAAGGCATGAAATGGCAGCTCGTTCCCGAATCTCGCGAGGAGATGATTCGGTCGGCCTGGCGTGGGGGGCGGGGCGGCCACCGTGGCTCCTCGAACCCGTCGTCGCCAAGCCAACTGAGCTACATCACTTCAGGACCGAAGGACATGGCTGCGAGGGACCCTGCTTCGGCCCGTAAGCGGAAGGTGTCGCCGTCTGGGTCTCCGCAACCCCGCTCGACGCTCCGGGATTCGCATTTGACTCCCGTACGCGCGACACGCAAGCCCCTGCCAGATGAAGCCGGAACAGGCGCGGACGGCAGTCCATTGCCCCGCCTGAGAAAGCCGAATACATCGAGCACATTAGGACTTGTAGAGGCAGCGCCCGCGTCACCGACTCTAACGTCTTCTTATCTGCAAGACGATGGCGCGTCTTTCGTCACGCCGGCGCCACACAGAGTGCACCCCAAGCTTGCCCCTCCGAGCACAGCTCAGCGGCCGAGCCAGCACATGCCGACCAGCTCGCCGGCACCGTTTTGGAAGTACGCCGACATTGGCAGCACGCCGCTAAAGCCTGCCCATGCTTCGTTCGAGCTCAGCCCGTCAAAGCCAGGGGTTGGCCTGCCGGCTGCTAGCAGCAGTCCTCCGCCTGTGGCCCGCGGAAGCAAATCACCAGCACCGAGCCCGACCCGGGCCAGCAGCCGCCCGGCGGTGGATGACCCCCCGAGCCCAGCCGTGGTTGAGGAAGAGCATGGCTTTGATCTGACTAAGTATGCTCATTTCATACCCTTTAAGAAACAAATTCTCAGGGAGATATCGTCAAACTAACACTGCTCAACAATAGGGGCTTTCAGAGCATCGGCAGCTACCACGCGCCAGTTGGGCACGGCAAACAGGTGCAGCCCGCGGCAAACGGTGATTTGGCCGCCAGTGGCAGCGCTTAGAGCGTATTGTCGGCTGGCACGGCTCTCTTGAGCGTACTTACATGGCTGGCAAGTCCCTAGAGGCCGCCAGCATCATGGAGTCGCCACCCTGTATTCTTAACAACCGGGCGGCTTGCTTTGCTCACATTTTTCGTGTGGTCGCTCTGCATCTGGAATTGCTGCATTCCTTATCTAAGGACCAGACATATTCTGGGGTTTGGCGTTGATTGGAGGCTTGAAATTCTGATCAGGCCCGCACGTTTCTTCTCTCTGCTGATTTAAACGGGTGGGTTAGGGCGAATCGGTTGGCTGTGCATGAGCATCGGATCCGACAATTTTTTCGGGGAGAGGAGTCCATCATGAAGAACGAGTCTGATGTGTAGCATATGAGCATACGTATCCTATCAAATCCCTTTCTCCTCATGCGTTATTCGCATCACCAGGAAGTCTGTTTATGGATCACGAATCATGTTGTTGTTCCCTGAGAATGACAAGGGATCAGCCTACGGAGTTAAACGCTCGAAGAGGATACTCGTCAGAGCGGATTACATTTGTGAGTCGAGGTGTTGTTCCCTTGGGCACGAACGGACAGATGACCAGCGTAAGTGCCCATGCTAGATTAACGTGATGGGCAAACGGGCTGGCGGTTTTGTACTACCCCTGATTTACCCCCACGCGCTCTGTTTGTAAAATGCATATGTATGTACAGTACATACATGTACTCTACAACACGCACGGCTACGGCTTCACTGGTGTGATTCTTTATTGGTACGACTTTGCGCCCTCTTCCCGGCTGCGGAAGGACATACTCGGGCCGATACTGGGCGTTCGGTGTCTCGGGCCATTGGCTGCCGTCCCCGACGCCGTCGCAATCGCATCGCCCCTTTTTTGACGTTGAGAACCGGGACAGGCCGAGCGGCTGCAGTGACAGACTTCCGTGCATAAGGTACCTATCCCAAACTTGACGCACGGTAGACGTCAGGTGACAGCTTGTTTGCCGGGACACCGAGGCCTCTTTCTGTTTCCTACCTAGTCGTTTGGCACCAATGGAAAGGTTTGTTTGTGTCTGTGACGGTGCGACATGGCATCCATCGGCTATGTGTCGCTAGCGGATGGGATTGAACAGTATGCGACGGGCATCAAGGGTCCAGAGGGGATCTGGAAAGACCCTGCTCTGGTCTTTCTGGTTGATTGAATGTCTTCCATTTCCGGTGTAAGTCGTTTACACGGACGATCCCTGGATGAAAGTGTTTCAGACCTCAGCAAGATAATCAGCACAGTTTGTTTGCTAAATGATGAAGATCTCGGACTGACGATGACCTGGCACCCGCGGTTGCCTTACTCAATGCACACACGGCCAGCTGAAGTTTCCTCCTGGGGCAGGTGAGGCGCGCACACACCTTCCTCTTTTCTGACTCGACACCAGGAGCTCTTTCCCAGATGTGCAGTAACAACGGTGCGAACGAGACAAAGGCTCACGCCGTGACCGATTCAAGTTCCAAGTCCTTTTCTGACTTTGCCCGTCAGTCATACACCCAGTTACATGCTTCCGTTCAGCCGTCCATGTATCTGTCTGACGAACTTGTCGCAGGTCGTATACCTTGTTCTTGCCTGTCTCCTGTCATCTTTCACAGTTACCCGCCGTTTGAAGCGACGCAAACACTTGCTATCGGCCCTTGCTGAAGACCCGACACGTTGGGATGGCTTGGACTTGTGCTTATCCGAGCAACGATATGAGCAAAAGACGCCCTCTGACGGCCACCACATGGCAGAAACTACGGAGATCGCGAGGAGAAGCACAATCTGTGAGGCTGCCTGTGCCCCAGGCGCCACCACAGCAGCCGTTGGGCGATTGGTCTTTCCGTGGACCTCTGATACTGCCTCGTCTAGTCACAAACCCAGTCGGAAGCCCTGGACTAGACTGCACAGACGAAGGTAATACCAGCCGGCGGCTCTTACCACTCCAAGGTAACCCCGTGGTTGACGAAGCAATAAGAGCCCTGAGCGGATGCAGCCATGGTTCAGCCAGGCTACGTTACATGCACACGAAAATCTCAATTAGACTTTCTATGTAGTGCTGCTCGCCGACTGTCACATTACTGTGTAGATCCGGTAAGGCATCGGCCAAGAGCCGCTGCCATTGAACCGTGTCTCCATGGGCTCAGACTTCAGACTCGAAAATCGGCGTGAATGACGCATCCGAACTCGAAGGGGACGAGTCGTTCGAGAACTGCTTGTGAACCAAGGCATCTAGCCGTTTGTCACACCGCGTACTACAGCAAGCACATCTGATCTCCCGCCGTGCCATCTAAGGATAAGCAAGGATTCCTTGACATGTGCAGAGCACGTTCTTCCAGATGTCGGCAAGGAGGCTTGACATATGCAGAGGGCGTCCCCCGTCCGCTCATTACTGTTGGCCAAGACAGCGCTTCGGTTCTCGCGACTTTTCACATCACGGCGAGATAGGAATGGACGACTGCATCCTCGGGATGGATGTACCACGGAAGGTCCTCGGAAGGAAAGGGGGAGTCTAGCTGGCCACTTCAAGCCATATCCGCTTATCAAGGCTGCTGTTTGTGGGTTGGCCAAGAAAACATCTGTCTGTCGATACGTCCCTTTTCCAAACAAGCGAGGCGGGCCCATACAAGCATAAAGAGGCAGCTTCCGGTGTCTGTCGGTACACTTGCTAGGGCGTGCTAGCTAATTCTCCATCGAACGTTGTCAATTTCTTGCTTCACCAGTAAGGATGGGGCAGTTCCTCTCCACCACTTCCAAGTTTTCCCGTCAGGACACTCCCCGCAAGGCTGAGGCAGATATCTTGGACTCGACTTCAGAGTTGACCCGTTCAGATACTCTCTCGGACAATCTCCCAGTTCTTACCAAGGCAAAAGGCCACTACTGGTACCCTTCTAACGGCCCGAAGATCCTCGATGCTTGTGGAGGCGCTGGGGTTGCCTGCCTTGGGCATGGCCGCCGCGACATCATCAAGGCGGCAATTGCGCAGATGAAGGACTGCTCATACGCCTCATATGCCCACTTCAAGACGAGTCCAGCCGAAGAACTCTCCGACTGGCTTATTGAGAGCACGGGGGGAAAGATGCAGAAAGTCTACATAATGTGCTCAGGTAAGATAAACCTTTACTCTCACGAAAAGAGTCGGTACACGAGGAAAAGCCCACACTAAGCGTACGAAACCACAGGCTCGGAGGCAATGGAAGCCGCCCTCAAACTAGCAATCGAGTATTTCACCTGGATGGGCCAGCCATCCCGCGTCAACATCATAGCCCGTGACCAATCCTATCACGGCACCACCCTCGGCTCGCTCTCCGCATCGGGTCACGTCGCCCGGCGTGAGCCGTTCCGCGGCATTCTCTTGCCATCACGGTTCCACCACATCCCGGCCTGCAATCCCTACCGGCAGCGGCTCTCCTTGGCCGAATCGGACGCGTCCTTCGTGGCGCGCAAGGCGGCCGAGCTCGAGGCCGAGTTCCAGCGGTTGGGCCCGACGACGGTGGCGGCTGTGGTGCTCGAGCCTGTAGTCGGCGCCGCGCTTGGCTGCGTCCCCGCCGTACCGGGGTACCTCGCCGCGATGCAGGCCGTGTGCGTGCGCCATGGGGCGCTGCTGGTTCTGGACGAGGTTATGTGCGGGATGGGTCGCACAGGGACGCTGCATGCTTGGCAGAGTGAAGAGTTGGAGGGAGGAGGAGGAGAACGTTTGGCAACGACGGTGGTGCCTGACTTGCAGACAGTGGCCAAGGGGTTCGCCGGCGGCTACCAGCCCGCTTCGGCGCTCCTGGTCGGGGAAAAGGTGGCTGGCGTGATGCGCCGGGAGGGCAAAATGTTTACGCACGGTCATACGTACCAGAATCACCCTGTTGTGGCTGCGACGGCGCTCAAAGTGCAGAGAGTTGTGGAGAAGGAGAGGCTGCTAGAAAACGTTAGAGTCCAGGGGCGGTTGTTGGAGAGGCTGTTGAGGGAGCGTCTTGAGGGGCATCCCAATGTCGGAGATATCAGGGGGAAGGGGCTGTTCTGGGGAATTGAGTTCGTCAGAGATAAGAAGACCAAGGAGCCGTTTGAACCGGGCCAGCAGATTGCACAGCGGGTGCAGAGAATAGCCATGAGGGACTTCAAGGTGCTAATCTATCATGGCCAGGGGTGCGCTGGAGGCGGGCGGGGGGACCATGTCATGATCATGCCAGCGTATAATATCTCCAGCAAACTGATTACGGAGATAGTAGAGAGAGTGGCACGTGCTGTGGAGGAAGTCTTTCGATAGTCTGTCTGAGGTCGAATGCGATGGGAATAGGAAGGGTGAAGATACACTCCTGAGTCAGGGGCAAACCCACTAGATTGATACCACGACAGACATGGCAGCGGAGGATAGCGCAAGCAAGAAGCAATTGCGCGTGATTGGTGCTGAGAAAATGATGGAATATAATACCAAGCCAGAAGCCAATGAAAGGTGCATTTCGAACTCGTACATTTGATACCATCCGTGAACGCCATGCACGGGAAGGGAAAAGGTGAAATAGTAAGGAAAGATGAGAGGCGGATGAGACACTAGTCACAAGCAGACTCACACTACGGTAGTCCCCTCCATTCTGCAAGTGCCTTCAAAGCTTCCTCAAAGTTGGGCACCTCGTCTGCGCTGGCTGCGGGCTTCGACCAGCGGACAAACCCGTTCGCATCAACAGCAAAGGCGCCACCAATTTGCCATTTGCTGCCGCTCTGCTCCCCACGAGTGCTGATGAGAACTGTCAGTTACACGGCCGTCAAGTCACACCATGGAGTAACGACTGGATTACATATACATAAAGACTGTCGAAAAAGGGGGGAAAGGGGGTGAACATGACCGATAAAAAAGATGGATAAACATACGCTATCCTCTCCTTCTTTTGCAACTGGATAGTAGACCACACCGTCCACGGGTTATAGGCATACCACGTCGAGCTGGTGCCCAGGCCCCACGCGGCGAAGAGGTCGCGCTGCGGATTGACCACGACCTGGACGTCCCATTCGCCGCCAACCTCGACAATCCTGTGATCAAATACGCGTTTGTCAGGAGGAATTGTTGTTGGTCTGGTCTATGCAAGTTTGGGTGGTCTATTTCTAGAGCGCTAGAAGAAGGCGAGGAGGTTATAACTCACCACTTGTCAGTGTCTTCCTGGGTGGATTGTGAGACGGCCACGCAGTGCACCTCCGGGTGCTCGGTCGAGACCTTGGTGAGGAGGTTGAAAGTCTTCTCGGCAACTGCGGGGCGCAAGAAGAATTAATTGTTAGCTCAGCACTGAATCCATATTACATGTTTCTTAGTGACTGGGTCAGGTTAGTAGCAAGGGGTTGGTTGTTCTTGGTGGGGAGGGATGTTGATGCAGAAGGCACACGGGACTCGAGCTTACAAGGACAGCCGCAGTGCCGGAGAAAGACAACCATCACTGGCTTGTCGCGCGGAAACTGAACGGCATCACCCAACGACGGCGCTCGATCGCCCGGTTGCGGGACAGGACCGATCTCTTTGGCGGCGGGCTGATCGGGGGAACTTGAAGCCATTTACGCGCTGCCTTTGGGAGATGTTGACCAACTTGATGATTGAAGATGTAGATAGAGAGCACTTTAAGGGTCGAAAACGTCTGTATAATTCCTGTATAGTCTGCGAGCAGCTAGGTCGCTCTGTTCTTTGCGAGTCTCACTCAGGGGGGTTTCAACGGGCCTCCAATGACTTGAAAGTCTGGTGGAATTTTAGAGTGAAAGCCAGATGGCAGCTCTGCTGCGCTTGATGTCATTCGCGAATTGTTTGAACGCGAGGCGACGACACCCCGCCGAGCCCGCCACTCCCGGCCTGATAAGATAGGGTGTGTAAGTCGACTACCTGATTCTTTCCTCTTCGAGACAGTAACCACACCTGATCGTATGTTCCCCCGACATAAAACGATAAAAACACGCATAATCATCACATATAGTGTAGATCCTTTAGGTTCAACAAGCGACCTTATTTGGAAGCGGAGGAAAAAGGTGCGAAAAAGAACATACAACACCAGGGATTCGCTGGTCGTCACCGACCCAACTACTAATCTGGCCCTTACTGGTTTATTTAGGGGAGAGCGGACGGGATCCCGAGCTTTCCAGTAGGTATGGTCGTATGTACTTGTCGGCTCAGTAAAACCAGCTTATAAGATGGTGGTGCTGGGCTGTAGCAAGTAAGAAGGTTCTAGAATAAATACTATAAGTTACCTAGTACAAGTATTGATGCTCACTCTTACCTTCCCCGTTGGCTCCGCTTTCGTATGCACTTAAAGGGCCAACTCTAAAGAAATAAGTGCATACGAACTCTAGCCAACGGATATGTCTCTTGATGAATTGACGGGAGTGGGAGTGATGTTGCAACTATTTCCCATTGCAGGAAGACGTCAAGACACAGTGGCTGCCACAGTGCCACTTGGGCTAGGGTACCCTAACCCTACGCAATGACCACATTTCAACATCATGTCCAGATAGTCCGTATTCCTGTATCAAATACTACCCTATGTTGAACAGGAAACATCTGTCTATTATTCTTGTGTTTCATAAGCCCGGGTATCTATGCGCTTCACACTCTCTTAAGACCTCTTGGAGATCCAATCCCAATCAAATCAGAAATCCTGCTGGCAGCCAAAGAACAAAATCCTGCCAGACCACGCTCACTCATGTAACAGCTACATGCTCGGTCAACACGTCCCACTCGGCATCCAGCCCGCCTAGCTTCCGAAACATCATCACCCAGCTTGTTCCGTCCTCTTTGTCAGGCCCAATGATGGACTCGTGCACGCGGAATCGCTCAGGCACATCAAACGGTGCATCGGCGCTCCGCGAGACGGTCGCCGTCGGGCTCAGCAGGCCCGTGAGGTTCAGTCCTAGGTCAATGCCCAGGTCCAGCCCAGGGCCAATCCCCCCTGTCCCTTGCTGTTGCTGCCGCTGCTCTTGTTGTTGATATTGTGGGTGGTGGTGGTAAGTGTTCAACATCTCCATTACCAAATCAAATTCCATATCCGTGCTTTCCACTCCCTCGGCAGCGTGGAGGGACGGGGAAGACCCCTCAGACCCTATAGAAGGGGATCCCAACGACGTTTGCCGTGATTGCGCTCGCTGGTGCGTCTGAGGATGAGGTTGAGGGTGTGGGTGGGGCGTTGGCAGCGTCAAGGACATGGCAAAGGAGGAATGGTTCACGGGCGTGGGCGGCTCAAGGGCAATGCCCGGCGGCGCGTGAGTTGCCGACACAGCGCCCCACATTTCGGGAGCTTGCTCCGCAGATGCCGCTGGTCGCGGCCCGCGTCCGCTGATATAAGGGGATGCCGACGGAGCCGCGATGCCGCCGATGTCGTCTAGCGAGGAGGCAGTCGACGGCGCGACGCTGAACGAGTGCGCCGTGGATGACACCTCGGTGGCGTCGAAAAAGAGGTTTGGGTCGATGGGCGTGTGACTGGATAAGATGCCGCCTAGGTGGTCTATGGTTGGAGCATCTATGCTTCCTGTGGTAACAGAGGAAGAAGGGTAGGATGTCGTCGCCGGCGGCCTTTGACCGGCATCGAAGGTGTTAAAGAATGGTGTACCGCTGCCTCCTACGGCCGCTTCTCCCAGGTCAGCCCGGAAGAAGCTATCCGGGAATGGGGTATCGGGCAGGCTGGAAGCCCAAGCATCCCCCGGCCCGAAAGAGTAGGGAAATTGTGCTGACGGCTCACGTGGCGAAACGCATTGTGATTGCGGCTGGCTTTCTGTATGCTGGGGACGAAGGTGCTTCTCTTCGAGCCTCATTGTCCGCTCCGCAATGGCAGCCATGACGTTCGCGCGCCACAGATTCTCTCTCCGCGAAGGGTTGCGTCGGAGGAGATGCAATGCTGCCCGGCGAATCACGGGATGCCTGCACTTGGCGGCGACGAAATAGAGCGGAGCGATCACATGGACCTCAAAAGTGAACATGGCCGAGAGACGACGTGTGTCAGTGGTGGAGGGCACGGAGCTTGTTGGTCTACTCCCAGTGTGCTGCTCACTGATGGGCGGAGCGGCTGCAAGCGCGTTCATAAACTCGGTTGCAAGGGGAATGATGGCGGAGAATGTGTCGACATGGTCATCAAATACCGTCTCGTGCCTGCTGAGAGCGGTAGAAACCCAGATAAAGGTTGTATGCATGTGGATTTGTAACAGCGCGATGCTGCCTGGCGGCCCATCCCGGCCTTTTGCCGCGCGGAACAGGGAGAAGGCGACCTTGAACTTGGCAAGCTTCCTCAGCAGATAGTCCTGCTCATTCTCGAAGGCTCGCATGTCTTCTGAGGGTATCTCGCCAATCTTGGCTGCGTGGGACTTTTTGGCGAACCGGAGACACTCTTCCATAAAGTCGTAGAAGACATACCGGACCTCATCGATGGTTTCAAACATGAGGGGCACCTCGGTCAGCGTCTTGAGTGGCGTTGGTATCATTACGGGATCGCCGCTAAGCATCAGCGACGTTAAGCTGAGCCGGGTGTACATCGGGACGAGGTGCTGCTTGATGAGGTCAAGCTCCGGGCTTCGCATCAACGTTTTGCGCCCCAGTTGACTGAGAATCTGCCGTCCTTGCTTGAGATGATCCAACGATTCCCGGTCTTTGTTCTGCATCAGCTCGATGCACACGAAGAGGACGCATGTAAGGAGAGGGACCAGAGGTCTCGCGTCAGCGGTGCGCATCTGGTCCAACAAACACGCAATGGCTCGGTTATATTGATACAGGGCGAACGAGGCTCGGTCCTCAGCATTCATACTAGGTGTCATCATGGTGTTCTGCACCATGCCCTCGTGAAGGCTACTGACAGCTAGGACTGCGTGCCTCACAGCCGGCTCGGACTGGCACATTTGGAGTACCAAGACGCGCCAGAAGACGCCATCGAGGTCTCCGGACAAGGATGGCGCGGTGATGTGCTGGAAGAAGTGGAAGGCGCGCCGTTCGTCTGAGGAGGCCCACTGATAGAGCATGGTCAAAGGCGCTTGAGGCGGCCCCACGGTGCCGTGGGCTCCCAGACCAGCGGACCGACGCCGTCGCTGTGCCATGGTTTTGGCGTCGAGATATCCATCGCACCTGCGGCCCGTCTTGGTGCAACGCATGCAGAACGGTTTTCCTTCATCGCACTTGACCTTGCGGATTCTGTTTCATGAACCGAGCAGGCCTTGGGTTAGCGACAAGAGCGTCCATGATGTCACTCCCTCAGGCTGTCTTGGAGCAATGATGGGAGACAGGAAAGGGAAGAAGAAGAATAAACAGTGGTTGGGGGGAAGGCACTCTCGATAACATGGGGAAATGGTCGCCGACTCACTTGCATGTTATACAGCCTGTCCTGACCTTCTTGGATCCTTTCCTTCCTGAATGCGGGGGCCGTGTGTTGGTTGCGGCCGCGAGTGAATCTGGACCCATATTTGCCGAAATATGTCTTTTGTTGATTCCCTCCGCTCGGTTCTCCTCTCTTCCCGGTCAATTCTTCTCTCTTGTGGCCCTCTGTTGGGAATCTGGACGAACAAGGTCATGCCGCAGAGCGCGCCGTGGTCCGAGACTGGATGGGGGATGTGGTCCCCGAAGAGCGAAGGTGCGGTCAGCGGTTCCCATATAAGGTCTAAGCACAGCAGGTGCGACGACACCAACCCGCTTTCTACCCGACGGTACTCTAGAGAAATGGGACAGCCTCGGTTTCTAGATTGCCACCCCCCGGCCATCCCATGGACCTGGATCAGTGCCACTGCCGCTGGGCGAAAACCATGTTTAAACGGACTCAAGGATCTGACTATGCCCGCAGCGCTGCGCCGGGTCCTTCGGCTTCCCCAGGCCCAGGCTCTCAAGGTATAGTGTACGCATACAAGTACCATGGACTGTACAGTATGTACATCAAAACCCGGAAGGTAGCACTGGAGCACCTCCCGCTAGCATATCAATTTACATACAGTACGGTACCCTGCTAGGCTAGGTCCGCTAGTAGCTGCCTGCCCTCCATGTTTGGAACAGTTCCGTCCCAGCCAGGAAACATAAGGTAAATGAATAGGAATAGGATCGATTGCCTGTGGCATGCATGTTTTGGCGTAGGGGCACGGGGCTGGTTGGAGGGCAATCAACACCAGTTCTTGTCGCCGTGGGGCACCTGGGGTAGACATGGACAAAGTGTAAAGTAGTTTAGTGCATTGATGAGTGAGCCAATATACAACTTGGGCTGTGTGGGTGGGTTTCACAAGCGGAGCTTCAAGCTTATCTCGGTCGTTGAGCATCCTTCTGGAACCCTACCAGTCCTCCAAGCGCTTGACCAGCCAATGTCGAACAAGGGCGGCAACAGAACCTTCCGCACTTGCGTGGAGATTGTAGCATTGCATCTGCAGCAATAGGGCGAAGTGTGCCAGACCTCACCACTGGTATCCATATTTGAAATCAACATCTCTTCCAGCTAATGTCCTGTACTCACCACTCACCGCCACCTGGCGAGCGCTGGCGGTTGTAAAGAGTTGGATATGTCATCGAAAGTGAGACGAACGAAGGTGATTTAGCATCTCTAAACAAAGGTGGACTCAAGTACTGTACCTAACATCTCAGGACAAAATCTGAGACAATAAACAGGTTGCCGTTTCCAAATGCAACCAAAACGCAACCGGTAAATTGCCCATGCTTACGTGAGTCTAAAATGAGCGGAGGACGGAGGTAAGGTAGGGCTACATATCCCGATTCCCGAAGCGGAGAATTGCAGTTTCTCCAATCCTCCTTGCTCGGCCGTTTTTCTTGGCCCCCGGTAAGTGGGCGGGCAGCTCAGCTCAGGGGCACTGTCTCATAAGGCTGTCTGAACTCTGATGAAGTACTAGGAGGTAGGAAGGTATGATGTGGGTTCTCCAATGCGGCAAAGCACTCGCATCAGACTGTGCTTGAAAGCTACTTCGTACCTGATTTCCAATCAAACGATGCCCGGGGAACGTTAGGGCTGCTGCGCCTTGTTTCCGCATGCCCGTTTCCATGGAGGGAGTATTTAGGTATTGTGCATAGCTGCGGTCGCTGGAGCCGGGCTCATAGGTCTGGGTCGTGTCCGTTCTGGGCTCCCGTGTCATCTACATGTACATACAAAACTGAGTGTGAACCTTTGGGGTGTTGACTGCTTCCATGTTCGCGGTCTTTGCGTCTCATCAATGGCTCAATATAAGGTCCGTTGAGTGCTCGAGAGCTAGACCAGAACCCATCCGACATGGAATCGACAACGTCCTGGCTTCCCCAAGGGCTGCTTATGAATCAATCATCAGAAATTGAGAACTAAAACGACCTCGGAGACTTCTCGCGTACATATCTGATCATCATCTGCGCATGGCTTGGCGTCGTTCCATCGGTTCGCAAACTTCTCGAATCAGCTCAAAGGGATCTATACCCTCTGTATGTACCGTTGTGTAGCACTGCCCTGGCCCGTTTGCTGGGAATTTGCAGACCGCAAGTCGAATAGTCGATGCCTAATTTCCTGGCACGATGCACCCTCACACACCACCATAAGCTGCCCGTCAGCCACTTCTGCACGGTTCCGCAGTCAGGGACGTTGCAATCTGAGGACAGCCAAGAGGTCGATCGCAGCCAATCATGTTCTACTCTGCCCCGGGGAACAAGCTTCCTTCCCGTGGGACTTCGGCTTTGGTACCTGTTTATTAGCGATGACAAGGCATCAACACCGTCCGTTCAAAGTAGATGGGCTCGAGATTGGATAACGTCCGGCAGGATTAGGGCTGTACAGTGGCGTTCCCTTAGTCAAATATAAGTCAGCATGCCAGTTATTCCATTGCTACTGTATCTCCATGCTTTGGCGCTATGGAGTGAGTGGAGTTACTTCTCCCGATGTTCGAACTTCCAAAATCCGGGGTCCGGACCTAACGGCGTGTTGATGGGGAAGCGGGGCCGTCCTCCGGGCTGCCTCCCTCACCCAGCCGCGCTTCCAAAGACCGTGCAGCGTAGCTTGATTGGGCCGTTGATGTTGAGACTGGACGTAGATAAGCTCAAGCTTCCAGGTTGATGTGCCAGCGTCTCCAGATCAACAATCAGGGTCGCGCTATGAAGTTTGTACTCCGTAGCGCCCGCCGCTCTGACGACTTCAAGGCGCCATTAGCCGATCAAGCGAGAAAAGGCGACACCAGCCTATTGGGCGACTGTCCGAAGGCACAGCATACGTGAAATAAACAGCAGATCTGCAAAGTATGCGGTGGCACCTTGTTCGGTCGCAGAACGGACCGGCTCAGTGACACTCGTGGGATCTTGGCGTCATTTCAAGATCTGTGATCGATAATCGCGCTCTACAGATTTGCCAATGGCGAGCTTCGGCGAACCCGATTTCCCCTGATGCAGCATCAAGGGGTTGTACTGTACAGTACCTAGGTGAGGGATCGAGCACCGGTGAGGAGGTTCCCGAAGAAAGTTAAGATGCCTCTGCCCCCGGTGGCGTCAGACCCTTCTCTGAATGCCACTGGCAGCTGTTGTCATACAAGGCACCTCTTGAAAGCTGCTTCGGCCTCGTGTTGTGGAACACAATGTGAGCAACCCAAGCACTCCAAGCACCTGGAATGGCAGGGCTGAAACATAGTAGAGTTGACTGGCTCGACACCAACTGCACCGTGAAGTACCGTGGATGCTGAAGAGCCACGCGGCTCTGTCTTTTTTCCTGGCCATACGCGCCTTAGGGCGCTAGAACCAAGAATCCTTGATCCTCTTCCGGACCTGGAAATTGGAACAGGGGAAGCAGCTTAGCTTAGCAGACGGGGAGGGTCAGCATTGTGACGCGTGTGTCGCGTAACGACACCTCGTAGGGATCTAGCTCGTCCGCGCACCGAGCTTGCTTCGCTCCGTATAACATCCAAACGCGGGTTCGACAAGTCATGGAGGACCGTTTCCCGAGCCAGTGGCTCTTGGTAAAGGGAGGGTTTGTGGCCATGCCTGGTCGCACGTCCTTAAACCGCAATCTTCTCGCCGACTTGTCGCAGCCGCCGAGTCACGAGACGGAGCTACTAAGAATGGCCCCAAGCATAATTTGAAGCCCTCAACACTCTGGACAGCTGTATCCTCCGCACGATCCGCTCCGCGCCGGTCGATGAAAGCAATCCGGAACTACCAAGACTTCTGCCACAATCAGCTTTACGCAAGGTCTGCGGATCATTAGCAGCCAGGTCGACCTCACTCGCTCCTTTGTGTTGGGGTTCGAAGATGACGCTTGACAAGCGGGTATAGAATCTATGGGCGATGACCTCCCCCTCGAGAGCTGGTCGCCTCACTGCTCGCTTCCGGCAACAGGGTGTCCATCAGGACCACCCTGAAAATCAAATGGCCCCTCATGAATGCAAGCCACGAGAAAGCAATTAGAGCTGTGCAAGGCTAGCAAGCGGCGGCTGATTCGACTGTACAGGGTCGCCGATGGGTATGTGAGGCATGGCACAAAGTTGCCCGCAGTCTCCTAAACGTCCTCACTGAAAGTCGACTCCTTCCGGCTGGCGTCACTGCTTAGATGATGCACTTCGACCATGGCCGGGCCTCGAAATGAGTATCGAGCCTTCTAACACCTTTTCGATGGATGGTCTCCAGCGCAAACGCTTTGCTGGGGCGAGACACACTGAGGAAAGCAGCTGAGCGACATTGCTGGCCTGCAGAACGAGCTTCAATCCTACGAATATGGTGTTGGGCGACGAGGGGTCCCAGAGCGGTCCAGCAGCGATGTTCGGCCTGTGGTGGCGACACTCAACTTCGCAACGGTCATTGTCGACGCGATTTGGCTGTGCCTGGTGCCACACTCAGACTCCAATGCGGGTCCGGCAAGAGAGAGCGATGCTGGCAAGTCAATACTGTCTCAGCTCAGTCGGATTGAACAATTGTTTTCCGGCGTCGCCATTTGCCTTTACACTAGAGGCTCTGTCAGCAGGCTCTTGAGTTGCTTGAGTAATGAACGTTGGAATGTGTTGGAAGGTTCCACAGCTGATAGTGAAAAACAGATGCTGTGAGTGCTGGAAGCGGAGGTTTGCACAACAGGTTGGGACTTGGCAACCAGAAGAGCTTGGGCCAACTTAACAGCAGTGCCTGAGAGTGCACGGACTTTGCCGCCCAAAGCTCCGCAGTCGTCATCTGAGTGGCCGCCTGGAGCCAGTTCGCCGCCTGCTGGCCTTCCGGAGACCAAAGACCGATAATCATCAAGGAAAGGCTGCAACGCTTTAAGGTTCTTTCCTTCATCGCAAAACTCTCTCTCCCAAATCCAAACCTCCCTTCATCAAACCTCTTTTCTCTTCCTGCCCACGTCAACTCGCACCTTTTCTACAACCCACCCTCTTGACTGGTGCCCGCCTCCAGCTTTGCGCTGTCCTCACTCCCCGCGATTTCCTCAACGTTCCCGGATCAGACCGACAAGATGGCACCGGAGCCTAACCCCGATCACCGCGAGCACAAAAAGAAGGTCAATTTGACGTATGTTGCCTTATTTTGATGCCTTTCAAGTTTTTTGGAAGCGATATAGCCAGCTAACCATGGATACAGCGATGCATCTGGCGCCGAGCGCAAGGATGAGGATGACACGGCCACTGCCATCCTCAAGAAGAAGAAGAAGCCTAACCAGTTGATGTACGTGAAATGTGCCCTTAAACTCTTTTCAGGCGGCTTGCTGACGAGGGACAGGGTCACTGATGCCGTCAATGATGACAACTCGATCATCGCCCTCTCCAACAACACAATGGAAGCGCTCCAGCTGTTCCGTGGCGACACGGTGCTGGTTCGCGGCAAGAAGAGGAAGGATACCGTTTTGATCGTCCTTGCCGACGATGACTTGGATGATGGCAGCGCTCGTATCAACCGAGTTGTTCGCCACAACTTGCGGGTGAAGCACGGCGACATCATCACCATTCACCCTTGCCCTGATATCAAATATGTGAGTACCGAGCTGCCCGCGCTGGCATCTGGACAGGATGTTGACAATGCCTCAGGCCAAACGGATTGCCGTTCTGCCGATCGCCGATACAGTTGAGGGCTTGACCGGCTCTCTCTTCGACGTTTTCCTCGCGCCGTACTTCCGGGAAGCGTACCGACCCGTTAGACAAGGTGACCTTTTCATAGTGCGTGGCGGTATGAGGCAAGTCGAGTTCAAGGTCGTCGAGGTCGACCCGCCCGAGTATGGCATCGTTGCTCAGGACACGGTCATTCACTGCGAAGGCGAGCCCATTCAACGTGATGAAGAGGAGAACAATCTCAAGGAAGTCGGCTATGACGACATTGGCGGTTGCCGTAAGCAGATGGCTCAGATCCGGGAAATGGTTGAGCTACCTCTGCGGCATCCTCAGCTCTTCAAGTCGATCGGTATTAAGCCTCCTCGCGGCGTTCTTCTCTACGGGCCTCCAGGTACTGGTAAGACGTTGATGGCTCGTGCCGTTGGCAACGAGACGGGTGCCTTCTTCTTCCTCATCAACGGGCCCGAAATCATGTCCAAAATGGCTGGCGAATCCGAGTCCAACCTGAGGAAAGCGTTTGAGGAAGCCGAGAAGAACTCACCTGCCATCATTTTCATTGATGAGATCGACTCAATCGCCCCCAAGCGTGACAAGACAAACGGCGAGGTCGAGCGCCGCGTGGTGTCTCAGCTCCTGACTCTGATGGACGGTATGAAATCACAGTCCAACGTCATTGTCATGGGTGCAACCAACCGTCCAAATTCCATCGATCCTGCTCTGCGTCGTTTCGGCCGCTTCGACCGTGAGGTCGATATCGGCATTCCCGACCCTACTGGCCGGCTTGAGATTCTGCAGATTCACACCAAGAACATGAAGCTGGCGGATGACGTTGATCTGGAACAGATCGCTGCCGAGACACACGGCTACGTCGGCTCCGATATTGCTGCCCTTTGCTCCGAGGCTGCCATGCAGCAGATTCGCGAGAAGATGGACCTCATCGACCTCGACGAGGATACCATTGACGCTGAGGTGCTCGACTCGCTCGGTGTGACGATGGAGAACTTCCGCTTTGCCCTCGGCGTCTCCAACCCGTCGGCCCTCCGCGAGGTTGCCGTCGTCGAGGTGCCCAACGTCCGCTGGGAAGACATTGGTGGTTTGGAGACGGTCAAGCAAGAGCTCAGGGAGAGCGTCCAATACCCTGTCGACCACCCTGAGAAGTTCCTCAAGTTCGGTCTCTCGCCATCCCGTGGCGTCCTGTTCTATGGCCCGCCCGGTACTGGTAAAACGATGTTGGCCAAGGCCGTTGCCAATGAGTGTGCTGCCAACTTCATATCGGTGAAGGGCCCTGAGCTGCTTTCCATGTGGTTCGGTGAGTCGGAAAGCAACATCCGCGACATCTTCGACAAGGCTCGTGCCGCTGCCCCCTGCATCGTCTTCCTCGACGAGCTGGATTCCATCGCCAAGGCTCGTGGTGGGTCTGTGGGTGATGCGGGCGGTGCGTCGGACCGTGTGGTCAACCAGCTCCTGACTGGTAAGTTCTTCCACTTCAGACAAATTTGGCTCATGCACATATGCTGACACATGGTTACTAGAAATGGATGGTATGACTTCGAAGAAAAACGTCTTTGTCATTGGCGCTACCAACCGACCTGAGCAACTTGACCCTGCGCTCTGCCGTCCTGGCCGTCTGGACTCCCTCATTTACGTACCTCTGCCAGATGAGGAAGGCCGTCTGAGCATTCTCAAGGCTCAGCTGCGGAAGACGCCAGTCGCTTCCGATGTAGACCTTAGATACATCGCCTCCAAGACGCACGGCTTCTCCGGTGCCGATCTTGGCTTCATCACTCAGCGAGCCGTCAAGCTGGCCATCAAGGAGGCTATTGCGGCAGACATCCAACGGACCAAGGAGCGCGAGGCCGCTGGCGAGGATGTCGACATGGAAGACGACGAGGACCCCGTTCCCGAGCTTACCAAGCGCCACTTTGAGGAGGCCATGCAGATGGCTCGACGCTCGGTTAGCGATGTCGAGATCCGCCGCTACGAGGCCTTTGCCCAGCAGATGAAGAATGCTGGTCCTGGCGCCTACTTCAAGTTCCCTGAGGGCGGGGTGGAGAGCAGCGGCAACGCTGGAGGCGCCGGCAACTCATTTGGCGACGCCGGTAACGACGATGGCCTTTACGATTAGACGACTTGGGCACTCAAGTCCTAGACAGGTGTGGTCATGGGTTTTCCGATCTGATGTATTCTAGTTTTCCTTCTACTTCATGATCCCTCACCGTCTGCGCACCTAGCAGGGAGTCCTTCGGGGCCAAAAAGAATGCTGGGCGATGCTACCTCAGCTAATGCCCACTCTGTGGTTCTTTTTGGCAAACAAGGGTGCTGCATCGGAGAGGCGGAGTCGGATAGAGGGTCCATATCATGACACGAGGCCGGTTGATGGACTGCGTACAGGACTGCTCTGCGGCCCGTCAGAGATAGCGCAGGTTTCCAATCTATAGATTGCGAAAAAAATACTACTCTGCCTCGGGTTTAGTTTCCCTGTTGTGAATGAATGTTTTGCGATTGGTGTGGTTAAATTGTGCTCTGCAAACCTGGTCCACTTGGACAATACAATACAAGCGACATTGCTTGTTCATCTGACTGGACTAACAGATGGACCAACTGGCCCAGATGTGGCGGGTAGAGTTTCTGCAGAGTTCGTGAAGCTGAGGAGCAGCAGAGACCACTGCCAGCGCCGTCTTGGTCGAACTGGGCCTGGTTGTGTTTCAGCTCCCCGATCATGGGATTGATACGGGGCGCCTCTTACCCTTGGACTGAGGCGGGACTCGAGCGGTAACGTGGATTGGGTTGATCGGCAAAAGCTTGGATAAGCCAAGTGCTGTGACCGTGTTTGTGTCTGTGTGCGAGGCAGGAGATACCGTTGGTTTAGTTTAGCTTTGGAGGATAGTCAATGGTCCGTCAGGTCTCTTGAGCCCAGTATGAAGTATGTAAGTGCAGCAGCGGAGGTTCACCGGACGGATGGATGACTGGATTCATACTATGCGCACCAGACTCTACTCTACTCTACTCTACTCTACTCTACTCTACTCTACTCTACCTGCTAGGCTGGGAAGGGGCATGCGGCGGATGCTGAGTAACTACTACTACCTTGCCTACGAAGCAGTGTAGTGCAGAATTTGTCTCGGAGAACAGGACCTCCTCAGACCGGAGGCTCTGTTAAGAGGGGTAGTAGAGAGGATGATTTTTGCTTACAAAATTTTGGCTGCACTAACAGATGTTCCCCTTCTCAAAATACCTTGACAAGTCAATCAAGCCAAGTAGCTAATTATCCCTTCATCTCCCTCCTTCCCAGAGGGGAGCGAACGAACAAACCAAGGGGGTTCCGACAAGCCATTGGAAACTGTCGATCAATTGATCACGGTTATGGTTACGGTCATGGTCACTGGGTAGGAGAGAAGTTCAGGCATCTAGATATCGAGATGAGCACGAGGATGAATTTCAGCCAAGGTTTGCCCAGGGGGTTCCTTCTGAAGGGATGGGATTCGATAGGAACGCTTCATTCCGTGCTATAAGGGTAGAACGTGGAATAACTAGGTACCTGTCCTAAGATTGATTTGAGGTCCCAGACACAGGGCCACGGGACTTGGGGTTGTGGTTTGGAGCGACGCTGCTGGCGGATGGCTCTGATAACGATTCCCTAAGCGGCGCTAACTGATGGACGGACTACCTTACGGCGGCAGGTTGTGCGGGCTGCATATCGAGGACCCGGTCATTGGTTTGGCTAATGGACTGTGACGGTTGGAGCTTCGGGATTGGACTCGTGCCGTATGGAGCTTGGGACTTTGAAACCAGCCATTTGATCAAGCACGGCTCTGTTCATAGGGGCACATGCTGTTTTGTACTGCGGGCGTCTGCACAGGACGCCCAGAAGAAGAGTCTATTATACATTGAAGGGGTTTTGAGGAGTAAAGAAACTTTCGTTATCTACGTTGTGATCATCATGTGGTTTGTTCGCCCAGTTTGCCGTTGAGCTGTTTAGCCGGGGAGGTATGTGGTTGGGAGGAGCAGGACTGCTGTTGCCATCTCGTCCCTTCCGCTGGCCATCCTCCTCCAAGTGATGACCGACATTGCTGGCATGGTACTTGTGTGCAACCCGTCTGTCACTCGATGCCCCTGCATTGTCCTTGTGAGATCCCATGGCCGCTCTGTTGTGAGGTGTGAGGGAGCGACGGCAGGCCCTGCCTACCAGGCAGCGCATTGGGCCAAACGGCCTGGCCTGTCTGGCCATGTATCCATCTATTCGCCTCAGCCCGGCCATTCATGTGGTTCCGCTATCTTCAAGTTCACACACCGTATCCAGACATTCTCGCGTCACCTTCAGAGCTTCGTCGACAACCGCCTGCGGGACAGCCAGGCTTGGTCTGCCGGCGCTGGCGGTGTTATTGCTGGCCGTTGCGCCGTTGGTACCTTCTGTCTTCTTGCCATTGACTCCTCCTCCTCCTCCTCCTCCGTCGTCGGAAGAACTGGAACCGTTTACGGGCCGGGTGGTGTTTGGCGCCAGCGCTGTGTCTTGCCGTACATCTTCGATGACGCGGCGAAGGAGGGCAGGGAAAGTGGTTACGTCGCCGGAGCGGAGCAGAGAAAGCGCGTGGGTTTGGATTACTGTGGGCCAGTTGGAAGGGTGCGCGTGGAGGGAATGGAGGAGGTGGTCTTGAATTCTGTGCAGGCGAGGGTGAAGTGTCAGCTCGGTTTTTTACCATGCTTTTGCAGTGGATGAGAACGCAGGGAAGGGACTATGTAAACCTACTTTGTAACATGGCCGTCTTTTATTAGCAGAGTGTTGATCTGTGACCTGAGGTCAGGGTCGAGTGTAGCGGCTGTGTAGTTGGCAGCCGAGGAGGGCACCTTGACGGGCGTCGCGGGATTCTGGCTTGCCATGATGGGTCCCGGCTGAGGGGTTTTGGAAGAGGAGTAGGTGGGAACCAGATGTCGTCCTTAGAGTCACGATATTGAACGAGGCACCCTCTGCAGGCAGATTTAATGGCCGCTCGCTAGCGGGCTTGCCCCGATTGGCGCTGCTTGCCGCAGAGGCAAGAGGTGCCGAGATGGTGCAGCTCAAAAGGTGTTTACGGGTCACAGGAGGGCGGACAGCGCGCAGGAACGTGTTACAAACACGACGGGCAGTCCTACTAGCAGAGACTGCAATTGTAACTAGTCGCGTAGAAGAAACCAAGATGAAGCAGGGAGCATATGTTCGACCGTTCGAATTGAGATGCTGCGCAAGGCTGAAGGATGTCTGGAGCAAGGCTGAATGAATACCTTACGGACCGTTGAACCCCGAACCGAATCGTCGGCACGTGAGATCCGCGAGACCAGGGTCGGTCGGTCCTGCCAAGATGGGGAACAAAGTCCGGGGTCCGCTTGCCAAGATCTCTTGCAGTCGTTGCTCCCAACGACGGGAATTGAAATTCCAGACTGTTTTCGCCCCTTTACAGTACCTGCCGTTTCTCAACTTCATTCCGTTCTTTTTTTGTTTTTTTTTTTTTTAACATAAGTACGACGACAACTTCAACGAATCTACAGTCGGAATTGCGGGTTCTCGCAGAGCTTCCCGAACTGGGACGCACAACTCTAATTCCAGTCAACCTAATTAATTGATTAGTGAAAATTCCAACATTTGATGACAGATTCTCATTTCCTTCCTACTTCAAAGTGCATTTACTGTACATCCTAGACTATGCGCGATGTGGTGTGATAGCTGGCCGCGCACACAGCAATGTCCGAAGTACCCCGGGACCGCCCGAGAATGTAGGCGAGTGATCGACCCTTCGGCGGGCAGACGGGGCCAGACCAAGTCTGGCCCTGTTATCTAGGCTTCGGCTCTAAACGCTCCAACGCAACTCGGTGGCTGATCACTGGGCACGAGAACACCAAGAAGAGATTGACCAGCGCTTTACTACCGAGAACCGAGGTGCTATCTCTTGGATCTTCGACCTGGCCATCATGGGCCATCACACTCGTCGGTCGTTATTCGTTATTCCCACCGACCATGGACAAGCTCTAGCTTTGATGGCGCGGCTGCAATCGCCAACGGGCGGTCGCACAACGAACCGCCTTGGCTAGCATGCCATGAAGTGGCCTGATTTCTGTGTCTGTATCTGCATCAAGAGGACCGTGAGGACCGTGAGGGCCGTCTTCCTCCTAGTAGCCATCGTGTCTCGGTGGAGCGAGACCATGGGACGCCTAGATAGCAAGTCGACTGGTGTTGCCCTCCCGGACTGCCAGGTATAATACAGCTTCTTCTGCTTCGTCCAGATCCAAGCTGTCCGTCGGACTCAACTCTTCTCCTACGCATCGTCTCTGCCAGGAAAAGACATCAAGACCTTCTCAGCCTCTGATCCGAAAGAATTCGAAACCGCCACACGTCAAGACAATGCGTTCCGCACCAGCCCTCGTGGCCGGCCTCACGGCTTGGGCCTTCGGCGTCAACGCAGCGCCGGCCACGCCGGTTGTTGACCGCCGTCAACTTGTTGTTCCTCCCGACATGCCCGCTGTCTTCACTTACACGTGGCCCAACTGGTAAGCAACTGCAACTGCTTGCTCACATCCGATGCTGCTTGGCCAGACACAAACCGGGTGGCTAACCTTTGCTTCTTGCAGTTACCCCATGGACGACTTGTCTTTTAGAAGCTCGTCTTTCACTGGCGATGTAAGTATTTTATTTGGCTTCCTTACCCCCTTGCCCCTTTCACCCCTCCCTGTCCTGTCTTGTTACTTACAATCGTGCAGTTCGAAGTCCCCAGCGACGTAGCGTCGCTTCAGCTGACAGTCCCTGGCTACGCCTACTCGGACTCCACCTACGCTATGTCGTCCGACGCCACCACTTTCTCGTGCTCGGGCAAGTTCCTGGGCGTCATCTACCCAGACACGGTCTGCACCGACATCCCCATGACGGGCAGCGGTCGCGTGCGGTGCATCGCGCCCAAGAAGAAGGCCGAGAAGCCCTCCGCTGCTGCTGTTAGCACGTCGGCTGCTGGTACGACTACCATCAAAGCAACCGTTTCAGTCTCCGACTCCACTTCGGTTTCCTCTTCCTCTTCTTCTTCATCCTCTTTCAAGTCGACTTCTTCTTCCGCGGCCGAGACTACCTCGGCTTCCTCCAGCTCCAGCAGCTCCAGCTCCAGCGTTGCTGCCGCCACCACAAGCCCTGCTGCTGCTGCTGATGATGACGGCGATGCCACTACTTCTTCCACGGCTTCTGCTACGGCAACAGCCACAGCAACGGCCACGGCGACCATCATGACGACGGAAGCCGACGCCCCGCTTACTATCACCATTGCGACTGCTGCCCCGCGCCGCCCCCCGCCTGTCATCCGTGGCAGAGACGTTGCGGCCGCTAATGATGCCATCTGGCCCTTCCTTGGCGGCTTCCCCTGGTGGCTTCATGGCGGCGGCGGCGGTGGTGCCGGTTGGGCTGCTGGTGGTGGGTTCCCGTTCGGTGGCGGCGGTGGGGGTGGTGCGGCTGCTGGTGGAGGCTTTGTTGGCGGAGGAGGAGGTGGTGCTGGTGCTGGTGGTGGTGGTGTAGTTGGTGGAGGAGGCGGTGGTGCTGGTGGTGGTGGTGCTGGTGGAGGTGCTGGCGGAGGCGCTGGCGGTGGCGCCGGTGGAGGTGCTGGCGGAGGTGGCGGTAAAGGAGAAGGCGGCGGTGCTGGTGGTGGTCAAGGTGGTGGACAGGGCGGTGGACAGGGCGGTGGACAGGGCGGTGGTCAGGGCGGTGGTCAGGGCGGTGGTCAGGGCGGTGGTCAAGGTGGTGGTCAAGGTGGTGGCTCCGGCGGTGGTGAAGGTGGCGGCTCCGGCGGCGGTGGTGGTGGCTCTGGCGGTGGTGAAGGTGGTGGTGGTGGTGGCAGTGGCGGCGGTGGTGGTGATGATGATGACGATGCTGCGTCTGGCGGCGGTGGGGGTTCCGGCGGAGGTTCCGGTGGTGGACAAGGCGGTGGCCAAGGTGGTGGTCAGGGTGGTGGTGGTGGTGGAGGACAGGGCGGTGGCCAAGGTGGAGGACAAGGCGGCGGACAGGGTGGTGGACAAGGTGGCGGTCAAGGTGGTGGCCAAGGTGGTGGACAGGGTGGTGGTGGTGGTTCTGGTGGCGGACAAGGTGGTGGACAAGGCGGAGGACAAGGCGGAGGACAGGGCGGCGGCCAAGGCGGAGGTTCTGGCGGCGGTCAGGGCGGTGGACAGGGTGGTGGGGGAGGTCAAGGTGGTGGTGGTGGAGGATCTGGCAAAGGTAAAGGTGGTGGAGTAGCGGCCATCACGATCACCGTGGGTGGTCGGGGTTGAGTCTGCCGCGGATTGTCCACATGAGCTAGGGACGGCCAAGTTCCAAGCCAGGGGAATGGAAGGGTGTTAGCAGAGGGATAATTGCGATCTGAAGGTTCCTGCTGTATTCGAGTTGATTTCCATTGTTAGTCGTAACTTGGAGGAATTAATGGGAAATCAGATAGCCAAGATGCTTGCCAATGATTCTTTGTATTTTGTCTCCAATTGCCTCTCCTTGGGGTACTTTATGCGGTCTCGTCAGACTGTGTGGCCTCCCTTCCCAAAGGGCCGTGAAACCGATCGTTCGTGTGTGCGACTCTTTAGCTATTCTACAGTGGAGTTGATTTGCCCTAAATTTGAGCTGAAAGGCCAGTTTCTAAGCGTGCAAAGTAGACTTGTGCTGTGGTCGTCAGCCCCTTTTCTCAATGTTTGGGGAGGGGTCAACAGCTCACCAACCAGAGCAAGGGAACAGTATCCTCCGCCTCGTGGCACCAAATGATGCCAAAGAAACATACAAGTAGAGTAGAAAAAGAAGAGGACTGGATCTAATGCATGGGTTTGTCGCTCTCAGTAAGCATCTATTTCGGTTCTCTTTATCCAATCCAAGACGAGGTAAACATTGAACGACAACAATATACACACGGTCATCACTACGTACAGCCAGACCAAGTTCGTTTCAATCTGGCCCAATGGGGAAGCACTTTCGAGACATGTGTCAGCACTGCAAAGCACAAGTAAACGATACACGGCATTTCACGGGATAAAGGGCTCTGGGTGATGGGATCTCCAGGAGGCAGTATGTTAGACTAACGCACAACAGCCGGGAGATCAGATCGCTCAAGGGTAGGCGCAGGATGCGCGATTGGCGGTCTTAACGCCTCCCTACTTTGAAACCTCTCTGCTCTATCCGCACGCCCAAGGTTTGTACCTGTCCCTGATGGGCATACCTGCAGCTGCAAGATCCAACACGGCGGGCCTAGCGCCGGCGCCACGGTAACATTGGCGTAGTCACCGCGTCCTGGTGGTCTGGTGGCGGAACTGTGAGAGGGTAGGGAGGGGGGTGACTCTAAGTAAGGTTATGATACTTGTACCCAAAGCATGAACATGCAGAGATACTAGGTAGTAGTAGTATCCGGTACATGTGTGCATACACAACACGCCTCACTGGCAGCCTCGATCCCGATGAGACACTCAGGGCCCAACTCCTCTGCCGCCAGTGACGCAGCGGCAGGCTATTAGCCAGTAGCTGCTGCAGGTGTGAAGCCGCCCACCACCACAATCGGGGACATGGGACGATGTGCCGACGGTTAGCGAGCAGATTTGGAGCTAGGTTGGGGGGATAGAATCAGGATGAAGTCAATATGCCAAGCTACTAAATATTGATCTTCTTTAGCAGCTGATAAAGCAATCATTCAGCTTGTGTTAACCCAAAGAGGGTTCGAGAAAGTTCAGTTGCTGTCAACAAAGGAGAGAAAGGAGGAGTAGATATTACCAACACTTGACATTCTGCAAGGTCCTACAGAATATCCCCCAGGTACCTTTTGCAGTTAAAGTAATAATCAGCTATTCAAGGTACTTATGCGTTTGTAATAGACACAATACGTGTAGCCAAGAGGAGGGGAGGCTTCTGTCCTTAAGCAACCAGATGCATCTGCAGCGAACCCAATTCGGAAGCCGAAAGGGCCCCCAAGAGAGCACATCTTCATTGGCAGAACCCGGGACTTATGTGCCTGTTTTCTTACAGGCTGTTTCAGTGCAGTGCCGTGCTGGAATCTAAGATGGAACAGAGGACCTGATCCGGCACCATGGTTCTGCGTTTCATGCAGGTGATGAGGCTGCGTCGATCCCATGCTACTTGACGTTCCTTTTCGACAAGCCAAGCTGCTGTGGCACTTTCTAAGTGGCTTGGGTACTACCCTGATGCGCTTCACAGCACTGGGGTTATGGACTTCCTTACCATTTACCGCTTAGTACACGTAGATGACTATCGTCGACTTCATCCTGTCGAGTTGGAATATGCCTGCATTGAAGAATAAGCCTGTTTTGCCATATGACACAGCTCGGGGAGTCCTCAGGATTGTGGGAGGCTTAAGAAAAAGGAACTCTATGTGCACCCCTTCCGAAACCCCTGAAGGCTGCTGCGCTTTGTTGTTTGTTTATTCCTTTAGAGATAGATAGCCCCTGATTCCACGCATCCAGCTGTCAATAGGATCAACCTACTTCGTAACTGATTGTTCTCCTGAAGGCTAAAAGACATACTCCTCCTGTCCATTGTGCAAGGCGTTTCGTCACCGTATGATCCCCTTGAGTTTCCATTCGTCGTCCCCGTAGGTCCTGCAATAATGGTCGTGCCGAGCGGAGCGGAGCCGGAAGCGGCCGGAAGAGGCAACTCCTCACGGCGGCACTCAACGCCGGACCACGGCAGCCGCGCGGCTTGCCCGTGGCCGAAGTTCTATTCAGACCGGCGGAGCACACCTCGTCGTCGCCGGCTCCTTCCGGAAATCAAACTAACCCTCCGAAGCTTCACACTCTCATCACCAAAAGTGACCGTCAACCATCACTTCTTCCTTTCTTCACTGCATCCAGAGCCACAGCAGCAGCACACGCAACCATATCAAATCCATCACCAACCGTCCCTCTTTCTGCCCCTCCTCATCTTCTTCAAATTAGACAACAATAAGTATGTCTCATCCGGCTGGCGACGATCGTGTCGGGGGTCATTACCCCAACCCGGGCCGCGTCGTCGACGACGACGGCATCATCATCACCACAACCACCACCACCATCGTCGCGTCCGTAACCACCACCACGACCATGGCCACGGAAACGGTGACCGCCACAATCGACCGCTTCCCTGGCGATGACGCTGCCGCTGTCGCCCCTGCTGCCGCCCCTGTTCTGGCCCCAGCTGTTCCCGTCCGCGCCAACGGTGCCCCCGCTCCCCTTCCCGATGGCCGCACTCGCGTTGCCATCTGGCCGCCGCAGCCGCCCATGACCTTCGAGCGGATCCCCGTCCCGCCCGCCAGCGAGCAGCGCCGTGTGAGCCTGCTCACCAACCTCTTGATGACGGCCGCCAACAACAACGACGGCGGTGCCAACTCTCGCTCCCGTTCCCCCTCTCCGTCGCCGGCTTCGTCGCCCGTCCCCCAAGGTGAGTAAAAAAATGAGAGCAGATAAAACCCTCAAAGAAGATAGAGCCTCCATTTCTCTCCCAGAGCAGAAGAGCAAACAAAAGAACTTGACCAACCTAAATGGATTAGACGAAGCCGCCATCAGCCCGTCGGCGACCGTGGCGCCCATCTTGATCCCCAACGACTGGCGTTACGACGCCATTCGTGATGTTCCGAGACTGGCCGTAAGTTTCTTTCAATCCAGAAACTCCATTCGAAAAGCTAACAGTCAGCCAAAAAGAACGTTCCACCCCGTGACGCCGAGGAGCGCGAGCGCCAGCGCGACCGGTCCCGCTGCCTCACTCAGGTAAGCAAAACAAGAGAACGCCCCTCAACAACGCCGTCTCCTCCTTTGGTGCACTTGCTGACCAATCTCTTCCCCCCGTACAGGAGGAAATTGCGGCCGACTTTGCGGCCTACCAGTGGGCCGTCGAAGACGACGCCGAGAGGGAGGCTTGGATCCGCCGGATCCGTGAGGAGAGGGAGAGGGAGCTGGAGCAGAAGCGCAGACGCCGGCAGTAGTCTGGCGGCTTCAGCCTATTTTTGGTTTTGCTTTTTTTATCCTTGTTTCTGGTTTTCTTCCTCCTTGGAAGGGAGGCATTGGGTGTTTGGCGCCCAGTTATGGGCAGAGGAGAGACGCCTGTTTTGCTTTTTATTCAACTTCAAGCATAGATGGGATGGATGCCCTCAGAGGGCCGTCAGGAATTGAACGATTTGCTTCACTTTTGGGGACATCATGGATGTGCCTCAGCCAGAAACGACTGCTTGAGCTGCTCGAAAAGAGAAATAAGGCCTAGCACTTTGTGAAATGGACCACAAATCCGGAGGGGCTCGGCCAGAAAACCCCGTATTCCCAAGTGATTCTGCCGTGTACACGCCGAGAATAGTTTCGTGACTCGAAACCAGCGTGGTACATCAGAAGAAATCGTTGGCTAAGGAGATGGAAGAAATTGCCCAGGGATGCACACAGGCGAGTCACAAAGAAAATTCGGAACGGGTACAGATACCGGACCTGGTGCTCCTTCCCCGTCATGTGCCTCATGGGGAGACGCCTGCACAATGCGGGGGATCCTCGACGGTTGGCTTCGAGGGCGTTACTACCCCAGATCCATCGAGGGAACCGTGCCACGGTTGGCATGACGTGCGTGCTGCGGCATGCTGTGGCGGCAGCCCAAGTTGCCCGACTTCTCGAGGATTCTATTCAAGGTAGTAAGGCAGGAGCTACTGTGGTAAGAGAAGGGACCCCCGAGGCACTGTCTACCTAGGCAGATCATACCGTAGTTCATACCCGTAGATACTGCCTTGGTTTCTAGGTTCTTCTTTCCTAGGTAGTCAGCTTTCCATATTTGACTCCATATCTAGTGTAAAAAGATCAAGTTGATAGAAAAATAAAAGAAAATAAAAGGAAGATCGTCACGGAATCGACTTGCACCGTAAAGGGGGTCAGACCAGGGCCAGAACAGTCAAGGGTTCTCTTGCAGCTAGGTAAGGGATAGAGACACTAGATGCAATGCAGCTTCGCTGACGGATTACGGCACATGCCCGCGATGTGCCGTCGGCGAACGGCAAACGAACGGGTCGCCGTCCTCGGGTGCGGCAAAGGGGCGCGGTTGCCGGCGCAGAAGACCGGGGGAATGCAGTTGCAGCCCGATACTTTGGAAATGAAAATGCTAATGGGGTACAAAGTAACATTATAGGTAATATAGCGAATCGGGAAAAGCTGGAGAAGCCGGATCCTTCCTTCTCTGTCACTGTCGAATATTTACCTTATTCATCCTCTCTGAAGATCTCCCTTCTCTGCGCTGTCTCTGCTGTTATACGCTGTAACGCCGTTACGCAGCTCTTCCTCATGACTCTAGCACGGGACTTGACAGATCCCGGGCGCGTCTTCAGCGGCCTGCTGTGCAGCCAAGGCCCACGTTGTCGAGTTGCACCATGTCCTGTACCTGTACGACAACGTTGAGATTGACAGTTTCAATTCTGGAGCCGACGTACATAGGTAAGGTAGGTAGGTGTCACGGCGTGTTGCGCTAGACGGTTCTCGACATCCCGTCGCCGCCTCCATATACCGTGCGCCAAAAAAGCTAATATTAGTCCCCCGTATTTCCCTAACTTTCAGAATTGCCGACAACGATCAGAAAGAAGTCTCAACTGGAAAAAAGGGTGCTCGGGCTCCTTGTGACCCCTCACTTCTTGACCGGTCGACTTGGCTCTGCATTTACCATGCATTGTTGCCGTGTCGGTGAAGCTCTGGCTCCAAGGAAGCGAGCTTGAATGTGCGTTGTCGTGGCATCGCTTCCCGTTGCCCCGGGTTTGGTTTCTGAAAGGGAGATGCCGGTGGGTGTGGGGAAAAAGGCGTTCATACGGCGCCTGTTTGGCGGAAGTGTGCCAAAACCTCAAAACCACAAATCTTTTTACTAGGCTCACGCCGAGGCAGGAAACCCTACCCCGTTAATTCTATTTAAATCCAATTAAGAATTTCCCGCCACACCCAGCCTTCTTTTCCACCTTACAACCTACTTCCTAGTTCCCACTCAATTACACTCGATTGTATAGTGTTTTTCGCTACTCTTCAAATGGCTTCCAATCGAGCTCGGGTAGTGAGAGCGTTCCTAGCGATTTAAGCTCCCTAGAGGTGGCTGGCAATTGTGGTAGTTCTGTGGCTTGTACGCCCTGCGAGCAAATTGAAGCGAATTCGCCAAGTGCCCAGGAATCGCGTTTTCTAGGCAATTCAGCCAATTCAGCGAATTCGACTGCCCTGGCCAATTCGACAGCCCAGTCGCCCACTTCGACCCAGTCAGCCACACGTGGCCAAGCAATTCCTTATCCGCGTGCCCAGTCACATGCACCTTCGACTCACGTTGCCTTCGTCGCTATGCGCCTCCCAAGCCTACAGCGCAGCCTTCCACCTAAGGAATCAGCTCTTCGAGCACTTACATATGCCCGCGATCACGCGCGGCCCTACGACTTCACTACCAAGATCCTTGGGAACATAGACCCCAAATCATCATAGATAGGTTACACTAGTTGAATAAGTGGAAAGAATATCATAGAGGACTTCAACAGAATGCTGGCAATGATAGCCAGTATAGTACGGCCAGGATAAGGGAGGAAGAAGGCCACCCAGTAAGCCAACTGCTAATCCACTAGATGAGTAGTCAGTTAAGCTCAATTGCATCCAGTTGACAGTGGCTAAATTCATTTATTGCAGTTATACTGCAAAACCGTAGGCTTCCCAAAGCCTACCCGGGTGTGGGCGAATAAAAATTTTTGTGGTTTTGGGTTTTGGCACACTTCCGCCAAAAAGGCGCCGTACCTTCAAGACCTGGGGGGAGGGGCGGCTGCCGATGACGTGAAAATTCTCAGATGCAACGAAACCTTCCGAGCCCCGCCAAGCAAAGGGAGATCGGGCTGGCCGAGAGTTGACGGATGGGGAACAATGCTGGCTGAGAACGATGCTCGCATCCCCTGACGGCTGCCGGATCTGGCGATAAGACGAAGGCGGGCTGCTCCGATTTTCCCTCTCCGGTCCCTGGACTCCTGGGAAGTCTGGGACGAATAAATGAAAATTGCTTCAGGGACCGCTGTTACAAAACCGCAATGCCTCGTCTATTTTGAAGGCTGGTCGCTTGCCTCATATTCACACATGCTCCGAGTCCATTGTCTCTATCATTAGCGGCGACGATGGAACCTAACCTCTCCCTTCAGGTTCTCCCTCTCCCGACCAAGAAACAGCCTCGATGCCCGAGGACTGGTTGATGCCGCGTCCAGTGTCACATCTCACTTCCCGCCTGCACGCAGATGATAGAGGAGTGATCCGGAGCGCTTCCGGGCGCTTCCTTCGGGCACTTGCTGGCAGCTCACCTCACACCCCAGACCTTACACGCCCCTCTCCATACATACATCGTGTCGTCCTCTCTCCTGCAGCTGGGCTGGCTAACTAACGCCCAGCCATTGCGGATAATCTCTCCGCTCCACTCACAAGCAGCTACATCGTTATTAGGCTTCGTACGTCTCTCGACACCATGTTGGTGTTGCCCAAACCATCCGAACTGCACCGTTGTTGCACATTCGCTGGGTTGGTGCGAGTACATACAGATTAAACGGGGTCCATGTTGGGTCTCTTTCAAGGCAGCTGCAGCAGCTGGGGCAGCAAATCGGCGCCCAGCCATCCCAGAGCTTCCAGCTGTCTCAGCTTACAATGAGCTGACAACGCACTCCAGATCCCACTACCAGTATTCCAGCACGCTCCGCCGTGACCGGCGGGCAACGACTAACGGCACGGAGCCTCGAGACCCCGGACTAGAGAACACCGAAAGAAATAACTTTTTGTGGAAAATTGTATGCGTGCGTGCGTCTGCATGCAGCCAGCTGCTGCAATCACTTCTCAACCTCGCAAGGCGGTGAAGAGACCTCGGGGCCCAGAGGAATGGCCCGGGTGGTGTTAGTGCGTGCGCCAGGCAGGTATTCGCAGTGCTAACATAGGTACCCGCTTGCCCCTCGTCGTCGAGAACACCCGACCTTCCAGTCCGCAGAAGACAAACCTGCATTTTCCACGGAACTGCTGCGTCTCTGATGTCTCCGCTGCGGGCTGTGCGTCTCTCCCCTGTTGGCCTGCTGGCAGCTGCGAGCTTCGAGCTTGCCTGTGGCTAGTCGCAGCCTGCGATGCCGGAAGCCCCGTACTGTACGGGCCCGTAGGTTGAGTATTATCCTACAAGAATGAGCAAGTGGCCGGCGGGCCTCCCTAAGAACCGGTCCGCCCGGATACCCTTCCCGTCACTGTTCCCGTGCTGTTTCTTTTTGGAAAGAGAAGGGTCACTCTTCCTGCCGAATCCGCCCGTGCGAAGGCCAATATCGGACGGCAACGCTCCTGGGCTTATTAGCTTTGGTGATCAAGACGATCATCCGGGCTCCTTCCCGCTCCCTGCTGCCTCGTCGATAGGGACAGCAGTCACAGGACATCCAAGCGGTGATTCCCAGGATCCCAATTTCCTGCGTTACTGGGCGGTCCCAGCACTGCACTGCCACGGTCTCTGCCCTTGTGGCCGTTGCGGTCTCAGATATTCTCCGCATTTCAAGAGGGATGCCGTCTCGAGAGGGGTGGGAGGGCGCAAAAGACAAGCACCGTCTTCGCGGCATATGCATCTACCGTCTCGAAATGTCATTCCAGAAAAGAGGCAGAGTTGGGTCGTGGGCTCGTGCGACACCGCGAACCCGTCTGTGAGCAGTATAAAACAGGAAAGTGGGTAGCCGGGGTTCTGGGCCAACACCCTAGAACAGCCCATGAATGGCCGCCCTTTGGTTGGCCAGAACGTTTAGCAGGGCTTCCCTGCAAGCCCCTCCATCAGATCAATGCTTGTGCCCCAGGGTGCTTGTCTAGCGAAGGGCTGGCAAAGTACGGAGGTACCGCAGTACACTAGCGCTCCAATACAGAATTCCAATTGGATCCGACCTTTGCCTTACCGACTTTGACCTTTAGCCGCGTTATACAGCAAAGGGCAGAGAGAGAGGAGATAATACATGGGAGACCCCGCTGTTAACCGTCTGGAAGCTTGACTTCCTCTTCAGACTCACTTAACGAACTTCTCATCCATCACGCTCGTTTTAGTTGTTCTGGACCCTTCTTCCAGGTATTTTTGGAGCTGAGGTTTTGTTGTTGCGCCTCAAGTTCCCGCCTCCTCCAAATCATCGGCTTGGATCGGCGCTCGGTGACGGCAGGTTACACACACTGAAGCCCCGGCCGAAAAGAACTGGCCCAAGAGATCAACCAGCACCTGAGCTGCGTGAGCCAACAGCTTGATCGAGCCCTTTTTGTAGATCTCGAGAGCTCTGCAAAAGAGGTCAGTAGCAAAGGTCATCTGCGATCTAGGGGACCGTCGCGACCCGCTGTCCAGTGGCGAAAAGCCACAGCCAAGTTGTTCTAGTTGAACCAACCTCGTCAGCTGCGCACACCCCCGATCCTATCCTTCCCCACCATTGCATCCCCATCATGGTTCGACTGGGCCATCTCGGCCATTCACCATTGAACGTTCGGCATGCTGACTTTTGTCAAAACCACTTTCCAGCTCCCTCCATTTGCCGCCACAGCTCGTAAAGGCCATGAGCTGCCGGCATTGCCTCGTCGCCCCATCGTAACAAGCCCCGTATGTTTCCACAACCTCTGAACTCCATCCACCTCCACCTCCACCGCGATCCTCACCACCGCCACGCTTGCTGCTGCCATTGCGAGCACCAACAAACAACAACCTACCCCTCCGTCACCTACCTCGGGAGGACCCAGAATGCAGTGCTGCTTGCAGCAGTCATTCTTCGCCTTCTCCTCTTCTTTTCCCCTCTCCTGCTCCTCCTCCTCCCTACCGTCGCCCTCGTATCTCTAACACACCGCTCTCCCGCCATCAGGCCACAGCATGGACACGCCGCTCGAAGAGAGTGGCCCGGCCCCTCTCGCCCAGTCGATCCTGCAAACGGCACAGCTTCTCTACCCCGTCGTGCTCCTCCTAGCCTTCATACTCTCGGCCGCTGTCCACAGCATCGTCTCGTCTAATACCGAGGAAGAGCTGGTTGTTCCCACGGCCACGGGTCCCGGGGGCAAGCCGCTGCCTGTCACCAAGAGGAAGCGGGGGCAGACGGCATCGTCACATACTGACAGCGTTGGTCGCACTGGTTGCTCCAAGACCGTTGTCCAATACCTGACAGCCGCGGTTGTTTTGTCGTTCGTCGCCAATGGCGCAGCAATTGCTGCTCATGCCCTTCAGTCCATCCGGCGTTCCGGTTTCGAAAACGCTTGGTGGTGCGGTGAGGAGCGAGTCGTGAGTTGTGCCCCGCCCTGGTCCCGTCAGCGCCGGCCGCATAATCCTGGAATTGTCCAACTGATGAGCGGCCCAAGGTCTACGTTGCCGGATCGCTGTTTTTATACATTTACATCCTCATTACGCTCTGGGAGGGCTCTCAGAGTCCGTCCATCGTTCACCAAATATTCTGGACCCTCGGCCTCGCTGGCGAGTTGATTATTCTGCTTGCCTTGATCAATACAATCGACGGGGGCTACGATACGGCAAATGGCAGAACAGCGGTTGCTTTTGAGGCTGAGTCGAGTCTCGACTCGTGGGACGCCATCGACCTGGGCATTGCGGCCATCCGCATCTGTCTCATCGCGTTTCTGATATGCCTCTATTGTGTGGCTGCTCGCAGGAAGCAACAGGAAGAACGCCGTTTCAAGGACGAGGAGGCCCAACGGTCAGATTCGGACGAGGCGAGTCCGCTGCTCGGCGGGCACGGGGACTATCGTGGTCACACAAATGGCCATGCGAGGCGAGGCACGGACTATGGCGGGACAAACGGGACCTCCAGTGACTCTGGCCGGGGCTGCCAGCAGCCGGACGAGGAGGCGGCCTTTTACAGACCTGAGAAGCTACCTCACAAGACGTGGTATGAATACTGCCGTGGGTATTCAGTCTTCTTCCCGTACCTCTGGCCGGGTGACTCTCTCAAACTTCAGGGCGTGGTGCTGCTATGCTTCATCCTTGTCGTCATGCAGCGTGTTGTCAACATCCTGGTGCCCGCCCAGATGAAAGCCGTGACAGACATCCTTGCGCACAAAGGCGACACCGACGCCCAGCCGTGGACCCAGTTGGGACTCCTGATCTTGTATAAGTTGCTGCAGGGACCCTCTGGCCTTCTAGGCTCTCTCCGATCCATCCTCTGGATACCCGTCTCGCAGCACACGTATCGCGCCTTGACCACGGCGGCTTTTGAGCATGTGCATTCTCTTTCACTAGATTTCCATCTGGGCAAGCGCACTGGCGAGGTGCTTTCGGCGCTCAACAAGGGCGCCTCGATCAACCAGTTTCTGGAGCAGGTCACGTTCCAGGTGGTGCCGATGCTAATCGACCTCATGGTCGCCATCATCTTCTTCTACGTCCAATTCGGGCCCATGTACTCCCTCTTCGTCTCTGTCATCACCTTCTACTACCTCTACCTGACCATCCGCATGGCTGCCACTAGAGCCGACCAGCGTCGCGACATGGTCAACGCGGACCGCGAGGAGGAAGCAGTCAAGAACGACTCAATCACATCGTACGAGACGGTCAAGTACTTCAATGCCGAGAAGTACGAGTTTGACCGTTACCGCCAGGCCATCAAGAATTTCCAGGCGGCTGAGGCCAAAGTCACGTGGGGCATCAACAACATGAACGTGTGCCAATCGGTCGTATTCATGTTGGGCATGCTTGTCGCCTTGCTGACGTGCGGCTTCCAGGTCTGGCAGGGGCAGAGGGATCTCGGTGACTTCGTGCTGCTCATCACATACCTAGGCCAGCTGCAGGGACCGCTCAACTTCTTTGGCACCTTCTACCGGACAGTACAACAGGCCATGATTTCGGGCGAGAGGCTGCTCGAGCTCTTCAAAATTCGGCCCACCGTCGTGGATAGACCTGGTGTGCAACCCCTGCCGGAATGCAGCGGCCACATCAAGTGGAACAACGTCGGCTTCGCCTACGACAACCGGAAACCCGCACTGCACGACCTGTCGTTCGAGTGCAAGCCTGGCACCACCACCGCCTTTGTGGGAGAGTCTGGTGGGGGCAAGTCCACCGTGTTCCGTCTCATGTTCCGGTACTACAACTGCCAGGAAGGGAGCATCGAAATTGACGGCAGGGACGTGAAGGACGTGACAATCGATTCGGTTCGCCGCTTTATCGGCGTGGTCCCTCAGGATACCATCCTATTCAACGAGACGCTGATGTACAACCTCAAATACGCCAATCCGGAGGCCAGTGATGAGGATGTGTTTGATGCGTGCCGTGCAGCTGCCATTCACGACCGCATCATGAGTTTCCCGGACGGCTACAACACGAAAGTAGGCGAGCGCGGCCTGCGGCTGAGTGGAGGCGAGAAGCAGCGCGTGGCAATCGCACGCACCATCTTGAAGAGGCCGAAGATCATCATGTTGGACGAGGCAACGTCAGCACTGGACGGGGAGACCGAACAGAAGATCCAGTCCAAGCTGATCAGTGGCAATTTTGGACAGGGCCGTACCCTGTTGATCATCGCGTAAGTGTAGACCAAAGTACACCCTAGTGTCAGCTGAGCCTTGCGGATCCTCGTGCTAACCTATATTGGCAGTCACCGTTTGTCCACGATCACACATGCCGACCAGATCATTGTTCTGCATGCCGGAACCGTGGTCGAGAGGGGCACGCACCAGGAGCTTCTCGCTCTCAATGGCCGCTACGCCTCCATGTGGGAGAAGCACTGCGACGCTGAGCGGGCAGCCGAGCAGGCACGCCACGCCACACGGAAAGCCAAGAAGTTGCTGAGTCAAGCGAATATCTCGCGGAGCGACGAGCTATCGCTTGGATACAGCAGCATGCGGTCGTCGACTATCCTGCCTAGCGGGCAGGTGACTCCTCGGCAGAAGCTCGATGGGCACGAAACCGCGTCGATTTCGTCCAACTCTAGCCACTCTGGCTCCGAAGGCACCTTCCAAGACGACGGGTGCGATGCACACCGTCACCGCGACATTTTGGGGCATGCCGAGCGGCCGGATAATGTCCGGCGACCTTTGCTTTACTCGTTTCCGTCACAGTCTTCTGCGGGCCGTTCAACGGACACGCATATATCGCCTTAGTCTCAACCGGACCGCAAGCCAGGTTTCCTAACTAGATTAATACCCAGAGGGCAGTGGATATGATGTCGGCGGCATAGATGGAGATTCCAAGGGGGGTCGATCCCACATACCTTATCGCCACCACCAATAATTCCCGTCAACCACCCAGCGAGGCAACCAAATATGGCCTCCACTTTAATCCCGCCGACTCTCGCGATACAACCGCGACCGCAACGGAAATAGATGTGGCTTGCAATTTACCATGAAAAAGCGGGTTCCTCGGGCATGTGATGCAACGCACGATACAAGTCAAATCGAGGGTTACGAGTTAATGCACGACATACGAGCCAGTCTAATAAGTATTCATCAACCAACATAACCAACCGACACGACTTCAACACCAATAACGTCTTGCCGTCCGTCGGCAAACCTCTCTGTTAATTATATACACGGCTCCGTTAATTTTGCATCCCCCTTTCCCCTCTCACTTAGTCACCTCCTAACCCACAATTTGTCTTGTCGTGCATTGCTTCGCTTTGTCTGTCCAACCCTTTCCTTCTGTCTTGTCTTTTTTTGCTGTCGGGTCTTAAAGACAGATCCCCGATTTTTTCTTCTTTGCAAACCTTTGCAATTCGGCAAGGTAATGATGAGATGAATGAATAATCCATGATTCCCAGCATGGGGCGGCGTTGGTTTTTTATTCCTCTCGTGTTGTTCTACGGTTGGGGAAGGGGGATGGGTTGGGTCGGGGGGTACAAACCTGGGGTTGGGGGCAGGAATGATCATGGTGCTAATGGAGCACGGGGTTTATTATTCGTATTTATCCCTGGATCGGTTTGCTGGGTTTGTGTCAAGGTTTTCCCTCTGTTTGCTGTGTCTCCTTTTCCCTCCTCTGGTACTACCGTGTGAGCAAGAAGGTGGTGGGTAGGGAGGAGCATATTGAGGGTCAGGTCTCGGGAAGGGGTTTGCAGTTGGGAGGAGGAGTTGACGGGTCGTTTGCGCCCCTGGCAAGGTGGGAATGGGGTAGGTGACCCCCGTTGTCGCTAGGGAAGAAGAGTGAAAATAAGAAATATTTGTGACCTGAGCTGTCCATTGATTTTGTCCCTTTGTTGTTTCCTGAGCAGTGAGTATGCGATGTGTGTCGTTGTCCGTATTGTCTGTCCGGGCTGTTCGGAGGGCTCGCTGGCTAGCAAATTCACCTCATAGCAATGCCCACCTCCGTTTTGGACCCAGGATAGAAGAACGTGTAAAGTGAGGAAACGGGGAGTCTGGAACCCAGCATGGGTGAAAACGACGTACGTACTACCCGGCAGAGGAGAAGCAGAAGGCTGTTGCTTAAGAAACACTGAAAAGGAAGACTCCTTGGGACCCATCACAAGCAAACCACCGCACATTCCCTCCCCATTGTACCCCTACTTAGCACGTTTGTTTATTGCTCTCCCCCGTCTCTCTATTAGTAATTGTATTATTAGAGGTCCTATTCAGAGTATTATGTTCCGAAATCCGAGTGCCATAGGTTATAACTCCAGCTTCTATGCGCCCCCTTTCCTTCACATACCGCCGCCGGTGGTGGAGCTGCGCTCGAGATTCCTAAATGGAATGCTCCTTGCATCTGGCCTCCACACTTCCCAGATCCGAGCCATACCAGTAGCACAGATGGGAAGTACCGGGAGAGTCTGGCCCCTTTCCCCTCAACCTGTCATCTCGACTTGGCCGGAATAAGGCGTCGTTTCCCACAGCATTGAAGCCGTTGCATTTCTCCGACGCCGTCCCAGTCTCCATCCATCTCAGCGGCCCGCCCGATGGACAAGAACAAACTCCCCGAGTGCTGCCGCCCCATTTCATCCCTAATCAAGCCATTGTACATTGCTTTTCATTATGACCCAACACCGTTTCTACACCCGACCAAGACCAAAGCGAGCGTAAATTCTTCGTGAAAAATCCCAGCGAGTGACAGCATATGCGTTGACAGACGATGCTCCAAAGCCATGTGGAAAATGTAAGAAGAAAACCGGACATATCTCCTCGACCAACGCCCCGATACATGCTTCATGGCCGCTTGGTCGCCTGCTTGGCCTCGAAATTCCGTGCAGCGATGCCAAAAACGAAAAGGGAAAGGGCTTTATCACCTCCGAAGGCTTCTCCTCAAACAATGAGCCCGTCTCGTCTAGGACACCAAATATATTACAGAACCGTGTAAAAAACGACGCCTCGCCCCGGGAGGGAGAAACGAGCAGCGTGTGCAATCCGCTTGATCGCTTCACCGCGAGCTCTTCTTGGCAGAGCCGTTGGCGACAGCGACAGCGGCGACTTTGGGCTTGCCATTGGCCGTGTCGTCTTCAAGCTCGGATTCTTCGGCATCACTTCGGTCGTCCTTTGCGACATTGTGCACGACAAAGCGGTAGGCGATCCGTAAGACGAAAAAGAGCCAAAAGAGGTTGAGAGCCTGCAGTGAGCTGAGCAGGATCAAAGTGATGACGAAGGAGATGTCGCATTTGTACTGCTCGGTTTCCCAATTGAGCTCGTAGGGACCGACCGTCTTGAACTCGGTGAAAAGGCTGTAGATGATGCGCAGATTGAGGTAGTGCCGAGTATAGATCCACACACACATAAAGGTGAAGTAGTAGGGACCCATGAGCGCGTGGTCGACGTAATTGAGAGCTTTAGAGGTCTGCATTGGGGGAGGAGGTTAGCAGAACCCTTCGAAGGCCGAGGAAAGGGGTGAACGTACGGCTAGAAAGAAGTCGCTAATATCGTGAGTGATATAAACGGGCAGGCCCATATATGTAAAGTGGAAACGGTAGCTCAAGCCGATGAGGGCCAAGCTGACGACGTGGTGGCAGCAGAGCTCTTTAAAATCCTTGCGCGGCTTTTCCATGCCGAGCACTAGAACCACGGACTGCTGGGCCCAGTAGGCAGCCTGGAAGAGGTAGTAGAACTTGAAGAGCGCGTCATGTGTCTTGTGAGGAAAGTTCTCGTACATGCCGCGCGTGTTGAAGTACCACATGGGGGTGCGGCTCATGACATACAGGCCGGCGGGGATTACAACACTAAGGTAAATCGCCGTGTATATCTGCTCCATGTAGCGAGCCTGCTTGGCTTGTGACTTGAGCCCGACACAGCGCGCCAGCGGCCGCAAGAACTCCTGCATGATAAACTCGCGCGCAAACAACAGCACGACGGTGTAGAAGGCCACGAGGGCGACATCCCAGATACCCTTGCCATACTGGGGCAGCTCATCCGGGCTCGATACGGGAAGTTTGTACGAGAGGAAGATGAAGTGGTGAACCGGGTTGCTCTCGGTCGGGTTGATGGCATACAGGGACAGGAACACAGAAAGGATGGCCAATGGCACCACCCAGGTGTGCTTGACGGCAATATGCCTGATATGCCGCAGAGCGGAGCGGGCTTTGCGACGCTTCGAGGAACGCTTCGAGGGTGTCCCGGGGGTTGTCGGCTCCTGCTGCACTCAGCAACCTGGTCGCGCATGGCTTCTCGGGAGGCGAGCCTACCTTTACTGTGCCATTGAGATGGGCAAAGCTTGTGGCGAGGGCGGGCGCACCAGTATCGCCGACCCGCAACTCGCTTCCCAGTGCAGTGGACTTCCTGCGCCGGCGGGGCGCGTGTGCGTCGGCCCCCGATCGCGATTGATGTTCTGCGGCCGTGGGAAGCGGCGGGAAAGGTTCGGAACCGCGCGACATTTTGGTTTCCAAGTTTTTCCTTTCGCCTTCTTCCACACCCTGTTCTCTTTATCTACTCTTCCGGCTTCTTCCCTTCCCTTGCAACTGCGCAATGACCTTGCTAGGGAAAGCGCAAAGTAAATGTCGGTATTAGAGACGGCGGAGGGTCGCGCGTCGCAAAACGTGATCCGGAAACGAGCAAATGAGACCGTGACTCGTGAGAACCCCTGAATCGCCGAGGCGTAGTCGTTGTCGAATATTCCCTTCGACACAGAAAGAGAATGGCTTGAAGACTGTGAATAAGGGGAGCAATCAGCTTGTGCTGACTGTTGCAACAAAAATTCGCAAGCCCACAGCCGTCTCAAGGGAAAGCTGTGCAGAGGGCATTTTTAAAAGCATGAAGGCCGCGGCAGCCGAATTCATGAATCAATTTCCGTCTTCTCGGCGCCGGCTCCTGTTGGACCCTGGTACTCCCCAGTTCCAGGTCCCCACAGCACCCGGAACCCATGCTGACCCACATTGAACCCCTGATCGCCCCTCCAAAGGGCATCGCGACTCACGCGCAAGATGTCGAGAAACTGTGCACTCCAGCCACACTTCGAGGCCAGGAAATTCAACATGACAGACACCAGTAACATGACCACTCTAGTACCTTCGTACCGTTAACGTGTATTGTATGTACTTGTACAAGCCAAAATACTAAAAATCGAATCAAAGATCTCAAGGGTGTTCAGTTACCAGGCAGGGCTGTGGTTGATTCTTGTCTTAACTTTACGTACTGTGGTTAAAGCCAATGAGATGTTGTTGATCGCCTTGGGAAGGTTGGACCTTTGGCTTCTCTGTCTTTCCAGGGAAGTGAAGAGCTTAACATAGCGTACAGAGGAAGGCGCGTTCTCAGAGACACTTCGAGGAGCAGTGTCTGAAGCAGACTCTTGCCACTGGCAGTCCTCTTTCCATTGTACAACAATACCCTACTGAGAAGATTGTGGAAGCGACGCCCGACTTGTGCTGTGGCACTTCCAGTCCTATCTTCTTATACCGCTAGGAGAGACTGACAAGACACTCCCGGCGAATGTTCATAATTCATACCGTAAACGTAGCGTCGTAACAGATCCATAACCCATACGAAGATCAGATAAGAAGAATGAGATGTACTCAATCACTTAGAGGATCAGGAGATCACACTGATAGCATAGTCCGTATCCACAGTTATAACAACATCTGCTTTCCCAAAGCAAGGAAGCCGTCCAGGGGAATCTCCTCTTCAAAGCCGAAACTCCTTCCTTATGAGAACAACCGTACAAGATGGTATATGCGCAACCTCAAGAACACCTTACTCAATCCCACATGGCTTTTCGTGAAACCTGCCTCGCCTGGCCAGATCTGAATGTAGTCTAGCTTTCAAATCCTCCCGCAAAATCATGTACCGGCAGGCTCCAGGGAAAGACACATGCCTCTTGTAATAGTACTAGTATGCTTAAAGAATAGTCCACGTACTCGCTCCCACACTGGTTTAGATGTCCAAGAGATTACATGGGTGACAATAACATGCAAGCGCCATATCATGAGAAGAAAGCTGGCCCACCGGCGCCGGGCGGAGCAGAACGAACGGTGATTGTTGGCTGTGCCTGCGTTTGCGTTAATAGCTGGGTAGAGAGCGGGCGGAGCTGCGGCCTCAGTGTTACCAACCCCGGCTCCACCACAATAGTCGAGCCAGCCGCTGCTGTCGTTTGCGTCGTTGACGCTCGATTTCTCGTTAACAAGTCACCTTCACCATCGCCAACAGACGAGGGTAACAGAGTTCTTGACGTGCTGTTTCGGCGGGGATCCAACATGGCTGAAGGGGTGATGACCTCTAAGGCGGCAGCAGCAGCCTGTTGGGCTCTCAGTTGTTCCTCCTCTTCGAGCAACTCGGCAAGCGCGGCGCCTCTGCGCGGCGGCGCAGGTATGACAGTAACCGGCAGGCTATCCGTGTCGGGGGTCGGCCGAAACTTCTCGCGCAGCCGCTCCGCCTGTGACGCGGCAAACTCTTCCAAACGGCCCCGAAGGTCCCATTTACCACTCCCGTTGCTGCTGCTGCCGCCGCCGCCGCCGCCGCCGCCGCCAGCACTACCACTCCCACACCCACTTTTACTCTCCTCTGGCAACACGTTACTTTCGGCACGTGGCAGCGCTCGTTCCTCGTCGGGGCGGCGGGTGCGGCTGAAAGGAACCCTCTGCGTTAGTGCGCGCCACCGGCCCGATGATGCCGCCGAGTTTTGAGCCACTGGGGCTGCCTGAATGATCTGTGAAGCCGCGTCTCCGGCCTCGCTCGGGCTCCCATCCTCGCTGGAGCGGCTTGAAGCCAAGCTGTCACTCCCATCCAGCGGCACATTATTCTGCTCGGGTGGCGGGGTATTACGAGACGTTGTCTCGGTAAGCGGATGGTACCGGACGGCGTAAATAGTGCTTGCGGCGCTTGCAGTATCCGTGCGGCTGACTGGGGTGACCGCCGGGCGCGGTCGCGCAGGCCACAGGGGCGGCTGTAAGAATCGTATCCTGTCATGGTTGGACGACTGGGTGCTGGCCGGGTCCGTGGGCTTTGTCGCCGTCCTTGGTTCGGCCCGAGACCTATACCTGTCTCGGATCGACGTGACAGATGGCCATTTCCCGCTCCGGGCTGCACTAGTGCTATCATCTCTTCGAGATGCGGCGCTCGTCTCCTTATCCCCGGCACCGCTGCCCTTCCTCCTCCTTCTGATATGTGTATCTGACGGGGACAATTCCAGCATCTCGTCTCCATCAAATACTTCCCTCCCTAAGATTCCGTCTTTCTTCTCCTCCCGTTCCAAGGCCTCTATTCTTTCCACCCATTCCCACACGACGACACTTGCTGCTGCCGCTCCTACCCATCGTACATACTCTCCCCATCCAGTAAATTCGGGCTTAGATATATCCAGGGTAAAAAAGACGACGGGAATGAGAATCGACAGCAGTGATAAGGCAGCGATAAGGCAGATATTTTTCATTTGGGGATGCCAGAACGCATACCGCTTCTTGGTGAGGGAATAGTAAATGACCCAAGCGGCATACAAGACGCCTAAGGTAAGTGCGAAGAGATAGCTCAGAGCCGGGACTGCATCCTGAAATGATCCAGGTCCTGCCGCAGTTTGCCCTTGGTATTGAAAGCTGTTGAGGGATTGGAATATGACGTCCAAGATGATCAACGCAAAGGCAGTCCACTTGATGATTACCTTTTCTCGCTGGCGCGGAAAGAGACGGATTAGCGTCTGCGCCTGGGCAAGCCAGAGAAAGGTGTTGGATATGATGCGAATTATCTTGAGTTCGTTGCCGCCAAGGACTTCCATCTGCAGCGTCCTCGCGTTTTGATAACCCAGTGAGTACTGTTCCTCGGCAACACGGAACGTAGCGGCGCTCGCAATGGTCAGGGAGATAGCAACGGTGAGAGCGGCAACTTTTTGAAGCCATGGCCGCCCGCCAATGCTGGGGCCGGATCCCCCGTTTGTGAAGCCTTTCCGTCCGAGAACGACGACTCCGCCGTCGAGGAAAGACCGTGGCGTCGCGAAGAGCATGATGACCAACATATATGCCACAACCGTGGTGGCAGCCAGAGCATAGCACTGGGGAAATGTCGAGGCATAAAACGGGTCGCCACGGTCCGAGTAGGCCCAATCGTCTCCATCGACTGAGTGGTCAATTGAGACTGATCCTCCGCCACCATTGGCGATAATGGCAGGAGGAGCAACTGGGGTGCACACCGGCTTGAAATCGGCCGCAGCAGTGAGAGTGACAATTTCTCCGCCGGGTATCGAGAGGATTCCGCCTGCTGGAAGGGATAACGTACCGCAGCTGCGGCCTTTGGCGGCGAGTAGCGGCGTGCCGGTCGGCGCCGCCGCCGTGGCGGTAGCCGTCAGGCCAGCCAAAAGCTGCCTTGCCTCCATGACTGGCTGGTGTTGAGGGCGGCGTTCCGCCTTCTTTCTAGTTATTGGGCAATCGCCATGGAAGTTGCATTCGTCGCATTCGCCGTAGTCAGATGCCTCCCGGAGCGACGTGCCGTTGAGCAGAGCCCGGAGGCTCCGGTGAGCCGGCAACTACCTATTCCCGGTTGCAAAGCGTCCGCGACACTGCTGCCGGCGTTCGGATTTCGCTACGGGAGCAGTGAATTGAGAGGGCGCGGTCGCGCAAGCCAAGATGTGTCGTCGCGATGGCGTGTTTGCAAAGGCTGGGCGCCGAGATTTCTTAGTTGATCGGAGATCTCTCCTCGGGAACGCCGAGCAAAGAATCTCTGGAAGATTGACCTAAAACGTGGAGTGCGCGCTGCAAGCGTGCTTGTTTGGCGCCCAGATCTCCCCTTTTCCTGAGTCTTTGGGTTTCTGTGGAACAACTGTCTCGAAACTGTTTGAGCGGTCGAATTCAACTGATCAATGGTCGGGGGAAGGAAGGTTACCCTTTCCCAAACCCCCCGGGAAACCAGGTTAAAGTGGAGGGTACTACGGAGTAGTATGAATGCCACTAAACTTACGTGGTTAGCCGACACTGTCCGAGGCACTGTCTTGCGGGATTTGGATCTGACTCGTTATGGGATGGTTTGCTACAGAGAACTCAGCTCCAAGGTCTACTAAATCAACCCACCCATTCTCGCCATTGTAATTGATGCCTGGCATTTTCGCCTTGGAGATGAAATTTCAGACAACATTTCGAACACGAATGCCGGCCGGTAAAGCTGTGAAAGAGCCAATGTAGCAAGTTTCTGATTCAAGGCAATAAATGAGGCGATATGGATGTTTAATTAGCGCTTATTGTTCAGCAGCTATCCACGCGGGGAAAGAACCCAAGCGGACGCGAAGTGCCCGCATGTCACCCGCTTGTTCGGAGTCTCTCACGCGGCAACTTTCAAGTTAAACCGGTCGAGTTCGCGCCCAAGATTCGCACTGTATAACTAAGCAGTGCAGTGTGATCCTTCCGAGGCCTTAATCGAACACTGGAACCCCGACACCCATCTCCCCGCTGGGATCCGGTTCCCTCTGGCCTTTTCTTGTGCGGCCAGCATTGTTTGCCTGACCTCTTGCTTGAAACTTTCGCATGGAATCGGGACAGCAGCTTAACGGACATACAATACAGGCGCCGTGAAGGTCCGGGTAATGGGCTATCTTCCCGCAATCATGGTGATTGAGGCTATGCCATCCTGCTCCGCACTGCAATCATCACAGAGAAGTTGAGGGCGAAACAATAATACGACGTGTTTGTTCGTAACGCTAACACTGGATTCATCCAACATCCCCACAAGCGGCAGGAAATAAGCTTTAGCGAAGAGGCGGAACGACGGGACTGGCGAATTGGCCGGCCACCCACCCCTCCCGTCGCCAATGTGGTGTGCTGCTGACCACATTGGTGTACACTAGGGTTGCAGAACATGGCATGTTGATGCTGATGTGCTCGGTTTCCGCGGGTTTTCGTCAAGAGCTGCCCGCGCTAGGTATCCATAGGACACGGCCGAGTTCTCGAACGACCTGGTTCGAACAGTCCCTGGGCATATAGACAACAGCGTATAGTGTCGACTTCAGCCTTCACTGTTAGCGGCATCGACTACGGCAGCCCTGAGCTTGCGTCCACCAGGAATATCAATCAGATGCTGGCAACTCACTGCGTACCTTTACTACCTTACGATAGGCAGTCGGGGAGATGTTGCCCCGCCCCTCCATTCGACCAACATCATTGCTGCTATTTCTCCTTTCCTTCTGGCAATTCCTCATGTCAAGTGCCCGTCCTCTTCATCGTCTCATGGCCCGGGCGGATGATCTGGCGAAATCCTAAGACCACCCTGGTAGTCTCCCAACATGAATTGCGCAGCGCTGCCATGGATCTAACGTAAGGTTAGTTTGGTAACGTTAGCGCCGTTTCGATTTGCTCCATGTTCAGGTTGGGTGTCTTCCCTGCTCGCTCAATGGCCTACAGAGCTGATCTCTCTATGTCTTTCTTTGAGTAAAGGTATGCTACTAAAAGTTGCTCCTTAGAAAAAGCGGCAGAAAGATCGTTTCCTTTCATTCTGCCAGGCACCTGCCAAGCTGCGCTTCAACAAAGTTGGCAACGCTTGGCGAAGGCTTATCTCTTGCGGGGAACAGGCTTAGCTTCTCCAGATTTCCCTCAGCCCAAGGCCTCGGGAGGCTTGACGCCACCCACTCAGCCGGGAACTTGCGACAGTGGCAGACAAAACCACAGTGGCCTGTCAATAACCTGTCATCAGTGACTGAGATGCTCTTCCAACAAATACCTTCTCTATCCATTACCATATAGGCAGGGCTGGGCCCGTACAGTAGAGTTGATGCTCCATCGTCACCACTGATTGATTCGTGCAGGTTGGCTGGCTTTCCACAATACTCCCTGATGTTGAGCGAACGTTCAACGTTCCAAGCAGCCGGCACACGGTGTTTGTGATCAGGTCCCCTGCCAGGTTGACGTTTGGCTGGTTCGACAGCCGACATGACTTTCGGGCTAGCTTTCCGTACATGTAGGCGTCGTCATTGAATACTCCATTAGGATGCCCGCATTTACCGTGGAACGTCGGACAAACCATCCGATCCCAAGATATTCGCCCGAACCCCATGAACAGCATACTGGCCAAGCTCCAGCTCCTCGTCACCGACTCACTGGACGAAGATGGGCCTGTTCATCTCCACTCCGTCCACCACAGAGGACCCGCTCAGTGTAGGTGCGTTGAAGAGTCAAATCTCGTCGGTCAGGTTGTCCAGGTCTTTCTCAGTGCCTTGGGAACTGCTTCAACTGCCATCCCAGCCGGCATCAGCCTATAAGCCGCCAGAGGCGAGCTGTGCTGTTCACTAGGTAATTCATTCTTCTTATGGAAATGTGCTCTTCGCTTGTCTCATCGGCAGTTGGCGAGCACGTAATACTTTCAAGACAGCGCGATCGTAGGCCGCTTCCGCAGCGCACGAGGCCCACTATGTCAGACGAACTATCGAAGCATTCGGAGGTGTTGTACATTTTGGGTCTGCTTCACCACGGTTCTCACTGAATGAGCGCACATTTGGGCCTTGTTAGGAGCCAATGTTTCTCGATATTTACATAACTAATTAGATATGCGTTTAAGGTATTGGTATGCAGTTAGACGGGACATTGACATGGTTTAAACTTAGCACTCCAGAACTCCACCATGCCTCTTTTGGTCAAATCTGATTGCAACCTTTTTTGATGGGCCCACTAAAAAGTCTGGCTCCCCTGACAAGCCCAAGTGTTTCAGGTTCACGATCTCACTTTTCGTGGACCTCCTTTTCGAGCAACCACCGGTAGTACCTAGCAGGTCTTGGAGAACCCACAGTCGTTCTGTCCTTTTTTCCCGCATGCTGCTCTGTACAGTCCAATATTCCCATTGAGGTGCTCGAGCCACCGTTATCCACGAGTGCGACTCCTCAGCAGTGCCAGCACCGCCTTTATTTTTTTCTCTCATCCCCCCAAAGCTCTTTTCCCTGATGAATCCCGTGTCGAAATTCAGCTCAATCAATACGCGCCCTAGATCTAGGTAAACCTTCTTTTTGGGTTCGCACAACAAGAGCCCCCGCTTCAAAAGTGATCAACAAAAACGGCCACTTTCCACGGCTCTAGCGGTATCAGCACTGTTGAAACACGTGCTGAGATTCCCGTTCCCCGCTGCGTTCTCATTCCGTCGTCATGAGACACACTGCGGCTTGAGCAAAATCAGAGCAAACAACCACATGCGCCAGTCGGCAAAGACGAAGCAGTGTAGCCTTGGATGAGAAGATCAGCAATTTATTAGCGATAATTCGCAGAGCTCGATGCTTCTCATACCCAGCGCCAAGCATTTATACAACATTCCGACCCCAAAACTGGGGTGTCTCGCCTTCTCTTGACTAGTCAGCCGCGGCTAGGAAACCTTCAGGGGGTTTTTGTCATTTCCCGCTCGCTGCGATCCTGCAAAACTCTGCGGCACAACGCACAGCGCAGAATCATCAAGCATCTTAAGATCGCTGTGGGGTGCCTCATGTGTAAGGTGCACAATTCACCATGACTCGGCCAGAGATCATTCGCGCCGGTATGTCTCTTTAACTGTATACTGTATCTCGTTGTGTGATGTGCACCGTTGCGGCCCGGTTCCCCTGTGGCTGGGAGGCCCAAGCCGACGCCTCTTTCTCCCTTGCTGCCTCAGCCTCGGTGCCCCCCTGCCGTACGTTTGTTTCGGATCGGTTCTGATTCTTGCTCTTTCACCTAGACACCATTGACCTCCAAAACCACGACGCACCGTCAGCGCAGAGACACCACAGGCCACCCCTTGACGGATCACTCGCTCCACATCAGGCTGAGACAATCCGAGAAGTAGCAGCAGAAGCCGCCGAGGAGAATCTCCGGAGCCCCCTCGTCTCGCGGAACGGCGACCCCGTCGACTCTCAGCAGCAGACGCTAAACACCCACCCGACTGTTGGAGGGACCCAAAACGGCAGCGGGAACATTATGCCACTCGGCGCCCAGACAGATGCCCTGGCAATTGCCCAGAATGGGGGCATCTCGGGCCACGAGGCCGATGACGGCGATTTGGACGGTGATACCGAGGTCGACATGGACGACGACATGGACAGGATTTCAAGTTCGCCTTCTATCGCCGATGGTGGGTCAACCCTCTCACTCCCGAATCTCTGTTCTAGCAGGCCGGGCCCGTCCTCCCACTTGGCAACGTGGCGTAGCCAATTGGCTTCACCTAGCGTTAGCGACCCGAGGTCGTCGTCTCCATACCTCGAGAGTCCTGACCACTTTCCATTGAGGAGGACATGGTTCGAAAGTGCACAGTCTCCTTCTGTTCCTATTTCAAGTCGCCATCATCATCATCTTTTCGGTGAGTCCGAAGTAAAAGGTACAATCAAAGGACACACGTCGACCGAGATTTGCACTCCGCCGGGTAACGGCGACTATGAGGACGACGGACTTGGTCTGGATGAAAAACGCGGAGCTCGTGCGGGCAATGGGAGGAAGGGACCGCACCTTACCGCCCGAGAAGAATTGCCGGCGCCCCGACCACTCTCGTGTGAACACGAGGAAGAAGAGAGTGACGAATTGATTATACCCTACGAGTCTGCTGACTACGAGGACGACGACGGTGATGATGATGATGGCGACTCTGCTGGAGTGTTCGATTCAAGATTTATTGACTCTGGATGGGGAGGTGAGTGCTTACAAAATACAGAGGACATCGATTTCGAGTTCGTCTACGCTCTGCATACATTTGTCGCGACCGTTGAAGGCCAGGCCAATGCGACAAAAGGAGATACCATGGTTCTCCTAGATGATAGCAACAGCTACTGGTGGCTCGTGCGGGTTGTCAAAGACAGCAGCATTGGTGAGCATTGGCCGAGTCTGTTATGCCCAGCCGCAATTGATCCTGACTCTTCATGCCAGGCTACCTGCCAGCGGAGCATATCGAGACACCAACGGAAAGATTGGCTCGATTGAACAAGCACCGAAACGTCGACGTAAGCCGAGAGGATAATTCACTCGATGAGTTTCTGCTGACGGTGTGCAGCTTTCTGCGTCCATGCTTACAGATCAAACTGAAAAGGGCAAACCAAAAAGATCTGCTATGAAAAGGAGAAAGGCTAAGACTGTTCAATTCGCGGCCCCCACATACGTCGACTACTCTGACGTGGACTATTCAACGGATGGAGAAGATGCAGAGGCCGACAATTCAATACGGCAGCAACAGGAACAACAACAACGACAGCAGCAGCAGCAGCAGCAGTCCCAGGAATCGGCAAACAACATTGAGACTGAAGACGAATCAGCCAAAGTCGAACCGCTAAAGCCCCGGTCACAAGCCAAAATCGAAGCGAAGGATCAAGAAGATGGCGGCGACACTGAGTCTCTGGTGACCAGCAAGGCTGCGTCGCGGATCTCTGAGGAGACGACAGAAGTGAAATCATCAGACGGACCCAAGAAGAGAAGCGACGGCATTGTTCGAGACTCGTTCTTCAAGGACGATACGGTTGAAACCAAGAAGATCACCCTGACTCCAAACTTGCTGCGCGACGACGACGGATCACGTACCTCGAGCGATTCCAGGGATGTGAAACAACGTCCAAGCTTGGATAGACTTGATAAAGACAATGCGCTCGGGAAGGATGATAAGAAAAAGAAGAAGGATAAGGATAAGGATAAGGATAAAAAGACAGGCGGGATTCGGGGCTTCTTCTCTCGAAAGGACAAGAAGGTGAAAGGAGATGAGGATGACGATTCTTTGGGCAAGCGGTCAATGGATGCGGATGCGCCGGAGAAAGAGATAGAAGACGAGGAGGCACAGGCACCGTCCGAAAGGGCGGCCCCGCAAAGACACCCAAGCAAGTTGCAGAAGCAACAGCCACGGACCGAGCCGTCTCCGACCAGGAAGACCAACGGTGCCAAAGAGAGCGGTCTGGACATCAAGGCGTTCCTGTCAGAAGGAAAGGTGAACAACGTGGCAAATGTTCCTCCAGCTTCAATGCGTCTGGTGGAATCCAGTCCAAGGGCGGCGTCTCCCGAAGGAAGCTCCGGAGAACAGAGACTGAACCGAGATGCTTCTCCCGGAGGGCCCAGGAGCACATCGTTAAAGGCGCCAAGAGGGGAGGCCCGTCCTCAGAAGACCGTGCAGGCAAAGGCCCGCGTGGAGCTCGACGACTTCGACTCGGATGAAGATGTCGCATCAGAACCAACCCGGCAGGCGCCTACCCGCGAGGATGAACTGGGACGGCAGCAACGGTCTCTACCAGCAGGGGCCGAACAGAAACCCCAGCTAGCCGTGGCAGCCATGCAGACAGAACATGGTGGCCCCCCTGTTGCCACACCTGCTGCGCAGTTGGTGGAGGGGCTTTCGGAATCGCCCGTTCAGGTATCTCCAACTAACAGCGGCAACCCTCCGCCTTTGATGGTGGATAGCTCGAGCCAGGAGGAAGAGCGGACCTCTCCGAGGTCGACACCTTCACCCGAGCTGATCGAGCACGAGGATGCAAACACGCCCGGCCACAAGGACTCGATGAGCTCGGCAACGACCGCGAGATCTTCGTGGGACGACGCGAGTCTTCGGGCCTTTTTTGACTCAGGATCCGATGTCCGTGATCTGCTAGTCCTTGTCTATGACAAAAATAACGTCGACATGGACCCGTCGGACCACCCGGTTGCCAGTTCCTTGTTCAGGGAGCAGAATGCGAAGCTTGCCGAGATAACAACGGTATGTTGCTACCATTGGTTTGTATCTGTGTGACGTTGTGGACGGCGTTTGCTAACAAGAGCGGTAACTTAGCGGCTTGATGATATGCTTGGCGACTGGCTGGCTCGCAAGCAAAGACTCAGGGGGGCTGTCTGAAAGCGTGATGATGATGATGATGGCGTTTTGATTGATGATGGGATCCGCACGATACTTTATTGACACACGGGTATATTCGTCTGGGCTGTGGGCGATGGCCTACTTCATGTTTTCTCCGGGCGGCATTGTGCACTGCACGCACTTCACCTTATGACTTGACGCACTCAACTTTCTTCCCTATATCTACTTTTTTCTCTTCGTTTCACCATAAGGAGGCTTGCCCGGTTTCTGCTGAGTGGGCGGATCTGCTGTCTCGCGGTACCCATCGTCACGGCGCATTGGCGTGTTACGGGGAAAGGGTGAGGGTTGTTGAGCTGGATCCGAAGGGATTGTCCAATTCGAAGGGGAGAAAACATCCAAAAAGCGCACGACACAAGCAAAGCGGGCCATGGTATTCCTAGTCTCTGCTTCGTTTCTTGCTTTTATTTTCGTATTCTTCTCTTCGATGTATTGCTATATTACCACCACGATGCCATGATACCCTAACAGGAGATACTGGGCGCTGTCTTAGCTGTCAGCCATCCCTTTATCTGAACTCTTTTCTCTTACAATGTTGCTGAGTTTCCTGATTTCTCGCCTCAACCTTGTGATGAGTTTGTTTATGGCCGGCTACATACTAACTTGGTCCTCATTCGGGGATGACATGTGTTATTACGCTCCATTACGCCAACCTGACGATTCGAGCACCATGGTCACAGGTGAGTACAGAGGTATCCAGTGGATGAAGATGTATTGATGAGAGGCTGATATGGTCACTTATAGGTTTGGGTTTGCATAGATGATTCTAATGCTTCTCCCCCATGCAAATATGCAGATATGCAGCGATCCAGCCCGTATTCCCGAGTCACCTTACTCGTTCCTTATTTACGCTGTCTCACTGTCAGTCTGTGCCGCTGATCCCCCCTACACGCATGTATCCAGGCGTGAGGAAAAGTGAAATAAAAACTCACCAGGACCACCGATCGCAGTGGTGATGGCGCCATCCTCGATATAGACGCCCGAGAAGTAGAAATCCTCGTTGGTGTCGGAATAGCCAGACCGCGGGAGCTCAAGAACACCCAGGTGCCAGTCGGCGCCGTTGGACGAGGTGGAGACGGACACGGGGGCAACGACCTGCTTCAGGGGCTCGCCGCCCTCCGAGTGCCAGAAGCCCACCCTGTTGGCACCAAAGTCCTGACATCACAATCAGTTAGGGGGCTTCCTGATTCAGGGCTACAAGTACTCACAATCTCATAGGCAATGTTGTGCCACACGTTGGGCTTCCACTCCGTCTTCCACTGGCTGCGCTGGTTGGTCATCCACTGCAGGTTGGGGTTGCTGGTGCCCTGCTCGCCGCTGATCCAGCCGTACTTCATCTCGGTGAAGTGGCTTTCAAAGAAGCAGATCTGGTGCTCGCGGTTGGGGCTCGGCGGGTTCGTGTCCTTGCGCATCATGCTGAAGTGGTAAAACACTTTGCCCCTGTTGATGGCGGCTTTCGTCTGGGGGATCAGCTCGATGCGCCGCATGTTCTGGCCGTTCCAAAACGCCGTGCTGTCCAGCGTGAACTTGGCGCCCTGCTTGGACACGGTGTCGTTGGGGTTCTTGTAGTCGGGCGACAGGTTGATGTACTTCTCGACCGAGCCCGACCCGTGGATGTAGTACTGGTACGGCCCGACCTGGTTGCTCCAGGACCACTTGTTGAGGTCCCGCGAGCTGGAAAAGTCGTTGAACCGCCCGTCCCAGAGGACCGCCCCGTCCACCTCGGCCAACGACGCCAGCAGCGCACCGAAAATTACTGCCGCCTTCATCATGGGCAGTTGACTGCAAGGTTTATCTGCAGGTAGAACTATGTACAAGAAAGAGGAAGTTCAAGTACTACTAGTACACGAGAAAAAGACGTGCGAGTAAAAGGTATTGCTAAGCTGCTAGTACGTCTTATTATAGGCGGATGCCTCCGCATTCTCTTTATTTGCTTCCTGGTTGTCTCATGAGTTTGCGGGCTGGGCTCCCCATTAGAACCCGGCTTCATCGTAAATTACCTGAGGGTATTGCGGTCCGTCGCGACATGAGTGATGCCAATCCAATCTGCGGATGTCAGCCTCCGTATCTTATAAGGCGAACGGCCAGATTGATTAAGGGATTAATGGCAACGAGCTTTCCAAAGCAGGTTTTAGCCTGTACCCCGGCCAGCCGACTACCATACAGCTACGTGCTATACAGGATATACAAACGCCGGGATAATTATACCGAGGGGGTGGATACGGGATCATTGTGATGGGTGGAAGTCCGGTGATGTCCATGATGCTACTAAGGACGTCAACTTAGAAAGCGAACTACTAGTAAGAGACCTTTTGCCACTAACCTCTCAAGGACTCAAACGTAGAGACTTCGGGCCTGGTCAGGGATGTATGTCAGCCCAGGATTACACCGGGGGCAGGGGGCAGTGGTCTTCTTCATCCTAAAGGCACGGCATGCAGCATCGAAAGCGTATCACACTTAGACTTGTTACACTCGCCTCAACGCTCAGCCGACGCTGGCGGTAACCAACCTCAGACAAATGCGCACACAGTAGGCAGAGAACATTGAGCGTTCAAGCAGGAATTGAGATATATAGTATATACCGCCCATGGACGCATTGTCCTCAATCCAACGCCGCAGAAACCGGATCTGAAAAGCACCTAAGTAGGTAAGTAACTTCTGACCACACTTCACCTCTAGAGAGACACGACAAGATGTAGGTAAGTAAGTATGTTCTGACTCCCCAATGTATCCACAACCCTCATGTCCGTGTCCTGCGCCGTCCCAACTCCCAAAACAAACAGATTCGGTATGCGACAGCTTCCATTCTTTCCCCTTTCCACTTCCTATATAATCAGAAAGGAGAAGACAAGGCAGGAAAAAAAAAAAGACTTACCACAATCTACGCAGTACAATCCAACTCCAGATAATACAGTTTGCCCCATCTAGAATAAAACAAATTCGACCCGGTACACGCCTCGTCCAGGTCCGAGGCGTTGCTTCTCTGCTTTCATATTAGTACTCCATGCCGCCAAAGCTCTTGTTCCTGACCAGCGCAGCCCTCTCAAGGCTGGCCCTGGGCAGCCCTTCCATGGACCTCGACCGTGTGCTGTGCGCCGAAGTGGGCCGCGTGCTGATGCTCGCGTCGCCGTCCTCGACCGCGCGCATATCCTCCTCTCCCGCGGCGAGACCGCCGGCCTCGCCGCCCGCAGGCTCGTCCCGGATGCGGTGAATGAAAAATGCCGAGATGAACACGGTGATGCCGCCCAGTGCAAGCACAATGGCAATGGAATGGTCGCCAGGCACGCCGCGGGGTTTCTGGAAGATGCGGAAAATGATGCTGCTCGACACGGTGGCGATGATCTGCGGCGCCGCAATTGCCATGTTGTGAATGCCCAGGATGACGCCGGCCTGGTCGGCGCTTTCGTCCTCGTTGCTGTTGTCGTCAAGCTCTCTCTCGCCGCGGTTCTCGTCTGACGAATAGCCGTCCAACGACGCCACGCCCCGGCTCGGCGAGAGGGCTTTGGCGGCGGCATAGCGCGCACGGCGAATCTCGTCGCGGCGTGAGATCTCGGCGCTGATAATGGCCCACGGCGCCCAAAGCGTCAGGGCCCAGGTGATGCCTACAAGGCCGATGAGCACGGTAGCGGCAGTAACGGTCCGCACAAACACAGTGCAGAGCATGCACACGGTGAAGAGGATCTGGGCAAACATCCAGGCGCGGCGGAGGGTGAAGCCGGGGATGACGAGGTAGTCGAGCCAGGATTTCTGTTCCTCGCCGTAATCCTTGAGCACGGCGGGGCCTTCGCCCGGCCCGTCGGCCGTCATGTACACTGGGTCGATGAAAAAGGGAAGGAAAACGTTGGTGACCAAGCCAATGATGGCAAAGATGAGGAGGGCAAAAGTTCCCTCCCGTGTGGCCTCTTCGTAGAGCCTGTCAAGCTCCTCAGGCGTCATGTTGGGATTCTGTTCGAGGAACGGCTCGGCGTAGATCTCACCGATATAGGCGGATGTGTAGAACAACATGGGGAAGAAGCCGATCCATGCGCAGAATTGTACTTGGCAGACCTTCTTGGTCTGGGGCGGAAGTCGTTTGATGGAGGTGAAGATCTTCTTGAAAAAAGAAAGCACACCTGGCTTGTCTTTGGCCGGGGGACCTTCTAGACGCGGATCTCTCTCGCGGATGAGGAGACAAGTCATGGCAATAGTGACGGCGAGTGCAATGCTCGCGATGGCACAGAGGTCTTTGAACTGAGTATCACCGAAATACCATACGACCTTGGGAAGATCTAGGTAGCCAGCTAGATACCCCACAATGTTCCCGAGACCAACGAATCGGCTTGCCATGGCATTTGCCCTTTCTAGGATCGCGGGTTAGGCCAAGAGTGCATGTCCTCGTCTCACCAGGAGTGACCAACCTTGCTCGTGAGTGGGCGCGCAGTCCACAATGAAGGCTCGAATTGCCGCTTGCACTAGAGCAGCTGGTTAGCACAGGGGCTAGCTTGAACATTGCGGCAATACTGGCTGAGAACCCACCAGTATTGATGGCAAAATCAAGAACATAGACCCAAATCACGGCCACGACAATGATGGAGACCTTGACAAAGTTCGACTCTGGGTCTGCACCAAACAGTCCCAAAAAGCCGCCGACAATCTCTTTGGTCCACGCCAGGAACATCAACGAGACGATCGTGGCAGTAGCACCCCCTAGCATGAAGGGTTTGCGCTTCCCCCAAGAGATACGGCATTTATCGCTCAGCATGCCGACGTAAGGCTGCACCAAGGTCCCCGATAGCGGGCCGGCGATCCAGACCAGTGCCATGAGGGACTTGCTGAGCCCCAGAGAGAGAAGGTATGGCGAGCCATTGGACATCTCCACCGACCAGGCAATCTGCAATCCGCCGATGCTTATGGTCAGAATGATGAGATACCAGACGCTCTTGCTGGCCTGGTGCTCGTCGGAGGTCTCGGCCGCGGGTTCGTTGCCCATCAGCCCATCGTCTTCGCTGCTGCTTGGGGAGAGCAGAGGCGACTGCTCGCTGAGCGGGTCGCCATGCTGCTGTTGCCCATGGCCGTTCGGCTCGTTTGTCGGTGCATCCGTTGCTTGATCTTTGCCTTTGCCGGCTACGTTGGAAGGCGGTGCCTGGTCCTTGTTGTCTGCGGGATGTTCCCGTTCCGGATGTCCTGCTAACGGCGACGTCATGCGGACCCGAGGAGACAGCAGCGGCGTTGGCTGTCGTTGCTCGCAGCGTCTAGACACGCCGGCCTAATGAGCCTTCACAACCTTGTCTGCTCTGAAATGGGAGAAATACTCGTCGGCGAGGGTGGATGGGTTGGAAAGATGGGGCGGTAGGCTGAGGGAGAAGCTCTGACGGGAAGCCCTGACTCGGCAACTGAAGTGGGTAGCTTCGGAGAAATCAGTGACCTGCAACCAACGAGGGTGCCGTTGCTTAATGGATGGAATATTTGTCTGCCTATCTTGATAGTGTCGACGCTGGAGTCAGGCGGTCAAGTAAAAGAATGCCACGAGACCGTCGTCATTTGATTCGCGTGGTGCCAGATGCAGCTCGGGAAAGCCCCGGGTTGGAAGGCGATCAGCCACTGACTGAGCTGAAGCCTGACCCTGGAACAAACAACCCCAGTCCTAAAACAGCTCCACATCGCCTGTGCTACCCCACATTACGCTACGGGGCAGGCTGTACGAGTACTGTTCGAGTACTTCGTACGTCTGTACTGTACAGTGGATTCTGGGCTTGGTTGATTGGCTCGGTCGAGGTCAAGCGATCTGTGGGACCAATGGGATGAATGAGAGATAGCTGGCGGCTTCCTCTGGGCCTCGAATCGAAATCATGACAATCCGATGTTAACGAGGCGCGCCATCGAATCAGCCAGTCCAGGTTGAGGCTGTCCCTTTGATATAGAGCCGGCTTGATTGTTTTGACGCGAACGACTGTCGCTCTTTCCGTTATTCGTGGCCGCGCCGGGCCGAGCCCGCTACCTATACCATGCTCCTCCAAGCCATCGCCAGCTCCATCATGGAGCTTACAAGTATGCCCACGAATTCAAACTGCCCCTCATTTGCAGATGCTGACCAAGATGGCACAGAAAGAGAAGAAGAAGACCCTGCCGGTAAGGAGGCGCTCTCAGTCGAACCGCGCAACGAGCACGAGCTAACCCACTGCTCCCGTAGCCGATCAGCCGAAGCAGGAGAACAATGCATCATGGGCCATCTTCATCTTGATACTGTTGCTCATAATAGCGTTCTGCACCAGCTATACGATGCAACAGAGAAAGATTACGGCGATCCATGAGACGGTCGTTTCCATCTTTGGCGGTGCGCGAGGCTCTTCTCTTTGCATGTGTTTGCCTCTTTGTCTGTCTGCGACTAACCAACGTTGCCGCCCCAGGCATGACTGTTGGCCTTATCCTACGAATTTCGGGATTTGACTCGATCCGCGATCTGGTCAATTTCAACGACCTGTACTTCTTCAACCTCCTACTGCCTCCCATCATCCTGTCGTCGGGATACGAACTTCACCAAGCGAACTTCTTCCGGAATATTGGCACCATCTTGACATTTGCGTTTGCCGGGACGTTCATATCAGCCGTCGTCATTGGTGTGCTGTTATGGCTTTACACCGCCATCTCGCTGGAGGGCCTGAATGTGACCTGGATCGACGCCATCTCGGTAGGGGCGACCTTGTCGGCTACGGATCCGGTTACCATTCTGGCCATCTTCAACTCGTACAAGGTTGACCCCAAGCTCTACACCATCATCTTTGGCGAATCCATCCTGAACGACGCTGTCGCCATTGTCATCTTTGAGTCTGCTCGGAATGCCGGTGGCAAGGGAGGCGGCATTGGCATATTCAGTCTCCTTCACGGCATCTGGTTCTTCTTGTCCCAGTTCTTTGGCAGCTTGGCTATCGGTGCCCTGGTTGGGGTTCTGACCGCGCTAGCGTTGAAATATACCTATGTTAGGCGGTATCCGGGCATTGAAAGCTGCCTGGTTGTACTGATCGCCTACGAAACCTACTTCTTCGCGGCGGCCATCGAGATGTCTGGTATGTGGCTTTGAGAATTGCTCCTGCCCTCCTGAGATACTGATAGCTTCACAGGCATCGTCGCCCTCCTGTTCTGCGGAATCACTCTCAAGCACTATGCCTACTTCAATATGTCGCGCCGGACCCAACTAACAACCAAATACATCTTCCAAGTCCTTGCCCAGCTGTCCGAGAACTTCATCTTCATCTACCTAGGTCTAGCCCTTTTCACCGAGAAGAACTTGGTCTATCAACCGCTTCTGATCATCGTTACCGTGCTCGCCGTGTGCGTGGCAAGATACCTAGCTGTTTTCCCCATATCCAAAGCCATCAACTGGTTCATTCGTTATCGCGCGCGTCGCCGAGGAGCCGCCGAGGCCGCCGACGAGTTACCTTACAGCTACCAGGCGATGCTCTTTTGGGCGGGTCTCCGTGGTGCCGTAGGCGTCGCTCTCTCAGCGTCCTTCGAGGCCAAGGATAGACAAGCACTCCAGGCAACAGTTTTGGTCGTCGTGGTGTTAACTGTTATTATCTTTGGCGGCACCACGGCCCGCATGCTCGAGATTCTCGGCATTCGGACCGGCGTGACCGAGGAGATTGACTCCGACGACGAATTCGACATCGAGGCCATCGGCGGCGGCTTGTACAAGCGCTCAGACACTGGGATCGGGTACAACCACCGTGCCGGCAGCCGCAACCGCGGATCGGTGCTACCTCTGGACGATGTTGGCAGAAGCGGAAACGGACCTGCTGGCAGCGGGGACAGGAACGGTTGGGCATCCGGGCATAGGCCGTCCAGGCTCCCTCGGCAAGGGAGTCGGAGCCGCAAGAACCCCAAGAGCGGGGATGAGTTCGAGAGGTCGGAGCTGCTTGGGGCATCGGGGAGTAATACCGACTCGGAGCTGGGCAGTGATATTGACATCTCGGATCTGCCGCCGCCGGCACCCCGATCAAGGTCAAGTCCGATGCCTAGCGCAGAAGATGGCGCAGGTCGGAGTGAGGGCCAAAGCAGCTCCGGCTCAAGCAGGCAAAACACTCCTTCGACGGGCGAGGGAGCCGGCCATCAGCCACTCACGACGACTGCCACTGCCGCCATCAGGCAGCTGTTCCGCACCGAGGACCCGTCGGCGCTGTTCCGGCAGCTGGATGAAAACTACATCAAACCCACGTTGCTGCTCGATGGCGGCAGCGGGCGGGGTGGTGGTGGAGGGGGCTCAGGATCTCATTAGGACTGGTTTAGATATTGCATGTGATTATTTTCCGCTTCTTGTTGGTCTCTTGGAACTAGGGAACCTATCTGGCTGGCGGCGAGGCATGGGTGGCGTTCCGGCGTGGGATGAAGCGCCCGCGGTTCCTTTTGCTGGGTCATGATGTAAAGTTATGATAGAGTTACTGGGCAATGGGATTGTTCATGGCTATGTTATCGGGGCATTTCACGGAGTTGAGAGGCATTCGCTGGTGTGGCGACTCCCTTGTCTCGAGGTTGACTCCTCGCCCTTTCTTCGACTTTCGACCTTTGTAGTCGATTGCGTACGGATACGTACATATCTATCTCCAGCGGCACTAATCCTTTGCATCAAAGTAACAGATGGCAAAGCTAGCAGGGTCCTTCAATGAGCACGTCGATTGTTGCCTGACGAAGAGGAAAATATCTACAAGTCATTCACTTAAGAGCTGTAGAGAGGAAACTAGGGTCCGTTAAGCGTAAAATCTGAAAACTGCTTGCGTCCTCTCTTCTGTAACCTTCAACTAAAACGGTACATGACCTAGAACACCTTCAAAGCCCCAATGGCCGCTGCCCCCTCCAAAGAGTTCGACGCCCTCGTCGGATCCCATATCCTCGCCTCCACCAAAGACTCCTCTTCCAACATATCCAGTAGTGTCTCCTCCCATGGCGAAGTGGTCGTGTATCTCTCCGCTATCGTGCGATGTCTCTCACGACGTGCGACCGCCGCCAAGAAGCTTTTGAGAAAGCCGCCCTGATCAAAACCATTGGGATCTCACGCTCAAATGCAACGAACTAGACGCCAAGCTCAGGGCAGCTGATGACGTCTACGCTCTGGCGGAGCAATTGAGCGGTCTTCATACGTGGTCAAATCTTCCGTGTCCTCGTTCCTAGGCGGGCAAGTGCCTGTGCGCGGCAAGATACTACTGTAACCGGAACATCATCATCGTGACGACGCAGGAACATTCGGCCGTCTCAATCCAGGGGCTCAACTGGCGCCCTTCTAAACCCGGCAGTGTTTTCCGCAATCTGTGGCGCCGTCTTGTGGAAGTGGCTTAGGTAGATCGTTTGCCAGTGACTTCTCAAGGTTGTCCCTCAAACTCGTCAAATGCAGATACGCCCCTATCCAGGACATCCCCAAGATTATTGTATATTTCGATAGTAAACCGATGCTCCAGGAAGCCCGGCATATTTTGATGAAGAGAGGAAGGGCTTCTCTAGCAAGTTCGCGAGGAAGACTGTCCGGCGATATCATGCGGACGTTCGCCCGGCCGATAAATATATAACACTCGCGGATTTCGCCTCGGCGCAAGCCGAGTGCCGTATCATGGTCGCCACGGACGGCTGATTGTGCAAAACTCCAGGCACAGTTGAGCGCAAATCTGTGTGAGGTCGGGTAGGGCCGGTATCCTGCCACGGATACGTCGGATAAAATTTCAAGTAGGTCATTATGAATGCCTCACAAAGGTGTGACGAGGCCCTTGCGGTGGTTTTGTTGCCCAGTGACTGATCAAGGGCAGCCAGCTGCAGCAGCATTTGATGATTGGGTACTGCTCATACTTAGGTATCAGTCAATGAGCCGACTATGATTCGGTACTGCTCATACTCAGGTATCAGTCGACAAGCTTCATACTCGGGTATCGGTCGCTCATCAATTTCTTCGCATCAGTTTTATTCCGGCTCGAAGCTCGATGGCTAGTAACGACAGAACCCTATTTCACCTCGTTCCCAGCTCTCAGGCTGCTCAGGAAGCTCTTTCGCATCCCAATTAGCCGACGGTTTATCTCCGTCAGTGCCATCGGCGAGAGCCCGGCTGCCCGGGAGTGAATGAGCGACCGGGAAGTTGACACAGCGTGCCAGCTCAGTAGTGAGCTGCTGAATGTGGCCGTTGTAGACCTGAACATCCTGGGAAATTGCGTTTTCTTTGGCAGTCATACCAACATCATTCCCTTTTCTTCAACCCATGGAGGAATCGAACTGGCGACCTCCCTTTGATGTGGGTTACGAGGAGAGGACCATTACCACTGAGGCTCACCTCAACCGGTGGGGGGTGAAAGTAGAAAGTTGGACTTGACTTATATACTTTCCCAGAGAGGTAGGAACGAGAGCCAACACATGGAACACTCGAAAGATAAGACCTCCTCATTAATACTACCTAAGAAAACCTGACCGCAGCTCTTACCTCCCAAAGCACCAGGCTCTGTATGGGTTCGGGGCTTTGCGCGACAGGAAGATATCTTGGCTTCAGGCTTCACACGCACAGTCTCTCGGCAGCAGACCGTCACGTACATATGATACTCGCTTCGAGTACCTAATGTAATGTGTCATCGCCCATGTTACCGAGCCTCGGGGCTTTCAACCCGTGCTCCCGCTTCGTTGCGTTGGCTGCTGTACCGCCGCCGCCGCCGCCAACGTCTCTTCCACCCGCCTCGGCTTCTCCTCGTCATCCATCATCATCCCAAAGCTCTGCTCCCCGGGCGGCGGGTTCTGGATGCCGGGGATGCCGGGGTTCCCCACCGGCACCTGCGGCTGCACCTCGTGCGCCTGCTCCCTCTGCTGCGCCCTGTGGATGCGGCCCGTCTGCTGATCTACCCACGACGTGAGAGTTCGAAATCTTGCCGGCAGGTCCTCGCTCGTTTCCGTGTACATTGTTTCTCTCCGGCTTTGTGGTGGCTGCTGGCTTTGCGATTGTGCCTGCTGGTTTGGGTCCTGCGTCATCCACGAGAAGCGCGCCGTGAACGGATTGCCGCCCACAGGGGAAGGGCCGTCGACGGGAGACGGGTTGACGAGAGATTGCGCTGCGATGATGTCGTCGTCTCCAAAGCCCGACGAGAGAGAGGATACCTCGCTTGTCACCTTGCTAGGCTGTCGGTAAACACCAGTACCCTGGTAAGGAGCCGTAGAGAATTGCTGCGTCATCAATGACGGGTGGTAATACACGGTAGGCGCTGCTGTCGTGCCTGTCTGCATGGTACTGACGACGTATTCGCTTGCCATTGTTGCGCCAAACTGTGCGGCGTTGGTGGAGCTGAATGACTGCTGCGGCTGATGCGCATAAGGCTGGTTGGTAACCATGCCTGGGTAATATAGGCCAGGGGGATAGAACTGTGGTTGGTATACGCTCTGAGGCTGGGTAACCACACCTTCTGTCGGGACCGGCGGCAATGATTGCTGTTGAGCCTGCGCTTGCTCTTGTGGCGGCTGCGGCTGCGGCTGTTGCTGGAGCTTCTCGTCTCTCGTGGTCATGTCTACCGATGGAGCATCGAAACTGTCTGCCTTTTCATGGTAGACTGGCTGCGGCGGCGACCCGACAACAGTTGTCCCTTCTAAACTCTGCCAGCTCAACTTTCTGAAGAAGGGAACTCGCGAGGCAAGTCGTTTCGGAAACACACTAAGGAAGCCGCTGCGGTGGCTTCCATTCCTCTTTTTAGACTTCCTCATTGTCCGCCACAAGGTCCAGACAACAAAACACACCAGGACGAAAACCCCTAGCGGAACGGTTAGTTGCAAGAAGCCAGAAGCTCAAGCCAGAGTAACCATACCTATTGAGCCAACTGCAATTAAAATGCGCTCCGCTCCCGGATCCATCCCGTTCTGTGCCGCTTCGAGACGGTTGTTGCCATCACTGTTACTGACAGTACTACCGGCGCCACTGCCGTTATCCAGGTTATTGCCATTATTCTGGCCGGTCCCACTACCGCTGTCGAGCGGTCTTGGAGGGGGTAGACCGTTGGGAATTGACGTCGGACTCGGCTCAATGGCTGAGGACACGTCGGGGGCTTGAGCATACTGCCCTGCTCCTGGGAGATTGGAGGGATCACTGGTCATCAAAGGGATGAAGGCGGTAACGGTCGGGTTCCCCTACCAATTTCGTTAGACAAGCCCAGGTCGCCCGAGAAACAGAAGCACTTACCTCAACCGTCGAACTTGGTGCTAGGGCAGACTCTAAGACAGCAACCGAAGTAGATGTGCTGGATGGGTCGACTGTTACTGAGGTAGGCACTTCCGGGGATAGGGCGAATTCAGGAGGCGGAGCTGATGACGACGGGAGCGATGGGGAGGCGTTAGAGGGAGCTACCGAAGCATCCCCGCCTCCTCTCCCTCCTCCGTTGTTGCCGTCGTCGCCTCTTCCCCCGCCGCCGCCACCTATCCTCCTATCACCCCTCCCATCTCCCTCACCTCCGCCACCTCTGCTCCTGCCGTCCCCTCTGTCTCTGCCATTACCGCCTCCTTCCCCGTTACCATCGCCGCGTCCGCCGCCTCTGTCTCTGCCATTACCGCCACCTTGTCCATCGCCAAATCCACGGCCGTTGCCATCGTTGTCATTGTTGTTGTTGTTGGGCCTTCCTCCACCCCTAAAGCCCCCGCCAAATCTTCTACCCCCATCCCGGTCGCCATTGTCACCCCGACCGCCGTCATTATCGTTGCCGCCGTTGTTATTACCGTTGCGGAATCGTCCTCGGCCCTCACCGTCCCCGTTCTCGTTTCCCCTATTACCTCCCCTATCCTGGCGGGCATATAGCCCGTTTCCACTAGATAGTGGAAGGCCATCACATGGTTCTCTTCGCACACCGACTCTTCCTTGGTCATTCAGAGGCGCCATGTCCAACCCATTTGGCATCCTCTGTCCAGCTGCGAGGAGGCCAGTGTGTATTGGGTCAAGACGCCCAGCCAAGCGATGTCTCACGAGTCATGGGATTATGGGTTTGTATCTCTAGATCGGGACGACAGTCTGGTATCAAGCAGCTAGAGGAATCCAGGAAGCGACTGAAAGACTGGCTGGGGTATTACGACAAGGACAGATTAGAAATGAATATACAGTACAAGATGCGGAAAGAAGAGAACGGGAAGCCGGCCCTAGAGTTCAGAAAGGAAGGTAAAGGAACGAAGGTGGTGGGAGATAAGCAACATGGGCCCGGGCTTTTCTGGGGTGGTTAAGCTTCCCGTGTGAATGCATGAGGGGACCAGAACGCGAGCTCTCGGCAGGTGCATCAGGGATGAGATCGCGACGAGAGTCTTTGCGGATGGACCTGCACCGAAACAGGGATCGAAGGTGATAGCATGGGGGTGGATTTTTCCAGCAACCCATAGACCGGTTACCAGGAGGCGGCCGGAGACGCCTCAGCGTCTTCAGGGATAGCATCAGCCCTAGCATTGAGGGCAGCTTGTATCGGGACAGTGATGGTGGTTGCATCCTGAGCCGCATTTGGGGAGAGAAGCCCTAGGACATCCAGTCCATACATGCGCAAACCGGAGGAGCTGACATCGCCGCGGCAAGCCTTGATAGGCATAGGCCCATCTGAGGTGCACATTGTCTGGGAACCTAGCTCTGCACCACCTACGCGGGAGGACCGCACAGGGGACTTTTTCGATCGGAACCGAAGCTAACGTTGAGTTCCGGCAGGCACGCACTGACCGATGCCGAGGATTGTGAGAATGAGACGATCGAGCCATGAGAAGATGTACGGCAAAGACAGGGGGTTCAACGTCTCAGCCATGGGCAAGGCGTTTCAGCCCACAACAGACGATGCGGGGAAGGCAAGCGACATGGATTCGTTGCAATTCGCTTCGGATGGCCCAGATTCTCAGATATAACTATGAGTCCTGCAGGGAGATATCGCGACTGAGAGAACTCTCAGCTGATAGATTCTGCTGGTTTAGTCTGGCCTGTGGTACCGAACAGCCACCAGGGTAGAGTTCGAGACCTAGAGGTTCAGCGAATCAATAGCATCCATGTTCAAGCCAATTGGGTTGACTGCCAATGGTGTTGCATGTTCAGGCTGCAGGACAGTCGCGTGAACTGCTGCTGAGTGAGGATTATGCCTGAGCATCGAGCGAGGGAGACGGCATTGAGGTGATTATTCGCAAGGGAAATATTCAGATCGTCAATCCAGAGTAATGCTTCGAAAGCTGCTCAAGAGTTCTCCTGGAGAAACGAACATCCAAGGAGCAACAAGCAGCCCATACGAACCGTATCGGACTTCAAGGCTGTCATGTTATTGACAGGTCGTGTCGACAACCTCTCACTCCTCAGCTCGTCCATGTCCATGTCCAGGTCCAGTCGTCTACACGCCCCCAGAGAGCGAGCCGGGCGCCTGGCCCGCCCATGTTCCCAAGAGCTAACCATACCCGGAAGTCGGGCAATCGTACGGATACGTGCATCGAATAAGTATCGTATGTACTTGTACAGTCTGTCGGTTCCTGCAGGGCAGGTACCAGATCGAGGGCAGATGCAGACGCGGTTGCAGGATGACACTTGGCGCATTTTCATGCGGGACTGATATCTGGCGGATCATTTATGCGCTAGACGGTAGTTACAAGGTTCAACACTCAAGTGCTAGCCAGCGAAGCGCCAGGCAGAAACCTGGATGTCGACAGATCGCATTGGGACCAAAAGCTATGTCTCCGCCTCCAATCAGTACAAGGGCAACAACACACGCCAGTTGGACCTTCTCTTTTTGCATCGCTATAAACACCCTCCGCCCCCCCCTTTTCTCCTCCTCCTCCTCCTCTGCTCTCAACTCCCTTCCAGCATCTTCCCGTCGTTACGATGCAACTCACGATTTAGTCATCCGAGGCCCCAGCTGCACTCGTACATACACCACATATCCAACGCCAATGATCTTGTCGGAGGGCATGTGATGGCACACTTGCCCATCGGATCGGTGAGATCGAATCATCGAATGGCGGGATGTTTCTCGGTGAATGCCGGAGGGGATTACCGAGGCGCGCGAGGCACAAGCGGACGTAGGGTGGCAGATACTGACAGGTGAGAGTGAAGAAACATACCTACATATACGAGACGAGTATTCGTGCAACGGCTGTGTGTGCAACCATCTCCTCCATGAGTCAAGGACTCAAGGTGGCGGAACTAGTATGTCGCTGGGAAACGCAGGCCAAAGGGAAAAGAGTTATTACCCGAGTCAATTTAGCGGTATCACGTCTGTATAACGGGTGAACGGGCGATCCGAAACTTGGGCGGATTTCCCCACGTGGGTTTGTGTCAATACAATCATAGCAGCAAGTGAGTGTTGTGACTGTTTGAATCCTCCGTCAAACTGTCCGTACCCACAAGTGTAGGTGGACAAGAAGGTGTCAATTGATGGTGAGGCCCAGCGTCACTTTCGTCATCATGGCCCCCCAGCAGAGTGACTTGGTGCGAGGACATGTGGAGCCGGTGGGGCAGTCGCTCCCGAGTTCCTGACCAACTGAGTGGCCACGAGCTCCACGATCAAAAAAGCCGCGCGAATAGGATAAAGGCGCAAGAAAAAACGAACAGGGCTGGGTATCTTATCTTTGTACTCACGATATCAAAGCTGCTAGGGATTGATCCCTCACAAAAGTCGAAACATTTTTCTGCTCGCCATTCTTGGATCGACTCTCCCACTTTGAATCATTACCTAGTAATCATTTCATTCCTGCGGTTCGCTCCTCTCCCTTGCGTGTCGAGTCAACGTGTTTCGCGCTCGCCAATTGGCCAAATGGCGTCTTCGTCGCGAGCTTTAAGCAAGCTCGCAGTGCCCTCATCGGGTGCTGCGTCGCTCAAGCTTTCCGCAGCTGGCCCCCGGCTACTCCTCCAGTCACCGCGACGGACAATTGGCGCCAGACCGGCATTTGGCAGCATACAAGGGCCAGTCACCCAACAGTTTCGGCGCGGCTTTGCTGACGGCGATGCTCGGGTGCCCCCGCCGCCGCCCAAGAAGCCGCGCTTCCGTAAGTTGAGGTGGGCTTGGCGACTGGGATATATCTCGGCCATCGCCGGCGTCGCATACCTTGGGTACGGCGTCTATCTTGACAGGCACCCGGAGCCCCAGGTGGAGCCTGATCCGTCCAAGAAGACTCTGGTTATTCTAGGTAAGTTGCGCAAACCGCTGCATCCGCGCGCTTTCCTGGCCCTGTACGCCGTGAGCTCTTTCTGACCCAGTGCGTTGCAGGAACCGGCTGGGGCTCCGTCTCCCTGCTAAAGCGCCTTGACACCGAAAACTACAATGTCATCGTCATATCGCCGCGCAACTACTTCCTCTTCACGCCCCTACTTCCGTCATGCACAACCGGCACCATTGAGCACCGGTCCATAATGGAGCCCGTGCGGACAATACTCCGCCAGAAGAAGGCAAGCGTAAAATTCTACGAGGCCGAGGCTAGCTCCATCGATCCCGAACGCAAGGTGGTACGTATCTTTGACAACTCGGAAATCCGGGGTGACATAACCGAAACCGAGGTCCCCTACGACATGCTTGTGATCGGTGTGGGTGCCGAGAACGCCACCTTTGGGATTCCCGGCGTTCGCGAACACTCTTGCTTCCTGAAGGAAATTGGCGACGCACAAAAGATCCGAAAGAGGATCATGGACTGTGTCGAGACGGCGGCCTTCAAGGACCAGCCACCTGAGGAGATCGACCGTCTCATGCACATGGTTGTGGTTGGTGGTGGCCCGACGGGTGTAGAATTCGCCGGCGAGCTCCAAGACTTCTTCCAGGAGGACATCAAAAAGCTGGTTCCCGAGATTAGCGACCGCTTCCGTGTGACCCTGATTGAGGCGCTCCCCAGCGTGCTCCCCAGCTTCTCCAAGCAGCTTATCGAGTACACAGAAAGCACCTTCAAGGAGGAGAAGATCAACATCCATACCAAAACCATGGTCAAGAAGGTCACAGACAAGACGGTAGAGGCCGAAGTTACGGGACCTGACGGCAAGAAGGAGACGGTTGTCTTCCCCTACGGCCTCCTCGTTTGGGCCACCGGCAACGCTGTGCGCCCCGTCATCAAGGATCTCATGTCACGCATCCCGGCACAGAAGAACTCGCGTCGTGGCCTGGCCGTCAACGAATACCTCGTCGTCCAGGGAACGCGCGATATTTGGGCGTTGGGCGACTGCGCCGTAGCCGGGTATGCGCCGACAGCCCAGGTGGCCAGCCAGGAGGGTACCTTCCTGGCTCGCCTGTTCAACAACATGGCCAAGACCGAGGCGCTCGAAGAGAAAATCAGGGAGCTCAGCTCGTCCCTGAATCTTCAGCCCGGCAATTCGGCCGAGATTTCGCGCGAAATTGCCCAATACGAACGCCAGTTGAAGCGCATCAAGGACGTCAAGCCTTTCCAATACAGCCACCAGGGCAGCCTCGCCTACATTGGCAGCGAGAAGGCGGTTGCCGACGTAACGTGGTTCAACGGCAACGTGGCAGCTGCTGGCAGCCTGACCTTTTTGTTCTGGAGGAGCGCCTACATCAGCATGTGTTTCAGCACGCGGAACCGGCTCCTCGTCATCAATGACTGGCTCAAGTCCAAGGTCTTTGGCCGCGACCTCTCCCGAGAGTAGTCAAAGTCCTCACTACTCGCCCGGGCATGGCATCGCGCACCATTGTAGCGGGCAAAGTATACTACTACCCTTTCTACCCCTTTCCCCAGCTTTCCTTTGTGTCGCTGTTGTGGATGATGATGGAGTCTAGGGACCTAAAATAATAGACCAACGGGCTAGACAGGATTTACGGGATAGACTGAGGGCGATCTGAGGGCGATATCATGGCAGGTTTTCCATGTATTAACTCCTGTGTGTACAGTACAACCTCGGAGGTTCTGGACACTGGGCAACTTCACTTTCTTTTGATTCTTCAATGTCGCCCTCTGGTGGCATCCCGACTTCTGTCCTGTATCATATGTTTGAGGACGATATCTTTTGGACATTGACGGCGTTGCGCTGCCCGAATCGCCAGGCATTAGCGGCCGTTTTTCACTTCCCCACTAATGGCTGAAGAACCGCACTGCCTGCAAGCCCCATTTCTTCATCTCATGAACGTTAATCGTCTTCCCCTTCGTCGCTTCCACTTGACCATCCCTCATGGTACTCGTCTGCCATATCCATGAGGTCGTTTCCAAGAGTCTCACGGTCCTCTAAGCCAATCGACCGAATTACGGTTGATCGAAGGAGTTTCAGCTTGCCGGACACGGATGAGTCAGTTGCTAGGCTGCTAGTGATGTTGATGCTGTCTGTGGGTGGCGATACATCGTCGTTCCGGAATATGTCGGCAGGGAAACTATCCAGAAGGGGAAACCTGAGGGTCGAGTTATAGCTACACCCATGTCAGTCAAGGTCGCAGGTGTGATGTGTAGGTTATCAGCCACTGGTCACCAACCCTTTTGTCACTGGCTCGTAAGCACTTCTGCGAAGTCGTCGCCCCGCCTCGTCCACTTCCATGTCCTCGACCTCCTCATCATCGTAACCTCGCGAAGAAATGACCTGGCTGAAGACTCGTGGCTTGTAAAACCCGTTCGATCGAGAGTAGGAATCGAGCTGATCGGAAGGGGTGAACCGAAGGTCGAGCTGCACTCCCTCAGAAAGTTCCTCCTCAGACAGCTGCCTCAGCCTAGCACCCCCCCTTTGGCCTTCAGTAGCTTCCGGCCGGTCAACGCTCATCTGCAAGCCTGCCACGCTCTGCTTGCCCATTGCATTCAACACCTCGGCCAAGCCACCAAGAGTCTCCCTCTTCGAAGCATCTCTCATCCTCGACGGCAGCATAACGCTCTCTACCGCCGACGCTAGCAGCGCCGAGACATGCCATTGCGAGGTCGGGTCCAGCGTCTGCATCATTCCCGAGGGTAACATTTCGGGTAACGCCAGCGGCACGATGATGGAAGCCTGCTTGTACGCCTCTGTAATCGTCCTGGCCTTATTCGCCAGTCGCAACAGTCTCTTGTCCTGATCCACCACGCCCGGGCCGGGTCAGCCCAACTACCCTCATCTCACACAATACCCCCCAAAAGAGAGACAGAAGGAGAGAGTGGAAAACTTACCCTCCCCACCATCGCCCCGCGTCCACCATTTTGCAACCCCCACACCCAGACGGGACACTTCCCATACTCATCACGCACACGCTCCAAGTAGCGAGCCGCAAACCCGCCCCAGGCGTCGTCAAACGACGCGAAAAGCTGAACGCCCTGCATGTGGTCGGCCTCCTCGACAAAGGGGCGCAGGTCGCGGTCAAGGAGGTCGTGTTCGGCGTCGAGGGCCGCAAACAGGGCGTCGCCTGCAGCATGGTGCTCAAAGGTCGACAGCCCACCCCCACCACCACCACCTGCTCCTCCCGTGCCCGTACCCGTCGATGATACTGATGATGATGATAATGAAAGGTTGTGCTCGTTCAGCTGGACCACAGAGCGGGGGTGGTAAAACACGCGCGAGAAATCCGAAAAGAAGCGCACGCTCGACCGAGTCAGTGGTTCTGGGGGCGCCGTCCCCGCGTTCAGGGCCTGTTGGTAGCTTGAGAGCGGGATCTGGGGGGCGCGGTGGACGGTTGTTTGGCCGTGCCTGATGGGTTGTTGATGCAAAAGTGAGTATTGTACTTGCCAGGGGGAAGAGAAGGCAGGGAATATAGGGGTCAAGGAGCGTTACCAGAGAGCCTGTGGCGGAGTCGACTCATCGTCAACTTCGTAGAGGGCGTTGATCTTGCGGAGGGTGCCAAATGCCCCTTTCAAGTCGTAGATGACAGTCCGGGGCATGAAGGTTTCGCTGCCGTCTGGGGCGAGACCGGGGCGGAAGTGGATGTCATGGTCGATGGGCGACTCTCCTTCGGCTTCGGAATAGGTGAAGTAAGATTCCTAGGCCCATAGGAGTAGTAAGTCTTGTGAGCACTTGAGGACGAGGATGAGATGCTCGATGAGACGTTTTCAATGAAACTTACCTGGGTATTCCAGAAATGTGTTGCTAGGTAGTTGCTTTGCTGTCCGAGCTGAACAGTGATGATTTCATGCATCGCGACTAGATTCGTCGATGAAAGTTGGTGAGTTGCTTGAAGAGTGAACGAGAACACGATCAGGATTCAGGACTCCTGAAGTGGATGAAAAGGCTACAGCTTTGAACCCTAACCCTTTGGCATTTATTAATTGCCATCACAAGAACACCCGTCAGTCAGGCAGTCACTCAAGACCAGACCCAAGGAAACAAGATTTGACGAGGCAACTTGTGCCTCTAAACCCTAAGATCTATTAGTCTAGGAGGATCCAGATAGTTACACGAGCTTAGTCACATCCCTGCGCCCAGTTCGGCCGAAGATATCAGCACCGTTCCTCTCCAATGTCCCGATTCCCTCTCGCAACTCCTCGCCGCTTTCGGCGACGCCAATCTGTCTTCAAGCAACCGCAGCTGCTGCCGCGGTATTAGCCGTCGTCGCCGTTGTGTTCTGCTGCTTACCCTGAGCCTGCCGCTTTGCTGGTGGCTGGTTCTGATTAGTACTGGGATCCTCCGAAGCTGATCGCTTGGCCTTTTTCAAGGGTGGTTGGGGCTTTTGCTCGCCGGGCTCAAACACGTCGTCAGGAAGTGACGTATTCTTGACATGTTGAACCGACAGGAACATCAGGTGAGGCTCGAAGATGTCGTTGGACATGCACATGGCCTTCCACTCATTGACCTCACGCGACAGGTCGAGCTTCTTTGCCTTGTCGACCAGCTGCAGCCCAATGTAGTGGTTAGTCGTGAAAATCTCCACCTCTGTCTCCTTTGCCCCAGCAACATCTTCGGGTTTTATCTTATCCTCGTCTTGCGGCTCGGCCTTAACCATCGGGATCATGCCGAGTGATCCTTCCTCGCCCCCCTCCTGCTTCACCGCGACGCCGTCCTCGGGCTTGACTGTTGTGCCATCCTCGGCCTTGACTGAGGCTCCGTCTTCAGTCTTCACCGCGGACTGGGCATCGGTCTTGGGTTCGGCCTTGGGTTTCTCTTCAGCGGGCGGGGTGTACAGGTAAGCAAGACTGCCGTCTGACACCACCTCCTCGAGTTGTGCATCATTTTTGCACCGGTGCACTCTGTCGTAGCCTTTGTTGAATGGCCTCGCCAGAGCTATCGCCGGGTGCATCTCAAGTTTGTTGATTAGTAGCCGCACCCTCGACTCAATGAACCCCGACCAGGCGTTTTGGGCCTTTCTGGTCCTGCTGGATGCAATGATTGTGAGGTAGTATCTGAATCCCGAGGTGAAAAAGGTGTGCTTTGTGAAGAGATCTTTCCACGGCCTCTTACCCACCATGATCTCATCCGTTATCCGCACGCCCTTCTCCAGTTCCTGCTGAATCACCATCATGGATGATCTGCTAACATTGTGCGTCGCACACATGGAGGGGTATGCCGGGGTGATGATGGGCATCTTGTGGTTCCTATCGCTGGCATAGAGCTATTCTGTGGTGAGACATCAGCGTAGTCGAGGGCCAGAGAATCACTCACCTTGGGATTCCACACCGCTACCCGCGTGACCGCGGAGCCGTACTCAATATCCTTGAGGAGAACGGGGAGGGGCCAGGGCCACTTGGACATGATGTTGAAAAACTTGTTGACTATGACGGCGCTTGTGGCCTTGGGGTAGAGCTGGCAAATGCGGGCGACGAGCATGGCCCAGGCAACTCCTCCAGGATAGCCCATAATGTTCGCGTAGATTGCTTTCCGCTGAGCCCAAAGCTTGATAGCTCGGAGGGCAAGTTTGAACGTGGCAGGTTCCGGGACGAGATTCAGAATTTCGTCTGTCACTCGCGTCCCGTTCAACGACCGCACTTCGTTCTCGCTCAAACCGCGGAGGAGGTTGTTGTCGGCCAAACTCCAGTTCTTGTCAGCCGGCAGTTGTTTGAGTGTTTGGATCGAGCAAAAAATGAGGTCGATGCTGATTCCGGAGAACTCAAACTTGATGATGGGCACAAACGCATCGGGTACGGGAGTCAAGTCGGTGATGGCACCAGGCGGCGCCATCTCGACGAGCACTTCGGGAAAAATCTTGAAATACTGCTCGACCGTGACATATTTGGGCGCGACGACGAGCGTATCAATATCGGAACCTGGTCCATAGACGCCGAGGCGGTAGCTGCCATATGTAAACACCCTGCCGATAGCATCCCGGATCAGAATGGTATTTTTGGGTTCCTTCTCCCTAGCGGCCCTCTTGACGAATTCATTTGTAACTTTCTCAAGCTGCGCAATAACTCTCTTCCTTTCCTCAGTCTCGGCTGGGCTTTCGAAAGTGCCTTGGGCCCGCAGCTCCTTGTGGAGTGCCTCGTGCATACGTTTCTCATTCTCGTTCGGTAGGGCCGTCGAGATGGGAGGCGTTACGCCGTAGATCTTTTCAGACATGATGCGAGGTGGAAGATAGTGACGCGGTTGAGACGGTGTGCTGTGGCGATGGCGGAATGGAAAAGAGGCTGTAGACCGCCCACTACTCGCTGATTGGAAGAGAAGGGAAGTGAGGAAAATGAGCGTCGGCCGGCGGGAGTCGCAAAGGCAGACGGAAGGGAAGGAAAAGAAACAAAAAGAGGCGACGTATCCGCAGATTCAAGTCATGGTATGCCTAGGAAATCAAGTGTGCGATGCAAGAGCCGGGTGTCGAACAGTTCCCTCGACCACAAAAAGAAACCGAGCGGAAACAGAGATCAAAGCAAAGCGTCGTTGATTGTGAAAGTTCACTTTTGAGCCAGCCACCCTTGGCGCGTCGCGCTGGGTGCACGGACAAGAATGACTGATTGGTGGATTGGTGGGAACTTGGGAGAGCCGATGTGATTACCGTAATTTTCTCCGTACTATACAGATAGAGAAGATTACCTGGCAATAATACAGTATGCTCCGTACACTAACACTACAACCTACAGCAGGGGTGACCCCACCCCCACCATCAGAGGGGTACCTAGTAGGCTCCGTAGGTTCTCATCACACTATCAGGCTTCAGCCCTGTGAGCGATCAGGGCAACATCGGATTCTCTTAGGCTCCCCACCGGGTGGCACAAGAGCTTGGACTGTCAAGCCTCGCCCATCATTTTATTTTTCCCTTTTGAAGCCTCAATGGGGACAAGCGATGAAGAAGACACTGCTACTCTGTTTTATCCACGGCTTCAAGGTATACCCCCATTCGATTTAAAGTATCCCCTCCGGAAAGGTCTAATAGGAGAATAGGGGGGTGAAACCACCTTTGGGCCCAACTATGCCTTCGCCGAACATCTACGGAAGCTTATTGCGGGCGCTTTACCCAAGGTGCACGTCCAAACGATAGTCTATCCGAAATACGAAACCCGGGGCGACCTTGGTGAATGCGTCTCACGGTTCAGCGATTGGTACATATCCTAGCCACGTTTCTCTTCTCCCCCTTCCCCAAGTTAACAGAGAGAAATCGACAGGCTCCTAAACAAAGTAATCGACCTCGAAGTAGCGGCGGGCACTCCCTCCCCGACAGTCGATCCCTCGGTACGGGTCCTCTTGGTGGGGCACTCGATGGGGGGTATAGTAGCGGCTGAGACGACGATTGCGCTCGCCTCCGAGCACCCGATCCACAATTCGGTTGACGAGGACAGCCCGAGCAAGTCCACCACCAACCTGCCTCCCCCGCCAAACGCGCTCATGTTCCCGTATATCCAAGGCGTGCTCGCCTTCGATACCCCTTTCCTCGGGATTAGCCCCGGTGTGTTTGCCCGCACCGCAGAATCGCATTACGCCGCCGCATCCACGGCAATTTCCCAGCTGAGCGGGTTGGCAAGCCTCTGGGGTGGTGCCAAGGCTGCGGACGCAAACGCGAAAGCGAACGCAAACCTCGCTAGGGCGGCCCTTCCCCCGGCCGAGAGCAGTAACATCGGCAATGATAAGGACAAGGCGACCGACAAAGGCGGCTGGGGTAGATGGGGTACCATTGCCATGGCTGCCGGGGCAGTGGGCGCGATGGCCGCCGGCGGAGCGGCAGCGTACTATAACAAGGAGCAGATCAGTCGGTCGCTGGAATGGGCAACGTCGCATTTGGAGTTTGTAGGGTGTCTGGCGCGAAAAGAGGAGCTGCGGCGGCGCGTAGCGTACATGGTGCGATTGAACAAGGAGCTCGGAGTTGGGTTCGGGAACTTCTACACACGGCTCGGCCAGTCGGCGGGCGCAAAGCAGGTGAGCATAACGGAGACGGTGCTAGGGAAGGACAGGACATTCTGCGTCGTGCCACAGCGGGATCAAGCCGGGGATTGGCGGCCAGCGGTGAATGACAAGGCGACGGATGAGCCCGGGGCACATATGAGTGAGTACTATTGCTTTCACCCGCGATGATCCACCGTATCCCTGAGATGCTTACGCTTCACAGCGATGTTTGAGCCGAAGGAAAATCCTAACTATGAAAAGCTGGCGAAGGACGCTCGGGATATGGTCGTGGGATGGCTTCGCAATGACTGGTATGAGAGCAGCTCGGATGATACAATCCGTTCCTGACGGTAACGATTGATTCTTGAGGCCATTATCCTTCGACCTGCTTGGGGCGCTTTCGTCTATCGGTGAGACATAAATTATAAATGCTTACAGGGCATAATAGAGCAACGTTTGGCCATCAGAAGATATCACATCCATAGCACAAGCGAAGCGAAACGGCGTGCATGGCATCCGCTATTGCCTCTTCTTCTGCTCTGCCGTCTTGCCGCTTCCAAGGTACTTCCTCCGCTGCTTGAGCATGTGGGAATAGAGAATTGGGGAGCCTACCCGGTCAGCATGACCTATGACCCTTTTCTAAGGGGCAGAACGGACAACACTCACCCGGGATGTACGAGAGCAGGACGGCCGCTAACGCATAGGGGTACCACGGGGCCAAATCCGCGGCCGGGCCGAAGATCGCTTGCAGCGTCATGGCCACCTCGCTGCTGATGCCGACTGGGTACAATACTAGGAAGCCGCTATACCGCAGCCAGTGCAGCCAGCCTGGGACGCTCTCTACCTGCTTCAGCGCAAAGTAGGAATACCTGATCACCTCGGTCGTGCTCCAGGCGCACAACATCGACGAGTAGAAAGGGCTGGCGTTCAGCTGCGGGAAGGGGTAGCAGACGGCCCACATCAGGAATAGCCGGCTGGCGACTTGCATGCTTGTGGTAAACACCGGGGCAGGGACGACACCTGATGCTTGTAAGCTCGAGGGGTCAAATAGGGAGCGAGGTGTGTGTACTTACCAGTCAGAGCATGCAGAATCTCCATGAAGGCAAATGTCTGTGTGATGCGTGCAAAGTTGTCGACCACAAGCGGCACGAAGAATGGGCCCCTCCATCCTAACACCACGGCCACCCTGCCGAGGATGGTGGCCCAAGCGACGGCCGAGGCGGCATTGTAGAGGACGAGGTAGGCTTTTTTGGACCCAAAGCGAGAAGATGTAGCCATGGCTTCCACTGCTTGGCGGTATGAGTTTGTTTGAGCGGTCACGGAACCTCAAAGGTGTGAATTCATGGGGTTGTGAAGGGAATGGAATTTGTTGCTTTGGGTGTTTTTTTGGTTGGGACATCACTTGACCCACAACTCAGTAGTTAGGGCGTTCCCAGTTCGTAATTTACCGAGCGTACTGTGGTATTTCAGGGACTGGATTCGTAACGTTGGCAGATACCGACCTTCCCTGGGCTCTCTGCCCAAGATTTAATTGGCACTGCAAAACAATACAGCACCACATTTAACATCAAGACCACACTTGAGAGCTGTAAAATAAGATAGAATTAACTGCTTTAGAAAGCTATTCAATTGCTAGTAATTCCGCGATCTACTTCCAAGCAATCATTGAAGATCTGGGGGATTGAATTCATACATTTGCTGATGCTTCCCTGGCTTAAAGAGGCTAAAACGGTTTTTGCGGTGCGAATTAAATCTTGGGCAGGGAGACTGGGGCAGATCCATGCCCCACTGCATCACATGCTTCACGTCGAACCATCACCTCCTCCCGCAGCCAGTGGAGGACCAGGTTATGTATCAAGGTGTAGCCTTGAGGTGAAATCACAACCCGCTGAGGACTCTATTACAAGGCCAGTTTCACACCATCTTGCATCTCATCAAACTGAGTCTTCTCCTTTCCACGCGGAAATCGGGCAGAGTTTTGATTAACACGCCATAAGCTTCTTGACCTTTCGGCACCCTTAATAGCCCAGAACGAAGATCAAGATGCTAAACATTGACTAGTATACTAACTCCATGGGTATATCATTCTTTGCCGCAAGCATGTGTAGCGGATTATCCGTCACCAAAATCCCTAAGCAATCACTCTCCTATCTTGCCTGTCCAGCCAGCAACCTATGCAAATGGGTGGGTATATAAAATGTTTTGGCCAGCGCAGCCTGTGCCTTCAATGGTATATCAGACCCCAAGACAAGCACAGCTTGATTCTATCACTTCTAGCCCTTTGTGGGTGAGGCCAGGGGTCCAGGAACGAAGCCTACTTCTTGGTGACGGCCCGCCAGAGATCGCCAAACCCTTTGCCGCCAAACAGGTACTCATCAGAATGCCTCCCGCAATAACTGTTGGCATTGACCTTCCTAGGCGTCTTGATCTTCTTCATCGACGAGAAACCCGCACTGCTGTCCGAGGAGGATGATCCAGACGAGAAGTTGCGTTCGCGCAGGAGCGGCGTCGCGGCACCCGAGGCAGAGAACGGCGAGGCGTAGTAGTAGCCATGCCCTGAAGAGTCTCTCGATGCCTGGTCTCACCCTATCAGACTTGTCCCAAGACACTTTAGGCAGAGTTAAGAAACATACTGCGCTATCCCCCGACCCGGGCGTCCCGGACGCGGGGCTAGTGCTGGCCCTCACGGGGCCAAGCTTGAGAGGTGGCGGAGCGGGCGCGCGTGAGGACGGGTCCATGGGCGTGTAGACGGGAAGGTGAGACAAGGATACTCTAATCAGACAGCAGAGGTATTCCCCGATCTGCGTCAAACGAATCGATCGATCACACTGCTTCCGCAGGATCTGTGTGGTAAGGTAGCCAAAGGGAGTATGGTTGGTCAAGAGCGTCTTGCACTGCCACCACCAAGTATCATCAAGACCCTGTCAGAAAGTGCAGGTGTGCCTGATGGATGGTAGGTGAGAATATAAGTCCAGATATGAAAGAAAAAGGGGGGCAAGCGGTGCAGGCTGCTGACTTTGAAGGAATAAGAGAAAAAAGAGAAGCAGGGCACCGACAACAAGACAGACACCCCAACTGCCCGACTTGCGGTATAAGCGGCGAACGTGGGAAAAGAGTCATGAGCTCAACCCAGAGGACATGGCTTTCATGTCACTGGATGCATGTCTTCTCCCCTCGCATTGCTGCCTGCTGTCGGTCTATACATCACTTAGATACGTACATGTAGCATCCGCCGACTACACTGACCACGTGTCCATCATCTTTAGGGCCATCCTAGTTCTCGGATGCCTCTTCCCCCAACACGGTTCATCCATCACCGAAACAGAAGAGGGGTAGTATCCGAAGGCCCTATAGGGCTGCAGCAAGTTGAGCAACGGCAGCTGATTTGTTGCCACAAAGTGATTGCGGACCAACATATGCGGGGAACAGTGGTTCGCAACAAGGCAACTCACTAGAAGCAAACAGGTGACACCGTTCACTGCAATACCATATCCTATCTCGTCCTGTTCCGGAAGGATGCAGCTGGAGTTGGCAACGGTCTGGACCATACCCTGCGTCCTTTCGGATCACGTAAAGGTCCTCGTCGGTCGCCAAGGCGAGACGTGGGGTGGGCCATCCATATCTTCTCTATGAGATGATATCACACACCGCCAGCCGAAAATAACGCGCGCTCAAGAGATGACCCTCGCCTACACCTTCTCCTGTCTATCTCTAATCCTTGTCTAGCCGCACCGCTGGATTATTTTGGACAAAGTTGAGGTCGACCTGGTGACCAAGCAGCTCCCGAATATTGGATATGCCGTATTTGATCATCGTCGGTCTCTCCAAGCTCAAGCCAAAACCAAACACAACCAGATCTTTGGGGAGACCCATGGCCTGGACGCCTCGTTAGTGACTTTGCGCCTCTTTGGGGTGAAGGAAGAAACTTACCTCGAGCATTTCGGGCCTGAAGATACCCGAGTTGCCGATCTCAATGAGCTTATTGAGCCCCTTGTGATAGGAGAAGATCTCCATGCTAGGCTCTGTGTATGGGTTGTAACTGCATGCTCTTAGTACACATTCAATGTCTCCACCACCGTGAGGAAACTTACGCTGGCTTGAAACGAAGATCTTTGACATTCATCTTCGCGAAGAACATCTCCAAGAACTCCATCAGGCCGCCTAAAGTCAGCCCATAGTCGGCAATGACTCCTTCAACCTGGTGGAACTCGCAAAGATGTGTTGCGTCAACCGTTTCATTTCTATCAGAGTGTCAATGACCGGATCGTCTCATCAAACTGATTTGGAGGTCTCATACCTGAAGACTCTGTCAATGGAGAAGTACCGAGCTGGCGGAACACGCCCATCCTGGCGTTGCCCTGCCAGCCTGTACAGCATGGCTGTCGAAATGGAGGTGGTGTGTGTCCGCAAGACAAGTCTTGGTTCGAGTAAGTTAATGCCAATTAGTGTAGAGACGTAGGCACACACCTTAGTGATTCATCTTCTGACCAAGGGTACCTATAACCAATCGACCCGTATTTCCCACTCTCGTGGACTTGCCTCACATTACGGAAGTATTCATCGTAATCCTGCTTATCGGCAGCAGACACCGGACAAGGTTTGGCAGCCTTTGGTGGGTCTGAAACGTAGAAGGTGTCTTGAAGATCACGAGCGGGGTGTTGCTTTTGGCCTGTTAGTCTTTGTATTCAAGGTGAGGGGATTCGAAGCAATATACCTGGGGGACGAAGAGAGCATCGAAGTTCTATCAAAAATACTAGAGTCAGCGGGTTTCCAGAGTCTGGCGGAATGACGTGCTGTCATCTGAACAGCCGACGTAGCACCAATGCTTGCTTCAAGCCTCGAAGCTCTCAAGGCAAGATTGCGCGCAGAAGTCATATGAAGGTCACGTACCCAGAATCCAGACTCAACGTACTGATTCGTGGGCATTTCTGTGAAGCCCATCTCGAAGAATATTTGCCTGCGAACGGTCCGAGTTAGCTTTCAAGAAACGAGTAACAAATGACATCTCGATCTGTTAACAATAAACCCACCTGAACCCATGGCGCACTTTGTTCAAGGGGTGCAGAGCGCCCGAGTGTTGATCCGCACCCTGGGCATTGAAATTATAGGGCTCTACATCCGTGTCAGCTCTCTAACACAACCAACCCAGGAGATAGTGACGCCCAACGGCTGCAACATCTCATCTTAGGCAAGCACGATACCGGTGTATCTGCTGAAGCGGTGCGGGAGTTAACTCACTGAAAGTCGCTGTTTTCCAAGAGCCAGATGCCAGTGTCTCGGCTGTGAGATCTGTCTCTTCCTTGATCATTTCCAGGGCGTACTTGGGGCCCTTGCTTATCGTGAAAGAAATAACCTTTTGCATTTTCAAGAGTTTGCGCTTCTTCAGATCGGCTAGAATCTTGGGGTCATGGGTTCGTGTTTCTTGAATCACCCGAAGCTGGTCCCGGGTAACATCGTTGATCGAATCCACCTGACAAGCAATTAGTGCAAAGCTCGCGCTACATAGAGCCTCAGAGTAACTCACCAGTGCAACAAGTCTATTGCCGTCCTTCTTAATCCATTTCTCCTTGAAGGCTTTCCCTTGGCCGACCTTTGTTACGGTCTTGTCTCCAACCTTGCTTTCGAGGTCTTGGATTGAGAGCCCGTCTAGGGCCTCGCGCACTGCCTCAAAGACACGGGCTTCGTGACTCCCATGACTGACGATAACCTCAGCCTCTGGCTCAAGGGTAGCTTCCTCACGCTCCACCTGCTCATAGGTTACCATGGACCGCGAAGCAAGTCGGTCGAGCGCAGCTTTGATCGACTCGAACGGGACTTGTGGGAAGGTTTCGGCAGACAGAACTGGGTCTTTGTCTGACAGCGCATGCAAGATCTCCGAGGTGAGATCCACCGCTGAAGTGCTGGCTGCCGGAGCCATGTCGATGTTGGTATCGTTGCTCGAGTCGATCGTGGATTGTCTGAAGGAAAGTTGACTCAGAGCACAGAATCGCGGGGCACTCACGCTCAAACCCAAGGACCCACTTGCCGCAACTACAAATTTAGGCGGGGTCAACCTCAATAATTCAATAAATGCATAAGCAACAGTGGAAAGGTACCTATATCGCATTGTCCGGAGGTGTCGCTCACCTTTCTCCACGCCAGCTTTTCCAAATCCCAGACGATTGACGAGCATCCACATCCTCAAGCCATCGGGCTTGCGGTTCTTGCTGTGCTGGAAGTCTAATTACCAAAGGGCCGTCTTCAGTCTGCAAGCCGCCATACAGTCTCAGCTATCCTCTTCACTTTGCACAGCTTTTCCACTAGCATTGCTCCTACAATACATGTAGGTATAAGCCTATCTCATTCTTACGCCCGGGCCCATACGCACCATGCATTGAACCATAACCATGGCACTTCACTCGCTAAGAAAGTGTGGGATATTTGAAGTCCAAGTGGGAACATAAGAATCTGAAGGGAGGTAAAAGAGCGTCCGAAACGCCTCAACAACGATTGCCAGCCGAGCGAGAACGTAGATAGAACTAGAAACCCTGACCGCCACCGAGTACTTTCCCATGAGCCTGAGCTTTTTTACAAATAAGTCCACGGAAATATGTTTTACAATCAAGTTCACAGAAAGAGCTACAGGTCCGAATCCAACCGTATACACCGTCGCGAGTCTCCAGACGATAAGCTCTGCTCGGGAAGGAAAGTCAAAGTTCCACGCAGCGAGATGGATCCCGGCGAATAATAACAAAGCGAGGTACCCGACTCCGCCAACAGCCTTGGTGACGAGGGAGCTCCCGTCCCGCGAGACTAGGGCTGTGAAGTTCCCGATCGGCCGATGGATGTCCTCGCCCGGGTCGCGACGGATTGGGTCATCCCTTGGGAGGAGGAACTCGGCGTAGAGGTTGATGCCCATGGTGCGGCTTCGGGACTCCTTGAGCACCTTAGAAATCAACTGGTGCTGGGCCGGGGTGATGGGGACTCTGACGGGGGTACGGACGTTTTTGGGTTTGTCCCAGTAGAGAAAATACGTGACAATGGCGCAGACCGCATAGGCGAGGACGGAGATTTCGAGGGGGGAGATGGTCAGGCCGCGTGAGGCTCGGGCAGAGATCTGGGTGATGACCCAGAGGACCTCGGCCATGGCAATGAATTTGAGGAGGAGGTCGCTTTTGGATTTGTCTTCTAGGTCGGAGTCGGCGATGTCGGGAAGGTGTTCGAGATGCTGGTCGTCCCAGAGGGTGACTAGTTCGGATGCGGTGAGGAAGATGTAGTCTCGGCAAGGATTGCTGGGTTCGGTCTCGGTTGTGAGAACGAAGCCGCCCATGTTGGCGTAGCGGACTTTGGAGAGAGACCACATGGCGCTGGCACGACTGGTGTTCTGTTCTCTGAGACACAAGGCTTTGAGCCGACGGCGAGTGGCACAGGCTGATACGAGTTCGCAAGAGGCGACTGCTATGGTGATCTCAGGTGCGAGGATTGTGATGACAAAGAGAAGCATATCGTCCTGAAGGCTTTCGAGCTTTCGCTTGAAGGTTGTCGCAAACCGTCCGTCATGGCTGCCATACTGTCTCGGGATATTGGGGTGTTGGATGGTCCATGTGCAAGCAAAGATGGGGAAGAGAGAGCCCCAGAGAATCTCCCATGTTCCACGGGAGTTGGGTCCATGCATGAAATTAACTCGAGTGTCCGGGGTGGTTCACTCCGGGTGAAAGGAGGAGAATGCTCCTACGACAGGAAGGGTTAAGATCGTGAAACATGCAAGCAGTAAAGACATCCTAGAATGGCCGAAGGCACCAGTTCGAGCACAGTGACAGAAAGCAATTGTCGGCTATGAAAATGGACAGATGTAGACTTTGGTTCTTGGGTAGCTGGAAGGGCTAAGTCTATCTGCGGTGTTGGGCTTTTACTCTGAGGCTCAGCGCTCGGAGCCTGATCACAATTCACCAACCTCAAGTTCTTTCGATTATAGGTTAGTTATCACGTCAGAAGGCCGGATCAGCCCATGGGAAGCATCAGAAATATTATCCCCCGGCACCATGCTGTGTACTCTATAGACGCTACGCATTGTCTTTGGCGCGGGCCTGGGACAAGAGAAATTCTACGGAGTACGGAGTATTCACCTCCCTTATTCTTTTTAAAGTTTTACATTTCAACCACCACAAAATGTCATGTCCGAAATCGGGTACTTCACCCGGGCGCTCATTTTGCACATATGCGGTAATTACTCCGTACTATCTCTTTATTTACAGGATCTGGAGCTACGGGTCGGCATCAGGCCCACATGGACCCCTATTCTGGTCCTACATATTTGTGAGGATAGAGAAAATGAGATTTCTTCTCAACTCCCTCCGGCTATGGCGGCATTAGCATAGCTTTAAGGAGCGGTTTGAGCTCGCTAATGCTCACATACATATGTATTCTACACAAAGCACCTTTTTTTCAGGATTAGCTGTTTCTAACGACCGCTTCCTAAGTATTCCCAGCTTGCAGTTCAAGAGAGTAAACTCTTTTGTTCAAGAAACTGGATGCTTCCTGGTCAAGATGCTAAATTACTATGCCTTTTGGGAACTCTGCACTGAAGATGCTTTTGGTGAACTGAGAATTCATGTATGCTTGTGGCCCTCATGGCTCCACTGCGCATCTCGGAAAGCAGCGGCCAAGATATCTGGCCAGACACACCGTTTGCGACGTAAAGTTAGTGCAAGATGGTATCCAAATGTATGGTGCTTCCTCAAGCTGCGCTCCGGGTCCGGTAGGCAAGGCACTGCATAGCAAAAAGTGGCAAGAAAAGGGCCTCAATGAATAGGGGAAGCGGTGTGGAACCTGGAATGCTCTCTGCCGGGCCCTTGCACGCTCTACGATAGTTGCTAAAGTCAACACCGGCTATATCAAACCGAGTCGTCGTCATATTAAAAGGTGTAAGTCGTGTATATACGAGTCAATCGCTGTCCCGCCCCTTCTGATGCAACCTGCGCCTTCGTATAAACTGTCGTCCACGAACCGAGGAGGCCTGTTCCCGCCCAAACGCCGAGAGGCTAGCCAGCTTGATTGATACCCAAGCATAGCCGGCATGATATAGAGATGTATCCTTGTTGTGTACAGAAGCCGCTTGCTTGCGCGTCCAACGCTTCAATCGCGCTTACTAATCCTGTGACACGGTTTGCTATGCCTGCTGTTAGTGAACTCGTTTGGGAACGGCAGTGTTGTAAACTTACCGCAAGCCAGTCCATTCCCTCTGAAATTCCCGAGCCTTCCACAGCACTGCACGCCATGATGCTCCAGTTCCTGTCCCTCAGTTCACCGAGCCGAAGGGCTTGCGAGATATCGCCGGCACCTTTCGCGCCCGGCTGGTCTTGTTTGTTCGCAAATACCAGAAGAGCGGCGTCCTTGAGCTCTTCCTCGTTCAGCATGGCCGCCAGCTCGTCAGCCGCCGTCTGCAGCCGTTCAATATCGGTCGAGTCGACGACGAAGATGACGGCTGCCGTGTTCGCATAATAACATCTCCAGTATGGCCGGATGCTGGTCTGACCCCCAAGATCCCAGACATTGAAGTTAAGATTCTTGTAAGTTACCGACTCGACATTGAACCCAATGGTGGGTATCGTTGTTACTACTTCGCCGATCTGTGTTGCCTGTGAGACCCAGAGTTTCGCATGGCGGTAGCAAGGAGGATCGCACCTTGAGTCTGTATAGAAGTGTTGTCTTGCCGGCATTGTCCTGCGGAGCGCAATCCGGTCAGTCGTACAGGATAGGGAAAAGGGGTGGACGAGAAGCGAACCAAGCCCAAAATCAGTATCCTTATCTCCTTCTTCGCCCAAATAAGTCCAGACAACCATGACATAGTCTGACCCATCTTCACTGTCTGGCACCCTGCGGATCCGGCGCGTCGTCGCGGTTCAGGTTCAGGTTGGTTAGGCGACGAAAGGAATGGGATACCGGGTGATGGGACCGCCGACCCACCAAGAGACAACGAGAGCAGGAAAAACGGCACCAACCTAACAAAGCAGGTAGGCGATAACAAGCTAGCAGTACTATGCTTGAGGAAACAAGCTCCCTATGTCTTTTGGCGTTTGGTATTATCTAGGTAGACTCGAAAAAGTTCTTCCTCTCTTGGTTTTATGCGCTTTGTTTCGTCTATTGAAGCACTCGTCCTGGCTTTAAGATTCTCGAGGCCGCAGGGATTGGGCGCAAGGCCAGGGTACCGTAGCTGAAGCTTGATTGGCAGGCGTTAGCCTGCCGGGTGTGGAAGGGGAAGCCACATTTAGCCCCATTTCATGCAGAAGATGCACGTGATCTCAGCCACACGCTCATCCCTGGCCCTAGCGAGCCCATTTTCTGAAGCCCACATCGAATATTCGAATCCTAACTCACCTTGAGGAAGCATCACGACATCGACACCAACTCGGTACTCACGACAACACCGTCAAAATGCCGGTATGTGACTGCTACTGTCTTCGAAGATTGGGAGAGTTTTCAGGAATCCGATTCGAATTTTTCGACAGCGAGATAAACCTTTCAAATCCAGCGGAGGGGTCGGTGTTGTAGCATCCAAAGGCTGACATTGTGATTCCTTGACAGAGCCACAAGACTTTCCGTGTCAAGCAAAAGCTGGCCAAGGCCCAGAAGCAGAACCGGCCCATCCCTCAATGGATTCGGCTCCGCACCGGCAACACCATTAGGTACGAATATCCAAGCGAACTACTCTGAATTCTTCAGAGGGAAGCGCGGTGAAATGCGATATTCCCTGCATCTCGAGATATACAGACATGGCCATCTGGCGCCGCAGAAGACAGCGGACTAACACGACCTCAAACAATCAGGTACAACGCCAAGCGGAGACATTGGCGCAAGACTCGGCTTGGCCTCTAAATGCCATTTTTCTTCCTTCCTCCTTCGAACCCAACAACAAGCTCGCTTTTGTCACGGCTACTGCTGCTACCATTACTGGCCCAACACTCACCAAGCGATCAATCCGTCAACCGGCGGCCGGGCCCTCACTTAGCTCTCGGCTGTCGACAGGATGGAGAGTTTGTTACGGGCGCCGTTGACGATCAATTTAAAGGGACGACAGGCCAGGAGTGATTAGGGATGGAGGTCAAAGGGCGGGAGGGTGCTCTAGATGATGCTTTTTGCAAGGCAGGCAGGCGGACCAAACATTTGCGCGGGTTGGGCTTTTTTTTCGCTTGGCCGAGGAAACTCATTTAACTCTGGGCTTGATTTCACGGAGTATGCCATGGCATTTCAGGGTCGGGGGAAAACGGAATGAGAAAAGGCATTTTGATGCTTTGCGTGACAAATCCCCGGTGAACCTCTCTATCTGTCTGCTGCGAAGCACGGTTTTACACTCCAAGACGAAGCCCGATGGGGTTCCTATTTCAGAAAGGCAGGTTAGAAGGGACCGGGATCTTCTTTTGAGGCCCCAGAGAGTCCCAACCGGTTTGTTCGATTGGAATTCCGGCATGTCCTGGAAACCAAATCACTAAATGACCCAAGGTCGTATTGCAGAGTGTTAACAAGGGATCTGGCAGTCAAACGGTCCACCAATCTTCATAATACTGGTGTCACAAGGGAGCATCCTTGCAAAAAACGCGATGGTGAACTGCTGTTTGTCTGAAACCAAGCGGCGAGGCGTCCTGCCTGCCTGAGTGAACAAGATGTCATCGAAGCCTCTCGACAGTGACCGGGGCCAAGGGCAAATCGATAATATCAAGAACAGGAAAATGCTCTGTATGGGTGCAAAAAATCTTGTACGGGATTAAGTATCTTTGCGGCGTGCAAGCGTGGGATCGGAAGAGGATCCAGAGGTGATCTCACTGGACCCTCATACACCGCATGCCCAATGGTGGCCGATAGCCTTTCTTCCCCCCCAGCTCTGAACTGCCAACGGAAACTGCAGGGAAAAGCAACCACACACAGAAACCCAAACGCCTTTGAGAATGACCAGGTCTCGGGCGACAAAATCAGTTGAGCGGCAACTAAAGCCGCCCGTTGTGGGATTTGGGATCAAGAAGCCGAAACGGGCACTAGCCCCACTGGTAATCCTAGAGGGCATGTCCGGTGACAGTTTAACGGTCCTCAGCCCACTCGTTCTCCCGCCTGATCTGCTCCTCCTCCTCAGGCGTAAAGTCATTTGTGATGTTAAAGGTCTTGCGGATCTCCTCGGGTGACTTGCCCTTGATCATGTTGGCAACTGTCTTGCAGCCAACATCGAGAAGAGCCTTGATATCAAGATAGTTTGCAGCCTATGCCCATAATTAGCAGATGACGTGACCGGAATGCACTTGGTAAGGACTCACCAGGATAATCTCAAAAAGCATCTCCTGGTCTACCTGCATGAACTTCTGGTCCCACTCGTCGATGTCCGTGGTCTTCTTGCGGCTGTCATTGTCGTCGTCGGCAGACTGAACAGCGTCATTGCGATGATGCTCACACCACTCGACAACCTTGCGCAGCACAGGGTCGTTCACGTTGGGGATCGGAATGGGCGCGCTGGTGACATCGTCGCCCAGATCTTCGATCAGGTTCTTGATGAGCATTGAGCGCTCGGCGACAACGCGGTCTGATGTGCCGTTAGTTAAGCAATGCTGCAGTAGGTCAAACTAAGGGCTTTATGAAGACGTACCGACTTCGATATTGGTGTTCTCGTTGCTGGTCAAAGTGACCCTCTGGGTGCTCTTGTCAGCCGACATCTCGATCGTGTTGTGGCTGCGATGAAAATGGAGAGATTCGCGGTAGACGGCTGAGTCAAACTGGAGTATCGATGACTGCGCAGACGATAGTTAGATGTCCTGACGTTACTCTACCAGAGTTGATGATCGCGGGGCACCGGTGAATTGAGGACTGTTCCGACGAAATCCTGGGAGGGGAATATAGAAATTTATGGGCTGGGTACCTCCACAAATGCGCTGCTTTTGAGTACCGGTATTTGGCAGTTTGAGTTTGGGGCAAACTGGCGACCGCTCAGATTTTGTAAACTCGAAGGGTAAAAAGTACGGCAGTTGGTAAGTTGGAAGCCTGTGCCTTTGCCCCAAAGCATTGAAGTTGGAGGGGTTGTGGCGGTCGGTGCCTGCTGGAGAAGTGGAACTCTTCTGTGCACAGATCAAGTTCCAAGGCTGCCGGGGAGCGGGTCCGTGTCAGTTGCGACTGTGGGGCCACTCGAGGCTGACGCCTGCGACACTCCACTGATTACCAAAAGAGACCAGGGAGCGTAGTTTCACAATCACTGTAGCACTGGATAAGGTATCCAAAGTCTTTGAGCAACCCAAGGTGAGATTGAGAACATTAACACACAGTCGGTGCTGAATATACAGGAAATTGTTACTGATCAAGATTCATGGTAATTATTGTAGTTCTGTCCAGCTCTGGTCATGCAACCTGGGCCATGGGAATCTACAATTGCACACTAAGAGCTCACATAATCACGTTGTACCTACCCGGGAAAGAAATTGTTGCCAAAACAGTGGACTCGATCTTGGGCTCTGTCTCAGTCTACTCCTTCAAGGTTATTTGATGAGAATGATTCGTCCTTCACATGCCCGCTGACACTGGAATGCAAAATACATAGTGGTAAGTGGTTGACTGCATCCGGAACCTTCATCTGGTGAGTCGTTTCGATCCCATCTCCAATTCCATCTTATATCTGGGTATTGTAAATACATACTCCGTACGTGGCATCAATTCAAAGGTCGTACCAGTTGGGGGACTAACAATAGAAATTTGCACACTCAATCCTTTGAAAGGCCAACCTTACTCTAGGTATCTGTAGTCTTAGTAAAGGCTCAGGCGATGGAGAATTTCCGTCACTGCTTGGCACAATTAACCTGTCAAAGATGGGAACGAGGTTGATCCCTGTCGCTTACAAAGCTTAATTATTACTTGACCCACGAAACTAACACGTCGCCAACTCCATCGTAGTCGCGCGGGCCTTGCCAGCATTTCCATCCGAGATTTGCGCCATGCTATTTTCCTCTTTCCATCGTTCCATTCTTCTGGTTTCGGTGCAATCACATTTCTTTTCTCCCTCCTGGACATGATAGTACTTTTGCGACGGTTCAGCCTTCTACGTTCTCTGATACCCACTTGGTCCCATTCTCGATTCCGGTGATGCCGTTCCCACGGGCAAGCGACCGAGCTGCGACTGCTTTGACCCATACGGGTACTTCGAATTAATAGCTACAGCAGTGTCTTGCTGAGTTCCGCTATAGTTGACTTAATATGTGGCGGAGAACATACCTCTTGCTAGTTCTGGTTCGGCTGTGGTTCGCCCTGTCGCCGAGCTACTTACACCCGGACGAGAACTTTCAAGGCCCCGAGGTCATTGCTGGTACGTGCGGCGGTTTGTTGCGTCCATGAAGCGATGCGACGGGTGAACTGCATAGACCTCAGTCGTCGGCCTTCCCTGATATCCGTCGCCTTCGTCTGTTCGGATGGCGACCCAGCGTCTATGGATCTAGGTAGCTACGGGATGCTGACTCGAGTGTGATCCAGGGCAAATCTTCAGCTACCCTGTCCGGCGTACCTGGGAATTCACGACCGATCATCCGATTCGAAGCGTGTTTCCGCTATGGCCCGTTTATGGACTGCCAATGCTCCTTCTCCGGTGGCTCTGGATTGGCAATGGAAATGATGGCGAAATTCCGCCGATTGCTGTGTTCTGGGCCCTGAGAGTGCTGATGTTTATCGTTGGTTTTGTGTTGGAGGACTGGGCGATCCACGAGCTCATCCAGTCGCAGCGCCAGAGACGTATTGCCGTCCTCCTTGTCGCGTCGTCTTACGTTACATGGACATATCAAACCCATACCTTTTCCAATTCGATCGAAACACTGGTTGTCGCGTGGTGTTTGGTGCTGATTGAGCGCATCGTCGGAAACCCAGTAGGCGCACGTCCTGGAGATTGGTATATGGAGGTTGGAGTTGCTGACCAGCGGGACACAGCAGCGGAGTTCAGTTCTTGCTTCAGTAGTCCTCGGGATCGTCGCCGTTTTCGGGGCCTTCAACAGGATTACTTTCCCAGCTTTTTTGCTAATACCAGGGCTTCGGCTTCTGCCTTATTACTGGAAAAAGTAAGACAACTCATCAGCTCCGAGAGATGCCATTGATGCTAATCAACTAAAAGCCCTTGGTCTCTGATCGCGATTCTGGCAGCTGGACTGTGCACAACGGCACTCGCGATTGCGCTTGATACAGCATTTTACGCTCCTCACTCAATTTCCTGGTCCGATCTGGTCCGAAATCCCGTCCTCACGCCCATAAACAATCTCTTGTACAATCTTTCGTCGAGCAACCTGGCGAAACACGGCTTGCACCCATGGTACCAACACGTGCTGGTTAACCTGCCGCAGCTGCTTGGGCCAGCGGCCTTACTCCTTTGCATGAGACCGCACCAGTCCCTGCGGCTCTATTCGGCCATATCGGGAATCGTGGTGCTTTCTTTGTCTCAGCACCAAGAAGCGCGCTTCCTGCTCCCAACCGTTCCTCTTATCCTCTCCTCCATCCGGCTGCCGAAAAACGAGAAAGTCTTGCGGCTGTGGGTCGGATCCTGGATTGCTTTCAACCTTTTCTTGGGGACTCTGATGGGAGTTTATCATCAAGGGGGGATTATCCCAGCTCAAGTGTTCATGAGCAAGCAGCCAGATGCCACGCAGGCAATCTGGTGGAAAACGTATATGCCACCAATCTGGCTGCTGAACGGAAAGAATGAGGTCTTGCGTACGCAAGACGTCATGGGGATGAAGGGGGAAACGCTTCTCGCAGAGCTAGATAAGCTCGCAACCTGCGACACTCCTGCGGACCGGAGAAGCACCGAGTACCTGAAGGAGAAGAATGGTACATATTTGGTTGCGCCCCTGTCGGCAACATGGCTAGACCCCTATCTCTCCAACAAGGGATTGGACGGATTGAGATTCCGCGAAGTATGGCGCTATCAGCAGCACTTGAATCTTGATGATTTAGACTTCGCAGAGGATGGCGTTTGGGATACCCTGTCTAGAGTCATTGGGAGGCGAGGTCTTGCTATTTGGAGAGTGACGAAGAGCTGTCGCGGTAGAACCGGTAGGTAGTTCTCAAGAATATATGGGCTGCAATTCTGATAGTTCGTTTCATATCATATATGAGGACATCTTCCACACTCCCCCCTCCGTGTTTGCAATTCCTATTCAAGCATCCTGATAGCCCGTAGCTTTTGGTCCAGCCCCATCCCAGTGACAAACTGACCAAGTGTCGTTCGAGTCTAGCTGGATAGTCTGCTACAACGTTAATGCGTAGGTCTCGTATCGTATCCGATTGGAGCATGGATATAGCATAATACTAAGATAAGGATATGCTTAGGTCGTGAACTTGTGAGAGTGCTCAGTGCTGTAAAGTGCTGTAACACACTCAGCCCAGCCCCACAGCGGCCCCACCCCTAGCTCCAGAGATTTGGAACCGAACAATTGAACTGCCGCCGCCGGAGCTCACGACATAACCTTCAATCCACTGTCAACGCAGCATCTAAACTACTAGAGCAAAGCATGGGTGGGCTCAATCTCGAGGTGTTCAAGGTATGCCTCGATCCTGCACCTCCGCACTTGTCGGCGCATGCTCTGACGCGACTAATCCCTCTCGCAGTTTGGCATGTATGTCATGTTCCCCATTGGGATCATGTACTACTTCGGCACAAACCTCGACAACCGGTTTACGGTGCCCGATTTCTGGCCGAAACCGGAGAACGCCAACAAGGTGCCCCTGGAGCGCGATGAGATCCACGCTGAGCTGGAGAGGTTAAGAGCAAGAAGGCTGTATAACCGCGAGAGGAGGCTTGCCGCCGAGGCGAATGCCGCCGCTCAGAGCCAACGACAGCAAGACGAATAGTCAAGAGCTTGCCTTGGACGGTAATGCCGAGTTACAAAAGGAGCATAGGCGGTTCGGGACCGTTCGATCGCATCGCCTCAACTCTCAATTTGAGCCACCATCGAACCGAGTGGCGTGTTTTATTATTGTTACAGTATCTATACGCGACATGATGGGATTTATGCTAGGTCTATCTATCCAGGTTCTCTTGTATCCTCGCCCATTCCTCATCGCTCATGGAGCCCCTCGAAACATTTGAATACACACCCTGGACGTCCGGATACTCGCGGAGCATCTCGAGCAGTCCAGTGAACTTGATGAGCTCTTCCGACGAGTCGAGCTTGGATTTTGTATCCTCGTTGGCAATCCACAGGATATCGGAGCTATGCATCTTGAGGTTGAATTTGGGCCCAATAGCCTGGCACACCTGCGCCGTTCCGGTTGGCTTTGTCCAAACGACGATATTGCCCTCTTGGTCGTTCTCGAGGTCCTCTGCACCAGCTTCAATCGCGTCTTCCATGATTTGATCCACATCCAGCCCACTCTCCCCCTTCTCAAACACCACGCGACCAACCCGGGAGAAGAAGAACTTGGAGGAGCCCAGAGATCCATTGGCCTTCTTGACCATCAGGCTCAGGTCCTGCAGCACCCGTCCCTTTGACTCTGTTTCCACGTCGACAATGAGTGCAATAGACGGTGGCAGAACGGCCTCCAACGTCAGACTCTCAAGAGCAGCGCCCGAAGACGACCGGCCCTGGCCCCGCGCGATGGCTGCCTCGATCTTGTCCTTGGGGACGCCCCCCTTCTTAGCGGCTGTGATAGCCGCTGCCAGTTGGGGGTTGAAGTTGGGGTCGGGGCCGAGGACTTGCTTATGGCGTGAGTCCTGAGAAGGTGCAAGGACTAAGGGATGGGCTACGACGCACGCTTTGAGCAGAAGGCGATGTTCTTGGTGAATGTTGACCGGGCGGCGGTCTTCTTGGCATCCTTGACCGCCTTGTCATGACGGATCTTGCTCCATTTGTTGTGGCCAGCTTCGAGGATAGCGCTGGAACCAAACGCGCGGAGACATTGTGCGCAACCCAAGTGCTTCAGTTGTCGAGCTAAAGGAGTGAAAGCTCCAGAGAGAGACGCCATTGAACAGGATTGGGCGTATATAGATAGACCATTCAAGACATACGATACAAACCGTACTTGTACAATCTCACGAAAAGGAGTGTCGTTCCAGTGAACGGGTCCCGACGAGGGATGCCGGTTCGTTCTTCGACTAGCAGTGCACTGGGAACATTTGATATCGGTAGACTTGGCGGTAGCATCAAAATTTTGGTTTCCTGAGCTAGGATCGTTTGCGCTGCCTGCCGGAACCACAATCATTGGTCTGGGACCACTCTGGGGGGGCTTAGTCTGAGTGGGGGCCACTTCTTCCTCAACTTGCAATTGGCTTGATTTCATCATAATTACCCCACGTAATACTGAGGGTATGGTAACTACGGATACAGCATGGTGTAACTTACAGTAACGTTACTACTATACTGATCCACAACAACGACATTGTGTGGAAGGAAGCACCGCCCCTGACACACACAACGCTGGTTTCCAACGGGAGCGAATTCTGGTTCCGTATAGAAACGAACAGGCGGCAAAGACCAGGAAAACAGACGCATGAGGACTCCGACATGGCCTCATTAGCTGCCGCAGACGAACCAACCACCACAAATGGCGACACTCCCCGAACCTCAGCGGCAGCCGCAGCGAGTTCGAATCCCGAGTTTGATCTCAGTAAACTCCAGGCCCTCCCAACCGAACAGCAGGAACTTCTCCTTCTGAACTTCGTCTCGGCGCTCAGAAAACATGTTCTTGAACTTTCGGCCGATGACTGCACCGCGCAGCAAGTCTACCTCAAAAAGGAGATATTCAAAATCATTAGTCTCCCCGCCCCTGGCCCGACCAGAATCATACGCAACACCTTGGGAGCATGCCTTGCTCACATTTTTGGGAGGGGAGACCGGAAGTTGCTTTTTGAAACGGTGACCGAATTGGCCGGAATGATATCCAGCGGAAAGCCGAAGAACGAGAGCGAAGCCCGGACGAGGCACGCCGCCGTCACTTGCTTGGGAGACGTCTACGCAGCCGCAGGCGACAGCGCAATAAACCTCCATCAGCTTGCCTGCGCCAATCTCTTGAAGACCTTGAAGTCATCCTCGAGCAATGCCGGACTCCGCGCCGCGGTTTTTACAGCTTTGGGCAAGATCGCAAAGATGCTTGGCAGCAGTTTGGACGAGAGCATCGCGAGGGATATCTGGAAACAGGGCCGTAGCTATGCCACGAGCGACAAGGGGTCGCTGGTCGTCATTGCAGCATGTCGCTGTTTACGCTGGCTTGTACAGTGTACCCCTTACTTCCAGACGTCAAGCGATTTCGACAGTCTTCGCTCTTCCTTGTTCAAGACTTTCGACTCGCCCTCGCCACACGTGCGCTCCGCGGCCGCTGATTGTTTTGCCGAGGCTCTAGTCAGGGGTTATTCCGAGACAGCCGTTGGCGAGGCACCCTTAGTCCTGCTCAAGAGGTCCAAGTCCAAGGCAGTGAAGCGCCAGTCCGTCCAACCGGGGGCCTTACAGGACGATGACGACCTTCCGCCGCGGCCAGAGAGCCCTGCACCGACCAAGAAATCCCAGATGCTGGCCCTCTCGCTGATAGACATGCTCAAGACTCTAACAACTCAATATGTTCGCATGTCAACGACGAACCGAGCGAGAGCGGCGATCGCCGTCTGCTTTGGCAACATGCTCCGAAAGCTCGGGGAGAGGACGGTAGAGATAAACTACGTTCGGATTGTGGAAAGCCTGACCGTGGACATTCTGGGCCACAACAACATATGCAACAACCGCTACCGCCTGCTGATTTCGCGGCGAATGGTCGAGATCATCGTGCAGGATATCATTGGGAAGAAGATCCTGGGAGAATCGGGTCAGACCAGCGCGGCCAAGGCCCTCATCAACGACATCCTGAAGGACTATCCGCAAGCCCTCAAGGAGAGGCCCGAGCCTACCAAACATACTCTGGTCGCTGCCCTAGGCGCGCTTGCCTCTTTGATCACCACTCTTGGCTCGGCTGCCAACACCTTTGCAGAGGCTTGTCGTGATAGCCTTTTGCAGGTATTACAACACCCAAGCTACACCGTTCAGGTATATGCCTCGTCATGTTTGAAGACCTTTGTGTTGGCCTGTCCCGCACAGCTCTTACCCTGCCTCTCGGTCTGCATGAACAGCCTGAGCAGAGAACTGGGGTTGCTTGGCACGGGAAGGAGCTCACCCCGCAGGTGTATCGGCTTCGCGCATGGCCTCGCTGCCGGCCTCAGCGCGAGTCCGCTACGGCCACTCTATGGCTCGGTCGACATCAACAGCCGGGTGCTTACAATGTCCACAAACTTGCTCAAGTCCAGCGGCAGTTCAGAGCTGCGAGTAGCGAGCACCCAGATCCAGGTCGCCTGGACGCTCATTGGAGGGCTAATGTCTCTTGGCCCCAACTTTGTCAAGATCCATCTATCACAGCTTCTTCTCCTCTGGAAGAACGCCTTACCAAAGGTCTTGTCAAAAGACAGCTCTATCCACCGGAATTATCTAAACGCCTCTTTTCTCACCCATGTCCGCGAGTGTGCACTTGGATCGATCCTGGCCTTCCTCGAGTTCAACAGCCGGCTGCTGACAGTCGATATCTCGAAGCGCATTGCCACGATGCTGCAGAGCACAACGGCATTCCTCAAGACTCTACCTGCAAAGAAAACAGCAGAGGACATCAGTGAAAGGCTGACACCGTCTTTGCAACTCCAGGACTTGGAAATCATGGTGCAACGTAGAGTGCTTCAGTGCTATACCAAGCTCGTGAACGTGAGCCCGGCTGGCGGCACCGAGGCACTCTTACAGTCTAATCTCCTCACGCTTGCCATCTCGCTATTTGCGGACCCGGATAACTACACTCCGAGCTCATTAAGTGCTTCGATTGCAAACACAGCCGGGACCTTTGAGACCATCTGGGATGTCGGCGACAACTCCGGGTTCGGGGTGACGGGGCTTGTTCGAGGCTTTGATTTCAGGCCGCTTCCGGGACAACACGAGAGCTCCATCGACCGCTCTCCATCAAACCGAGAGGGGCTCGAGGAGAAAATCGAGAAGCTTCTCCTCTCACCCATCTGCGGTACCCTTGAACACGACGCCTCCATCCTCTACATCGGCAGCGGGGACGGCCCTGACCTTCCTGACCCTCCAGCAACCGAGGTTGTCAACATGGCGATTCAGCTCTTTGCCTTTGTCTTCCCCCTAACCCCGCCCAAGGTTCAAGAAAGCGTGCTAGAGCAAGTAACGACCTTCATTGCGGCCGGGTCATTGCAGCGAGACCTCGGCCGGCAGGCTGCTATCAACGTCAACGTTGCTGCTGCTCTCCTTTCAATCCTACGAGTAGCGGTCAAGGAGACGAAGTCTCCTTCGGGCGACGTGACCAACCCAGCCGTGGAGAAGCTTATACAGGAACTGCTCAGGGATTTCGTACTCGACCGGGACCAGTACGTTCGTAGCGTTGCCTATGAGGCAGTCGCAAGACTCTGTAGCGCTTGTGGGAACGCTTTCACCAATCAGGAGATAAAGTACCTCGTTGATACCATCGTCGTCAACCGAGAACCGAGCGCACGAGCCGGTTGCGCAATGGCCCTGGGGAGCATTCAGGCAAAGATTGGAAGCATGGCCGCTGGATATCACCTAAAGACGATCCTCAACATCTTGCTGTCTCTCTGCAATGACCCGCATCCTACCGTTCACTATTGGGCGCTGGAAGCTGTTGCCCGAGTCTCGGATGCATCTGGACTCGGATTCGCGAATTATGTGCCTGCCACGCTTGGGATGCTTGCCAATCTTTATTTTGCAGAGACCCACAATCCTGAAGTGGCCTTGCCTGCCACGATGAACCTCGAAGTCGAGTCTTCCACATCCGCTGCGATTGCCCACTGCGTCGACTCGCTGATCAATGTGCTCGGTCCTGATCTGCAGGACTCGGCCAAGTCAAGAGAGCTCATCCTCACCCTTGTTGGGTATTTCCAACAAGAAGAGGATCTTGAAGTACAGCGAGCAAGCCTTGTCTGTCTGGAGCACCTCTCCTTATACGCCCCGGGCTACATGAACTTCGGCGAGTATGTGAAGACTCTTCAGCGCTATCTCAGCTCGGAGCATACCGTCCTGCGGGACGTTGCGGTGGATGGTCTGCATAATCTCATGAAAAGGAACCCATACGACGTGATTGAAGCCGCAGATAAGGGTTTCGAGGACCAGCTCTGGCTGGTGCTTGATTCGGATCCCGGTCACGAGGGCATGCGGAACACAATCAGGAACTGGATGCGCCACACATGTCTTGAAAACACGGCCGCCTGGCTCGCCCGCTTCCAGCACGTCCTCAAGATGACGAGGCCCAAGGCGGCAGTCAAGGAACAGGCAACAGCCAAGAAGACCAACACTGGCCTCGAGCTACAAGATGAAGAAGTAGCTGGGTTTGCTGTCGCTTCAGGAGGCGCTAAGGAGGACAAGGAGACTTCAAGCAGCTCAGATGTTGAACCTCTCAGATGGCAGGTCAGCACGTTTGCGATGGATTGTCTGAATGATATTTTTATCATCGTCTCCAAGGATATCGCAACAAACGGCGAGTCTCAAGCCCAGACAGCGCTTCAGGGCAAGATTGCGGATGTCGTGCGGATGGCGTTCTCAGCATCTACGTCTGGCGTCGTCGAGCAAAGGATATGGGGCTTGAAAATTATTGGAGCCGTTTTAAAGATGTTTGGAAAAGCGCCAGATCCTGACTTCGAGGAAGCAATGCTGCTCGAGCAATACCAGGCCCAAATTAGTTCAGCCCTTACTCCAGCTTTCGCCGCCGACTCTTCTCCTGAGCTGGCTGCCGAGGCTGTGGACGTTTGCGCGAGTTTCATCGCCACTGGAATCGTCACTGATGTCGACAGGATGGGCAGGATTCTCAAGACTCTTGTGAGCTCACTGGAGAATTTTGTAACAGGAGACGAGAATGCCGGGATTGGCGATCTGAAGGGTCTAAGCTCAAACGCGCGGGTTATGGTTAAGATGGCAGTGTTTGGTGCCTGGGCTGAGCTGCAGGTCGCCAGCACGGAGCAAAAATACCTTGTCGACGTCCTCAAGCCGCACATCGGTACGCTGACGCCGCTATGGCTTGAGTCTCTCCGGGAATTTGCGCGGCTGAGGTTTGAGCCGGATATTTCCATGACCCTGGGGCCACCCTCGCTCTCTGGGAGCCTGGATACAGTCTACGCGGCTCTGAACAGGGAGACGCAGCTGAAGTTCTACCAAGACACGTGGCTGAAGCTGGTCGACGCCATTGCCAGTCTCATTGAGCAGGACAGCGAATTTGTCTTTGACGCATTGGATGGGAAGGAAGTGTCGCATCCTAATGCCAATGGCGTTTCCAGGGCTGCTGATATCAACTACCGGGATGAGCCGGTAGCCTTCTTTTTCGTGCTTTTCGGCATCGCGTTTGAGGCGCTTGCCACGAAGCCTGGGCAGAGCGAGTCTCTGGCGACCCAGGAGCAGACGCTTGCGATTCTCAAAGCGCTCAAGAAGATCTTGCACCCGAGTGTGTCTGGCCAAGCAATTTACCGAGAGGCCATCTTCTCCGAGACTATGGACCTTCTTGACCGTTTAGTCCTTACTGAAGGGCTTGATGTGCAGGGGGTGATTGTCGAAATAGCAAGGGCTCTATGTGTAGCCCATCCGGCTGCGCGGAAGCATGAAGAACCTGACAGTGGAGAGCTATCCGAAGACATTGAGCAGCTCTTCGAGCTGACGCGCATTATAGTCCTGGTTCTTTCTGGCCTGCTACCAAATCTGAGCGAGAGCCCTCAGCCGACCCGTCACCAGATGACTGAAGAAGCGGTCATCCTGGTCAAAACGGCATTGAACGCGCTTGTTGATGCTGCGGAGGTGTTCCCCGTCATCATCAAGACCGACCTACATGCATGCATCATCCACATTTTCGCCACCGTCCTTGCGACTCCCTCATGCCAGGAGGTTATTGTGCCTCAGTCCCTGCCGACGCTGAAACGATTCATTACGAGCATGGCTAACTCGAGGCGCGTTTCGGACAAGGGCGCCTCGCAAGCTGACGTCCAGCTGCTAGGCTGCCTACGGCGGTTCTTGTCCATCTACCTGCACGCCCAGAAGCGGGAGGCTCCCACGTCACTTGCATGTGTCAAGAACTGCTTGTTGGCCCTCACAATCCTGTTCACGGGCGGGCGGAATCATCTTCCGGCTAGCGAACCGCTCGTAGAGAGGTTCCTCGAGGAGTTGCTTGACTGTTTGACGGATCGCATGGTACGTTAGTCTGGTTATCAAGCAGCCGACTGAACATAAATCTCCCACCCATCTCTTGGTCACAAGACTAACATACCTGTCCATCTACCAGACCGCCAAGATAGCAGCCAACTGCATCCGCTCGCTCCTCCTCCAAGCCAACCCCACACCGGCGGACCAGACCATCGCACGCCATCTTCTCCCGCGCCTCATCGCCTTTGTGACCAACACGGAGCCAGAAGACCCAGAGAATGCGCGGTCCCTGATCGCCCACGCGCTCTGCCAGTACGTGGCTACGTTGTCCAAGGACCGCACGGCCCTGGCCATGACGCTTGTCCTGCCGACGCTGCTGTCGCGCGCCGCCAGCGAAGGCCGCGACGCCTACCGCGAAACGAGCGCGCGGCTCCTGGAGCTTGCCGCGGCGAACCAGTCGGCCTTCCGCAGCGTTGTCGCGGGCTTGGGCGAGGGCCAGAGGGCCTTCATGGAGGAGGTCATCAGATCCGGCAGAGAAGGTGATGGAAGGGCGCAGAGAGCCGGTGATGAGGCCAGCCAGCCGAGTATTGCACTTAAGATGAACTTTGGGGGATGAATTGGAAAATGTTTTGAAGCAGATGCAATGGCTGCTGGTAGAAGCAGTGGTTCTCGACGCTTGGGTCTATTTGAAGTAGATTGGTATAGACATGAATAGACATGAATATACCCAACTGGTCGCCTGGCTCACTCGGTGCTATGGTATCATATCTAACGGGACCTCTTGCTGAAGCTTGTGAGCACCAAGAAAATCAATTCGCTGCGAGAAGCTCGGCTGCCTCGGCAGGAGCCGAGTTGTCACGTCTCCCGTCATGCTTCGCCGCCTCCTGCTCTTCCCGCGCCCGCTCCTGTGCTTCCTTTTGCCGCTGATGGCTCACGTAGGTAGCGTACCGCAGCGTGCCGAGCGTCATGACGGCCATGAAAATGATACCCAAGACGGATCTCCTAATGAGTACCCAGCGCAGCCCTTCAATGTCGGATTTTGCGTCGCTGTTGAGCGTGACGCTGATTTTGTAGTTGATTTGTTGTATCTAGAAAACCATGTTAGTTTGACCGTTTCATGAATCCAACACCAACAAGAAGAAAAAAAGACAAGAACACATACCCTACTTTCCACAGCCTTCTGCTCCTCGCGGACGGCCATGCGGCGGTCGTTGAACATGCCCCGCACGCTGTCATTGAGGGTGAGCAGCTCCTGGTTGAGCCGCTGCGCGAGTATGTCAACCTCGTGCTGCAGCAGGGTGCGCTGCTGCCGCAGCTGCTCGTCGGCCACGCGCCGGTTGTTGCGCACCTCGGCGCTCAGCTCGCTGCACGCCGCCCGGAACAGGTATGTCTCGTTCTCGACGTCGGCTTTGGAAACGAGCCCGGCCTGCGCCACGTCCAGGTTGGATGCGAGCAGCGTCCGGATCGCCTTCATGGCCAGGATCGCCTGCGGCAGTGTGTACCCGCCTGCTTGTAGTTGCTTGACCAGTGTGTAGGAGTCGAAGTGGTGCACGTAGGGGGCGGGTGTCAGGTGCGGTGGCTTGTTGTCCGGTCTGGTGACGGCCAAGCTGTTGTTAGGGCTTGTGGTTACGGATTGGTCGGGCCCGGTGGAGGCGGCGGCGTCTGATGATGACGGTTGTGTAAAGGGAGCGGAGGAAGACATGCCAGGTGGCGGGGCCCTGTGTAGGATCTCGTCCATTGGACTGCCCTTTTTGGTCTGGGTGATGGGGTCGATGTCCTGCGGAGGAGGCAGTTCGATCGTTGCAGGAGGGTCAGGAGGCGGCGGCGGAGAGGTGTTGAATTGACTTGGAGTATCGTACGAGGGAGGTTGCTGCGTGAGTGTTGCTTGTGCGGCACTCTGGACGGCGTCTTTCTCTTTCTTGTTCCGGCCATTCTTCCTGGCACTATCGGGGCCGGCCTTGGGCGGCGGCTCGGTCGACTCGTATATTGGAAGCGGCTCTACGGCCTTTCCAGCTCGCTTGGCAAAGGCGGCCTGCCTGCCTGCCGAGGGCGTCGTGAAGGGGCTCGCATGTTGGGCGCAGACGGGCGACGATGGAATGAGGCCGGACGGCTTGCAACGGGATTTGCCCGCGACGACATGAGAGCAATGAGATGCTGCCGGTTCGCCCCAGCGCCCTCCTGTCCGGAAGAGGTGCGGATACAAAAAGGTCAGGCGGCTGGTTGCCATGAAGGGCAACGGGGAAGAGGGAGAGAGGAAGAGGGAGACAGGCGGCAATCTCTCCGGCTCACATGCCGTGGTGTGTGGTGTAGATTCACCTTATGTACTCCTTACAGCAGGTATGTACTGTTCCTGAATCAGGCGCGGTATTTCGGCATTTGGGAGATGGGCTGTGTTCCAGGAGAACGGATCCCGGGCCAGGGTAAGTTAGCGGATCATGGATTCACAAATCGAGATTGGCGCCACTAGCGTAACCGTAGGGCTACAGCAAGTGTATGTACAGTACCGTAACTTTACCCGTAACTTTACACGGCTGGTACTGCAACGTTAATATTGGGTTGTGCATTTGCACGGACCCGACTCAGAATTATATCATATGCACTTTCGAGCTTCCTTGCTCTCTGTCCAATTCATTTCTTCCCAAATGGACTGGAATTCTACCTGTGCACCTTACAAGGGAAAACTCCTGGACTCAGTTTTCTTCGAGATTGGACTGTCACTCCGGCAGCAAAGCCTAAGTGATGTATGTACGTTACATTACGTAATTACATATCTGGTGTCCATGCAGTCAGCCACTAAAGCCACAGGCCAAACGCCCAATGAGCAGTCAATTTGGGGCCACATTGTGCAGCAATGACGATCGTTGGCCACCCCTGTCTAGATCGGTGAAGCTCTGCCCGCCAAAAGTCCATCGTCAAGAACAGACCGGAATGGAACCTGTCGTGCCCGATGAGAGTCAAAGAATTCTCATGCCGCCGCAAGCCCCCGGAATTATAAGAACAAGATATCTCTACTTATCAATTGCCCTGTTCAGAATCCCCTTTCATCCGCACATTGGAGATCAGTTCAACTTATATTTGCGCCCTGGTCGATTTAGGCCGCCAAACGCGGCCGGAGCTGATTTTCACGGTCATCGCTTCTTATGACCCAATCCTTGTCCGACACGAGGTTGCTTATGCCAGCTGTTTCTTCAAGTCGCTCTCAATCGGATTGGGTTTTCAGGTCTTTGAGGGATTGGAATCACCTTTGCGCAACTCAGTCAAGCCGGTAATTATAGCATAGACCCGTGTCAGGTATTGAGAATTTTTGTCTTCGACGGCGTGGACTGATGGCTTGAGCTTCCCGCCTCGCAGCACATTCCTTTCTGTTCTTGGTCTCTTGATACCCAGATCCCCAGAACTGCGCAAGCATTCACTTTTGGAATCTTCAATCATTCTCTTCCATTTCCAAACTCAAGTAGTTCATAGCTCACTCTTCCAAGGCGGAGCCACTTCCAGCGTCTTCACTGCAGCCGGCCTGTCTGCATGGTTCTACTTCGCATGGCGGCCTCCAAATACGGTTTGTACTCTGCTTCCCCGGCAAAAAAGGCATTCTAGAGCACTCAGAGCCACCTGACCGCGCGGGACTTCTAGATGCCAAAGCTACAGATCCGCCTCTTCTTGAGAGGAACTCCAGCATAAAGTCTTACACCACCTCTCGCGCCACGTACCCCAAACTGCGCGTCTTCTACAGGAGACATCAGCAGTTCGACTGCCTTCCCGTCTCGCCTGCCCCGATCCCGCTGTTGGTATTCATCCATGGCCTTGGCGGGTCCGTCGCGCAGTTCAATGCGCTGCTAACGAGCCTCACTCCGATTGCCTCATGCCTAGCGTTGGATCTCCCGGGGTGCGGCGTATCTGAGTTTGAGCCCCGCGACTGGGGCGCCTACTCGACGGATGCCCTTGTGGAGCTGCTAGAGACGGTCATTGAGGATCACCGCGATGCGCAAGCCGGCCAGGGAGTGGTTCTGATCGGCCATAGTATGGGCGCTTCCCTCGCTGCGCTGCTGGCAAACCCCAGAACGCTGTCTAAAACCGACCTCAGTAAGCACGTCCTAGGCCTGGTGGCCATCTGCCCTGTCGCCGGGCCACCTCCTGAGGATAAGGTATCGCTGTTTCGGAAACTTCTCTATATCCCGGAGTTTCTCTTCAATCTGTGGCGGGCCTGGGACAGGCGGGGTGGGATAGAGAGTGCGAGCGTTCACCGTTTCGTCGGGCCGGACGCTGATGTCGACTCAAAGCGGCTCCAGCATCTGTACAACTGCCAAAGCAGGACACCTGTGTGGCGGCGCATGGCATGGGGTGCACTGCCTGAGTATCGAAATGGCGTGCCTCATGGCGGCATGCCAACGATAGATGTCTGGTCCGGGCTACGTTTACCGGTATACCTGGTTGGTGGAGAAAGCGATAGCATTGCCCCTCCGGAAGAGGTCGACAAGATAATCTCGTCACTCGCCGAGGATAGGGAGGGTCCTGCCTCGAAGGAAGACGGGAGTGCAGCGAAGGGGGAATCGAACGCGAACGCAAATGGCGATGCTACATGCATCCCACCCCTGCCTCTACATCCGAGGAAAGTGGTAATGAGTACTAAACTCCCCAAGCCCGCGGGGCATGGTCTGCTATTCACGCCGCCCACGGCACCGGTCCTTGCCGGACTGATCTCAGACTTTCTCGCTTCACACGTAACCGGTCGTCTCTCCCTCGCCTGGCAGTTGCAGTATCTCTGCCGGGATGGGAAATGGGACGTCAAAAACTTGGAGAAGTGGCGCAACGTCACGCCAGTCTCGGAGCCCATCGGCGGCGTTTTTCGCGCCATCAAGACGCTTCGGGAGGTGGACGAAATCCACTGCCCAAAGGTATTCGTGGAGAGGTGGGGCGGTATCATCAAGGACGTGATCGATATCTCGCATGACAACCCAGTCTACGACCCGCGCGGTCTTGAGGAAGGCGGGATACACTACCACAAGTTCCCGACGGTTTCCAAGGTCCCGCCCGACGATGCCGAGATCAAAGGGTTTATCGACCTGGTGGATAAGATCCGCCAGCGTCAGAAGCAGCGAGCCGAAGCCAAGGGTTGGGGAGACAATTACGCGGTCGGTGTCCACTGCCACTACGGCTTCAATCGTACTGGCTTCCTCATCGCGTGTTACCTGGTGGAGCGGTGCGGCTTCAGCGCGAAACTTGCCATTGAAGAGTTTGCGCAGGCAAGACCCAACGGCATCAAGCATGAGCATTTCAAGGACCGGCTGCATGTGCGGTACTCGGGGGTGAAGAGCGGGGCCTGACATTTGAGGTCCGCGTTGCTCTCTCTTTGACCTTCAACGGCTGATCCAATAGACGGTTTGGCGTTCTGGTGTTTGTTACACCGGGGTATGGCTTAACGGTAATAGAGAAATGGTCGCAAGCGCTTGTACAATATCGACAATATCGGCGCTGCGGACTTAAGTTGTCGTTCAGCGCTGTTCTTTTGGACATTTTTCCATGTCACGACTGGTGGCGCAAATATATACCTTGTCATTACATTTCATGAAAGCAGGCGTTCCCCTCTCCCATAACAGTCACAATTCCCCCCGACTCGCCAACCACGCAGCCCCTGAATCTGCCCAGATCTCGTAGCTCTGCACCTTTGCCTCGCTGTCACACCAAGCACATAGGTGAAAACCTCGTCCCAGCTCTGGCCCGTGCTGGTCCAGGTGAACCTCGCCTGGCCTCGGACCGACACCTTTCGGGCCTCGGCGTCGACAATGTACTCGGCGAAGCGCATGTTCTCGTAGCTCAGGCACTCCGAGATGACGGACAGGTACTGCCGCAGCCCGTCGGCACCGCGAAAGGTACGGCCCAGGAAGGGCGCCAGTTGTGGCAGACCGTGCTCGTGCACCAGGATCTTGGCGTCGTCCGAGGTAAAGTGTGAGAGGATGTCAGATGGGGAGGCAGTGCCGGATGCGAAGGCGTTGCAGAAGGATGTTGCATTGTTGAGAAGGGCGGAGCGGGTTGGGGTTGTTGCCTGGGACTGGGACTGGGACATGGTTCACGGCTGACTTATGTACTGTAGGTACACGTGTAGATTGTTCCCAGGTTGGACGGGTCAGTAGTAGAGTGAGGTTAAAGCCCAAGATGATCCTAATTCGTGATCCCCTGACGTTACTGGCTTGGCAGAGGTCAGCAGGGTGCATCAGGTGTTCGCTGGCGAGACTGGCCGAGGCTGGCTAAGGTGACTACGGAGCCTCGGGAGCCTACCCCAGAAAGCCACCCCCGGCCCGCTAACTTAGACCCTTGTCGAGTCCCGCTGCAACGACGTCATGCGGGCAGCAGCGCTGGCGCATGCAGCACCACCAATGCGGTTAATGATCTGCCAGGGCCAAACTTAAACCAAACGTCGCCCGCCATCTGAGGGAGCAACTCCAAAGTCCGTGCAGACGGTTACTGCACGCTTTGGCTGCTGCACGCCGACGTCTAAATTGCGGACTAAAGGAAGTCCCACCTTAGCAGCTGCCATGGTGAGATAGATCATATCCACCCACCCTCTCCCCACAATAACACAACAGCTTCTCACCACGCAATCAACCGCTGCAGTTATCCCGGTCAGAGCGGACGCCGCTCCTCGCCTCCCCCCAACCGCATACATCCGAAGACTCGACCCGCCGCGCCGAAGAAGAAGATGCCGCGCTGCACGGCACGCCCTTCCCCGCCGAGCACAGCAGCCGCCCCTCGCGGCGCAGCGTCGGCCTGCGCGAGACGATTTTCTTCCTCTGGGCCCTGGTGGCCACGGCAGGCGTGATCGTGCTCGGCGTGGTGTTGCAACAGCACAGCAGCTCCGCCCCGCCAACGACACCCGCTCCCGTGCCCGGCGCACCCTCCACCGGCGACCCCTACCTCAGCGCCACCAGCACCAAGCATGCCAACAACAACAACAACAATAAGAAACGCAACCTAATCTTCATGGTCTCGGACGGGATGGGCCCGGCCTCTCTAAGCCTAACCCGCTCCTTCAGGCAATTCGTGTCCTCCCTCCCCACGGATTCAACGCTTCATCTAGACGACCACTTCTGGGGCACGTCGCGCACACGGTCGTCTAACAGCCTGGTGACGGACTCGGCAGCGGGGGCGACGGCGTTCTCATGCGCCCGCAAGAGCTACAACGGCGCCATCGCCATGTTACCTGGTTACCGGCCCTGCGGCACCGTGCTTGAGGCGGCCAAGCGTGCGGGTTACAAGACGGGCCTCGTCGCCACCACCGATGTCACTGACGCAACCCCGGCCTGCTTCGCCGCCCACGTCGCCTACCGCTCTCAGATGGACGAGATCGCCCTACACGAGATTGGGGAGAGTCACCCCCTTGGGGAGAGGGTTGTGGACCTGCTCATGGGCGGCGGCAGGTGCCATTTTCTGGGGAATGATTCGCTGGGCAGTTGCAGGGCGGATGCGGTGGATGTGGTGGGCATTGCGCGGGAGAGGTTTGGCTGGAGCTATGCGGGCGATCGCGGCGCGTTTGATCGGCTGTCACGCGGCAAGAACGTGACGCTGCCGCTGCTGGGGCTGTTCGCCAACGCCGATGTGCCGTTTGAGATTGATCGCAGGGCTATGGCGGATGTGTACCCAAGCTTGAGCGAGATGGCCGAGACGGCCCTGACGGCGCTGGAGGAGGCCACCAGGGACGGTGATAAGGGGTTCTTTTTGATGATTGAGGGGAGCCGCATCGACCATGCGGGTCATGTTAATGACCCCGCTGCGCAGGCGTGGGAGGTGTTGGAGTACGACAAGACGTTCAAAGTTGTCCTGGATTTTCTGGAGAGGTCCGAGACGGAGGGCATAGTGGTATCCACCAGTGACCATGAGACGGGCGGACTGGCAACGGCCTGGCGTAAGTTTCTCCTCTTTTCTCTTAACAAGGACATGCAGTTTCTGACTCATCCTCTAGAAGCACCAGACGAGTTGCCCGTCTACAACTGGTACCCCTCGGTCCTAGCCAAGGCCAACGCCTCGGCCGAGCACCTCGCCCGCCTGCTTCATCAGCACATCCTGGCCTCCCCGACCGAGTCCAAGGAGTCTCTGACCGAGTGGATCAACAAGGAGCTCGTCACGTCGCGCCTCGGCATCAGCGACGCCCTCGAGATGGAGCTCAACGCGCTAGCATCCAACCCCGGCGCCGCCATCGCCATCTTCTCCAAAATGATCAGCATGCGCGCCCGCATCGGCTGGAGCACCCGCGGCCACAGCGCCGTCGACGTCAACATCTACAGCTCCGGCGGCCCCGCGGCCGACGAGATCAGGGGCAATGTCGAGAACACGGATATCGGCGCCTTCTTGAGCAGGTATCTGGATGTGGATGTTGACGAGATCACGAAGGAGCTGGAGAAGAAGATGGAGGGCTGGCCGAGGCCCGAGGTCGAAAGTGATTTTATGCCGGACTCAGACCTGGGCGCCCATCCTCTGGAATGGCTTACGCAAGTTGGTTTGTGAGTTGTAATTGTAAATGATTTTCCTGTTTGACGGTGTATGGTGTAGCATGGAATGGCGCCGACATATTTAGCGTATTGTTGGATGATGAGTGTAATGGTTTTTGAAGTACATAGCGGGGACTAGTTTCTGCTATTTAGACAGCTCACATGATTGCTTCTGGTTCTCATTCAGCTCATCACTTTCTTTGCGAGTGATGAGCCTGCCTTGTCAGGGTGTTGCTCATCAGGAACCTGTTCGCCTATCTCGTCTTCGAAGATCGTCCTTGGAAATTCTGTGGTATTGGAACGATTTAGCGGCTTAATGATTCTGAACATATAACTACAGGTAGGCAGCTTCCCTTAGAGGTAGGGCCACCATGTCAGGCCGGTACATACATTTGCTCACCCCCTTCCCACCTGCCCGTTAAGCTTTGGATTTTCAGCACCACGAGTATTTCGACAACGTTTCCCCCTTCCCATAGCACTCGGAATTAGCCTCGCATTCCACACTGACCTTACCCAGCTCACCTAACAGGAGATTGTGCCTTGTCAGGACAGGCCCCTGGTTGCTTTCCTCACTTCCTCGCTTCACTCACTTCTCATACGCCAGAGAGCATGTGCAAAAAGTCAGAGCCAGTGAATTCAGTATCAGTATTCTCCTCCTCACCGTCGTCATTCACCTCTACCCACCGACCCACGTCATCCGAAAATTCTCGATACGTAATGGTAAGCCGACCCTTAAAGTGTGTCGACAGAACACTTCTCACCAGCGCTTCTTCCTCTTTAGAAAGCCGGAACCTGTCATCCTGGTGCGTCATTTTGATCTGAAGCCCCTCATGGCATCTATTACCGTCCTGTTTCATGTTTTCTAGGAAGGTCAAAAGCCCGGCAGCTGAGATGTTTGAGAAGGCAGATATTGTGAGGCGCTTGAGATTGGAAAGAGAGGAAAAGCGAACGAGCAAGTCGTCACCCACCCCCCAGTCTGCGAAAACCGGGACCAGGGTGATTGACTCAAGCTTGGGTAGAGCCTTGCTTATGTTCTCCACGTCTTCAAAAGTGAACAGCTCATCGGTAGCCAGCTCGCGTAGCTCGGGACAGCAGCAGATGGCGTCAAAGAATTCGAGGTGGTCCTGATCCCTTTCTATGAAGAAGTCATCAACCCCAGTCCTGAGGGTTAATTCTCGAAGCCTTGTTTGGTGGCTCAGCGACGTGTATAACTCGCCGTCAAAGTCGTCGATCAACCCGTCGACGTTGAGGCACGTCAGACAAAGAGAAGGTGCGTTAAGAATTTGAGTTAAGAGTTTGAAGCCCCAGGGGAAGGAACAAAGTTCCAACTTCCTGAGAGAGGCACAATTCTGCAACCACCGTACCAACCCTTGAACAACCTCCAGGCACTCATCTTCGGTCGGGTAGTCTGGTTTTCCATCTCCCCCCAGGGCTAGCGATTCCAAGGCAAGGCAGTTTGCAAGTTTGTCTAATGTCTCGAAGGCTGGGCGTTCGAGCTGGAACAATTCGAGCCGTTTCAAAGATCGAGAGTGTGCACATAAGGCCTTGAAGGTCTCGCCCGCGATGTCGCCCATTTGCTCTACGATAAACGATTCTGTCAAGCGTCAGTGCATAGGATTGGGCAGGGTTAGTGGACAACCGCGCACCAAGTGTGTTAGGTTCAAGGCATTTTAGAAAAGCAGCCAGGCCCTCATCCGTGTCGCGAGCAATGTCGGTGTCGCTCCATTCAGACAAATAACCGCATCTCCTGACAGTGGTATTGTGATCAGCCAAGAGTGTCACGGTTGGAATGCGTGGGATCGCAAGTTGCTAGGATCAACTTACACGACCCTCAACCCAGGGCAGTTTTGCCGGATAGCACGAGCCAGATCACTGGTGAGCACCGCGCCATCTTCTACAACGAGCGAGGTCACGCAAGAAAGGTTCCGGACCCAGCTTGCCAGGCGATCGGTATTAACAGGACATTCGAGGCTGGCCAAGCCTACTCGCCTGTCTTCATGACTCGCAGCAGCTCGGATACAGCTAAGAACCAGGTCACCGACCTCAAGGATACTCCGCTCTTTGCCGCGCGTATCCAAACTGCGAACCGCACAGAGATCTCCTAGTGGTGCTTCGGCAAATTCGTGCCAGAGGCCTATGGTACAATCGTCATAGGACAGGCGCGTGTGGAGCCCGTAGAGCACGCCGAGCTTCAGGACCTTAATCCAGCAGCAGTATGGATAGAGTGTTTTGCCCAGAGCAGACGCAATGATGGATCGCCAGAGACGTACAGATAACTCGGGATGGCGATAGTACTCCTTTGAGGCGGGAGATTGATCATGAATGCTATAAAGTAACGGTAATGCCAGTGTTGCCATGCCGCGGCTCAGACGAGCACAAAGAAAGAGGCCATCAAAGTCAAGCCGATTCGTCAATTGCTGGACAACAAGCCACCATATCTCCTGAGGGAATGATGGCCGAGTTGGCGCATCTGCCTCATACGAGTTTGATGGCAAACATGACGGTGTGCTGGCCTGCGATTACTTTTTTTCGAAACACTGAATTCTTGCCGAGCGGGACGCGTCTGCAGTTCTCGCGTCAGCAGCTGGTCGCCGCGTGAACCCGGCTTTCCAACCCGGGATACAGAGTGGAAAGTAAAGAGAGTCGAAGATTGTGATCGTATCCAAACCAGAAAAAAGGAGTTCTCGCGTTATGTACCTTAGTTTCAACGCGAATTTCAACGCTAACTTTGGTGAAACCTGCAAACGCTAGTGTACATAGCACTTACAGTAAGGGCGGCTCGGGATCTCAGCCGACAGCCTCGCGCTTCCTTTCCTGTGATTGGGTGATCAGGGCCTAATTTCGCCAACAATAGCCTTGCAAACGGCCCTCTAGCCCCCACTAGGATGGGTTCCTTCCATGTGCTGCTTCAAAGTTCCAAGACTGATCTTTCTAGTCAAAATTCCATCCAGAGCCCTTTCTCAGACATGTGATTTTGTAGCAAGATAATGTGTCTTGACGATAGCCCGGCTCAACATGGTTGTGCTGAATTTTACACTGAGCGAAGAGGGCGTGGTAGTGCTCCATGATGCCCTCGCCTGCATGTTCAAGTTCAGCGACGACGTTTGTCTGGAAGCGAGAAAGGATAAAGTACCGCAAATGCCTTCCGCTTCTCACACATTCGGTGCATCTTGCTGATCTGCTTCCATTGCATCCAGTTGACGTTGACCACCCTCAACATCTCAAAGTCAGCATATGTCTGCTTTACCTTCGCCGCAAACAGGTTCTTCTCCCGTTACAACTTCGAAGGCACTCCTCAGTACAGAGATCGCTTTTTTTGCCAGCTGTACATACGAGTCTGTGTCTCCTCGACCTGAGCAGCCGTGTAATTAGATCGGATTCTGATCCTGTGTCACAGTCTCTCCTCACCATCTTCAGGACCCGTCAAAGTGGTGGGGACCAATCCCGTGACCGGGACGCATCAATCGAGCGGTGCGATGTGGCAGTTGACGACGGCATCGGCAAGCAAAGCCGCCTCGTTGCAAGGATTTCCTTCAGAAACGGTGCGCTGTTTCCCTATGGCGAGTGTGCTCGGGCCAGCTTCTCAGTACTCACCGCGTTCCAGGGATCACGTCATCACACTCGCTTCCGTACGAGGTCAAGACCCCAACCCACGCCAAATTCAACAAGGATGAAGCTGGGAACCACTGGGCTATTTCGTCCAGGACGCTACGGCAGCTCATGGACCACTTCGGGTCCGGCATAGAACTCCTCGATATCAACACAGATGACGAGGCACGTGTTGTAAACTTTACCTGCTTTACCGAGAAGGTGCAGAAGCGTGGTCCGGTCAGCAACGAAGGTAGCGTCCCCCGCTGCATGTCAACTGAAGGCCTTTGCCACTAACAGACTCGCAGCTGTCCTCAAAAAACCTCTCCACACTAATATTGCGGTTGAGATGGACGAATTTGATAACGTCCAAGTCCAAGACAAACTGCACATCATCATCAGCGTCAAGGACTTCCGTGCGATTCTCCAGCATGCCCAGATGACCAGCGGAGAGCTGGCAACCAGCTACTCGAACCCTGGACGTCCGATGAAGCTCTCGTACGGCACCGATGGCGTCTTGTGTGAATTTATACTCATGACCGTCGGCGAGAAGGACGCCATGACCCAGAAGCACAAGAACCCTCGGCCGAATGCGGCAAAGGCTGCAAGGCCAGAGCTTGATTCAGCATCACACCGGGGCAGTTCTGTTGCGAATGATAATCAGCAGGTCCCACCGGCAACCGCCTCGAAACCGCCCCAGCAGCGAACCCCAATCCGGTCACGTCAGCCGGGATTTGAGATCCGGCCACAACCACCTCCGCCCCCGGCCACAGATCGATCAGAGTCGCTGTTCGTTAACCAGGCTGACGACGACGAGCAGTGGGAGCCTGTCGGCGCAAATGAAGACGAGGAAGAGGAGGATGCACGGCTGGAGTGGAATGCAACCAACGAACCGGTACCGTCATCCCTGTTGCCTCGTTCTCCAAGCAGTTTGCTAACCAGTAACGGCAGAACCCGTCGTCTTTGCGAATTGGTAGCTACATGTCCCGGCCGGCGGGGAGTCACGATGCTCGTCCAGATAACCTTATCTCAGGACTTGATCCAACTCAGCCACTCTCTCAGGTAAGGCTCATATCTTAGGCTTCGCCCTATCATCCTTGTCGCTGACATGTTGTAGGTCCGCCGGTTCGGTCTATTTTCCGACTAATCGCAAGCCTGTCCGCCTGGGTGGAGAGAGACAGTGTTTCTCTACGCCGTGCGCTTCCGTCATTTTGGCTGTTGTTGTAGAATACGTATGCCTCGCTCCGAGATCGCTGCGGATTTAGGTGACCTTCTCCATGACAACCCAGCTTGTTGCGCAACCGGCACCAAGCATCGTAATTTCAGCTCCCTGTGCGGCTAGGGTAGCCTTGGTCGAGGCGATCCGATTTCTGTGCCCCTTGCCCTTGTCAACATCGCACACTGGGCCGCAGTTTCCGTGTTCTCCCCAGCCCCAGGCCAGGACATCGCCTTCCTCAGTCAATGCCAGCGTATGCTCGCTGCCGACAGCAATGCTCCTGATGCGTGGGAGACATTCGGGGGCTAGTTGCCCGTGATCATTTCTCCCCCAGCTGAGCAACATACCGTCCTCTTTTAGCACGAACACACAGCCCCAACCCGCGCCCACTTCCTTCCACCCGGCCAAGCTCTCTGGACCTGGAGCCTGCGATCGGACGCCCCACTTGTCCGACCCCAGCACAGCCATGTCCCCCTTCTCCGGCGCGCCGAAGAGACAAGTAAACTCCCGCCCGCAAACGGCCTTGATAACCCTGAAATTGACCCCCTGGATCCGTCGCGGAGCGTGCACCGCCGCCGTCGCTGGCGACCCAAGCTGCCCCTTCCGTCCGTTCCCCCACCCCCAAGCCTCCCCGTTGCTGAGCACTGCAACAACATGCCCCATGGACGCCACCAGGTCTATCACATGCGTGCCGACAGGCGGAAAGTTGTGGATCTGCGTCGCCTCGCACACGCGAGCCGTTCCCGGCCCGAGTCCCAGTTCGCCCCGATCCCCTGAGCCAAATGAGTAGACGCTGGGAGTAGTGGTGGTGGCGCTTGTTGTGCTTGCCCCGTCGACTGGCGTGGGCGGGGCAACTACCACCACGCTGGCTGCCCAGGTCGCTGCTGCTAGCTCAACCTTGGTTCCCTCCGGTAGGTGAGGACCGAGATGTACGGGGCGGAATGTGGGCGTTGTCTCGGGATCATTGGCGTCCGGGAAGGGGCCGCATGCGCCGCTGGAGGCGTCGCCGGTCCAGAACAACTCGCCGGAGGAGAGCAGCAGTAGGGTGTGGTTGCCCCCTGCCACGATGAGTTTGGCATGGGGCTGGGGTTTCGCTGGGTGGGTACCGGTGTTACTGGCGGTTAGTGAAGACGGCAACAGTACATTCTGTGCCGTGGAGACGTCGTCCTTGTGGCCTATGCCTAGCTGGCCGGAACCGTTGGAGCCCAGCGCTTGGAGGAGGAGCATGGCCTGGAGGTCTTGGATCTGTGCTACTCAGGAGAGGAGATGGATGTTTTCAGGGTGAGGATGTGAGTGAGTCGGAGCGCGATCCGATGGAAAGGGACTCGAGGGGTGGTCGCAGTTCCGACGGCAACTTCCTTGAGTACGCGGCTTCGCGTACACTGTGCCCCACTGTCCTCTTGAATGTGGGTCAGGCCCACTTAATTCGAAGCCAAGCTTAAATTCAGACGTCTGTCCCAAAATCTGAAATTTTCTCCCAAACTCTCTCTCTTTGGCCTGGCTTGTTCTCGCTGTACAGCTCACCCTCGGATTGACGAATTTGAGGGCTCGCTCGTGTGAGGATGTGAGCTTCGCAGAGCAGCATAAATTCACCTAGGTCCCCGCCAGTTATTTCCAAACGAGGGGACAATGGCGTCTTCCACAGCGTCTGTTACGGCGCTTCCGAACCAGGCCGAGTTCGTGGTCGGCCTTATTGGCATGGGCGATATGGGCAAGATGTATGCCCGGCGGCTGAGTAATGCCGGATGGAGGTAATGCTGCCCGGTTACTCGACGTTCCAATGTGACGCACGCGACCCAGTTGTCCGTAACTCACGGCGGCTGAGCTTGGTAAGTATTGCTCCCTTTGCATTCATTTCCCCCACCCACAACCCCATCGCATGATGACTTGAGCGCATTTGGCTAGAGTATCGCTCGTGGCAGAGTTGGTCAGCCTTTCTGGCCCCAACTAACTGTCGCGGGCTTTCCATGATGAAAAATCTCAGCTACCTTATCATTCTTTGTCTGAAGCATCTTCTCCAAAACACACGAGCCAGCCACTTTTGACTTCTTGGATGTCTCGCTGACTTGGTGAACAGATTTTGTGCCTGAGCGGGACGTAGATTGCTAATATATGTTGCGGCTCAGGATTATGGCTTGCGACAAGGAGGAAAAGTACGATGAGCTGGTCAAGGAATTTGCCAACCATGTACGGGCGTGCATCTGACTTCATGATTCCCGCCGCAGGGCCAGTGCTGAGACGCTGTCTATAGACAAATATACAAATTCTCCGCAACGGTCACTTGGTGTCTCGCGCCAGCAACTACATCATCTACAGTGTGGAAGCGGCCGCCATCGGTCGCGTGGTTGCACAATATGGTCCTTGTGTGTTTCTCCGTCTTCATGCTTTGAGAATGCTGTTGTATTCCTGAGCACTGTTTCTCACCATGCCCACGTCTTTTCCAGCAACCCGTCTCGGGGCCATCGTAGGAGGCCAGACATCCTGCAAAGACCCCGAGATCAGAGCGTTCGAGGAGCACCTGCCCAGCGATGTTGACATCGTCTCGTGCCACTCGCTACACGGGCCCAACGTCGACCCGCGTGGTCAGCCGCTCGTCCTCATCAAGCACCGCGCCTCGGACGAGTCCTTTGCCAAGGTCGAAAACGTCCTCCGCTGCCTCGGCTCCAAGCATGTCTACCTCACCGCCAAAGAGCACGACCGCATCACGGCCGACACGCAGGCCGTCACGCACGCCGCCTTCCTCAGCATGGGCAAGGCCTGGCACGCCACCAAGCAGTTCCCCTGGGAGGGCGGACGGTACGTGGGCGGCATTGAAAACGTGAAGATCAACCTCATGCTGCGCATCTACGCCCAAAAGTGGCACGTCTACGCCGGCCTGGCCATCCTCAACCCGGAAGCCCACAAGCAGATCAACCAGTTTGCAAAGTCGACGACCGAGCTGTTCACCCTGATGCTCGAGGGCCGGCGGGATGAGCTGCGCGAGCGCGTCTACGCCGCAAAAGAGAAGGTATTCGGCGCCGAGGGCAACCCTAAGTGGGCCGACAAGCCGCTGCTCCGGGACGGCGTGTTGGACCGCTTCAGCCTGGGCCGTGACACCTCCTCCTCTGAACCGCCCCCGCGGCTGCCCAACAACCACCTCAGCCTACTGGCCATGGTGGACTGCTGGAGCGCGCTGGGGATCGTGCCCTACGACCACATGATCTGCTCGACGCCGCTGTTTCGGCTGTGGCTCGGCGTCACGGAGCACCTGTTCCGCACACCCGGTCTGCTGGACGAGTGCCTGCGCGTGGGCATCGAGGACTCGACGTTCCGCCGCGACGACTTGCAGTTCACCATCGCCGCCTGCGGCTGGGCCGAGTGCGTGGCTCTGCGCCAGTTCGAGACGTGGCGCGAGCGTTTCGCCGTCACGCAGCGCTTCTTTGAGCCCCGCTTCAAGGCCGCCACTGAGATTGGGCAGGCTATGATCAAGGCTGTGTTGGAGAGCTCGGAGGAGTGAGGTTTGAGATGGGGCGTGGGGGATGGGGCCTATTTCCCCGGTCTTTTCTTACTGGCAAGGGTCGTCATCGAGGCTGACGGGGGTTTCTAAGCTTTGGTGCGAGTGGTTACCAACAGTACCATCAATTAAGTACTCTTCGAGCTAGAGAGATGAGGGGGGAGCCACTGCAGCAACTTTACAGGCGGATTAGGGCTGGAGGACTCCAATGAGGGCGAAAGCTGCAGTTGAAAGAGGCGGATCTACCAAGAAGTCGAGGCACGAGCGGTGGTTTTGCGTTCAACAAACCAGATGATCTGTCATAGCATCGCGAGATATATACCTCCGGTTCTAAGACTATTTTATTGAACTTCACAAGACACTCAAGACCTGAGATTTGCAATACCCCAAAACCCAGCAACTCTCCTACATTACAAGCAGTTCGGCTACCTTCGGTATTACGTAGCAAAATCCAAACCAGGAGTCGGGATCCTTGACACAGTTGTTGGTCCATCTATATTTATAAGGTACATCAGCTGCTGGGTGAGACATTACAAGCTGCTGAAAAGCATCCAGATTCATCTCCACCATGACCTACGGAAGCTCGAAACCTCAAAAGCCGTCATGGGACCCTGCACTGCTAGGCGATATTCTGCCCATTTGAACTGCGCGGCAACCAAGCATGCCGAAGGGGTTGGCAATTGACTACACGGTTGTAAATACTATATAGTACTATACAAGGAGCTGTCTTCGCCCAGTGATATCACAGGGGATAGTACAATTCAACCCAGTTCATGCATTGTCCTTAGGGTACTTGTAATAGATTTACATATACCCTCAGTCCCGCATCTAGGTGACTAGGTCCAAACCCCAGACTCCAGAGTTCAAATCTCCTCAACTGGTGAATGAATCGAGCAAAATCCAAGGCTCATATGTCGTAATCCAGTAGTTCATACACGATTGATTGGCTATGATACCGAGAATACGCATGCAACGTCACTCTCACTCAACTCTCACCCTCCGTCTCGCACTCACACTACGACCTCAAACCCCTAGCACAAGAGTTACGTTCTTGTTAAAGATCACTCACGAAACGAGCATGTTTTCTCCCTAGCCACTAGATATACAATGGAGGAATAAATCCCGTCCCAAAACCTACACCGTGCTATGACCCCGGAAAACCCCCTCAAATCCATCCCATCTGGAGCAGGTAGCTTGGTCGTAGTGTTGGCCAGCCTCTAGTGATGCCAGTAGCGTATGTGCACGAGAAAGGCGAGCTTCAGAATGCCTACTCACTCACTCACTCGACCCCTGGGAGAACAAGACAAAACGCCATGAAATAAGATACGCCATATTATCTATTGAAACAGCATGCCAGTACCTTAGTCCTGCCGAATATCAAGCAGGCTGCTTCTCCCAGCAGCGTGGTTTAACTCCTATCCCTCTGATCTGGCCAAGTCTATGTACCTTGTGTAAGACAATCAAAGTTCGAAACCGTAGAGCGATTATTTTTTATGCCATACAAGCCAATTCCCTTCGGCTAAAGCCGCCGACTGTATTTGAGCCAATGCTTTTCTTTCTCTCTCTTTTTCTCTCTTTTTTTACTTTTGCAAGCCATCTTTTTTGCACGCCAAACCTCCCAAGAAGGGATGAAAACGAGTCGTCTCAAAATCACTGCTTGATTCGGGCCATCCTCTTTGACATACTGTAAACAATGTTAGCTGCTTGCCCCCTCATCACCATCGGGAACAAAACTCACAAGTCGTAGAATGCAAATTGGTTCGGCGAGCTGCCAAACTCGTACACGAACCGGCTCGCCAGGTAGCTACCAAAGATGGCCCGCAGATACGGGTCAGGCACCCGCTGGATGATGGTGTCGAGGCCAATCTGCTCAATCAGCAGATTGGGCAGCGCGTCCGCTAGCACAGCCCGGCGCACCGTCTCGTTCTCCCACAAGTCAGAGTGCTGCAGTTGCTCGTCTAGCGACGTGATCGCCTGCGATAGCTTGTCTGAGAGGATGGACCGGGGCACACCGGTCTGTTCGTGCTCGCGCCAGATAGCCTCGAATTCGAGCCGGGCGTTCTCCTGGATCTTCTCCTGCACTGCCTTGACGTACGTCTTGTAAAACTCGGGGGCATTCCCGTGCGCGTCGTGGCACATGTGCTTCACGAATCCTTCGTCATCAAAGCTGAGCGAGGCAAGGACCTCGAGCGAGGAGCTTGTAACGCCACCCTTGTTTGCACTCGCGTCCTTGTACACGATGCAGCCGGCCTCCTCGAGCCGCAGCTTGGCATCTTGTGTGATGAAGAGGTTGGCGCCTTCCACAATGTAGGGAATCGTGGCTTTGCCTTGCTTGATAAGCTTGCTCACCGAGACAAGGTCAATTGACTCGGGCCGTCCACCACATGGCACAAACATATCCGTGAGGCCTGAGTCCCGGAGATGGTACGTGTTGCGGAACGCCGTGCCGTTGTTGACAACCTCCCCGCTGGGCAGGGTGACGTTCATGTCCTCGCACAAGACCCTGTACCCATCCTTGGACAGCTTGGATAGATCAAAGTGAGCGATCATCTGGCGCGTCTTGGCAAGGCGGCGGAGCTCTTCAATATCAATCCCGTTGGGATCGACTAGGACGCCAGACCCGTCCACGACTGCGGTGTACTTCTCGTTGCTGAGAAGGATCTCATTGCTGCCAAGATCTCCGTCAGGCCCGCCGGTCTGCATCTTCCTGACCGTCGATGGGTCGAGGTTGAGCTTGCGGTAGATACCCTTGACATATTCGCGCACCGACAACGTTGTCATGCCGTATGTGTCGTGGGGAATACCGCCCAGCTTTGGCGATTTACCCGTGAAGAACGACTTCCACCAGGGCGCGCCACGATTGCGGGCGTGCTCCGTTGCCCAATCGACCAGGTCGGCAGTGTTCTCATCGGGCCCCATGAAGAGAATCTCCTCTTTGCCGTAGAGATCGACCACGGGGTTTTTGATGCCTGGCGTCTCGGCCTTGAGCAGCAAATCCAGAATGCTGTCAATGTATTTCTCAAACGCCTCACGGGCCTTATCTTGCTGCTTAGGATCAAGTAAGATGACACCCTTTGAGCCGCCTTCGGGAATATCCTTGTTCTTGCGCTGCTGAGTGCTCGCCAGCCCGTAATTTTCATCAAACAGGTTTCTAGCGTTGATTGAATAGGCCTCTTTGCTGCGGGACTTGACGATCCGGATACCACCACGCGCAATGTCCTTAAATCGCAGGTGGAAGCCACGGGATTCTGACGTGATGACAAGGAACATGCCGTAAAGGCGCTTCGGATACTCAATCTCTGGGAGGAAGGATGGATCGAGACGGAAGCTTAACGCCACCTTTGTAGGGGTGTAGTAGTTCGTCTTGAGGACGGCGTTGTTGAACACTCTGAAGGCAGTCATGACCATCTCCTCGTGCTCGTTGGAGACGTCTTTAGTAATTCTCTCCTTGAGCTTCGCATCCGAAAGGACCTCGGTGGCCGGGGTTGGAGCGATGCAGTGGCGGTCAAACCCGGCGCCGACCTTGAGATGCACGCTGGCGAAGGAGGCATACAGCGCACGCACGAGCCCTGGGTGCGAAGTGATGATCTCAAGAATATAATCGGGAGTGAATGTCTCGGTGCGTAAGCGCTTTTTCATCCTTGAAAGGATCTCAGCATGGCCGTTGTTCCTAGGGTCGAGTGCTGCCAAAAGCGACGCATACTCGGACCCAAGTCGGTTCAAGAAGTGCTGCACAAAGACCCACACGCAGTGGGCGTAAACGGCCTCTTGCAGGCTCAGCTCGCCCGAAGCAAACATGTTGTGGAATTTTGTTTGGGGGATGCAGTACAGCAACGAGACCTCTTTGGTGATCTGATGGATCGACTCTTCGATCGGAGGATACTTGGACTCGAGGTTGACGGCAGGCCGGAGGTAAATACTCATGACGGTGATGCCGTTGGAGAACTGCTCGACGTACTTTCGGGAGCTAGTAACGCCGTAATAATGGTAGAGATCACTCAGGGCGCTGAACATGCCCCTTGCTGTCCTGGAGCGGAAAGCGACGACCAGCCTTTTCTCGCGAGAGCCTTCAATGTCGAAAACCTCGATGACGGGACCAGTCCTACTGACCGCAATTTCAATGATCTCTTGGTAGATCTGCTTTGTGTTCCTGGTCGCCTTGGCGAGGAACATACGATCGCTGATGACTTCGAGACGCGTCTCCAGGGGGTCGGCGTTTGGGTCGACAAACTGGCATTGGTAGACGAAGTAGCAGCGCAACGTCGCCTTGGAATCCGGGTGACCAATGATGCCCGGAGACCGGAATGTCTCAACACGGAAGCGCTTTGACGTGTCGTTGCCGTCCAAGTACTTGGACTCGAGACGGTGCTCGTAGCGAGGCCCACCGACGGCGCTCTTGCCGGGCTCGCTTGTGTCGATGTAGATGGCGTGATCCGAGGCTTCCATATCCAGCCGGATCTCTTCCCGCTTGTCCTCCCGCGAGAAGGCCGCGATCTTGGCGGCATACAAGGAGGTGATGTGCTTGGCGATGACCTCTGGGTTCTCGACCTGGAAGTAAACGTCGTCGATGCCCAGCTCATTGTAGAACCACTCAATTTGAGGATCTACCAGAGCTTCAGGGATCCACCCACACTTGGTGAGGTACATCTTGACTGTTAACTCGTTAGTCGACTGGCTAAACAATAACACAGATGGATCTCAAGAATGCTGACCTTGCTTCATCTGCTCCTTCTTGCCCTTGAACTCAGGTGCGACGTAGCCGACCGTCGCTGAGCGGAGAACTCTGTGCCCATTGCCGTTCGTCTTGGCCATGAGAGGCGGGTAGCTGACGTGTGTCGGCTGGGGCGAGGGGTGCCTCGCCAGCTCCTTTTCATCCTTGAGCTTTTGGACCAGCCTGTTGGTCGGGGTGATGGTAGTAGGCGAGTCCATCATGGTTTCGTCTGACGATGCGAACAGATCCACGTATTCGGGGAAACTAGACATGGCCAGGTTAGTATTGATTGTCAGGCCAGACACGCGCCGCCTGCTGCCGACGGGGCTGGCAAGTGACGGCTGCAAGGCTACGCCTGCCATGGTGGTAGGGATTGGTAAGGAGATCTTGGAGAGGCAACAGAAGGGACTGTTGTTGTAAAGGATGGCCTAATAAAGGAAGAGGACAAGCGAAGGCGGCAAGACTAGGGATGTCCCAAGGAGCGAGCGCCCCCTTTGTAGGGCGAGCAACTGAGCGCATGGCGGCCTGTGAGGTCCGTCTGCGAGTCCGTATGCTGCTTGCCGGGGGGAAGTATGAGCAATTGGCTGCTGACGTGACCATAATTGAAGATAGCAGCGAGCAGACTTGGCTTGGCCGGGATAAGGGAGCCAGCACCAGTCTGGGGCTGCATATCAGATCAACCGCTCGCTACCGTCCGGCATCGGTTGACCGAAGGAGGCCCACGGACTGCGTAGCACAGACTCGCGAGGAATAAAAAGGAACACGGCAAATGAGGCTGGGACATTGACTGCCCGATATTTGCCAATTGGGCAGCGGCACCTAGGCCGGAGCGAGCGGCGGACGTTTCCGGGATTGCACCGTCCGGTGAACATCGAGCTCACCGCTCTCGTTGCCGCTCCTCCAAGATAAGCCGGTCCCTTCGAAATTTGCCGCCTCCCTGGCACTTACATATCTGGGGATGTGCAATGTGCAGGGTAACTAAACACGGAAAATTTAACATACCTGGTCTTGGTTAGACTGGTGTCGGTGTGGACCTAACAGGCTGCTCCGGGCAGCTTGGTTGCCGGGGTTGGGTTGGAGCAAGTTGGTGTTGATAACTTAATACGCCCCTCGGCAACTGTTATCACGGAATGGTCAATTCTGTTGGGTTCTGGCAGAATACACAGGTAGGCACGGCGGGATATTGGATGCGGTCTCGGGTCCAAAAAGATGCAACGCGATAAGCTGTAGAGACGACCGTGTTTCGTTTACCTTGTTACTTGTGTCTTAGTATGCAACGAAGGCGGATTCAGGCAGGGGAACAAAGCAGCCCAAGATGCTTGTACCGGGTGGCGTAGAACGACCGGAACAATGGGCTCTAGCTAATCCCCGTTCGAAAGAGAATCCCAGACGTTGCTTCTGGGGAGACCGTGGCAGCGAAGGAGAGATCGAAGTTGTCTAAGTGGCAAGTCGATGGTTAGCTCGCTGCTTCAGGAAGGCATTGACCAAGAGGACCCGTGTGCGATAAGGGGATAGCGTTGGTGCAAGAAGCCTCCCCATTTCTGAGCCAATTGATCCTTCAAGATGCCCTTTTTGACTCATCCGAAGTTTAAATCTCGGACAGCGGTGGCGCACAAGCTGAGATAAGGTCAAGTGCCTGGCGGTATCAAAGATGAGCCTGTACGAGGTGCCCAGCTCGCACCGCCTCGCACTCAACTGATAAGGCCAGGGCGTGCCGCCTCACCGCTGGATGGAAGGCTGACAACAGGATAAAGCATCAAAAACGGGGTAAAACATCGGCTGGCCGGCAAGCCAACGGACGGGACGCGGCAGGTACATAGCGACGTCACCGAACGGGGCTCCGAGGTGCAGGAACCAAGAAAAAGAGGGTGTGGAGGCCGGGCCCTTTCGTACCTTTTTTTGCTACGATGGAATCTCGTACTCGAGATAAGGCCGTCGTCGTTGTTTGGTCCTCCGAGACTGATAACGTTAACCGCGTTTCAAAATAGGAACAGGCTGGCTGGAGCCGAACTGCCAGGCTTGTTGGAGGACGATGGGCAGAGTGGTGAAGATGGCGACTTATGAGAGCAACACATGGTTCTGGCGACGCTGGGAGCGGGGACCCGCCTCCATTTTATAGATTCCAGTTTCCAATTGCATCTTGGGCCACGACAGGATGCAGCTGGGAGCATTCCCCGCGATTTGCACTGTATTCGTTGTTTCTACGCCCATCGCATAAAGTAAGGAAGGAGTTGCCTGTAAAATAGGTACCGTGATGACATTGTGCGGCGCTCTGACAAATGGCTTCGGAGGGCTAAGCTGCATCGGGCAACTAAAGAGGTTCTTGTGATTGGGTCACCTGGCCGGTACCTGAGTTCTCAACAGAAAAGTACAATACAGTAGATACAGTACAGTACTCCATACGAAGTACCCAGAAGGACCTCTCTGAGCCACTGGGGGCGCGGCTATTCGAGGTTCTGGGAGAACAAGTGATGAGAATGGAACCAATGTGGAGCTTCAGTTATGCTGGTCTCGTATGGTTTGCACACTACCTTACCTAACACAGCAATGTGTCATTCTCGATTCTTTAGGTAGTTATTGAACTTATTGGTACCTTAGGCACCTCAGCTCTGTGACGGCGGAATGCATTCTTTCTCAACAGCTCAGCCCGACCCCTTTTCCCCATCTGATGCCCCGTCAGGCCTCCAGGGGCGATCCGATTACAGACCATGCCTGCCAAATCTGCTGGCGCATGCTAGCCGTCAGGAACACCCGCGGCAGATGCGCACGTTCCGAAAATACATTGAGTGATTGGGGCTGCTTTCCATTATTATTGTGTACATACAAAACAATACCTGTCTTCTCATGTTAGTATGGATTACACCGAGGGGCAGTTATCTCTCCCTGAGACCTCGAGTTGCTTGTCTCGCTGCGCCCACTGGAGAAACGTCAAAGTCCCGCAGTAATTTGATCAATTGATTAGACACAGCGTCAAACTCGGCAAAAAAGGCATGCTGTTTGGTTGCTTCACATAAGACTTGATGGTTTGCTGGAACACACCTGTCTCTCTGGACTCGATTCTCTGAAGCTGAAGGTACCCGACGCTTGCCGTAACAGGGTATAAGGTACTGGATCGGGGTCCGCTGAGACGTCTTCACGTTGTGCGACTGCGACTCGCTTGTACTACAGGGTACTTCGTATCTCTTACCGCCTCTCCATCTCAAAGTAAGGGGGCAGATCACCAATTACCGGCGGTGGAATCAGCGAGGCCTAGACTGTTGAAGACGATGCGTTGTAAGTGTCGGACCGCGTTCCTGTCCAAAAGGATCTCTGGGCAAACCGGTCCCGTGACGAGCTGAATACGTAACAGCGACGGGTCCCGGACGCCAGCGCTTGGCTCCGCTGCCCGGTCGTGGCTGATGTCGGCGGCTGCATGGAATGCCCCGCCATTTCCATTACCCGCGAGATTTCCTCCAAGCCGGACTGTGCGTCTCCCATCAAGTAAAATGGGGGTAATAGAAACCCGATCTGGCTGCACGGAGAATCCGGTGCCATTTTCTGACGTTACAACGCGGCCGTATCACTGCAAACTCCCTGACCGTTTTCCACAGGGTTCCGGAAACAATGGGAACAGTCCTGAATTATGTCACTTGGGGGTGTTGAAGCCCCTCTATATACAGTGCTGTACGTACTGTGTACTTTTCTGTTCTAAAGACACGTACGAAGGAATTCAGCACATCTAGGTACTTTGAGTCACCGTTGAATCTGGGCTACGGAGTAATGTCCATAGCTGTCCTGTATAATCCTGTGAGGAGACGAGAGAAAGTAGAGTACTACACTACTAGGACCTTGTAACTGTGCAGTACAGTACTGCACACACAGTTATGTAGTGTAGTACCTCGTACATCCGATGCCCTCGTCTTCCCAGGGACAAGGAACGGGTTCGACGGAACATGCTAAGCGCGAGGAAAAGCTCTGCTGTCCTCGTGCCAGCAGCCAGGCTCTGAGCCAGGCTCGCAATGTCCCAAAAGAATGGTGTTTCCAGCTTGTTATGGTCACGGGGTTCGACGAGGTTGTGAGATTGGCGCTCAACGGCCCGCTGCAAGTCTTCATCCCTGTCAAGCCTCGGGCCCTTCCAGGCCTTTTAATAACTGCTTACTGCTTGGGAGCTGGGCAGCAGAGGATAGCATGAACGCTCAGCGTCTCCTGAAAGCTGATCACTTCGAGAAATTTTGATCATGACTCGCTAAGTTATAACTATGATTACAATTGAGTAGTTACCTAAAGGGGCTGAGTTGGTGTCATGATCTGCTGAAATTTGAAATGCCGGACGGCCTTTCCCGTCCCTTATACGGGCGGCGGGGGCACCGTACTGTCGGGTCCGCACCACGAATCTCCAATTAGGCCTTACCTCGTCTTCCTGTCAGAACTCATCACAACATTCCACGAAATGAGCGCCAGGATATGTGCTCTCATTGCGGCGATGCCCAATAACAGATTCAGACGCATGACGGCCAAAGAGGAACTTGACGGGGCCGTTGGTTGCAGCGCTCGGCTGCCTGGTCAAGATTCCGAAGTAGGGGTTGCGGGCAAGACCATCCATACACCTGCGGGTGCTGTCGAAGTTTCCAAGTCAGTCCGAGACTACGATTCCGCTACGGGCGCCATTCAGGAATCGGCATGACATCGAAAGCGTGGCATCTCTGCCCTACCGTGAGCTACCGCGGCAGCTCTGAGTACTCATTTATTCGGCCATTTGGCTTACTTGTTGTCCTTCTCCAGTGACTCCTCTAGAAAGACAATTGGGCCCTGATCTGGATCGGATCAGGTTTGTCAACGAGTGCACATACATGCGGAGTACATGCAGTACACTTACCGAAAATAGATGCATCAAAATAACAGCATCAAGGTACGCAAGACCGCCTGATCCTAACAACGTGTTGAGGGTTGAGGCCTCCCCCGGCCAAGACGCGCCAACCATTGTGTTCTCCTAGATAGCGTGCAGTTGCGTCCTATCCAAGACTGATGAATATCGAGGGACTCTCTCCCGTCGTCGAGGTCTTCTACAAAACAGTCACCAAGCCCCAAGGCTGCCAAAGCAGTTTTGAAAGGACGGACACTCAGGGGCTCCCGATATTTCACTCTTGGCAGGTGCAGACGAAAACGGTTTCGGCAGTAGGCCCGCTAATGTGGAGAGGCTCCACACTGGCAGCACATGGCGGGCAGGAACTTGGCGCATTTGCCGTCTGAAAAAAGACGGAGCCGATGATGAAAGTCGGATGGCGGGGTAGCGCTTCGGCTCGCCACGGCGTTCGGTAATATTCCAGCAAAGATTCTTTCTTTGACGCGGCGGCGACTAGAGAGTCTGATGAGCCAGATTCATTTTTTGAGAGCCAATCCGGTAGTGCTCTTGACACCGGGAAAGTACAGTACCTAGTACGGACTACATCAATCACTTCCAATCAAGCACACTGTATGTATGTACAGTACATTACAAGTACCTCATTGAATGTCTTGCACTGTATGAGAGGTTCAACAAGGTCAACTGCAATTCTTTCCAAACTTGGATCAACGCTCAATCCAAAGACAGAATCTTGCAGGTGCTCTCGGATTACCGCCCCGCTTTTGACTGCCGTTGGCCGAGATACAGTTACGAACCCTGCGCAAGGATGAGCTCTGCTTCCATCGTTGCCGACGTGAAACAACGAGCGAGGGAGTTGGATCGGGACGACCCGCTCGCCTTCACTCGCAACGAGTTCTACATCCCAACACGTTCCCAGATAGCCAGTACCCGCTTGGCCGACTCAGGTGACAACCCCCCCTTTCTCTCCCCCACCAGTCTCTGATATGCGAGACAATGGACTAACTGCGCTGTGATCTCACTGCCTCAGACTCCATAGCGGCAGAGTCTGAGGATACTAGTGCAAGGAAATGTGTTTATCTATGTGGAAACTCTCTGGGACTCCAGCCTAAGAGGACCAGCACACGCTTGAACCAATATCTTGCAACATGGGCCACACAGGGAGTACAGGGGCACTTCAAGCCCGTCGAAGAATCACCCCTCCCGACCTGGCTTGATGCCGATGCGCGGGCAGCCCAGCTCATTGCCCCCATCGTGGGCGCTTTCGAGTCCGAGGTTGCCGTCATGCAGACGCTGACGGCCAACCTCCATCTCCTGATGTCTGCCTTTTACCACCCAGACATCAACGGCAGACACAAAATCATCCTTGAAAGCAAAGCGTTTCCCAGCGACCATGTGAGGACCCTCCTACATCTCCTTGCCACATCGCGAACCAAGCGCTAATCGCCCCCATTTCATACAGTTTGCCGTGGAAACCCAACTCCGCCACCACGGCCTCGACCCAGCCACCTCTATGGTGACCATCGAGTCGCAAACCTCCAAGGACAACGTCTTCACTACCGAAGAGATACTCTCAGTCATCGCAGCCCACGCCGACACCACGGCCCTGCTTCTCCTCCCGGGGATCCAGTACTACACGGGCCAGCTGCTCGACGTGGCGCGGATCACTTCCTTTGCGCGGGAGCGGGGCATCTTTGTGGTATGGGACCTGGCGCACGCCGTGGGCAACGTGCCGTTGGCGCTGCACGACTGGGACGTGGACGCGGCCGCTTGGTGCAGCTACAAGTACCTCAACGGCGGGCCGGGGTGCATTGGCGGCATGTTTGTGCACGACCGCAACAGCGCCGTCACCCGCCTCATCTCGGACGAGAAGCCCGAGGAAGGCTACACCAACCGCCTCGCCGGCTGGTGGGGCAACGACAAGGGCTCCCGCTTTGTCATGGCCAACCGGTTCCACCCCGTCCAGGGTGCCGCCGGGTTTCAGCTGAGTAACCCGAGCATTCTGGACATTACCAGCCTGTGCGCGTCGCTCGAGGTGTTTGAGCTGGCTGGCGGAATGGCGAGATTGAGGGACAAGTCAGTCAGGCTGACGGGGTTCTTGGAGGAGTTGTTGGTTAAGGACTACGGGGATGGCGGCATCATCGGGGAGGAGGAGAGGCGATTGTTTAGGGTCATTACGCCTAGTGATCCGGACCAGAGGGGCGCCCAGTTGAGCTTGCTGCTTGACGAGGGGCTGCTGGAGACGGTGATGAGGGAGCTGGAGAGGAGGGCGGTTATTGTGGACGAGCGGAAGCCGAATGTTATTCGGGTTGCCCCAGCGCCGTTGTACAATACGTTTGAAGAGTGCGTCGAATTTGTCGAGGCGTTCAAGGAGGCGCTCGCGACGGCATGGAAGATGAAATGCCGGACAGCGGACTAGCTGTACAATCGGCCTAGCTAAATAATGTATTTGATGTGCCGTGTCATCTGCTCTATGCCAAGAGGACGTGATGATGCTCCCTTGTTTCGATGGGAAGCAGCAATGGCTGCTTGCTGGCTGGCTTTTGTTTACTTACCCCTTATTTCTCGTCGGTTCCCTCTCATTGGCTGGGCTTTGTGTACGTAGGCGCCCCCAAGCCTCGCAGGGAGCGAAGCATGCTTGGCCACACACCCATGTTAGGAAGAAGCATGAGCACACTAGGAGAGTCTTGGACTGCTCAAGATGTTGTCGGGGCGTCACAACACTTGAACAAATCCAGGCTTAAGAAGATAAACCTGCCCACATCAGATTGGACGACATTGTGGACCACCAGAAGGTGAGTGTATACGACGATCATTACGACGATATGAGGCGAGTAACTGCCCCAGCTGAGGACTTCAATACAGAGGTCTATTTCCCGGCTAGACTTCAAGCTGCGAATGCACCGGAGGCAGGGGACTGGTTTAGGCTCATAAGGGCGAGCCAAGTATGCGGACTTCCGGCGGCTCCTAGCCTCCTACGTCCTCCGTCGCTGAATGAAAGGATCCATTTGAGTCACTTGGCGGACAAAGTCTGAAGACGCTGGCGACTAGTTCGATTTACCTTGGAAACTGATTGTCTTGGAGGGAAGCACTTGTCCCTTTTCCCCTCGGGCCGGTATAAACCGACTCACCCAATTTCGAACCCCTTGCCAAAGTTCGACGCGCGATTCTATCTCCGGCGCCTCGCTGAGAAATATCATGCATCAGAGAGGCATTGCAACCCCCTCTCCAGGCAAGCCTCGAGGCAGTGTTATCCACAAAGAGTTTGTTGTGGCAATGCTGCTGAAGAAATGGAGCCACTTCTCTCACAGTCCCTATGCCCGGGCTTCGGATAACCGTTTCTCGAGACTCCTAGTAGAACCTAGCCACTGCCTGCCCTCTTCCTCCTGAGGGCCTGGCGGTGCTTGATGAATGTGAACTTCAATCTCCCTTAGGACTCGATCAATCCGGGTTCGGCCTTGGTTCCATAGCTTGGGCCTTCTCTCGGCCAGTTTGACTTCCGGAACCCACTGAAAGACTCAAACTGCCCTAGGAAGGCATTTGCGTCAACCTGTTTCTTCTCCCACGATGGAAACCGAGAGAATGGGCAAATCAAGCGACCGGACGATGAGCTAAACTGCCTGTATTTCTCGTTACTACAACGACTCCTTTATCACACGCATTTGGTGAGTAATGGAGCGTCTTGCTTGCCCCCATTCTTTCCCAACCATGCAACCAGCGAACCTCGTAGCACATGTGATCCGTCGATTCATAGCAGCCAACGCAGCGCGGCTGAAAGATGTGCCGCAAGAAACGACCCGCGGAGACTGGAGGTCCCCGTCATAGGAAGTCATTCAGCTAGCTGCTGCCCCTTGATCGTGACGAAGCAAGCTGCGTTGTATTCACTAGCTCGGGTGGGCGCTAGGTAAAACCGCAGATGAATAGCAGACCATTCCCTAAGACCGCCTGAGATGCTCCGAAAACACAGAAAGAATTGCCCCATGATTGACCGCGCCGTTTTAGACCTCCGTCGTGACCTTCGCCTTCGGGTTGGTGACCTTGACGCCTAATTGCTTCGCCCTCGTAATGATGTCGATCCGCTTCCTCGACGAGACGTTATGTGCGATCCTATAGACGTGAAAAACAATTCTGTTAGTCCGCCATTTGCCCACATCCCCTCCCCAGGGCCCGGTGGCAGCCGGTAGCCCTTCAGGTTTTGGACTGGGAGATGAAGAGAAGAATAACGTACTCGGCGGCGTAGGTCTTGTTGTGCATGAGGAGAAGCTCGACGTCCTTGACGTTGCTGACGAGGAAAGCCTTGTGGCCAGAGGGCATCATGTGGCGCGTCTTCTTGTTGGAGCCGTACCCGATCTAGAAGCGATGAGATTTTGCAATCCAAAATGTCAGCCGTTGTTCCCTCATTTTCCTCGTTGCGCGTCCTGATAGCATAGAGCCACCCCCATTTCCCGTTCTCCTGTCCATCCCAAGCCCCGCGGGGTCCCATGCGGAAAGAGAGCAAGCCAACGTACCGAGGGCATGGCAAGATTGCCCTTGAACCGTCTCCGAACCCGGTTATCGATACCCTTGGGCTTGCGCCATGCCGAGTCCAAGCACTTGAACCGGTCGCTCTGGTGGCGCATGAAGCGCTTCGTGCCTGCAAATCGAAAACGTGCTTGTCAATACCGCCATATTCTGCTAAAGAAATCCATCACATTCTGCGAATATGCTATGCCGACTCGGAAACTGCGGAGGACTGCGCGGTTTGTTCTGCCAATTGGCTGGAGAAAAGATCGAGGGACGTACGCTTCTTCACGATCGGGATGTGCTTCTTAGCGGCAACCATCTGTCCGGCGGGTTAGAATTCAAAACTCTGAACAGAATGTGAATTGAAGGGAGCGGAATTGTAGACTTACCTTGACGGTCTTGTTGTCGGGTGATGGTCGAACTGTTGGCGGGCGTCACGATCAGGACCTACCTTAAGGGAAAATTGCTGAAATTTGATTTACCTGGTGGGCTTAGGGCTGCGTAAAATTGTTAAGGCTGACTGGTCAGTGCGCTTGATTGGATGAGGGATTCGCAGCATGGCAATGTGGGGCAAAGCAGGTCCGTTATCTTATCGATAAGATTGAAATGTGGGAGTGATGATGTCTCACTGGATGGAACCCTATAACAGGTACTTGTACAAGTACTCCGTACCTTCAAGCAACCTGCCTGAAGAGGATCACAGCACTGTAGCACCATTTAAGACAAGAATATTGCTATCGCTATCAATGACTGGTTTCAGGTCATTATGTCATGCCCTAGTCTATGCCGTGGAATTGCACGAAATACCAAGTGATCCGAGTCTTCACCATTGCGGATTCCTCTTGTCCGTCTATTAACAGAAGCCATCTGTGAGCTGTGACCATGCCCCATCCACCATTGACCACTGCCGCCGAAAACTAGAAAAGCTGAATGCAGGACACCAGTCGATATCCGGTATCCAAGCGCCCGCGGCCGCTTCAGGTTTTCCGAGTGAAATAACCGGAATGTCTTCATTCTGCAGGCTTTGGCCAGCGGGAATTCCAGGCTAGGCCTGCCCCGAACCCTCAGCCGGCCTGCAAGCATGCTTGTTTGTCCACCAAAGCCCTCGTCCAATGAGAATTGCGTTTTGTGACCTTCTGGACACCATGACCATGGATCTATCCGTTGTCTTACTGAGTGGCACACTGCGTCGGGCCACCTTCGTCCTCGTCTTCATCTTCCCATTCATTGCCGTATCGCGGATCGCCTTGATGGGCGCCCATCTATGAGACATGTCAGTAATGTGCTGAACCTGTGTCCAATTGGTTCAACTGAAGGGCTTACCTTCTCAATATCTGCATCCTCCTCGTATTCGACCTCATCCACTTCTTCGGCCTTGATGGGCGGCGCAGGAGGGGGCAGAAGCTTCTGCAGAGCCTCATACTCATTATCGCTCTTCAGCCAGCCATCTTCGGGGAATTCAATCTTGACAATCAGGTAGAGGTCCCCCTTCATCTCGCCCCTCTTCATGGGCATGCCTTCTCCGGGAACCTTGAGCACATCATTGGGACGGAGGATCTTGCCTCGGGGGTGGTCGATGTGAATGCCCCTGCCGTCAAGGTGTTTCAAAACCACACGCGAGAAGCCAGTTAGAGCCTCGGCCAGGGTGACGTGAAGGTCGGCCGACAGATCGTGCCCAATGCGGTTGAACTGCTCGTGCGGCTCCTCAATCAGATGGAAAATGAGGTCGCCAGGGGTCCTATCGGGCAGCTGATCTGCCTCGCCCTCCAGCACGATCCGTTCGCCCTGCATGGAGCCGCGAGGAATGTAGAGCTCCAGTGCCTTGGTCTCCTTGACGGTTCGCTTTCCCTTGCACTTTTTGCAGCGATCCTTCTCCCTGATGTGCGTCCCGGATCCCTGGCAGTGACTACAGGGGACCGTCTCCCTGGTGACGAGGCCGGGGCCAATCTGTCGGAATGCCTCCTGGCGTCCGATGCCCCCGCAGCGATCGCACCTCTCGGGCTTGACCTTGTCTTTTGCGCCAGAGCCCTTGCATTGACCGCAGATGACCTGCTTCTCGGCAGCAAACTTGACCGTCTTGCCCTTGTAAAGCTCCTCGAGCGTCACCTTATAGGGCTGCTCCTCGTCGGGACCCCGTCTTGGTCCCCGAGGGCCACCGCCAGGCATGCCACCTGGCATACCGCCCACATTGAATCCGAACATCTGAGACAGAATGTCGTTCAGGTCGGCTCCGCCTCCTGGGCCGCCCCTTGACGAGTCAAAGGCGGCCATGCCGTGCGTGTCGTAGAGGTGGCGCTTCTCCTCATCGCGGAGGATTTCGTATGCTTGCGTGACTGCCTTGAACTTTGCTTCAGACTCGACCCGTCGCTCCTCGGGAACCTTGTCAGGGTGGTGTTGTAAAGCCAACTGGCCCAGCAGTCAGCACTAAACCAACGAACGGTCTACGGACCGCGAAACACACTTTCCGATAAGCCTTTCGAATCTCGTTCGGACTGGCCGACTTGTCCACGCCGAGGAGTGCTAGACAACGTCGATCCAAGGTCAGCATGCAAATCATGCAGCGCTAGCTAAAAACGATTGCGCGGCGCAGGCGGGGTGGGCATGGCATACCGTAGAGGTCAATGTCCTCGGCGGCGCTGTTGCTGGGCCCGCCGTCCATGGTCGATGCACTTGGTGCCTGTCAGGGTCTCGACGGCTTTAAGATACTGTTGCACTATTACCTCGAACAAAAACGTCCGTCGAAAGGGCGAATGAATATTTTCGTCGCAAATGGTGTTGGAAGGGAGCGGGTTCGATAACCTTAGAGTGCGCCCGCTGATAGTGGATGACGGAGACGCCCTTGAAGTGTTGGCCCGAGTTTAGAAAATTTAGCCCGGAGCGGGCGGTGCCCCTCGTTGCAGGGATGGGATGGCTGACTGTTCTCAGGACTAAAACATCAGGGAGAGCCAGGAGGCATTGTTATACTCAAAGTCTGGCGCTTGAAGGTTTCCTCATGTTAGAAGTTGCATGTACTTTTACGATACGGAAGTCAAGTTCTGCTTCAACGGCTGCGAAGAAGATCTATGCATGTTTACTCTCCATTTTCCGATAACGTTGTGGTGACGCCGGACGTTTTTGTTGCCTGGGGTCCGGTCACACAGTTGCAACCGCTTATAACTTGAGGCGCTCGCTATCTAAGCGTTCAGTCGGACTGCGAGCCTGAGAAGGGTAACTTTGAACTGGACGTAGGTACTCTTTCACACCATTGATGACCATTAAGATTGTCGACGTAGGTCGAGAAAGATGAAAACATTCAGAAAATGATAAGTTTCACATGATCGCTGACCCTCAGTTGTTATCATCTTTTATCAGCAGCCCCACACCGTTTCCTATCCGGGCAGGGGATGTAAGTATGTAACGGTAACAATATTTCGTATTTCACTGGGCGGATTTATTTTTGAAATGAAATTGTGTAATTACCACACCGAACACGGTCTGAAGTTACAGCAAATCAGCTCACTCACCAAGCTCCATGTTTCAGTAAAAAGCCACTTAACCTAGCAGACCACTTCAACAATCTTGTTGAAGTCGGTGAAGGGCACCAAGTATGAGAGGCACCAGCCTCCTAAGGAGGCCATGGAGACCTCTGACAGTGTGTTCCAGCTGCGCTCGACGGGTATCTCTTTCCGTCTCGCAACGACGGCTGAGGAACTTCTCTAGCGGCAGTCATTTCGCAGCAGGCGCGGATGTGCAGGCGCTAGAAAGCAGGACGTTATGGAAGCGACCAAAGCAACGGGAAGAGAGGCAGACGTATGAATTGCCTGACACGCCATGCCGCACTCGCTTCGCCCCTTCTCCCACTGGCTACTTGCATCTGGGCTCTCTGCGGACAGCCTTGTTCAACTACCTCGTAGCAAAAGCAACCGGCGGCCAGTTCGTTCTACGCATCGAAGACACCGACCAGGTGAGACTGGGCCACTTTTTGTCTTGTAGCAATTGACTTGAGATGACATGTTACTTACCGTGCCACTGAGCGATTAGAGCCGCTTGGTACCAGATGCAGAACAGAGACTGTATGAAGACCTCAGGTGGGCTGGTTTGTCCTGGGACGAAGGTAAGGGAAAGGTCGTGGGCTCATGGGCCTCGTTCGCGCTAACATCATCCCCCAGGTCCGGATGTGCAAGGCCCATATGGTCCATACCGACAGGTACTGCGAGACCTGTGTTGACATGCTGACCGGAGCATCACCGCTGACTGCATCAGTCCGAAAGGCTTGCGCTTTATACCGAGCATGCAGATAAACTGCTGCGTGAGGGCAAAGCGTACAGGTGCTTCTGTTCCCCGGAGGCCCTGGAGGAGCACAAGAGAGTAGCCCATGCGCGCGGAGAGTCAACCCGATATCCGGGCACCTGTCGAGCAATCTCCTCTGAGGAGTCCGATGAGCGCGCTGCCAACGGACAGGAGTTCGCCATCAGGTTCAAAAGCGCTGCGGAGCCCACCACTGTCCGAGACATTGTATACGGCAATTACCGAAAGAAGGAAGCAGAGGACGACTACATCATCATGAAGCGTGACGGCTTCCCAACCTACCATTTCGCCAATGTCGTCGACGATCGACACATGAAAATCACCCACGTGATCCGGGGAGCGGTAAGTCGTGTGTGTCTTTCAACTAGGGCGGGCCGGGCCAAGTCTCACTTCTCGTGACGCATAGGAATGGCTCATATCAACGCCCAAACACGCCGAACTGTACCATGCCTTTGGGTGGGGACCCCCAAAGTTCGCCCACCTAGGGTTGCTCGTAGACGAGCAAAGGCAAAAGTTGAGCAAACGGCACGCTGTCGCCGACATGGGCTGGTACAAAGACAGACATGTTCTTCCCGACGCCCTCCTCAACTTTGCCGCTCTGCTAGGCTGGCGCGGAGTCGAAAAGAAAAAAACACTGGGCCTGCAAGACATCATTGATAACGTAAGTGGCTGGTAGCAAGGCAATTCGGGAGTCTTTTGCTAATTGATGGTTAAGTTTTCCTTGAAGTTTACCAAAGGCGACATTGTTGTCCCAATGACGTCGCTGGACTATTTACAAAACCAACATCTCCGACGCCTGTGTGAAGACGACACACCAAAAAGCAAGGCCCTTTTTGAAAGTCACGTACTAAATCCCTTGAAGAGAGCCATCAAACTGTTCGAGTCCGCGAGGACAAGCGGTGATGGGACCACCCCTGACGGCACCATCGTCCCGCCATTCGGCGAGCGGTTTGCCACGGTTCCTCTCTTAGAAGATGAACGTTTCCGTCCCGATCTTGTCGAGAGTGTATTGAGTGCCAAAGCCGAGAATAATCAGACGCCGGATCTCGCGGCACGGTTCCCGGTTGCCGTCTCTCACCTCAAAGCCTTCATCTGGAAGATACCACACGACGTCCTCAAAGCCTCTCTTGCACAGCTAGCAGCTGACACGATTACGCTTCACGGTGCGCCCGCCAGACTGGATCAAGTCATGTCCCATGTCATAGAGAATCTCGCCTCCGTGGAGGACGACGCTTGGGTTGTGGACAGACTTAGCCAGGAGCTTCAGCGTATGGAGGAACCGGGAGAAGGGAAAGCACATATGCTATTGAAGATACTGCGGCGGGCGCTGCTTGCGTCGCCGAACGGCATGCCAGTCGGTCGGGCGATGGTGATATTGGGCAAAGACGAGACGTTGCGCCGACTTGAGGCCGCAAGGCTTGCTGCGGAAGAGACTGCTGTTCCAGCCGGCAGGGCAGTGCCCGCCTAGGGTGGGAGGAGAGTTCCCGGCGGCGCAAGCCTGGTAGGACCAAGACAAATCTTCCACCCTGTAACATGTATATTAGCGGTGGGCAAATCTTGTAAGAGTAGATAGAATTACACGGAAGGCAAACTTGAGGATGTCCTTCTATGCGCAAAATTCAAATCCCATACCCGCCCGCCATGCTCATTTTCCACTGCGCCTCTTTCGCCGTCTAAGTTATCAACAAGTGCAAGAGACAAGTAGTCATGAATGTCGTAAAACTTCCCAAGAGCATTCCCAACGCAAGACCGTCTCTCCGCTCCTAATGCTCAACCCGCCCCTTCACTCCCGCCCACGGCTGAAAACCTGCGCTTTCACCTCGGCAGCCATGAGTCCAGCCCGCTCCTTGGCCGCAACCTGGCTCATGTCGCGGACGAGCTTGTCAATGACCTGGTCATGCGCGCTCTTCCCCTCAACCCCTCCTCCACCTGCATCATCACCGGCCACCGCTGCCGTGCCCGAAGCTCCATTTCCCCCGCCGCCAAATATTTGTGAACCGAGCGGCCCCATCATCATGGATGATTTCCCGCCTCCAGCACCACCTCCTACAGCACCTCCGGCAGCTGCGTGGTGCCGCGCCACGCCCACGCCGGCGGCAGCGTCCTGGATGCGATGGGCCAGGTCGCTCATCTGGCTGCTCGCGTAGTCGCGGTTGGCCAGCAACGGGTTCTGCGCCAGCGTGCTCACCCAGTACTTGTTCCACAGCAGCTCGAGCAGCTTGGAGTCGAGCGTGGACCGGAAGTGCTCCACCTCGAGGGAGTAGTACTTTGCGGCGTGGGCGCCGAAGTCGGCTGCCTTGGCGAGCGGGACGGATTGCTGTTGTTGTTGCTGCTGTTGTTGGTTTGTTGAGGATGAAGTGGATGTGGATGTGGTGGCGTTAGATGGGGTGTAGTCCTGCGGGAAGGTGCGGAAGGCGCCAATCTCGACCTTGTTGGCGCTGACGGTGCGGTCCGGGTCGATGACGATGGCGACCATGGGGCCCTGGAGCTGCTGCAGCTGCTGCGTGGCGACGTCGATGCCCGACAGCCAGCAGCCGTAGCCCGGGTGCGAGTGGTACCAGCCGATGACGTTCTCCTGGCGCGACTCGTCGCGACACAGGGCCAGGTATTGCACCAGGTACTCGTCGGCGTCGCCCTGGGCGTTGACGCGCGTCTCGGTGCCCTCGACGGGCAGGCGGAAGGCGTCCGTCACCACCAGCGCCGTGCCGTCGACGTAGCCCTGCATGATGCCCATTACCTCGAGCGACCCGCCCGAGCGCGCGTGCATGACCATCTTGATGAGCGCCACGGCACTGATCCGGACCGTCTTGAAGTAGTGCGGATCAGTGACCCACGGCCGCTTGGCCGAGATCTCGGTCTGCGACGAGGGGGTGTAGTTGTAGAGTGCATCGCGCTGGCGGTCGATGAGCTTGTCGGTTAGCGGGAGCTCTGGAAGGGTTTCAATTAGCTGTGTGCTCGTTTTCGAGTGATGCAGCAATGCACATAGAGAGAAGAATTGACATTACCCATTTTCTTGGTGCGTTCCCGTGTGCCTCTAGTCCAAAGTGTGATGCCAGAAGTGAGGGTGCAACAGGCGACGGGAGAACAGTTGGAGCTTCGCTGCAGCCTACAGTGGAAAGTTGATGGAGCATATCATGGAGGGGTGGTCTGCTGTGATTGCGGCTGCGATAAGATAAGGAAGGACAGCCACACCTCGGTCCTGTAACTAACGTTACGGGGAAATATATATTTACAGTACCAAGTACATACAATTTCACCTCAATGTCCTTCAGTTTCTCGCCATGTACTTGTCGATGGAAGCTAATATTTACAAGATCAGAACACGAGAGAATATCAACGTTGCTTAGATGCCTGCCTGCCTGCTACAAGGGTAATGTGTTCTATCCGTCCGCCTGTACAAGAAAGAAAAGAAAAAGGAAAAGAAAGAAGAAAAGAAAAGGGAAGGCTCCTTACGCCGAAACTATGCTGTCACAATTGCCTCCCTCTTCCGTCTTCCCTCTAATCCGTTACTAGTGTGTTGACAGTATGCATGGAAAACAAGGAAATCAAGGCCAAAGACAAAAGAGACAAGGAAATGATTAATGTCATCAACGTGCCCGCAATACCCCTTCCTTCCCTTCTTTACCTAAGAAGGCTTCACCCTGTGACTTCGACTCGGCTTCCTGAGGAGCCCATTCCCACCGCCACTCTGCTCTTGTTGCCCAGTCCCCGTGTCATCATCCCTCGCGCCCTCGTCGCTACCCACATGCAGCGCCGTCCCCTCGCGATCCTTCAACCGGTGCGCCAAAGCTTGGATCCTGTCACGCAACGCACCCGTCTTCCTGCGCTCAGGACTAGCTTGATGATGATCCCCGGGCGCGCTGCTGATTGGCGTCCCGGCAGAAGACGCTGCAGCAGACACAACCCCGTTGCTGCTCCCTGGTCGAGGAGACGAGCCATTGTTGTTCCCTTGACTCTGCGCCCCGCCTCCAAAAGCCCTGGACCATCCGCTAGATGTGGGCCGCAAGAGATTGAAGCCGCTTCTGTGGCCCTGGCCGTGCTGCGTCTCGGGCGGCGCCGTAGTAGCCGGCGAAGGCGGTGCCATGAGAAACGAGGGAACCGCCCCTGTGGGCTGCGTGAGGACAGACACGTTGCTGGATCGCTGTGAACGCGAGGATGCGATGCTAGAGCTCCTGCTGGTGGATGGGACGGGGATAGAGGTCTGCGAACGCCGGATGGATTCTGGCGGGGAGCGTGAAAAGTCGTATACCGAAGACGAGTCGTCACCGCTGGTGTCCCGCGACTCGGCTGCTGTGGGCGTTGCGAGCAGTATCGAACTCGTGGCTAGTTCTCGCAGCTTCGACTGTTGTGCCGTGTTCGGCCTATGTCTGGAGAACTTGTTCCCGATGATGGCCCCCGTGTGGCTTATCAAGGCCTTGATGACTCGGCTTTTGAGCGCAAGGGCAAGATCCAGGTTGGACCACGTCTTGTTGCGGTACTCAATTGTCGGCAGCCGGAAGACAAAGTCGTGCACATCCTCGAAATTGCGGTCGCCCTTGCCCTTGTAGCTCAAACATAGAACGACGGACGGCATCCTGATGTAGGCAAACGTCATGTAATTGGAGGCTCGGTCGATCATCTTGGTCAAATCGTCAGATTGCTTGTGCCTTTCGCTCTCGTTGGAGCGGTGTCGCAAGATAAAGCGGGATCCCTTCCTAGACTCGCCCGAAGCGGCATCCTTGTTTGACGAGAAGCCGGTAGCTGACCTGAGAATGCCAGGCCGCGGCGTGTTCAGACGCAGGGACTCGGCCGACCGCTTCTTGCTCACAGACTTGAATCCGGTACCCGCTCGGAAGAGACGGAAGGAGGAGCCCTCGCCCGAATGGATGCTGAGGGCCTTTTGGTCCTTGATAGAAGCCTCGTCAGGATCCGAGGTGAGTGTGGGGCGAAGGCGCATTTCAAGAGAACCCGCGCGTTTCGTATACGGCACGTCAAGCTGCTCTTGATCTGCTGTCACAAGGCGAGGCATCGACTCGGCTAGCGATTCGCTGTCTTCTTCGTCCTCTCCGTCCCCTGCCATGGACTGCTTATTCATGGATGGAGACTCCATGCCGCTGGAACTTTTCTCACCACCCGTACCAGGGAAGATGTACTCGAAGAGTTTCTTTCCAATCTCGCGCTCAAGTTGAATTTTTAGCGGGAACAGGTTTACTTCGAAGTGGTCCATGACAGGGATGCCAGCAATGGCCTCGAGCATATTCCAATACACCTGGATCATTGGTTGCGAGCCCGTGTCGAAGCCACCATGGTCACTCTCGATGTACGGTGCCACCATTGCAGGATAGATGGCGTCGGGGAGCAGGTTCAAACCTAGGATCTTGCCCACTTGGATCAAGTTGATGTGCGACCCATCCGAGTTGTCGGTCCGATCGTATTCCACGTTCTTGAGCTGCAGCTCAACAAGGGGCTCGTTGTTGTCCCGGATGAGCTGCCAGACGATTTCCTTGGCCATGATGCTCCACTTCATGAGAGTGGTGCTATTCGCATTGTCAAACTTCCTCTGAGAGGAGGTAATGGCTTTCATCATGAAGAACAATTCGTCCTCGCATGCTGCCAAATCACGCTCCAGCACCATCCGGTCTTCCCACCCTTTCTTGTCTAACTGCCTGGAGTGAGTTTGGAAATGCATCTTGATCTCTTCGAGCTGCCGGACTCGCTCCTGAAGTTTGGTAACCATCTCCGGAGCGCCCCTCAGGTCGCTGAAATCCGAAGCCAGCATGATTTTTTCGAGCCTTTCGTTCCGCGTCTTTTCAAGGGGCTCACTATACATGAGGAGATCAACAACAATGATGTAGATGGCGTAATACTGCGAAGAGTTGCACAAAGCATGCGCCTGCGGGAACTCGATCCAGAGACTGTCCGTCCGCCGCTCGGTCTCGCCCTCCACGGCTACACCGCCACCTTCACTGGTGTTGACCTCGTCGTTATACTTGAGCCGCAGCGTGTTGAACTTGTCATAACGAAGCATTGCGGATGTCTTCTGCACAACGCGCTTGAAACCGAATGGATCCGCTTGAAAGTCGAACATGATCTCCATCGGAACCCAAGGCGGCCATGAAGAACCAGACGGGGTGCCGTAGGTATTCCCCGAATACATGGACAACATCTGCGTCGTAAACCACTTTTGATGGGTAACGAAAAACTGCGTGCTGTCCATGTTGACAAGGAATCGCCGCTGAACAAGACCACTGACGTTATCAGACATCCTGCTCTTGTCGAGAACATCGACCACTTTGAGTTCCATGCCCTTGGATGTCGTCAGAACCACGTGCTTCTTGTTTCTGTCACTCTGTAGCTGGATTTGCGGCGCAATAAGGCGGACATGGTAGCTGTTCTGAGTTGTGAAGTCATCCGCGATGCCGCTCGACAGATCGGCCATGGATGTGTGTGTCCCTGCATCCCCAGTGCCATTCACACTGGTAAATTTCTTGTTATCCTGCAAGATTCTGCGGATTTTGTCCTGAATGTCGCTCTGGGCCTCACGGTTCACTCCGTTTATATCCGGACCGCTGCTGGTTCCCATGGGGGTTGTGGCCGTCTTTGACTTCGTTTGTTCCTCCACTAGATCTAGAATGAATTTCACTGCAGGGCGAGACAGATAGTAAACGAAGCCTCGGCGTTGACCGACCTGGTGAATGTAGCGGAGGATAATGTTCCGTAGTGTATTGTTCCATTTCAGCTGCATGTTGTGGATTACGAACCGGTTCTTGAAATCGCTCGCAAACTCGGCAGCGGCCGGGCTCGTCATGCTCCCTTGCAGCTTTGGAGGGGGTCCATCATCATTCTCGGGGGCTGTGGGAGAACGCGGCGTCATCTCGTCTAGCATCCGTTCTAAGAATGCTCGTTTTCCAACAAGAACTGTCGTCTGTCGATTCAAGGCGTCGAACCCAGCCTTAAGATCTGTCTGGGCGGGATCGCCTCGGATAAGGCGAAGCTCAATCTCGCCCAGGTTCCGCTTGTGTGTCTCCACTTGCTCTTCAAGCTGCTCCAGCCGCTGACGGATAAGTTGACTTTGTACCCTCCTAGGATCGTCGTCCTCGCTCATGATGCAGAAGTGAGTAGGCTCCTTGCCAAAGGGACTGGTCCGATCGGGATCGCCGTCGATGACGCCGCCTATATCTGTTTGGCGGAAGTAGGTAATGCGAGGGGCGAATGCAAGAGGAAGGATTTTGGTATCAGGATTTGGTTCGGTCGGTAGGATCGAGTCAAGCTCGATAAAATCATCCATATCGATCCACGTCAGGTCATTGTCGGGTATCGTAAAGCGGGAGAGGTCAATCCCGCTCCCTTCCTGATCCATCATGAAAGTCGAAGGCGAATGCTTCGGGTCCGCTGTCCTGTTACGGATGCTTGCAGAGACCGCGCGGACGTCGGCCGAGACAAGGTCCAGCTGCCCGGCATGAATCTTCATACTACTGGTCTTGCTTTGAGTCTTGAGGCCGTGGTCCCTGGTGCTGAACTCCTCGCGCCTTTGATGCAAGTCCAGGATCCAGCTGTCAAACCGAACCTTGATCCCGGTGGCCGACACCGTGTTCTCAGGGTCCTCGGCATCCTTGTGCTTGTAGATGTGGCTGAGGTATAGCGGCGCCAGCAAGAGGTTGTATTTGATGGTAGCGAGATGTCTGCCGAACTTTTTGCTGTTTTTCTCTCGCCCGGGCCAGAGCGAGCCTTGCCTGATGGGCAGGGAGAGCGGGCCAGAGAAGAGGGACCACCAGGCGAAAAAGTGCGTAAAGAGCCGAGGTGTTAGATGAACGGCATTGTAGCTGCGAGAGGGTTCAACGATCGACCCATTCCATTCCCGATCGACTGGCGCGCGGACGGCCACGGACAGATGGATGTGCTGGCTGCGAAAGCCGCGAAAAGCGTCGTAAGGGAGTCCGCCTTGGGTCTTGGCATATTGCGGAGCTTTGAGCACTACCTTGTAGTGTGGGATGAACTCGAAACTCCTGTTACCTTGCTCAATCGCCCGCTCAAAGACGAGCCCGGCCAGCCACTGCACCTTGCCTGAAAGCTTCATGACAACCTTCTTGAACTCTGCGCCAGACCTTTGACTGCTTTCGCTTGAGATGCTCTCGTCTTCACCGTGTTGCCGGCGACTTTCCCGGACTTGATGGCTGTAGTCGGGCACCGCTAGGACATACTCACCGCTGTCGACAGTCATGAAACGCTTCGGGTCATCGTCGGTGTGCACGTTCAATCTCACATCGTTCCGCCAGCACATCAGGAACCCCGCGCCGTTCCCGGTGACCTGATAAGGATCCCGACTGCCCTTGAGCGCAAGGTGAACATCGCCATCGCCACGCCAAGCAACCCGGATGCGCGAGTGGAAGTTGAGGCGAATCTTATCCCAGAACCCAACCCTCTCAGAGGGATCGAGCTGCGGTTTTGTCATTGACTCAATGGCCATCATCATGTCTTGGATCGCGGGCTGATATGACGGGCCCCAAGTAATGCGGGTTGGGTTCGCGGTATGAATGTCGATGGTCATGTCCGAAAAAGTCTTGACAGGCCCGATAGTTCTACGCACATCAACTGCAAAGCTTCCCTCGTTGGGTAGCGTCGGGTCTAGGTTCCGTGGCGGCACAATCTGAACCTTGATCTTTCGAGTAGACTCTGGGCCGCGATATTCCTCGGCAATCACAAAGTCCGTCGACATAGACAGGGCGGGAAGTCGGACTGGCTGGTCTGGTTTGGTGGCTGGCACGTGCAAGAACGGCAGGGGATAATCGCGAAGTGTTATCCTGGCTTCGCCCATGCTTATTTGCACATTCATGGGGACGAGAAGAGCGTATTGCATGTCCCTCGGCATACCTTTCCCGACCTTGTGTAGGAAGTCTGGAAGTTGTCTCAACGGGAAGGAGGGCTTGTCGATCGTGACTTGCAAATCGTTGATGATTGTTGACATGAGGGCGGGTCTCTGCGGTACCTCCAAGATTCTTTCACCGTCCTCCAGATCGTCAGGCATCTCATTTACCCCCCAGAACTGGGAGTAAACATCTTTCATTCCGTTCTTAGCCAGCGCGTATTGGCGGTCAATACGATGCTTCCAGCTCTTGGCATTGTGCAAGTCTAGCTTGTGTCTTGCCTCGGCGATAGAGATGCGCGCGTACCCACTGATCCCTTGGCTGCCGCTTTCCGGGTCATACCTAGGTCCCCGACTGCGGAAATGCCCCTCAGCGGGCCCTCGCCGGAGGCCGTCAGCGCTGCGGCTTCTAGTATGAGAGACCCCCGGTGTCGGGGGTTCAGGCATGCGAGCAGCGGATCGCGCCCGCAATTTAGAAGGCCCCTTTTTCGATTCTTCCTCATGGATTTTCTTGACCTTGACGCGGAAGGCTTCCTCGCGCGCCTGACGCTGCATCATCTCCACCAGCCCGGCCCGGTAAATCACACCGAGCTTCCATTCGAAAGCGCCATCTTCTAGCTCGAAAAGGAGCGTCTTTGCGCGAAGCGATACCTTGGGAACGTTCCTCGGACCCTCCGGGCCCTTGTCAAGAATGTACTCATTCGTGCCGGTTTTGAACCTGTGGTGAAGCTGAATGACAGACTTGACGGTATTGACAAGGTTGTCTGTGATCTTATAAATGACCATTTCATGAGGGACGGCCAAGCGGATGGTATCCAAAACGATGTCAAACAACCTCTCTTCATGAAGTGCGCCGCCAGCAGTCTTGCGTCGAGATTCTCGGTAGTCCATCCTAGCATTCTTGACGCTGACTATCCTAGCCCAGACTCTGCGCATCCTAGGGGCTTCCGCGTATAGCCGGATTAGCTTAGCGTGTAAGAACGGGGTGGACCATCGATGGCGTGCTGCTTCCATGTTGTAGATGTGCAGCATCAACGGGGGATCCGAAGGCAAGTCCGCCTTGATCTGGACTAGAGTGGCCCTGAAATCGACCGAGACAAGCTCGGGAGTAGCCCTCGATAAATCGATATTACCTAGGGGAAAATCAGGGGTACTGCCGCTTGGTGGTGATAGGTGGCCAATGATTCGTCTCTGTGGGGACATAGGGGGCGTCATCGGCTCGGCCGCCTCTCTGGTGGTCCTTAAGAACGCTTTCCGCAGTGATGAAGCGGCCACGGTCGCAGCGTAGTGTCGATAGAGAGAGTATTGGACTAGGATGGTCCGGATATAGGAGTGGACGTGGAGCACCGGGCCTTGGTTGTCGCTCAAGGTCGAGAGCGCGAGCTCAAATTTGGGAACGCTCACAAATGGCTCAAACTCGCACTTTTCCTCCGACTCAACCATGAACACCTCGAACGCCCGGGCCTGAATAGATAAGCGACGGCCGTCGCCATCATTGTAATACTTTTTCCTGGGCGATACTGGAACGGCTCTCAGTAGATCTGCCTCGGGGGACATCATCCCCCTGCTGCTGGCTCTGCGCCGGGACGGCTGCCGTTGCAAACCATCCAGTCTTTGAGCGCGATACTCCGCTGACCACGAATCCAGCTGAATGGCAACGCCTCTCAAGTCCTCAGATATGTCCTTATCCACGCCCGCAACTTCGATGCTGCAATCTGAGCAATGGAGTTGGAAATGCAAGAGCCACGGGGGTAAGGAGCGCAAGAAGTTTGAGTGCCTTGGCGTCTTTGAAACAGCGCGTTTGTCCGGCTCGACATTAAGCCGTAATTGCCTCACTATCTGGCGCAAGCCGTCACGGATCTCGTCCCTAACCATCTTGAGCGTAAAGGTCTGGAGGTTGCCTGTCACGGCCACGTGCAAGTCTGGCGACGCATTGAGCTGCACTTTCAAGTCGAATGTCTCCGTCTCGAGCAGGTCGAAGCGGTTCCCGGCGGAGGTCTGGTAATACAAACTGTGCGTCTGGACCCGCATGGTAGCGGCTAGAGAATAGTGAAGCTCCTCGACAGCCGAATGGAATGATTCAACGTCTAGGGAGACAGACGATATAGATGATATAATCAAGTCAAACTCGTCGGGGTCGGCCGACTTTTGGACAGGGGGAAGTGCTATCCTCACAACAGGCTCGTGCATCGAGAACTTGATGTTCGCTTTGGGGAGGAGTCGTGAAATGAGCATATGCCGTTGTTGCTGCTGCGCCTTTGGCGGCTTTGGTCTCCGCTGCAGCATCGCCAACAGGAGGGGGAGGTGCCGAGGGTCAAAGTCGACAGAGGGAGAGGTGACAACCGAGTTCGCAAAGAGTATGTTGGCGTTCCGCTGCTCGGCAGTCCCTTCGTCGGCGAGCTCAACCGTCTTGGATGGCAGCGTTGTCTTGGCAGTCGTGGTCGCCATTGGAATGTACATTATGCGCTCAGGCTTGCCGTGCCCGTCGTCAAGGCCGACGGAGATGGACAGTGCAGCGGCCAAGGCCTCATGGGCAATATCCTTAGAGGGGAAATACATTCTGTGCGCTGCTGATTTTGGATCCAGTCGATGGAGATCTATGCCGACTTCCTTCATGGATGCCGTCAACAGAACCGGAGTGCCGCCGGGCTTGACCCTCTCGATCTTTTTGGTGAGCCCAATGGAGCTAACGGCGAACTGGACCTCCTTGATGCCCCTGAGAATAGAGCTCGCAAGTTCTTTCGAGTCGGACACGGTCTGCATAAGTTCATGATTGGTGCTTCCTGGAGCGTCGAACTCCTGAATCACCCGATCAACAAGCAGGTCGACGGGTTCAGACTGGGCAAAGGTTTTGTCGCTCTGGGATCTGATGTTTTTGTACTGAGCGACGCTATGGCGAATATGATCGTAGGGGATGTGCACGCGGCCCAGCTTGAGAGAAATAGAGGTGTCGCGAAGGCCATCGAGCGCTTCATAGAGGTAACCATGAATATTCAGGCTGGCGCTGTCGAGAACCTCCAGCGACTCTTCCCCCTCGGCGGTAAACAACACGCTTCGGAGGGTGACGATCCATTCGGCCTGCTGCTTCTGACCCTTCTTCTCCCCTTTTCCCTGCAAGAAGAAGCGCGCACGATCCACCATCTTGCGCCTCGTATCTACCGCCATGGTGAAACTGCCCATCTGCACGTTGCCCACACCCTCGATGCTGACGGTTGAATTGGTGGCGACGACGTCGACCATGCGAAGCCAGTTGACGCTCCGATGCAGGCGCTTGATGCGTTCCTTCACCCTTGTCAACCGTTTCCAGGTCTTGCTTCGTCCATCTAGGTTAGTATCCCGGCGCATAGGGCCCAATGGCCTCGGAGTCCTCGGAGTCTCTGGCCGGTTGGGCGCAGCTTCGTCGGCGTGGGATTCGCCATCTTCAGGCGCAGCGCCGGCTGCCTTGCTCCCCTCGAGCTCTTGAACGTTGACGGTGACGACGAGCTCGCTCACAACAATGCTCAGCCAAGTGGGTTGGGCGAAGGTCGGGCGGTGGACGTTGAGGCCAAGTCCTCGAACGTCGATGCGGATGCCATCGCGGGGGGTGTAGGCGACACGACGAAGTGAAAAGTAGCCAATGCGCTGAATCGAGACGCCCGTGATTATGCGGATGACGGCGAAGAGAACGAAGGACGACAGATAGAGGAGCACTAGAATGCCGAATACGAAAGTAGGATTGAGCAGGGCCATTTCGACGGAGCAGCCGGCAGCAAGGACCAACACGCGGCGCCCATGAGTCGCAGCCGTCGCTGGGCCAGGCACTCTTAGTCTCGAAGTTGTCGACGAGATTTGACCGGGCGGGGGGCGCGATACCAGACACAAACGGCCCGGTCCGTTGCTAGCTTCACGGAGGTGGCATTCCGGGAACAGAAGAGGTCACTCAAGCCCGGGTGTTCACCTCAAGTTTTAAGTCAAGGACGGGACGCGGCCAGACGTCCGCTCACTGCTACGCCGTAGTGTGTAGTATTCTTGGATCCTCGTCGTCTCTTGTTGGCTCTATCCGACGAGGTGGATAAGTGGCGCATGGAGTGCGCCGCCGCAAAACGCCTTTAAAAGCGGCGGTTGTTGGATGTCAAAGAAAAGACGGAAAAGACGTAACGTTAGTATATTGTTGCTGACAACTAGGACTCGAGGCGCCACTCGGCAGACAGATAACCTGTCAGCGGGTTGCAGGCAGGGGAAATTGATGATGATGACGGGAATAACTGGCTACCATGTCAGGGCTCATTATTAGTGTAATGTAGAAGGAAGGAGCCTTTGAAACGGAATATTTAATGGACCACCGATCCTGGTTCCATTCGAATTTCGAGAGCGTTTTCCGAGAAGGATCTAGGGCACCTCCAGCTTCTATGATGATTAACGGATACGGATAGCTTAGCGTTGACCTAAGCTAGCTGGGCGGCTTCCTGGGCAGTTGTCCTTGGCAGGAACCTTGGGGAATTTACTGCCCCGGAACACCGCCCTCACTAACGGTGGGGTATTGAACTTTCCCGAAGATTGGCTAAACTCGGTTTGGACACAACTTCACGCAAGAGCGAGAAGGGATCGGCAGGGGAGGAGCAGAAGACACTCATATTTCTCCATTGGTGGGTTTGGATGGACCTCAATGGTGAACTCTTCCCGCGATTTAGCTCAAGCCCTAACTTTGATTATTTGCTTGGAAGTTCGGAATCTAATAAGGCATATTGTACGGAGGTATCCGTATTGTATGTACAGTACACATTGACATGTCCGATTGTAATCTGTCTGCAATGAGCAATCCCAGGTTTAGACTAGAGCTTTCATGCCAGAAATCAGTGGAACCATCTCATCACATACCACGTCAGTGTATGAGCTCCCCCTAAGTCCCCTCAGTTGTCAGATGTGGGCTTCGCCATACTGCCATCGTTCAATGGCACAGAAGTGCAATAAGAGGCATGGAGCACTCGAATACATCTGTGAATGTGGTGCTCAACGTTCAATAATCCCAGCCCCTTTCGCCCGCCGAACCTGCTGAGGACGGACATACATAGTATTACATTTGCACCAAGATGGCAGATACAGAGTAGTTTATAGGGAGGCCCCACCCCCACTCTTGGGAGGGCAGCTCTGCACCTCTTTACTCCCTATCCGGCGGCACTGAGCTACCCTTGTCAGCTCCAGGAGATCCTCCCTTCGCCTTCTTTTCAGACTCAAGAAGCTCCCTGATGTGGTCATCCACCATTGCAATGTCAGCTTCAACCCCAAGCAGTCTCTCCTCGAGAATTTTCTCGTAATCCTGGTCCGAAAGCCGTTTAAGGGGGCTCCACCTTGACCAGAAGCCGTTGCTCTGTGTCGACGGGGACTCGGCGGCCCTAGCAGCTCTCTTTGCATCCATCCAGTTCAAAACGGTCTGGCCTCCTGCCCCATACAGTGAGAACATCAAGATACCTGGAAGAATGTTTCTTGGCCCCCCTTCAAGACAATCAGCATATTAGCTAGCCAACCGATTGAAGTTGTCAAGACTCACTTAATAAACCGCCCGACAGGCCAGCAAAGCCGCCTGCCACAGTGCTGGCCTTGAGCTTGTCCCTCGGGGCAGTTTCCGCTTCCCTCCCACCAAAGTAGTTAAGGGCAACCTGCCGAGCCCCTGAGAAGGTTTTTCCTGTCAGGACACTTCACATCGAAAGAGTCCCTTAGGCGGGGTGTAGCTTACCATAATAGCTAAATCCGAGCGTAAACCACTGTACTCCCGCGAAGGCCGAAAACAACACGGTTGGCGCAGACCGTATGATCCCGGCTGTGGCACCAGCAAATATACCGCACGCGCCTTGAGCATGTCAGAGCCATATGACATAGTATAGGTCAAGGATGATGGCTAGTTAAGGGAGCATACCGGCGGCTGCACCAACTTTAAGTGAAGGTACGACAATTTCTATCAACTCGGGCGGAATTGTCTGTCGTTGTCGTTGTTGCCTTGATGATGATGGTGTGGGAGTCCTCGGCTGGGGCTGTTCTGGATTTGGACTTGCAGGGGTTGCAGAGTGGCCCTGAGAGTCAATGGTGCCGTCGTGATGCTGTTCCAATACTATGCGCTTCATGCTTCCGGTGTAGAAGGCACAGGATTACCAAAGAAACTTAACAGGACGAGCTAAATCACCACAGCGTAGTATAGTTAGGAGGGTCTTGTCCAGCGGTTTCAGGAAGACAAAAAAAAAGAGAACAATGAAGGGAAAACCGGTCGTGGATGGGCGAAATTGCTCAAAGACTCAACAAGGTCATAATGGGAGATGCTGTGGAGTGAAGCATTATACAAGCCTATACCTGTGCTGCTATGTCGAGTGTATGAAGTTGAACTCCAGAGACAATAGCAGCAATAGGGATGTACTTTGTAGTTCACGTTAGGATGCAGAGTTGCCACTCCCCCTCAATGCCGCTAAGCCGTTTCCAGTTAGCGTTGATCAGGACCTCCAGCCCACCTGCTACAGCCAGCCAGAAGGGAAAAAAAATGTCAACCCTCATTCCTAAACCGACGCAGCTGATTTTTCGCTCCCACCCGCAAACCCAGCCTGCGTTACCAAACCACCTTACCACCCGCTCGATCGTGAGCCGGTCATCTTTGCACTCCCCCTTTATCTGTCTCCGTTTGCATCGCACCCGGGGACTCAATAGATTCATTGAGCAAGAAAGCGCTCTACCCATCTCAACCATTGTTGGAGACCCGCATCTCCGACAAACGACTTTTCCAACTGCGCGCTTCGGTGGTACATCGCAGCGCGTGGGCTGAGAAACGAAACCGCCATCATGGGTGAGCACCACCCAATAACCAGACTCCTCGCCCCATCGCAGAAGCGCGGGGCATTCGAACCTCTGCGGCATTGCTTGCTAACATTGTCCGTGCAGCGCCGAAGAAGAAGGAAGTCCAGAAGTTGTCTCTGGGCGATTTTTTGCAGGATCCCTGTGAGTGCTCCCCCCGATGCCAAGGCAGCTCAATTCGGCGGGCTTGGAGTTGTTGGAATCTGTGAACTGACTTGCGCAGCGTTTGGCGGTGGCGGCGGCTCCTGGGCGGATGAAGTCGAGGACACATATGGTAAGTTAGGCCCCCGGTAGACAGCCAGCCTGTTTGTTTTCCGCGCTGATTTTGCTAGCCTCTGGTATGCGATTTGCAGTAGCGAATTGAGAAGAGACCGAGAATATACTAACAGCAGCTAGGCACCCAGCCGCTTCCTCCCTCGGAGCGCCGCACCGGACAAACCTCGTACGGCGGAAGCAGCTCATATGGCGGAAATGATAGGGGTATGCCGCACCCTCAAATCACACTTTTAGGGAAATTGACTAACCTCTCTCTTTCAAGGTTACCACTCGCTCCGTGACAATTTGCCTCAGAAACTGCCCGACAAGCCGCCTTTCACCGCTCATCTTGGGAATCTGTCCTATGATGCCACCGTCGAGAGCGTTACTGAATTTTTCGAGGGCTGTGACATTGTGAGCGTGCGGATCATTGAGGATCGAGAGCAAAACCGTCCCAAGGGCTTTGCATATGCCGAGTTTGCCGATGTCGAGGGTCTCAAGACCGCTCTTACCCGAGATGGAATGACGTTTCAGGGTCGGAGCATCCGAATCAAGGTTGCGGATCCGCGTATGTCTATTCCTCCTTTGGTGAATTCTGTCACATCCACTGACTGTCTTTCACAGCGAGGGGGGGCTTCGAGAGAACCGATTCAGCCCGCGAATTAGATTGGTCCCAGCGCAGGGGTCCTTTGGCCGACGTTCCTTCCCGCGGTGGTGATCGGCGTGGTCCTGACTTTGGCGAGCGCCGCGGACCCCGCGAATTCCAGCCGAGCGACGATGGCAAAGTTCGTGACTTTAGTAACTGGGAGAGACGGGGCCCTCTGTCTCCTCTTTCACCGCCCGAGCGTCCCGAGTCTCGTGAGGGCTCCCGTCCACGTACCAACGAGGGCCGATCCGAGTCGTTTCGTGGTACCCGGAGAGCTTCGCCTGCCGCTTGGGGTCCGGGCGAAGGCCGCCAGGACGGTTCCCGCCCACCGCGTCGCGAATTTGCCGACCGCCCAGAGCGCCCAGAGCGCGTTCCGACCGCCGCCGAGAAAGAAACTAACTGGCGAAGCCTCATGCGTCCTGATGCACCTGCCAAGTCGCCCGGTCAATCCCACGAAGGCACTGAGGCACCCCCTTCGCCGGCCGCTTCTGCTGCAGCTCAGCCCTCTGGAAGGCCAAAGTTGCAGCTCACCAAGCGGACTGTCTCTGAGGCAGCCGATACCACTCCTGCTGCTGCCACTACCACTGATTCCAAAGCCAGCCCGTTCGGCGCCGCGCGTCCGATCGACACAGCCGCCCGGGAGCGTGAGGTTGAGGAGAGGCGTCTAAGAGAGAAGAAAGAGGCCGAGGAGAGAGCAAAGGAAGAAAAGCGTGCTCGGGAGGCTGCCGCTAAAGAAGCTGCCGAGAAAGCAGCTGCTGAAGAGGCAGCTAAAGCCAACAACGTAGCAGATACCCCAGTGGAGGAGGCAAAGCCAGCAGCAGCGGAAGCCGCTGCGGACGGCCCTTCAAGCGAGCAAAAGATCCCCATCCGGCCGCGTGAGGCTCGGGACAGTGCCCCAGCGCCCAAGTCACGGGCTGTCGAAAGCGGTAATTGGAGGCAGGCTTCAGGTGAGCAGCGTGCGCCTTCTCGCGGCGGGCATATCCCTAGCGGTCCGCGCCGTGGCGGTCCCGCTCGTGGCCCTCGCAGCGACATCCCACGGGCACCCCGGTCCAGCGGAAATGGTCCTGCCCCGCAGCCGCCGCAGTCACCCAGCGTCGAGCAGAGCCCATCAACGCCGACGGTCGATGAGGATGGCTGGACTATGGTCCCCAACAAGGGCCGCCGCGGACAGAGCAACCGCCCTGTTGTTTCCTGAGTGCAACAAAGGCGGCCTCTGAAGCTCGCGCTCACCGCTTCATCTACTTAGGGCTCGATCGGCCCCGGGCGAGTGCCCTGGCGCTCGTGACTGGGTGGACGTGGGTTTCTCCCATTGCCCTCCCTCGCTCGCGCGCTCTCCGCTCCCATTGCAATCTTGTTCGTCCTCCTCCAAGATAGCTAGGCCTCAGCACTACCCACTATCCTCGTTCAACCTTTCGTAACGAGGTAAATCATGCCGGCTTTGCGTTTCTCCTCTTAGACACCGGATTTTCGGGATGACGGATCTACCACTCATTTCCAATGCTGGGTTGTCAGTCGGCATGGCCCGCAGTTGACAAGAGCGGACAAGACGCAATGATCCCGACCAAGAACACTCACGGCTCTCCGAAAAAGTATGCATCTCTCGCCACTTGGCAACGTCTTTAATGCACAGGAAATGCGGCGGCGCGGTGTTTCTCGGTTTCTAGATTGAGGGCGCCCTCTATCAAAACGGGGCAATAGCGAAACGATCGATGTGGATTGCGTGGTTTTTTTTGGTCGTCACGGCAGGTGCTGTCTGCTTTGATATGGGCACAATCTCGGCTCTTCTGGACGGGAGGACAAATATCCTAATAGATCTGGGCTCAAAGGTTGGGAGGCGGTCTCCCTTCACGCTTTGCGGGCTCCTGCCTGTCCTTGGGGTTTGATTTTCTCTTTTCGCGGTCATCTCATGCAGTCTAGCTGGCCACCCTTTTCTATCTCCTCTTTCCTTGATGGTTGAAACCGCTGTATCGCCTCCTACGTAGGGGCCATTCAGCGCAGATCAGACTAGCCTGGAAGCTGAATTTTCCTGCGGGTTAGCGGGTTCGAGGGTTGGGTCCTGCTCGGTTTAGACAAGGCATAGCAAGACAAAAAGTCAATGGGACACGCATGTTTGTGAGTTGGTGTTGCCTGGTGTTGTGGTTCGCGTGATGTGATTCTATGCTCCTAACCACCTTCATCCGCATGCCCACCAAGGTACATAAAATGTGTGATTGACGAAGTTATTTGTTTACAGTCTCCAACAGAGAACCACTGCTGGCAGCATCAACATCATCATCACAGAAAGCTCCCCACACGCTCCTTTTCCCTCCCACTACCTTAAGTATGTAGTCGTCCTCTACATACGTACTACCGCTTCAAAGTCTTTTGCTTCTGCGCGTCGGTCGCCACGTTGCGGCCCTCGACCAGCAAGCCCTTGCGGCGCCGCACCGAGTCCATGTAGCGCTTGGCCACGTTCTCGCGGTCGCCGTACTCGCCCAGGTCCTCGAGGTCGTCCTCGGTAAAAGGCACCCAGAAGGGGTCCTCGTCGAGGACCTCGAAGCCGGCGAAGATGAGCTGCGGCTGCGCGGCGCCCGAGGTCCGCTTGCGCATCTCGTCGGCAAAGCCAAACGACTCGGCCACGGGCAAGAGGGCCTGGATCGTGAAAAAGGGCGTGCCCTCGTTCATCGCCTCGGCCTGGACCCGCCCGCGCCGCCGGGTGAGTACGTCGTACACGCGGCCGAGGACTTCGGCTGTTTTCGGCAAAGGGGGGTTAGGTTAGTGAGTTTTTGTTGATGGGGGGGGGCGGCGGGGTGACGGAACCACAGAACGGGAAGGAAAGGAAGAAGATGTGGAAGAAGAGCGGGATGAGGACTGGGAGTGGACGTACTGGATGCTTGGATCTCGCACGAGTACATGGCCAGCATGAGCCTCGGCGACCAGTCCAAGAAGGCCTTGTGAATCGACTGCTGGACCGTTTTGATCACCTCGCCCGTCAGACGGCCCAGACGATCCCGCGCCTCGGTAGATTCGTCGCCCCCTTCGTCTGTCGTCGAGATGTCCTCAATGAACACGGCGATACCCTGCACCGGCTCGTGGCAGAGCGGACCGTGCTGTGTGGCAAGCTGGAACCCGTACGTGATCTTGTCGCTGAAATGGTGCGGGCTGAGGGACTCTTGTTGAGCCAAAGTCCGGTTATCGGTACTCTTCTTGTGAATGCTATCGGAGCCGAAGGCCTTGGGAAAGAGCTGCTCCTTGGTGGCGTCGATGAGAAGGTTCGGGCCTGTCCGGCGGGGACCGAACGAGACGATCCGGTCGACGACCCCTTTCCATGTGTCGAGACGCCCTTTCTCGCCGTCGAACTGGGATTGGAGCTTTCTGCCGAGTTCTTCGGACGGGAGGACTTTTCGGGCCCTTGAGAGTTCGTCGTCACCCTCGGCAGCTTCGTCCTGGATGGTGACATGCTCTGCTGCTCGCTCCGGGGATGAATTATCGCGCGGTTCCTCGGCCGCTCTGCGATCAGAGTATAGCCGCTTGATGCTTCCTGCATTCTTGACGAGAAAGGTGGTGACGTCGGAGGGGAGGGGCCTCACCCGCAGAGTAACCGACACCTGCTTGGAGCTCGTCACACCAACCACCACACCTCGACCCAAGTCTTTGTTAACGGGTGGGCGCATCTCTTCGGCGCGGACGATGGTTTCCCGGTAGGGCACGATGGGCGCGCCAGCCTGGACCTCGCAGCCGGCGAACCGTTCCCGGAGATCTGTCAAGCACCTCTCAAGATGCAGTTCTCCGGCGGTCAACAAGACGTGCTCGCCACTGGAGAATTGCTCATACTCGGCGCAAGGGTCGCTCTGCACAAGCAGCTGAAGACCCTTAATCATTTTGTCGAGGTCGTACGGGTTGACAGGTTCCAACGCCACACGCACAATGGGTCTACCTTGGAGGTTCGCGATGCCAGCCAGGTTGACGGATCCTTCGAGCTGGCTGCACAGGGTTCCGGATTTCAGGATCCCGCTGCCTTCAAGGCCCCGGATGCCAAAGACGACACCAGCAGGAACCGACTTAAGGGCCTCAAGGTTGCGGCCCATGAGCATGTAGAGCGCCGTAACTTTTACCTTGTTCGGTACAGGCTCAGCGAAAGGTTGGGCTGGGGAGAATTTGGGCGGTAAGACGTAAATCTCGTCCCCGACAGACAGCGTCCCGGAATAGATGCGAGCAAACCCGATGAGGTGCTCGGGCTCGACTTGCTTCTCGTCGCCCTCTGGCACTTCGTGCTCCAACGTGGCCTCTGAGAACGCTGTTGTGAGGGCATCCATGTCGTTTCCGCCACCCATGTTCCCTTGGGCCCGGGCTGCCTCGGCTCGCTTCTGTCTTGCCAATTCTCGCGCCTCCTCGCCGCTCATAGGACCTCGACGCCTGTTTTCTGGCAGTTCGCTCTCCTTAACCGATACCATTTTGCTGACGTAGGCTACCATAGGGTCTGACGGCGCCTTTTTGAACGACACCATGGCCTCCTTGACTCGAGGGTCGATGTGCTCTGCCCCCGGGACCTCTTGCAACAGGGAAGGGAAGCGCTCAGCTTGCGCCGATCTCGGTGAAGGAAGCGATTCAACCACGGAAACTAGCAAGGCCACCGACAGCGGCAACCAAGAAGAAAACACGGTGGTAAGAAGGAGCCTTGGGTCCCGGGAACGGAGGATATGGGGGGGGATTGAGAGATTAAGGGATTTGGTTATCTTCTCGAGAAGAGCGGCATCCCCCTTCCCGTTGTCTCCACCCACGGTTGCCTGATAGACGGCCCATATTTGCTCGAGCACCAGCTGGACAAAGATGGGTTTCAGGGGCCGCCCCTTCAGATGCTTGGGGCCCAGGACCTTCTTCGTCTTGGGGTCCAGATAGAAGTTCCCCCAGAGAACCTTTTCCAGTATACTTCGTTTGATGCCAAGTTTCTTCTCGTAGAGGCCGGCAAACTGCCTTACGGTAAAAGCCCAGCCATCGATGGCGCTGCCAAAAATGACGTTGTTCTTTTCGGGAGCAAAGTACAGTTCCTCGTCATCTCTTTCCTGAAACTGGAGCTCACCAGCGTCGACCTGTTGCTCCGCCAGCCTGGCCTCCTTGGCTTCCTTGGCTGCTGAGGCAGCGACTCGCTCCTCCATCCTCTGCCGCCAGTTGAGGTCTTCCTCCATCCGCTCGCCCTGGAAGAAGCTCCCTAGAACCGCATTGACCTGCTCTAAAAGCTTGCTTAAGTGGATATATGCCTCTCCAGGAGTCATCTTCAGCTCTGTGATCAGACGGTCTATCTTGTTGATGACGAGGAGAGGCTTCAGCTTCTCAATCCACGTTTGCCTCAGGACCGTGACCGTCTGGCTGCACACACCCTCCACTGCATCGACCAAGACTACGGCTCCGTCACAGAGACGCGACGCCGTGGACACCTCGCTGCTAAAGTCGATATGACCGGGGGAATCTATGAGGTTGATGAGGTACTCTTTTGGTTCAGGGGCAGCCTCAGGACTCGCCCTCCGCAACATCGAGAAGTAGAGCGAGATGGCTGACGACTCCATAGTGATTCCCCTCAGCTGCTCATCCGGTCGAGAATCCAGATAACGGATCTTGCCGGCCAGCTTCGGCGAGATGATGCCATTTGTGGCGAGAAGGGCATCTGTAAGTGATGTTTTGCCGTGGTCCTAGGAGAGGATGTGTGAGCTCCGAACTGGGTGTTACCGGCACTTTGCATAAGAAATGAGAAGATGGGATCTCTATCCGTACCACATGGGCCAGAATGCATATCTGTAGAATATTGGTTAGTTGATCAGTCTTGATTTTGATTTTGAGCTGGGAAGGTAGGAGAGGAACTTACATTCCGCACGTCATCAGCATTTTGCTGGAGTTTTGCCAGCTTTTCTGGACTAACAACGGGCATCTTGTGTGTAGCAATTCAACCTGACCTCAAGAAATGTAGTGTAAGGTAATGAGTGAGGGAAAGAATGACTTGATATCGACCCAACACTTAGGTTGTTGTTGTCCCTAGCAGGGGTAGGCACTGACTAACACCTCGATGGCTGCTTGAACGAGGAGGGAAAGTGGGATGTTTGGCGGGGCAAGAGGTTGATATACCCTGATACAGCGATGCAACATTCTGATTCAACATGATTCAAGATGACTGCGATAGCGGGCACACAGCATTGATGTCTACGGTTATGCAACTTGAGTGTCGACATGGAATATTGGATACCAACAGTAAAAACAGATAGAAAACACAGACAGGGGAGTGCGTTTCAATTTTGAATTCTGATGTCTCCTCCTCCTTCTTCTCTATGTATCTAACAGAATATGCAGTAGTCGAGTCCTTTCAGGTAAAAAGGCTATTGATGCACACCAAACCCTATCAGCCAGCGAAAATTCACCACTCGCGGCCCTCAAACACAAAAAATCGAGCCCCACCAAGCAAAGCATTCAAGTTTCTGGGTCTTTGTGGCAGCCAAGGCACCACCTCCCTACCGCTCTCAGTCAAAGCCTGCTAAAGACTGCCCGAATCGCTCGACGACATCAAGCGTTCAGACGATTGACAGTATGAGCGCTTTCCAGAACGGCATGGCGCCCGTCCGCGCCATGGAGGACGACAGCGACGTTGAGGAGGAAGCTCTCGTCGCCGACTATAGGGAGCAGGTGCAATATGAAGGCGGTATGGACGACGTCGACCAAGCCCTCCTCGCCCAACAGACGGACGATATCCAGGCCAAGCTGGCCCAGGCTGCCCAGCCCCTAGATTTCCAGGCGACCCTCGAAACAAAGTTCCAGAGCTACGACAATTACTGCGGACTCTTTCACTTCATCCTTAATTCAGAGAGCGGTCCTGTAGATCTCGAGCCTCCATCGGTTAGTTCTACCTGCGCCGGATGTCTGGGTTTCGGTTGGCCGGGGGTTCCGTTGCTGACCATGTTGTTTTGCTGATCTAGTACTACTGGGCGTGGGATGTGATTGATGAGTTCATCTACCAATTCAACACATTCTCCTCGTACAGGGCCAGGATTGCCCGCCAGGGAAACAACGAGGAGGAGGCGCAGATCCTGCGAGAGAACCCCAACACATGGGGCTGCTACAGCGTGCTCAACGTCCTCTACTCCCTGATTCAGAAGTCGCAAATCACGGAGCAGTTGGCGGCTATGAGGAGGAACGAGGACCCCATGCTCGTGGCCGGTCCCTATGGCTCAAAGAACCTCTACCGCATGCTGGGGTATTTCTCAATTATCGGCCTCCTCCGGGTCCATTGCCTCCTCGGAGACTTTAGCCTCGCGTTGAAAACGCTCGACGACATTGAGCTGAACAAGAAGGCTATGTTCGCCCGCGTCATGGCTGCCCACTTCACGACCTACTACTACGTGGGTTTCTCGTACATGATGATGCGCCGGTACGCCGACGCCATCCGCATGTTCAGCCACATCCTGGTCTACGTATCGCGGACCAAGAACTTCCAGAAGAACACGCAATACGACTCGATCTCCAAAAAGAACGACCAGATGCTCGCCTTGATTGCCATCTGCGTCGCCTTTCAGCCGACCCGCCTGGACGACACCATCCACACCGCCCTGCGCGAGAAGTATGGTGATCAGCTCCTGAAGCTGCAGCGCGGCGGCCCCGAGTCGCTTCCCGTCTACGAGGAGCTCTTCAAGCTTGCCTGCCCCAAGTTCATCTCGCCCGTCCCGCCCGACTTTGACCGCCCGGAGGCCAACGTCGACCCCATCGACCACCATCTGTCCATCTTCATGGAGGAGGTCAAGACAAACATGTGGAGCCCGACGGTCAAGTCGTATCTGCGGCTGTACACAACCATGGACCTGATGACGTTGGCCGGCTTCCTCGACGTCAAGCCTGAGGAGCTGCGCTCGTGGCTGCTCGTCAACAAGCAGCGGACTAAGCAGCTGCGCTGGACCGACAATGGATTGTTGGAGGGTGATTGGGTCAACATAAGCGATCTCGACTATGCGATGCAGGGTGTAAGTAATCCTGGCGAGAGCGGTTGGCCCACGGTGAAACGCTCGCAATGATGCTGACTTTACTGCGCAGGACCTGATTCATATCTCAGAAGCAAAGATGGGCCGCAAGCTGGTTGACTGGTATTTGCGTAACCTCTCCCGCACATATGCCTGAGCGTGATATAGTTTATGTTAGAACTGGATGATAATGCTGGCAACCAAACTTGGAAAGAGCTACGAATAGCATCTTCTCCTTGCTTGGGCCGCCTTAGTCATTGTGTAGTCTCGGGGGTCCGGTGTCCTGAGGCTACGCAGGTCTTCGTCAGCAAAATTGCATATTCGGCGTCGGAGGGCATACACTTTATCGAACGAAATTCGGGAGGGCTGAGGGCTGGGCTGGCGGGCAGAAGATAACTATCCATGGCGTGTGTCCGATACGAAGGTATCTAGATCTCAGACACTACCTGGGCTGGACGGGTGGATCGGTGTAACCGGCCAACTCGACCCCCAACCTCGAGACGTGGATGGACTGGGATGAGGCAGGCAGAGCGCCTGACGAGAGCGGGCGGTATTGTGGTGGCTGGAAGAGAGCGCGGCGAGACTCTCCAGAAAAGATGAATCAAACGCTCGGTTTGTCCCACGTGGTTCGTGATGACTCCAAAGCTATGTAGGTATTTATGTTGGACCAACGGGCCCTGCAGGCAATCCTGGAATGTGCAAGTGAATTCAACAGCAGGTTTCGCTTTGACAACGTTATCTTCCTGTAGTCGCACGAAAAAACCAGCTTGTCCAGGGAAAAATGCCACGATACCTCCAAGTCGGTACCAGCACTGAAGTGGAGAACAATGCCAAGCTTAGGCCGGCGCCTCGCGGGACAGCTTCCCCGGCACTGGTCCCGCAATCCGGGTCCGGCGGGGGGCGTCCCTTCCAGGAAAAAGAATTGAGGCCTCCGGCTACAACTTCCATGTAACTTTGAATACGTGAGGCTAGTACATTTTCTTTCCATTGCAGGGTAACGCTATGCACGTTACAGAGCCAAGTATCAAACTCGAGTATCCGACGCGAGTCGACGGGGAGCCACCGCCGGCCAGATTCGCTGCAGCCAAGCGCGGCGTGCAGCCGAAGAGACAAGAGAGGAGCTGCACCAACAAGCTAAATTACCCTAAGTTGTCCCACGCAGCCCAGTCTCTGCTCGGGAGCCGTCGGTGTTTTCGGGCCATCTTCGCTCCATCATCCTGCTCATGCAGAACGAGGTCCTTCTGGACCCTAGTTTGTTAGTTGCAAGACGGTGAAGCTGCATGATGCAGGCCATTGCAGTTCGCACACTGCGAGGGGTGGGGGAAGGCATCACTGTGAATGAGGTTGCGATAGGTACAGTACACTTACATACAGCACAGAATGCAGCCAGATGGGAGATCAACGCACCCGCCTGAATCTGATGTCATCCATTTTCCGATTTCCAACCCTGCAAATGATCCCAGGTTTTCTCTTCCTCCGCCGGTTATCTCTCCTCCCAACCTCCCCATCCGTGTCCCAGCCTGTGACACGCCGGATGCGAATTATGCGATAACGTGAGAGCTGCGCTGCTGGGGTGGGTCGGATCTGCTTGGAGAGCCCTTCAGATGGGACAATGCCTGGCCGGTTTCGGGCAGCATTCCAATCATGTTGGTCCATCTTGGAATGGGTGCGGTGGCCGCAGACGATTCGAAGACTGGAAAGATTGGCACTTTTCTTTCTTCGACCCGACCGACCGCCTCCCCGTCAACAAATCAGGCAAGAGGGGGTTCTGGCGGTTTCTCTCGGTGCGTCCATTTATCGTAACATATTTTTTTGTGCCGGCTCTAGCTGACGGCAACCCCACTGCCTAGCACCTTGGCGACACAACACCAAGACATCCCAAGACAACCTGGCGTTCGGCTCACCCAGCAGGGCGGGGCGGAGAAGTTACACTTCTGGCAAAGAGAGGAGTAACGTTAACGTCAACAGGACCCCGTCACAAAATATCGAGGTCCGTGATCAGCAACGGCGAAGGGAGTGGGGGGAGCGGGTGCCATGAATCCCGGCGTTTACCATACTGCCTCCGGAAGACTTCCCTCGGTTGAGTAATACCCAGAGGTAAGCTACCAGCTCCCTGAGTTAGGGGTCGTTGGGTGAACAGTGGGGAGACTCGGAGCGAGAGACTCGGAGCGAGAGACTCGAGGCGGGAGGTGAAGAATAGGCGGTCACCAATGGCCTGCCGAGGCTGTTACCAGAGGAATCTTGGCCATGTCGGTGTCGCCCACACCGCACTGCATAGGTTGGTAGTAAGGCGTTTGTTGCACAACAGAGCAGAGCCGGTGGTGTCCTCCAGTACGTATGTACAGTACCTTTGGGTAGTAACGGCACGTGTGGTGATGCAAATGTCTGCAAACATGTCAACATGTCCACTAGGTATTAAGGTATCTTGCAATCATGAGATACCGCGTTGCGATCAGTTCCCCAGTATGACCCTCGAAAGCGGTTATTGGCACCCTGCCCGGCGGGACGCAGCCCAGCGCTGGACAACTGGACAACTGTACAATACACTGGTCCCGAAAAATAGCTTGTGGATCTGACACATGCGCCGTGTTCCGTCTTGGTGTTGTTGACTAGTGATTCTCCCTTGCCTGCCCTGCTCGAGGACCGCCAATACAATGAAATAAGATCCGTACCGGTAAGTTTCAGTTCTCGAGTACCTTGTTGACAGATGCACCACTGATTCACTTCCGTTTTGGGTTCATGATACATAAGGTACAAGTACCTGCCCCAGGGAGCCCAGGCTGTAATTGCATTACCACCCGTTTACCAACCCGGTAAATTACCGGGACAGGGAGTGACATCCCCAAACCGCCAAGACCCATTAGGGAAAAATGCAGCAGCGTGGTCACTGACACCTGCGGAGCCCTGAACCGTGATGGTACGGTATCTAACCACCTGAGGTGCCAGCCAAGCTCCAGATCTTAATATCTACATAAAGCTTCCGCTGTTTCTCGAATGCGTGTTCGTCCCACAGCTTGTCCGCTCAGTTGACGTTTTCGAGGTCTGTGCGACAACAGGCAGTGAGGCACGCTTAGTTGAAAAACCATCTTGTCGTTGTTGTCCCGTCGCTCAACCCCACCAGTGATTCATCAATATCAGTTCCCCGACCTAGTACTTCAGCACTTGTTTGCTCGTGCCTGATCACGCCGCTTCCTATTCCACTTTGTTATCTGTTACAGCGCAGACAAAGCCGGCGAGGCTATCCAGCTGGCACCTTCATTCAAAAAACTATCGAATGCCTTCACCTGCCGCGGTTTTCAGAAGTACTGTACATTAACTATCTGATCTTTCGCGTCGACATTTCAAGCTGCGGACGCGCAACGGTGCCTTGTCAGCCTAGTGCTGCTTCATCAGCCAGCCTTCCTCAGCCAACGCCCTCGTCATCCTACCCGACCCTCGATGCAAGTTGTTGCTGGATAGCCTCTGCTGGCCTCATTGTGAGGCCATACGAGCACTGGCTTGAAATTCAGCAACGGCTATTCAAACGAGCCTCCGGCCTACGATGGCCGAGAACAAGAGCGAGAATGTAGCCCGATTAGCTTCCTTGTCGCCTCTGGCCAAAAGCAGCTCCGACTCAGACGTATCGCCGGGCACGCGAACGCCCTCGGCTCCGACCGACTATTTCTCGGTCAAGCCCGACACCCGTGCGAAACGAGACAGCTACCAGCGATCAAATGGACGATCGCCCCCGTCTGCGACCGCGTCGACCGATGCCAGCACCACCACGCTGGCCTCAATATCCGAAGAGGGCCAGGTGGGCAGCTCGCAGTACTCGTCCAACGACAGCTTCGACCGGGCGCAGGTGCCGTCCAGAAAGTCCTCTTCGGCATCTGTCACGTTCCGTCCACCACGCAATCCGTCTCTGCCGCAGGGTAACCCGCGTAGGACCGATAACCGGCGACTTCGCGAGTCGTCGCCTTCTCCAGTGAGGTGAGTGCTGGCCCTGCTTGTTTTTATTTTAGCCGTCTTCCCCATTCCGACGCGGTGCAGCATCATATCTGGAAATCTCCATGTGATTGCGGCCCGCGCCCCTGTGCTGTAACCCAGGCCTAGTGGTACTGTATCCATATCTCTCTCAGCGGGCATAGTGGTAGTTCCTATTCCCGAACGCCCGCAGTCCCTTTGACGAAAAACCTGCGCATACACTTTCAGAGGCGTCTCCGCCTTCATGTACCCGCAAAACGGCCCGCGGATTTGCGGAGCAAGTCTGCAAGCCGCGGTGGGTACTACTTTGGAGATCCTGCTCAAGGTACTTCCGAAGTTGCTTCGAGTTGCTGCCGACTACAGAGGCACTTCGGCAATTGTTACCGTCTCCAAAACTAAAAGCCAGGCTTGCCTGCCCCCCACGCTCCGAACTTTACACGCCACACGGTTGGAGCCTGCGAGTGCTACTGCTACTGCCTCGCCGGGAAACAGTTGTGGGCATGATGGCAGAAAGGAGAACGAGAGGTGTTGTCGGTGGTTCAACCCGGCGAATAACGGGCCCCTGGGCAGGATCACAGCATCATCACCATTGAGGGGGCAGGTGTCTCTTTTCGCTTCCGGTCTGGCCCACTCTTCGCCGACTGGCTGGGACTCCGAATCTCTAAAATCCCTGTCAACCCCACCCAAACTCTTCGACAGATCTAGCCCGATCAGATGTCATGAGTCGGGCCCAAATTCCGTTAGCTCGGCGGCGTGCGGAGGGGTCCAGGTCCAATTCCACGTTCGCTTTCTGCACCTTACCCGGACTTTGTGGCTGTGCTGTTGAAGATCATGATCACCACTCGCTGACGCCGATGCGCATGCAATCACTCTTTCTTCCGTCACACTCCCCTTTCCCACCTATCCCTCGTCCTAGCGGTTGGCCTGCCCCGGTTGCCTTCGGGTCTACAAATCTCGCAAGGGGTCGCGTGGGCTGCCCACGTGGTTACCTTGCATCATTGCGCCTGTCTGCCTTCACATTGCCGGACATTTTCTTTTAACTGGCTGTTGCTGAGAAGTCATTTCGTCTCGGATCGCAAAATCGACATCGGAAATGATGGCCACGCTAACAGAGAGTCCCCTTCGTCGCACCAGGTTCCAACAGCATGTCGGCTTCGATAACCTGCCTGTCGGCGAGGCCACCAAGAACAACCCTTCGTCGTTTACCCTGCAAGCCAGGCACTGGGGCTACCAGCCCTCGCGGAGGTCCCGCACATTCATGATCGGGGTGGACGAGCATGCCTATTCCGATTACGCACTCGTTTGGCTGCTGAACAACATGGTCGACGACGGTGATGAAGTGGTCTGTGTGAGGGTCGTAGAGAACCCCTTCCGACCTGGAGAAAGGAATTATCAGGATGAGGCAAAGCGGCTGCTGCTGGCCATCCAGGCCAAGAACGAGCTCAACAAGGCCATTAGCATCATCCTCGAATACTCGGTTGGCAAGCTCCACGACACTTTCCAGCAATTGGTAGGGTAGCCCGATCCTGACCAGCAATGTGTATCTGACGCTAATATCCCGTCCTGACAGCTTGGGATTTACAATCCCTCTATGCTAGTGGTTGGCACCAAGGGACGGTCGCTGGGGGGCATCCAGGGACTGGTGAACACGCGAAACTCGTTCTCCAAATACTGCCTCCAGTACAGCCCAATCCCGGTCGTCGTGGTCAGGCCAGACGACAAGCGGCTAAAGAAAAAAGAAAAGCGTTCCCACGATCTGTCGCGACAGAGCTACGCCGCCATGCTGGCGTACAACGACGGCAAACATGAGGCCGACAGCGAGGCCAGCAGCGTGTACGAGTTCGAGAGGAGCATATCGGCAGACGAGGAGGCGCACCGCGTCGCAGCGGCGATTGGGCTGCCTGCGAGTTTTGATCCCACCATCAAACCATACACCTCCCGGACCGCACCGCCCCGCCGGGCATCGCCGTCAGCGGCCCCGTCGTCTTCGCTGGCCCGCTCGGTCTCGGCCTCGCCGCCTCCGACGACCCTCACTGCCGAGAGCGGCGACGAGGACAGCGCTGATGAAGAGGACGAATTCGAGATCGAGGCCGTTTCAGGTAGCGAGATTCTACAAGGAGACCGGAAACAAGCTGGGCTTGACGAGCAGAAGCAGCGGCTCCACGCTATGGAGGTCGGCGAAGCCGCTGCCTTGCTCAAGTCGGGCAAGTCCAAGCAGCTCGAGGATGATGACGAGGAGGACGATGACGCTTCCCAGGAGAGAGCCGCAGACGACGGTTCCAAATCCTGACGTGTCCCTCTCCTCCTCTTGTCTAGCCGTCGGACGCTTCAAAGCGTGCTTCTCGGGCAGTCTCTTAGCCGAGCCAGGGGGAGCAGAATGTTAGGGCACCTGAAGGGGCTTCAGACACGGCATTACAAGATACAGCAGGATCATGGGCGTGCACTAGGCGTTATGAGGACATAATAGAGAGAGAAATCAATTTCTTTTGCTGGGTGGGATGCCGGGGGGAAAGGGCGGGGTCAAGGAGTAATGGGTGCTAGGAAAACGGTTTCTGTATTTGTATGTACTGTACAGCCTTGGGTCGGTTAAGTGGCTCCCTTCAGCGATTTTCTGATTGATAGAAGCAACTGCTCAATCCGCAGCTTATTGAGTGTATTTGGCGCTCTACCTCTGATACTTTTTCAGTTGGCTGGTTGCATAGTAGATGGACAAGGGGCTATCCCGTATTCCAATTCCACTTTTGAGTCCCATTTCTTGGAATGGCATACTGAAGCAATGCCTCTCCCCGCCCGTTCCTATCCATCAAGGAGCGTTATACCTATCAGTGCGCAAAAAGAGACTGGTATCACCATGTATGGCTTCATAGTCTCTACTGTACAGCACCTTTTGCGTACCTTGCTGGAAGATTGCAGCCGCGTCACCTATGGAGGGGCAGAGGGGTATGACATGTGCTTGGTGGGGTAACTGTGCGTGGCCCAAGCTTCCAAGTCCAGGGTACCCTGTTGGATCTGGCACTTGCTTGTCGCATTTCAAGGTACTGTAACCGGTTCCTCGAACCGTGAACTCGCAACGAACGATAGAAAGATCATTAGAGAGTTGGATGCGGCCTCCAACTTTTCCAGACACCATCATGACAAGAGATCTCACACCTAGATTGCTACGCACTTCTGGATAGAATGGCATAACTCCAAACCGAAGCGTGCAATGTTTCCGACCTCATCCGAGAGCAAGAGACGAAGACAAAGAAACGAGAGCGCAACAACAACACAACGACGGGCATCTACCCGAGGCTCTTCCGAGAGAGACGGCATCAACGACGAGTCGGCTTTCTCTCTGATCTAACAGCACCGGATTGACCCAAAACAATCATGCCCCGCCTCTCCGCCGGCGACGCGGACACAGTCGCCGCCGCCTGCGGAGTCGACGGCAGCGATTCCTGCTCGCCTTCCTCCCGCCTGGACTTTCCTCGCACCCTGGCTTCCCTGCTCCCAGTGGTACTCACCTTTCTGGCGGTGTTTATCCTCTCCCTGACGCGACTATTCCCGTTCCTAACCAACTTCCCCTCCTCCTCCTCCTCCTCGTCCTCTCCCACCAGCAGCAGCAGCATCACAATCTCCGACGGCGAAGACCACTACCTCCCGCCGACGGCGCCTCCGAGCCTAGTGCAGGCCCATGCGGCGCACGCGGCGAGATCTCCCAGGAGACGGCTCGCGGCGGTGGTCTTTGCCGCGACGTTGGCGCTGGCCGCCGTGCTGGCCGAGCTGATCCTCGCGTCCGAGATGATGCTCCTCGAGCAACCGCCGTCGCCCGTGCTAGCGCTGGCGCTGCGCGCGACCGTGCCGACGCTGCTGGTTCTTCTGGTTGGGGTGGTCCCCCTGATCGAGCTGCAGAGCGTGTTGGCGGCTCGGGGGTGGCGGTTCGCGCGGGACGGGAAGGGCAGGGTTCCACGGACCGCGTGGGGATTGTTGCTGCTTGTGTTTGCGGGGTGGTTGGTGGTTTTCTTTTGGGGTGTGGGCAGGGCTGTGCCGCAGGTTTCGCATTCTTACTCGGCGACCTCTTCTTCTTCCTCTACGACGAGGACATGGGGGCTTGGTGGTGGTAGTGGTAGTGCGGAGAAGGACTTGTCTACTTGGGCCGGCAAGGCGGCGGCTGGCCAGATCCCCGGCACTGGGTTTGATAGCACAGGGGTGGCCATTGGGAGGGTTGGACTGGGAGGAGGGAAGTTTAACGGGAGCGGCGGGGGAGGCGGGTTGACGAGGGCATGCTTGGAGAGGATTGGCGTGATTGGGATCTCGCTGATGGGGTTGCTGTCAGGCTTTGCGAGCGTGTCGAGCCCCTGGCATACGTTTGTGGATGATCGGGCGTATGGCAAGCGGCCCATCACGGATGCGGATATTGCCAGGAAACAGGCCGGGTTGGACGCGACGAGTGAGCTGTTGCTCACGAAGCGACACCGGTTAAGATCGCTACAGAGGAAGGCGCAGGCGGTAGCGGAAGGGATAGGAGGTGGGCAACCCCATGGGACAGCGGCAGGTGCGTCAGGCGGGCTGGTTGGCAAGGTTATCGGCTCTCTCAGGAGCATGGCCGGCACCGGCGAGGCTGCCGAGATCAAAGCGCTCCAGGTCGAAATCTCTGGCCTCGAGACGATGGAGTCCAACCTCGCCGCCTCCCTATCCCTGCTCAAGTCCCGGCAAGCCGCCCATGCAAAGGATGGCACGGCTCTGGGACGGCTCTTTGCCATTCCGCGCTACGCCTTCGCATGTTACTGCGTCTACCGCGTCCTTGCCACCACATTGACCACCCTCCGGCGGACGTACTATCCCTCGGCGTCGTTCTCCTCGTCGGACCCCATCAGCCGCTTCCTGGGGCTGCTCGCCAAGCACTGGGATCCCAAGCTGGACCAGCTCGCGTGGGCCCGCCAGATCTCGTTCCTGCTGTCCGGCGTAATCCTTGCGGCGAGCGCAAACTCGGTCTTGCAGACCTTCCGTCTCTTTGCGAAATGGGCGCCGGGCCTACTCCACCAGGCGCAGGCGAACCTGGCCCTGCTGATCGGGCAGATCACGGCTACGTACGTTATCAGTGCTGCCCTGCTGCTGAGGAACAGCTTGCCCCGGGAAGTCGGCCGGTCGGTTGGAGATGCCCTCGAGAGCGCGCTAGAACCGGTCTTCGTGGACCGCTGGTTTGAGGGCTGGTTTCTGCTTGCTAGTGTTGCGACGGCTGCGGGCATATGGATAGGGAGGAAGCTCAGCGGCGGGTTTGGGGGTGACTGGGACGAGTGGGATGAGTTTGGCGGTGAAGAATTAGGGCAGAAGCGGTCTTGAATTTTGAGCGCTCTGTTATGTGTATATTGATTTCCAGTTCTACGATGCCCGTGCTAAATGCTTGCGTGTAGAGCCCGTGGTACAACTTATAGAAGGGAATTGGGTCCGCCTGACACCAGCGCCGACACATTGACAACATAGGCTTCATCATGAAACAGCACGTTGATATCAACTAGCTTTTCTCTCAGCTGCCACAGGCACATATGCTGAGGCGACTGGTCATGATGCCACTAATGTCGAGGACCCCATCATCCCGCTTTGGGAGACTGTCGAACCAGGCAGCGATACACGCTAGTGAAGCCCGTTGAGAACGTATCCAACGGGTAGAGCATTAGTCTCAGCTCGACGCCAAGTCGATGTTGGGCTTAATTACCATCTCAAGAGTGTGTTCAGACTTCTAATACAGGTAGAAAATGATTAAGTGCACCTTAACAGTCCGGACTCGAGGCCTTCCTTGCTGGAGGGCAATTGGAGGCAGCATTTAGGTACGGATAGTACCTCTTACCATGGAAGTGAGCAACCTAGAGCACCCGACGACCCTGAACGTGGCTCCTGCTATGCATCTGTATGCCCTCATTGCGGGTGTACATACCTGCTGTTAGTGCGGCGTAAATTTTTGCTGTGAGAGTTGCTCTCTCTACTACCCCTCTTAACAGAGCATGTCAATTCTCTATGTACTGTGCTTTGCCGAATGACAGGCAATGCTTGCCACTCTGAGTCTGGTCAGCAGTTGCAGAAGGTGCGTGGCAGCCAAGAGGAACCTTGCTCTGGACGATATCTGGAGTTAGGTGTCCCCCTTGGCTCTTCCTTCAGCCCTGCAGGGGTGTTACTGCAGCACCAGAACCGGGCAGACGGGCAAGTTCGGAGTTTGGCAGGTGGGGTGACAAAGGGACCAATCGCCTGTGCGCCAGGGGTTGGCCTGGGGGTTCTCCTCAAACAGGAGCTGTGTTTCGTTTTCACTCACTGACTTCTCCTGTCCGACATCATTGGCTCTTGATTCTCCCAACACCACGTCACAACGTCCACGCACAAGAGGAGCGTGCAAACGACGATACCATCTTCACCGTCTTTTACTGCCCCGCGGGGTTGACATTGAAACATGACAACCTGCAACCTAGTGAGCCTAGAAACACTTTGGCGATGCTAAGACACTGTTCAACCGGCCTAACTCCCACCCAATCCGCTTAGATTGACTGAACGCATGTATGTATGGGAACAAACGAGCCTCGCAACGAGTGGTGCGAGGCCCCATGCCGGAAAAGGCGAGAGTGTCTTTGAACGGTCATGAGTGAGCAACAAGTTTGACAACCCTTTCTACTCAATGGTATATCGGGCAAAGTCGCCCAGCTTGATCGGCTAGCTGCCGCCAAACTCAGGTCTCAACCTCAGGGCAGTCCTCTCCCCGTTTGTATTTCCCGTTTGTTTCTTTTCCTTCAATAAATTTTCAATTACCCATATCGAAGCCGTGCTTCATTCGATTCTCGACTCGGCTTCACCGACCGAGTATACAGCTGTTGTTTGCGTGGCCAACTGGCCGCATCCTCCCGAGACCACTCACATCGCGTCGCTGGTTTTCGCCACCCAATGACCGCCGATCAACTCTTTGTGCGTCTGCTTTAAAGAACGGCTGTCTCCGCGCTTTATCTTTGCTTTTATCTTTCCAGCAAGAGCCTGGTTGAACTCGAGCGGAGCGTCGTCGCCGATCAATCCATACCAAACTCTATGCAACACCATTCCAGGGTAGAGCATGATTCAGTCAGCCGGAGGCCAATAGCCCTATCCTAATCGGCGGATATCATTGGAAGCGACGCATTTGCGTGCATTGACTGCCCATTTGTTCTCTACTCTCGCCTGCACGGAACGCACAGTCACCCGATCGATCGGATCTCTCGCTACACGGCCATCTGACGCAGTTCCGGTTTCGGGTAATCGCCTATTCCCGATTACTTGGCGCGGCCGGCAGGCAGAGAGGCGAGATCGTGCAATCGATCACCCGTCAATCCTACGAAGGAAAGGGGAGGCTGGAAAGTCCAGTCGGTACATTCAACGTCCGCCGGTGGATCGTGTCTTCCACCTGGCAAACTCCCACTTGGCTGGAAATTTCACCGACGGCAACTCGCTATGGGGCAACACGGTAGACAGCCGTTTTCGCGGGAGGTTGCTTTGCTTTTGTTGATGGCCTCGACGGCCTCGGCCCTTTCACTCTCCAATTTTCAAGTCATCGGCTCGTCTGCGGTTCCAATCAGCTGCATCCTGGCGTACAACAATGAAATCCCTGGCTGTACAGTCAACGACTTTGTCCGGGGAAGGACATGTTCGGCAGAGTGCGTGAGGGGTCTTGAGGAGGTTCAGGAGACCATCGAGTCCGTCTGCAGCAACGTGAACGCGCCTGCGACGTCAGTTCTGGGACAGGTGCTTGCGGGCAATCTGGTGAATCTGCTCTGTCCAGGCGCATCTGGAGATGCGCCAATGCCAACAAGTAGGACTTCATCGAGAGCCGCCACAACAAGCACACGCACCTCGACGAAGTCTGTGCTCACTTTTACTACAGTCCGTCCTCCCACGACCTCAGCTGTGGAGACGCCGACGTCGACGGAGGAATCTGTCACTCAGACGACTAGCGATTTTGAGCAGTTTCCGACTTCAGCTCAGTCTTCCACATCAGTATCGACGAGCACAACCTCCGGCCTCTCGGCCGAGCCGACTCAAGATACCGACGAGTCCGGAGGCGGGAGCCCTTTCGATGCCTTCAGTAGCAACTCTGGCTCCCCACGGCTTACCATTCGTTGGGCGGAAGCGGCACCTGTTGGCTTAATAGTAGGCCTCATAGTCATGCGATAGTCATCTGGGATGCCGGAAAGAGATGCGCGGCGCTGTGAAGGGACGGTCGTTGGCTGCCTTGACGAAGTAGCGTTTATAATGAATGATACGGCCGTGTAGGGTCTAGGCGACGGTGGCCTGGCATGTCGGGATATTCAGGGCTGTTACGGGATAACCAGTTTCATGGGAGGCAGGGCCGGCTTGAAGCATGCTGTGCAATAATGCTGGGCGATGGCTGCAAGGGCGGAAGGGAAGACGGGTAACTGCGTAATTACCATGATACCACAAGCATTCAATGCATCATAGGCATATATTCATTGCTCAACTTGAAGCTCAGGGAAAAGAAAGCCTGCGATGACTGGCGAATCGTCCACCCAAAGCATGTACACGAAAAACCGACATGTAGCCGCTTTCAAAACCAGGCCTGATTTCACCGAGGAGCCACCATCCCATTATCCTTGCCTGCCAAATTCACCATTCTCAGCCCCAACCATCAGCCACAAGACCACACCAAGCAAGCAACAACTAAGCCGTCGAAGCCCACAAATCGCGCAACTGAATAATACCCGGGATACTCGCCAGCAGGCCAACCATGGTGTCGCTCACCAGGCCCTTCTCGCTGCCCCAGTGAATCGTGAGCGGGGCCCAGGCGAGCTGTCGCACCGTCTTCTTGGTCCACTCTGCCCGTTCCGCCTTTGTCTGTGTCTGTGTCGGTGCGACGCGCTCCGCCAACAGCCGGCCCAGCTCGACGCCCACGTACCCGCCCCACAGCCGCGCGCTCCACCGGTACGCCTTGCCCTGCTGCGCCGGTGTCAGCCCCAGCACCCCGCGCTGCGACAGGTAGGCCGCGTTCTCGAGCGACTGGAAGGCCACGCACAGCAGCAGCCGGGTCCATTCGACTGCGGCTTCCGTGTTGGTCATTGGTGCGGGTGCGGGTGGTGAGGATGTTGCGACGTCCTTTTCGTTGGCTGTTGCCGCCGGTTGTTGTTGTGGTTGTTGTCGTCGGGATTGGAATCTAGCCAGCAGCGTGCGACGAACCAGCCCCCGCGCCCAGAAATACATGCCCAGCAGCGCCCACAGCCGCAAAATCATGCGGGCCTCGCTGAGCAGCGATGAGAGGGACGCCAGGCGCTTGGAGAGCAGCAGCGCGAGGGCCGCCGCGGATGGGATGGGGACGGCCGACTTCCCTGCGGCGCCCGAGGCGGAGGTGGGCGAGGAGAACACCACGGTGGTGCCCCGCGGCAGGGCGGCGACCAGGGCGATCCACTCGCGGGCGGAGCGGCGCAGGGCAGAGCGTGATAGGGAGGCGAGCACCGACGAGGCCAGCTTGGAGGTGTAGCAGACGAAAAGCATGACCGTGTCGATGCCCGAGGGCGTCGAGAGGCATTTGTCCAGGCGGGTGAGGAAGGCATCGGCATTGGAGGGCAGCGCGGCCACCAGGGCGCCCAGGGGTAGGGGTTTCCGCTTCGGGTTCGACGCGGGCGGCGCCGACGACGGAATCGGCTCGCCCGAGGGCAGGTCGGCGATGGGCCCCGCCACGGGGGGCTCGGTGTCGGGGGTGGGTATGGTGGTCGCTGCCGTGTCGGCCATTGTGTTGTGTCACTATGTGTGATGTTGGCAGTTGAAGCTGGTTCGGCGAGGATGAAATGTTGAAGGAGAGCTCAGTGCGGGTTTATGCCGAGGAAGTAATTAGGGTCAACACTGAGCGGGGCAAGCGACCAGGCTAAGAGGAGGTTACGGATGATTGGAATAATCGAAAAATCATGAAACTTGTTGGGGAAATGGGGTTCGACAAATATGAAATATATGGATTGCAACATCCGGGTGAGGACAGTGATATTTTAAAGAGAAAAAAATGGGTTCATGGACTAACGACCTTGTCGACAATCAATGCACGAACATTACCCTGCTGGCCCGATGTCAGGTCGAACAACGGGGACACTTCCCCACACGGTGTTCTGTAGCCATGTCCCGAGCTTGTGTTCCGGGGCCGCAGTGGGGATGCCAAGAAGCTCGGCCCGTCTAACCTCGGCACAAGACAGCCGGCTAATCATTCCATTTGTGAGCGGATGCTCATCTCCAAGCGCGAAGAGATAGTTATCTAGGCAGATATAGGTACCGCTAGGGCTGGCTATACTGCCTTTCAGCAGTGGAAATTAGTCCTGAATATGCGTATGTGAGATAGTATAAGTAAGCCTTCACTTTTGGCTTGCCCGATGCTGCTGTGCAGTGAGCGCATCCCCTGCTGCGTCACATTCGGCAACGGCACCGCATCTTGCATGTTACAGCCCAGACTCTCACACGGTGAAGGTTATCTTGACGTCTTCCCACCCTCGCTTGCGCCTGATATTTACTTTTGGCTCTCCGCCCTGTTTCCATCGGGGCCGCCTCATACCCGTAGACGGGAAAGGGGGCTGGACCACATGCGCCATTTCGACCCCTTCGACGTCAAACGCCAGCGCAAGCGCGCCGATCAAGGCCGTAATCTCGGTCACGGCAAACATGCGGCCGGGACACAGGTGCTTCCCGCCCCCGAAGGGTATCATGGCCCCGCGCCGCTTCTTTTCCTCCTGCGGGTCCGCATTGACGAACCTGTCCGGGTTAAACGTCCCGGCATCGGCACCCCAGATGTGGTCGTTCAGGTGCAGCACTCCGCCAAACCATTGGACGTTGGTGTCCTTCTTAAGGAGATACTCGCGCCTGTCGGCATCCCGCAGCACCGTGTCCTCCATCACCCAGCGGACGCTGCCGGCATCGTTGTACATGCGCTGCATCTCGAGGAAGCACGCGCTGATGAAGGGCTTTTGTCCGAGCTTGGATGCATCAATGGTCGCGCCGTCTCCCGTGACGGCAGTCGCCTCCAGCACCTCGGCCCGCATGCGGTCGACGTAGTCGGGCCGCGTGAAGATGTGAAGAAACAGCCAGAGCAGCGAGGGGATCGTGTTCGTCACGGCCGTCCAGGGTATGTCGAAATCGGACGCGGGCAGGTCGGCCGCCCTAATGCCTAGTTTGCGCTTGACAGCCGCGCGATTCCTCACAAAGGCGGACACATCGGGACCCTGGTCATGTCCGGCCAGATAATAGGGTGCCAGAGCCTGCTGTATGGCCGAGCGGGCGACGAGGGCTTTTGGCGCGAGCAGCCGAGGCGCAATCCCCAGCACCAACAATCCCACCTTCTTCTCGAACTCGCTGGAGAATGCGTCAGCACAAACAGACCGACATCATAAGCAATGGAGCCCCAGGCCCTCTTCGCGAAACGCACCCTATGTGTGTCTGCAGATCCAGGCTTATGGGATTCTTCTCCCCATACAGCGCCCGCATGACGGCCAGGAACATGACGTCCCGCAACCAGTCAAGTGCATTGCTAACCTCCTTAACCCCTCCCTTTCCAGGCCCAATGGCGTTCAAATCGGCAGCAAGCCTGCTCAGTCCCGCCTGGGTGACCATGCGCAGCGGCTCCCCCAGCAACGACGTGTGGATGGGCTTGCTTGCGGTGGCGAGATAATCCGGATCCTTGAACCTCTCCTTCTCGGGCTCGCTCAGTCCCAGGGCGTTGAGGGAGAAGAGCGTGATGAAGGGGTCAAAGGACAGCGTCTTGCTCCGCAGCGCCGCCGAAATCAGCGTGGGTGAGTTGATGACGTAGACCTTGCCCCTGAGCACGGGCAGGGTGCATATCGGCATGCGCTTGTCCTTGCTGGAGTGAGGCGGGCATGTCTGTCAATTAAGTTCTAGGTTCGGGTAGGTAGACGAATGTAGAACCGACACTCCCGTCGCTCGACGGGCCCAGGGTTCACTCTTGTCTCTCCTGTAAGAAAAAACATCACCGGTGATAGCTTACTGCAGACGCGCATAGTAAACATTGATCCCCCTCGCGATCGAGATGGCATGGCCGATAAACGGCACCTTGGGCCGGAGCACTGGTGGCTCGCGCGAGTCAAAGGTCGGGTAGAGCACCCACCGGAGGACGAGCAGAACCAGAGATAGCGCGGCAACCGTTAATGCCAACGCAACGGGCGAGAGCTCACTGAGCTCCTCAAGGCGGAGTAGCCCCATCGTAAATGCTAAGTAAGTTATATACACAAGATTATAAAATGAAGATAGCGGTGAAAGGTCTGAGGAGGGATCAGTATAGTGGAGCAACCTTAGATACCTAGGGATATATCTTTGTTAGAGCCGAGTCCCTGTTTTGGGTGTGTGGTTGGCGGTGCATAAAATTGGCGGTGTTCAATGTATTTGGACGGATTAGGCAGTCAACGACCCAACACCCAGGAACCCGAGACAATACGCATAGCCCCCAACAGAATCATGTTCAGAACACCAGTGATTAGTCCGCATCCAAAGCAGAGCGAGGAACTGGACATGATAAAGTCAACGCTCGCCTGCCTGTCTAATGGGTATCTCTATGCAGGCGCTGTATAGTACAGCCAAGAAAATCATGCAAAACCAAACTCCCCTGTAGTCCAAAGCCCCGTGTATGATGTATTTCAGACAACCCTGCTCTTCCTTCCGTTCCTCACCCACTTCCTGACAACATACAACACCCCGGTTAGGGTCGAACCCTTCAGATGCTGTAAAACCCCTATCGCACACTCTCCCAAACACTCTGGCCCACTCTAGCCGGTATCTTCCTGCCCCTAAGGCGCTGATCAATGAGCCACATACCGACGACAAACTCGTCCCTGGTCAGCGCCTTTCTCTCCCTCTCCTTCCCAGCAAGAAGATCACCACCATCACCACCACCACCACCGGCGTGCCGACGACGCTGATGGTGACAGTAGACCAAATCCCACACCTCGGCCAGCTCGTCGGCAGGCAGCCTGCTCCGACGCCAAATGTCCCTGACGACGATATTGACCACCAACTCGGCCTCGGGCCCGTCCCACGCCCTTCCATCATCCTCGCCTGTATGGTCGCTTGTATAACCCCAGCCAGGCTTCAGGAACAAGCCCTTGTTGCTCGCCCAGACCGCCTCATACCTGCGCCGCTCGCGCGGTGTGACCTCGTCGCGCCAGCGGCGCCGGGCGCCCTCGTGGTGTGCGTGTTTGCGGCCGCCGCCGAGCGACGCCTTGACCTTGCGCCGCCGCCGGTGGTGATGATGCTGCGAGGCGCGCCGGCGCGCGTCCTCATCGTCTGAGTGGACCGGTTGGGTCGCGCGGAGGGTCTGCAGGAGCACGCCTGTGCGTTGCTGCTGATGCTGGGTAGCCTGAGGGTGTTGTGCTCGGTTCGGGGAGCGGCTACCGTCTGTGAGTTGCGAACGGAGGCTTTCGGCTGTGCGGTTAGGCTGGAGGGGAATGGTGGGGAGAGCGCTGCGCGAGCCGGAGGTGTGCTTTCCTCTGTGGCTATTCTTGCCGCCGTGGCGCCGCGGCGCGGGTATGGGAGGAGGTGCTTGGAAGGAGGCCGAGGATGTAGTAGTTTGGCGGGTAGAGGCTAGGTTGCTCGCGACGATGGCGTCGGTGAGAGAATCGAGTGGGAGGTTGGGTGTGGATGCACGGGACATGGTGGGTCGGTGTGTTGCGGGTAGTAATATTGCATGGGGAGAGGATTGCCGTCGCTGCTCAGTCGCTCGAGGTGTGCGCTGGTCGGACTCCGTGCCTGACTGTACTGGACGTCCCGACTGTACCGATGACGCCGACACAAACGTGTCGTCGGAGGAGGCGGAACTTTGAGATAACCGGCGTGGTGTCTGCGTGCGTTCCTGGGTGCCAACTGGCGTGATGTCGTGTTGTGCTGCGGCAGTGTTGACGATGGGCATTGTCATGTCGGCAACACCTGATGCTTCGAGAGACGGGTGAGCACGCTCTGGTCGCGCAATTTTGGTCGGTTCTGTAGCAACAGGGGAAATGGTTTTCGAGGAAGGTTTCGCCAAAGAAGGTTGGGTTGTTTCTGAAGACCTCTCAGCTACCCGGGCCGGCGCACGTTGACTGTGCTGGTTGTCAACATGGGTTGGTGCCCGCAAGGCTGGCCCGGCGCCACCCATCCTGTCACCGCTGACTTCTGTCCATGTTTCATTTTGCTTGCCAGTGTTTGTTGTGCTGCTAGGCCCCACAAGCCCCTTTGACTTCGGTTTTGGCTTGGGTTTCGGCTTCACTCTCAGCTTTTGTTGCTGCTCGCCTTGTGTTGTCCTCTCCCTCTCCATCTCTGGGGTCCTCGGCCTGGCTTGACCTGCCGCTCCCTTGACGGGATCAACATCCCTTTTCCCCTCGAATAACGACACTAGAGACGTAGTAGGCCATATAGATGCCGTGTCAGGAACATTCACATACAATCTGGCTGTACCCAAGTCCAAGGAAGAACAGGTTGAGGCACCAGCGGCGTTCATGCTCGGCGAGCTATTAGCCGCACCTCTTCCAGTGCTGCTGGCGCTCTGCTGTGCGACGCTTGAGCTCGGAGTGGGCGAAGCCGACCTGCTCGCTGCCAGGGTAGCCGCAATGAACGAGGCCGACGTCTGCATAGGGCCGCCGTTCAGGGGCTCCATGCTGCCTCTCCCATCCGCACCTTGAGCCGGGCTCACCGGCAACAACGACTGTGGGGGTGAAAGAAACGCCTTGGCGCCAGCATTAGCGGCGCTGCCACTAGCATGTAAGTACTGCGCCATCCTCTGCGCAACCAGACCGTCCGGCTCCCCACCGTGCATTCCACCCACAGACCCTGGCCGCGATCCCAACGCGGACTGTGGCCTTGACCGGGAAGCAGAGGTCGACGTCGTCACTGCAGATACCGCTTGTGTAGCCGCCAGCAACGCACCATGACTAATTTCCTTCCCCGTCCCCGTCCCCATTCCCTTCCCGGTCCCAGTCTGATTCGGGTTGACCCGACCGTTGCCATGATTGACTTTTAGATTGCCGTCTCTTTCTGTTCTTCCTCCACCTCCTATTGTTCCGCCACCACCGCCCGTTCTTTGCCTGTGGAAGGCATGCGTTGCACCCTGCAGGGCAGCGGCGGCCGACAGGGTAGCCGGAGTGCCGGCATTGTTTGTTGATGATGCACTAGGGAAGAGAGACGAGGAAGAACCGGCTGCGGTTGTTACACTGCGGCTAGGGCTGTAGTTGCGGTTGTAACTGCTGCCAGTCGATGATCCGGGAGGCTGCATAGCCCGGGCAGATCAATCAAACTATTGGATCTTTTGTTTCGTGTTTCTCCGGGCTCGATGTTCGGTTGTTGTCGGAGTATGCTCCACGGTCTGTCATAGTGGTGCGAATTTCGAGGCAGTTGCGAACGTTCGAGGCGCTTGCGGGTTTATCTCTCCATTGGTCTCATTGGTTGCGGAATCATGCTCGAATCGCCAGGCTAGAATCGCGACCTGGAAGGGCCGGGGAATTCGATGCGAGGTGACTCGGGGCGGTTTCTAGCTTATCCACTGATCTGACCACAAACACACCTGAGTCCCAACATGGCAGGGGCGAAACAAGAGCACTCCATTCTGACTGCAGCCAAGACAGTGGGGGTTGCAGGGGCTTATGAGGCTACAGCGCTTACATCACTAAGGTACCTACAGTAGTTACGGAGTATGTACAGTGGGCCCCTAGCAAGCCAAGCTCAGCGCGGGGCGGGCCATGCGCCTAGAAGCGATCACCAGAAGCCGTCACTTCCATGTCTTGTCACTTTGCAGATCAACAAGCGGATTGTGATTCTTGCTGGACATGTCCACTGTCGCAGACTAGGACACTACCAGCTTTATTCTTATTTACACGGCCCAAAACAGGAGTTATGGAATTCCAAACATAGGATATGAAAGGCAGATTACCACACTTCCCTCAGACAGAAAGTGAAAATGGGCTTGCCTGGTTGAACGACAGCGGCCGGAATCCATCCCCAAACCGTAAACGCCGATTCTTTGTAAGTGTTCCCTTCCCCCGGAGGAACCTCAACCCACACCCGTCCCCTTTTTCCTCAACACGAGGAGAAATTCTGTCTTCTTGATCACCTTTCTCCCCGACCGGAAAGACATACAGGAATATTTTGAGGAAAAAGCAAGCCGCTCAAGATCGAGGCTGCGTTGTAGGCCCGCGCCAGCCAGGAGAAAAGAAAAGAAAAGCCGCGATTAGGAAAAGTTGGTTCGGATCCTTGAGACTGTTGTTATGAACACCGAAAAGAAAAAGGAGAAGTCTCATCAAATAAAACAGGAACTGCGAATCAGAACCAACGCCTCACCAGACTCTAGCATCCAACGACAAAGGCCAGGCTACATCAACGTATATGGCTTCTCTCATCAAGCAAGACATGTCGTAGCGCCGTGATTCATACTCATCATGAAAAACATGCGCCCAGGAGGACATGACAGACCAGGCTGGCCAAGCAGGCTTTCCCATCAATAAGCGTCCTCATCGGTCCACTCGCTGCCGGATGCGATTCGATTGCCTTCGTGATCCACCATGACATGGCCAGCATGGGCCGGTGGGAGACCTCGATGTCGCTTTATCTGGTTGGCTTGTATCCGTCCATAGCTCGCTTCCGGCGTGATGCGCTTCGCTGCACGCGCCGCACGTACCTTTGCGTAGTACGCGTCGGAAGCATCCTCCTCTGGTTCCGAGTTGTCGTCATACGTCTCCCAGTTCTCAGACCCGGATATCGCAGTCGACGTGTTTGAGATTTGCCGGACAGCAGGCGGTGCGGGCGGTGCGGGCGGTGCCTGATGGTAGGACCGCGAGGGAGCATATTCCGCAGACAGAGGTCGGCTGTTCTCGTGAGAATAGTACCGGTTGTCGTCATACACATCCTCAGGTTCTACATGCCGGACAATGCTGGACCCGAGGCCGGCAGCGCGATAGTGGTTAATCGGTGTTTCCAACTCGGGGGGCGGGATAAGGTCCCTCATCTTCGGCGGCGGCGCTCTCATAACGGGATTGACTTGACGCACACCGCTGGCTTCAAGCCTCGAGTCCGGACGGGAGCGCTCAGGGGAATTGTTGCCGTGTTTAAGATTAGAGAGCGGCACACGGGCAGGAATCCGAGTCGGACTCCCCTTATTGTTCGCCGTGTTCGGTCGAGTAGTCTGAGTCGGCTTGGCTACGTTTGCAGCCGTGGGAGTCTTTGCCATGCTTCTTGGGGCACCTCTCATGCTGCCAACACTACGGGCCCGGCTCAGTTCGACCTTGGAAGCAGTGGTTGTTGTGGGTGTCGGAGCCGGCGTTTTGGACCTGCCACCTGGCGCTGGCTTCGGATCGTCGAGCTCGAGCTCGTCAAGATACCGCTCTCCATGAACCAGGAATGGCCGACCATACTCATCTTCCCATTTCTCGAGGGCCTTGCGAAGTTCGGCTGCGACCTTTGGAAGTTCCTTGGCAATCCGCTTCCTCATTTTTTCTTCTCGCAGAAGCTTGCCTGGATCTCTTTTTTCTCCCTTTTGGCCACGCATCATCAACCGCGAGGCATCCTGGCTGGATGCAGCTAGCTCATCCCTCTCACTTATCAGGCTCCTGTGCTTGTCAACGAGTGCTAGCGTCGGGGCTCGTTGTTCCTTCAAGACCTCCAGCCGAGCGATCTCGCGTTCGTGGGCCTCGAGCAGTGCATCGCTATAGACATCTGAGAAGGCTGGTGTGAACTCGAGCATCTCATCCTCGGAGAAATAAAGGGCATCCCAGAGTTCCTGGAGCTTGAAGCGGGCGTCCTCGACGAATAGATGCAGATTCTGTCGCTTGAGCTCGTTCAGGCGTGCCAGTTCGTCCTCGAACTCGTTGATCTGTCTGATTCCGCAGCCACGGTTACTGTTGAGGAAAGCCTTGCGCTCGTGATCCTCAATGCCCAACTTCTCCCAGAGCGTTTCGACCGCGATCTTCAAGTCCTTCAAACGCTTCTCTCGGTTCTTCTTCTCTTCCGAGAGTTTGTCTCTCTTGGAGCGAAGTCGAGCAATGTCTTCTTCATGAAGTCCAAGCTGTTCCGGCGCGTCGCGATAGTACTTGACAATTGCGCCGTCTGTCTGTGCTTGCGGCGTCCCAAGCTCTGCCCACAGTTGGATGATGTTCTCAGCTAGGGCCTTCACAGTTGCCACGCGGCGAGTGTACTCCTCATACACTCGCGTAAACTCGGCATCCAGCTCATCTACATAGCTGGGCGACAAGTCGAAGCTTGGGGGAATGGACTGGTTGGGTCCTGTTGGTGGCAGAGCCAGCTTGACAAAGGTTGGCTCAAGATGAAGGGAGTAGGACTCGAGCGCTTGGGCCAATTCTGAGGACTTGGTTAGACTCAATTGATTAACGGACTTACGCTGGCGACGTACTTTTGACTTGTTCAAACCTTTCCCTGTGGAGACGGCTGATCTGGATGTGTTTTTCCTTGAGAACTTTTAGACACCTAGTGAGCGGGTATGTGATCTTCAAATCTTCGTCGTCCTCCGGGTCGTACGAGCGGCGGGCTTTGGTGTCATCAAGCGAAGCTTCCATCTGCCTAATAGTCGTAATGATTCTGTGCGCTTCCTCAACCATGTCATTTTTCTCAGCCGTCACGAGACGAACTTGGTTGTGCAATGCTTCGGACAGAGCGGCGAAGAGCTGCGAGGTGTGGTCAGCAAGGGAAGCCAACACAGATCCATCTATCGACCCTAGATGTGAGTTCCTCCTTACCTCTGCCTCCCGCGCCTCGCGATCATGGTTGGATACCCCAATCTCATCAAACAAGCCGTGCAGCTGGCCAATTATTGTATTGACCTGCTGTGAGAGATAGCTTGTATCCATCTTGCGGGCACGGTCCTGAAGAAATGGGACTCAGGCCGTCGCAAGTCTGCAGCAGTTTCTTGCTCTGCTGAGGAGAATTCGTGGAAATAGCGATGCGTGGTGTTGTCAGGGAAGCGAGATTTAGCTGCTGCAAGGCATATCATCGATCGCGCAATGACGTGCAGCTAGCCTCTGCAGCTAGGGATTGTTGTTTACAAGCCTTTGTCAACACTTGTCAGGAATAGTGGCAGTGCATGGCATAAAACAAAACAAAACGTCGCCAAATCTCAATCGCCTCGAAAGTCGATGGGCGGAATCGTACGCTCGTAGAGACTCGAATCCAGAGAGGATAGAGAATGAAAGCGCCTGATAAAATGCAAACAAAAGGGCTTGCACCGAGTGATGAAGAGGCGCAATGGCTAGACGCCGCCGGCTTCATTTACTTCCAACTTTTGCCTGTGAAGGTGTGTGAACCCTGGCTAGCCTGGTTCGCGCCTTCCGCCGTCTCCAGGGCAACCACGTCTATTTAGATCGGGACCCACTTCGCTTGTAACCTTATCGGATGGAGTCCTGAAAGTTGAAACCCCATCAGCGACGAGCCAATGACCACCACAGTCCGACTGCATTATCCCCGCATCTCTCGAATTGGGCCAAGGAAGAGAAACCATGATTTTTTCGTTACAAACTCCGCACTTTACTGTTTCTTCGGTCAACAGAATGTGTTGAGACTGCGCTTAACGTGAGCTGACCAGTTAGGCCTTGAAATTGGACCATATGTCACGATCTGTCCTCACGATTCTGCTGATCTCATCGGTCGCGAAATGCGAGACAAACGCAAGTTTGGAACCCTGCAGCTATGTGGCAACCGAGATGACATGAATACGGATGTACGGGTCTTGCCCAAGGGCTACTGGTGTTGTACCGAAGCGGACACCCGGTTCCACGAATGAGTTCGCTCGGCGTCCGAGTGTCACACGCAGACAACCGCGCGCTTGAGCCGAGTGGATGAAGCCAAGAATACGCAATCAGGAGTCTTGCCTCATAGCTAGCATATCGTGTCTCCATGGAAACTCCATTTCGGCCTTTCCGTATCTTGGATTCTCAATCGTCGCACGACGGCGATGTGCAGGGACTGGTCCTGCAACTTTATCTGGTCAGATGCCGGCGTTCGGCAGGACCCCTAGTCCCTTCCTCCGGTTGACGATGGCTGTCAGTCGGCAGCCCGGAGAGCGCAGATGCCGGCGATCCTCGTGGTTGGATGTACGGATACATGCAGCACAGTACCAAACAGAAGCTCGAACCTGCCAACCGCCCGAATGGACAATCCTCACAAGTATTTGCATACAGCTTGCTTCAGACGGCGGATGGGGAGCGCCGTTTCCTTGCAAGGATTCCAGAACGCAGCCCCTCGACTATTGGTAGTGCATTGGAAGGTCTCTCAGTTGGTGTCGTCTTATCGCCAGGTTTGCCTGGGACCATAGAAGCTGGCTAAATTGTTCGATACAATCCCGCCGCATGGTCCAGAGCGACTCCAACTTTGGGACGCATCGGCAGCATCAATAGCACAGACAATGGGTGAAGCTTCCGGGAGCAACAGGCAAGATGGGATGAATGAGAATCAAGCTTTTTTCTCTTGGGGCCGATGCAACATCAGGTAACTCATACCCGTCGGCCTCTTGTCTCCTAACTCGTGCTTCATTGCAACCTCTGCTACAGGGCAGTCAGTTCTGTCACTTACCTCTCCTACCCTTTTCTTTTCTAACCCGAAAAAGATGGCTACCAAGGCATAAGTTTGTCATATGCCCTGCCGAACCAAGATATGATGTTGACCTGAGTTTATAGCGTTCTGCCAGTGGCCTTCACACCGAGCTTCCATTCGTTTTCCTTCTCGTCCTCTTGCCCTAGGTAATGGGTAGAGTTGATAAAGTACTACCTAGAATCTAACGCTTGATGGATCGACGTTTCCGGTTTCCGGACCAGGGTCTCAATGCCATGCAGTCCGTGCGTCCATATACTCTATCTCCGTGAGTTCGATACCTATGAGTTGGTAAGGAGCTCATAACGGACCCTTGTTTGAGTCTTTCATGACCTAATAGGCAAAAACAGATCTCGGCTCCTGAGCCCACCACTCCGAAATCGATGGGCACTGGTTGGCTAGGAATTATCCAAGAGCATGCTGAGTGGCGCCATCAAGCCGCATCTCCTTTGACCGCCTCTCCTTTTCACTCCCCCCCCCCCCGAATCGCGTTTCTTGTCAGAGGTCAAAGCTCACAATCCTCATAACGCTACAAGCTCAGGTAGGTATCTTGTTAATGTCACCACCCTAGAAACCGGCAGTCGCAACGGGAGACCTACCTTACCAGTATGGGTACCTAGGTACCAGGCGACTGGATGCGACTGTGGGACAAATTGGCAAGGGTTGCATTGCATTCCCCAGAATTTCTCCACAGAATCCGGCATAGCAGCTTCCCTTGCTCTTCGCATGACCACCTGGTCCCTGTTGATAATATTCAACTGAACTCTGATGGGCTTGTTTGATCACCACGCCATTGGAGCTGTCGTCTCTCTCATCTTCCTCGACGAAGACCTGCTCGATGATCTGGAAGCTTTTTGGAATTCCTCTGCCCCTCTGCCCCTGGCCCTCGCTGGTTTTTACCTGTATGGGTTTCGAGGTAGCTTGTCGGATTTACCCGGGCCGTCGGTGTGACAGCCAAGGTCTCCCCGATCCCATGAATTGAGCTCAGGTGTAGGTTAACGCCTCTCGCGCCGATGCCATGAGCAACAAGTTGAACTGCCTCTGTTCAGGCGCAGAAGCGCAGCGTCCCTCTTGACAGCGGGATATCCAGCGAAACCAAAAGCAACTAGCCATCGAGAGGCATCACCGAGGAGGGAAAACCTGCCTTGGTGACTTCGGGTGCCCTTCATCTTCTTTCTTTGCACACCTTAAGCGGCGATGGCCGTCCAAAACAAGCCGCCGTAGTGAGCCCGCTGTTTCCGTGCTATGCCGGCAGCAATCCCGCTCCTACGGCAGCTCAACTGTTCTCGGCGGGATGTCCTGAAGAGCATCTTTGATACGCGAAGCGGATTTACCCGGCCGGACCTGTGCATGCCAGTTGTGCCAAGAGGCGAGACGAGACGACCCACAGATCGCCGGACATCTCCTTCATGACGCTTTGGAGATACTCGGCCTCGACTGGACCTATGGCAGAAACCGTTCAGGAGAAACAGACACGGGAGCCTGTTGCCCGAGAGCATCTCATGGCGTGTCTTTCTTCGTGCTGTCAAAAGAAGTTCGTGCCTGTCTCGACTCTGGGCTCGACAGTCTCCTATATCTTGATGCATATGCCCACACGGCCTTGGTATTTTACTCTCAGCTCCTCTTTTATCGGTCGATTTGCGATTTCATTTTGTCCTCGCCGCCTCCTGATGGAGCTTATTTCATCGTTACATATACCATCATTTGTAATGAGATAGCGGCATACCTGCTCCGCGTCATGGACGCCTCTTCTCTGTTAGCCTTGCCGACGTCTCCGGCGCCGACCGGGCTCCAGATCTTTGCAATCTTCGTCAACTTCTTTTTCCCAGCACTTGCCCTCCTCGTTGTCTCTGTCCGCGTGGCAGGCAGAGCGGCGGTGAACAAGCTTGCTCTGGACGACTCGCTTGTCTGTATCGCTATGCTCATGTCCATTGCTGAGACGGTCATAAGCTTCTTCTGTTCGTCTAACATCCCAGGGACACTTTTTTGGGCGCTACTGACTTCAATATAGTTATTAAGACAAACTTTGTCGGCATCCCGGTGACGCAGATTCCACCTCATGACCCTACTCAAGGCCTGATATGGGCTTACGCCGTCCAAATTCTTTACAACCCGATACTGGCCCTTGTAAAGTCCTCGGTTCTCATCTTCCTGTCACGGCTGTTCGGCCAGAAGGACTGGGTGCGCCGATATTTGCTCTGGCTCAACATTGCCACCATCTCACAAATGGTTGCCGTCTTCTTCGCCATTACCTTTCAATGCTTTCCGATTGCTTTTAACTGGGACCCTACCATTAGGGGTGGCCGCTGTGTGGACCGCCGGGTTTTATACATATTCATAGCTGTGTTTAACATCATCACCGACGTGCTGATCATGGGCCTGCCAATCTGGATCTTCTCGTCTCTGAGGATTCCAAAGCGCCAAAAGCTGGCGCTGATGTTTGTATTCCTTCTTGGCTTTCTGTAAGCAGCTCGTCCGAGAACCTCCCTAATCTTACCCATCCGCTGACCCTTTGATTACAGCGTGACCATAACATCAGTTGTTCGCATGGTACTCCTAATCCAAGGTCTTTTTGGTCTAGCGGTGTTTACGGCGTCGTCCAACAATATCGGTTTTGTCACTTCATCCATCGAGACCAACCTGGCTCTCATTACGGCCTCGGCTCCGGCACTCCGGCCTATTTTCCGCTCACGAGAACGTGGCGGTTGGTTCTCGCGCACCTCAGTGGCAACGAGCCGCGCGACCCCGGCGGATGTTGACGTTGAGACGGGCCAGAAATCAGTCGGCTGGGACAGCACCCTCGTCGTAGGGAGCGGCGTAGGTGGTAAGTTTGGCCGCGGTGGCAGCCGGGGCGGTAGGAAAGGTGGCAACCGAAGCATGCGGAACGCCTTGCGCAGCGGAGGTTCACGAGGCGGAAGCAAAATCAAACCCATTATCCGTATCAAAACGGATGTCGCCGAACTGCGCAGTCAGTCACCGCGCACGAGCGAGGAAGAGGCGATGACCAATGACGGTATCATGCGCGTTAGCGACATTCAGCGCGAAATCGACGGCATCGTGAAGGAGATTGCCGTCTCTGGGGTCGGCACCTACACGGGCGATAGCCGGCCGAGGACGCCCAGGACGCCCAAGACGCCGTCAGCGCGGCCGCGGCCGTCATTGGAAACCATTACTATTGGAGCTAGCATGATAACGCCGCCCCGTCCAAGCACAAGCAGCGGGACGACGAGATCCCCAGAGAGACATTACAGCGAAAGCATATACCCAGATCAAGGCATTCGATGGAGGGATGACAGGGACAGCAAGATTGAAGACGGCCGAATCTCGCGGTACGGTGACCGCCGGTTTGGGGTAGTCACCCCTAAGGGGACAACACCGACGTCGAAAGGTTGGGAGGGAAGCGGACGGCCCTTCTAGACAGGTTTTTGATGCCCGATATCTATCTTTTTCTTTGTTGTTTCGAGATGATTGCTACGAACATGCGGCATGGTACTAGTACGATCTGGCGTTTTGAAATGCTTTTTTGGCCTGCAGGCTGGCAACGGGGTTCACGATGGTCATTCTCAAGGGGACGGGCGGCGAAAAAAAGGCGCGGTCACAAATACCACATGATTCCCTATGTTTGTCATTCTTCAAGTTCTGTATATACATGAATATAATGTTCCATATACGACTAATGGGATAACTTTCTCCCTACGGCCTTACCCACTATGCGATGGAGGCAGCCTGAGTGAAGTAGAATACTAGGGACTAGTAGTGAGCCTGAGCTCAGGTTGGGACGAACAGCGCTCGGCTTTCGAGGACAATCGAACCGCTCAAGAATCCGAGTCTGTTGTCCGTCCCCCTGCGATTTCAAAGATGGTCAGTTTGGCTAGTGGGCGGCTGAACGGAACCCTGTCGATGAAACGCTCTGCCCGGTGTCATCCGTCTGGCCAACGAAGACCCGAGGCCTTACATATGCGTACTATGGAAAACAGCCGGAATAGGCCTTAGGAGCTTGGAACATTCCCCTTTTGCGCTCTTGCTCTTTGACACAGGAGGAATGCATTTAGCCTCGTAATATCCTGTTGAACTACTGCTGACTCTCTTGCGGATGGGATGGGACCATAACTTGGAAAAAAGCCATAGCCTGGTCAAAGACTCGGACAATCTAGGATAGTAGGTAGATAGCAAGTATCCATCCTTTATACCCTACTAGTACTAATGTGCTTGAGCTACAATAGTATGTTGATAGTGTATATGATCGTCCAGTACCCGTTGGCTCGACCTTCGTATGAGTGCGGGTACTGTAAACCTGGTTTTGAGCTCGGCTCACATCCGAACAGAGCAGGACAGTCGAGTCTTATCTATGCGGGGATTGGCACATGCATTATTCGTAGATTTGGATGGATCTTCTACCTATCTATGTACCTCCTTCCTTAAACGGTTGCAGAGAGTTTCCCCTCGCCAACAAACCTCTAGCAGTTGAGTCCGTGCATGGGAACGTAGCTGCAGTGGAGGGCAGTATCGTCCAACCTGGAATCTCTCACAGATCGGTAGCATCAACGTGGATGCAGTGGTGAGAGCAACTCTCATCTCTACAGCCTATAAAGATCCGTCCATCGTTCCCCGTTGATGTGCGTACGTCATCGCAAGGGGAACACGTACTAGTCAGTCTAGTATACACTAGTAGTTGTAGTTCTGCACTACTTCTACCGACATGGAACTGTCGCTAGACGGAGGAAGTCAGAGCCTGCGTTCAGTATCGAACTTTAGTCGATACGCGATGCAGCGACCTGCTGCGCACAGTCAGAGTCCACGTCGAGGTCCGGTGATGCTAGCGTAGCCTCGAGTCCATAGAACATTAGAAGTCGCTCAATGACTAGCTTGCAGGTAAGAGCGGGTCTTTGGGCGAGGCATCTGATCTCACCCGTGGGGGATGTGTCATGGCCTCCCGCACTAGTAGCTCAAAGCACCCGCATCGTCAGCACCCACCTGCCCGTCTACCAGAGCATGCTGAGCTTGTACCGGCCAGCTGTGTTTGAAGAAGTTGGTGTTAGGGTGAACACTCAAATGCAACTGCCTTGACAGTTTGTTCGATGTACTGGAAGATTTGACTCCAACAGAGGAAGAGTAAGTTGGGGCCGATTGCAGTGTCCGGTGGTATTTCTAAAGTGGCTCAGGGCTCATGTGTGAAAGTGCTGTGACTTGTGTGAAGCGATAGGCCAACAACTGTCAATATTGGCATACATCCCATCAGAGGGATGCACTATGACTCAGTACTAGCAAAACCAGTCTGATCAGCTAGGATCGATATGGATTATCGCCCTCGAGTCGCCCTTGAGGTGATTGCTGTTCCTCAGAGGAACTGCTCAGAACAACAGCTTCGGAAGTTGTTGCTTGTGGGAAACGATTGGGAAACGGGAGACAAACCCGAGAGTGAGGTAAATTGGGGTCGATCGGCTGTGGGGTGGTTTTTGTATGCACCGGCGACGAATGCAACCCAGTCTTGGCAGACGTATTCGAGCCTAACGTTACCAAAACCGAGGTAGCTGTATCCACGTTGTCCTGGTGCTTGAAAATCATGGTGGTAGTACATACAACTGTAGATATCTCTTTAGAACCCCCAAAAAGACAATCTTATTCTGGACAGAGTCCATTCATGTCGACGATTAGTGAAGGGGTCAGTCATGCCAAAGTTGGAAGGAATAGAACCGTCACGAAGCAAGCAACCTGATTCAGAACGCTTACTGTGTGTCGTGTGATGTTGAGAGATACACTATCCTTATCGGGGAACATGTCGCATGTGTACATACAGTACCGTAGACATCTAAAGACAACACAGCCGTCGCTACCAAGGATAGAAGCCACCTTGACGATAGGTTGCACCTGTAAAGTCAGTTCAACCCTTTAGGCATTCTTGCAGCCACGACCGACGATACCTTATTATGTGCAGGCACTCTCGGATCGAGGGCCTTTCTCCTATTCTGCCTAGATGAATGAGACCGCGTCCCAGCACTTCGATTGTCATACCCACCATCTTCTCTAGAATGTGCATGCGCCCACATGTGCTGTGCGGGTGTGGCTGCTATGTCAAACCGTCCGAAATGGATGTCCAACGAAATCCCATCGTCCTTATCAGGCCCCACTGTCCCGAGGACGGCGTCAGAGATAACATGATAATACACGTGTATAAGTATGGCGAGGCGCATCTCGATGACCCGGAATGTGGTCGAAGACCGATTTGTTCCGCTGTGGCCGTTATTGTCGGCAGCTTGGATATTTAACTGAAGTTGGGGCGAACCCTGGGCACTTCGCTACGCTCACATTCGCAAACAGCAGGTCCAGGGTCCACCGGGCGGTCTACATTTGTAGCTCCGGATTGAGGTGTGACGCATTCCAACGGTCGGAACCTCTCTCATGCACTGCGATCGAGATCGGGCTGCAGTGTGCATAGGTATTCAGATTTCTTCGTCGTTTTCTCAGCTGTCTTTCAGGCCCGTGTCAACAGCACCTCTCCCATGGCCTTTGACTTCGTTGACTTCGGCGCCGAACGCTGGAGCGCAGGACTCCGTCAGCAGACTTAGACGAGCGCTGAATCGTCGACTACGTAGTTCAGGGTCCAGGACAGTGGGCCCTCCCGCCGAGGATTTTTGCTTTACCGTTACGTACTGAATTTCCCTTCGACACACGACATTGGCCCTGAGCTGCGACACGAAGAAATAACCACAGTGGGAATCGCCCTGGCCCCGGTGTCGGCAAGCAGCCCAGGCTGCTGTTTGGTGGCATCACAAGCCCTGAATCCCGGGCTTGCCGGCAATGAGCACCCCCCCTGCAGTCGATCTGCAGCGGCACCCGAACAGGTGGATTACATGTCCGCCAACTAAAGTCACACTACGGTGGTCCGCTCACTTGCCCCATTCGTCCATCGCTCCGTTATTAAAGGCCCCGGCGGCCACTTGGACACTCACACCATGATATCCGCCCGGTCCTATCTCGTCTCCCGGCACAGTCAACCACTCTCGAACTCGCAGCCCCAAGCCGCGGCCTCTTCTTATTTCCAACCAGCTGTGTCCTCGCCCTCACACTCGCGTCCCGGCCCTCCCTTGTCGTTCGCGAAAGGAAATGAGAATCAGGTCTTGGCCGCCACCAACAAAAGCACTAGCGTTGATATGTCTCCCACCTCGTCGAAGCGAAGAGATCGCGGCTCGGGGTTCCTGAACCCAAGCCCTCCGGCGACCACGATGGCCCCCGTACGAGCGGCTGCCCCATCTACCCCGGTGCAAATCCCAACAAGACCGAAATCTCGGGATAGGCCACACCCGCACAACTCGCATCGCCATCATGAGGACAGGAAACAAAACTCGACATCGCGCCATCGGAGAGGCGTGCATTCTCCCGATGCGATCCCGCCTTCTGTGGCCGCCCTCCTGGCTATCACCAGTATACCCCCGCCGAAAGCAACGAGGAGCATGCGGCAGACAAGGGAGGAGAAGAGGATGACGGTCGAGTCCATCATTGAAAGGGCTCAGGAGTCCGAGAAGCAGCTTAGTTTGACCCTAAGCAATGACCCGATGAATATTCTTTTGACACCCCCCGAAGACCTCGACGGCGACGATTTGTCCGCGTGCGACAGCGCCCTAGGATCCGTCTTGTCTTCGCGAACCATCTCATTGGAATCTATGCCATCGCTCAGTAGTTCACTCACTACTGAGACGCCTTCTTCGTTGGAAACACCTTACACGCCGCTGAGGAAACGCAAGGCCCGGCCAACCCGCCGTTCACTGGAACCCGTCTCTTCACCGCCGGGCGAATCCGACAGTCACCCGCTGTCATCCCCCGAGATTGACGTCGAGGAACTGGATTTCAGAGTGTTCGAGGAGAAAACAGAGCTCCCGGAGAAAAAGACCTTGCGCCTGCCTTTTCAGCCTTTGAAGTCTGCTTTCAAATCAAATCTGACCGCTTCGCTAAGGGCATTGCGCCAGGCGGCTCGTTCCTTTTCCAACCTGAACTTCCCATCGATTCCGCCCGAGGACTTTCTCACCAGGTCCATCTTGACTATCGACCCACAGGTCCCGTATACAGACGAGCGCAGACCGCCTCCGTTGGAGGAGGAACCCACGGCTGCCTTGCGGCGCTATCTGAACCCGACTACTACTGCTCGTCTTGAGAAACCCCAATTACCCGCTTCCTCGTCCGGCCCGGTGCTACGAACATTTACGGCCTCGATCCAGATGCAGACTTACAAGGTGCAACGGTCCCGGAGCGCGCCTCCAACCGTGAATCGCTCCCCTTCACCGTTGGCAGGAGGAGGAGCCTACTCAGCGGCGCAATCGGCGCCAACGTCGCAAACAAAACCGTCGCTCGCGGAGTACCCCTCACCGGGGCCTCGGCAGCGCGAGATGCGCGAGAACCCCGATTTCATCCGCATTGCCGTCATGGAGATGGCAATGCGGAAACGCGGCAAGCTAAGCGAGCAGCGACCGGGTCGGGCTCGTTGGGCGCTCCCGCCAAGAAAACCGAGCTTGAGACCGTATGTGGTTGGGCCCGACGGGGTGCCTGCTCGATGGGTCTCCTGCTCGTGTGAGTAATTGCTGCCGTGGTGCACCTGCTTAATTGGAGCTCCGTCCGACTTTGTTGGACACGTCAAGAACTGCCGGCGGAATTTTGCGAGCCCACATAAGCTACGCCAAGAGAAGCCCTCCACGCTATGGAGCATTCACAGTTGGAGAGCAAAAAAAAAAAAAAAAAAGGGTGATGCGGATTGTGGACCTTCCGCCATACAGTCCGCACTCTTTGTTTCAGATGACGTCCTGTCGACAGGCGTTACAGATGATCTTTGCCTACCGACGCCCACGACTGCCCTGTTTCTCTACACTACGCCTCACCGGTCGATCTACGAGCCTTTTGGCTTGCGAGAGAACGGCGAGCGCGATTTTCACTTGACGGCCCGACGGAGATTGTCGTCCCGCGCGGGATGCGGGATGCGTGGGGTTCGATTAGCGATGAATGAGTGGCTAAACCCTCTCTCAACAATCTGGCCTGCTTGGCCACGGAGGTACGGAGGTGTCTCTCTTCATTTTACCTCAGCGATAATTAGAAAGGCCTGAGCGATCTGGACCTCATTTGCATTGGATTTCATTTTTTTGGGAGGCATTCCCTTGCATAGCCCCGGATTGGCATGTCATTGGGGGAAGAAGGATGCCCGCATTATCGCGTTGTCGAACTTCCTTTTGTTTCTTCAGCCTTGTATTTGGAGGACGACACCTTCCAGAAGTTTTCTAGCGCGCATGATTTCTCGAGCTCGCGCCGTGCCGTGGTGTGCGGCTTTTTTGTTTGGTCTTCTTTTTGGTTCTGCATCTTGCTAGGGTTGGAGCATGTCAGGGATGGGGATTGTGGGACGCATTTCGGGGCTCCATTGCATTGGGTGTGGGGTGTTGACTTGGGTCTTCTTTTTTCACCGCCCTTCGATTCATCAATCGACGAAAGGATCAATTCGATGTTTGGAATCATTGGCATTGTTCGTCACGAACGGGTTGCTTCGCCATGGAGTGGGAGTCACGGTTCATTTGGTTCTCAGGGGATTTTGCTGTCACGGGGAAAGGGTGGTGTTAGGGTTGTCGAAGAAGCGGATTCAACAACGGCATAGGTTTTGGCTATTTGGAACCAGGAGACGAGCTTCTCCGTGTAAAGCATTTATTAACATACTATCTTGTTATACATAGTATCAACAGCTCAAAATTGCCTAGCCATCAGGTTCAAAACTGCATCTACACTGTAGGCTCATTACAGGGTGAACGAACCTCGTCGATATCTCGATGCCAAGCTGTATGCAAGGGACCGCTGTAAACAATCAAGTGGTTCGCTGTATCTTACCATCTTCTTGGACATAGGAGGGAATATAGACCTAAGAGAGTGCACCATCGGCTCGACATCACACACAGCGATAACGGGGTTGCATTGTGCACACTGCTGCCTCATTGTACCTACCTCGAGTCACGGTACCATCTCGTGTATCCCAGCTAGCGCAATACATCTGGCACCAAATCTAGGTAGTCTCTGTGGTCGCCAGACCAGGGTGGCAAGAGGGGAGAGGGAGGCGTATGGTCAGGAAGCAGGAGCGAGAGCCGGGTTCAAGAGTCGTGGGCTTTCTGCTCCTGTACGAGTGGCATCTTCAGGATATATGACCAGGGTTAAAGGGTGCTGCTACATATATGACGGGCAAAGAGTGTCATAGGATAAGGCCTCTGTTTCGACAATACAAATCAGATATGAAGACGGGCAATCACGGATATCGAACAGTACAGTGTATACTATGCACGGGAATCGAAGCAAATCAAGGTGCCGGCAAACCATGCCACCCGCCCGTGGAATTGGTCCTGCGCCTCTTTTGTTTTCTTCCAGAATCCAAATGAAATAGGATATATCCATCTCCTCCCTCTAATTACTCCTCGTCCTCATTCTCCCCATCACCAGCCACAGCGGCAACAGCAGCGGCAGCACTCTTCTTTTCACCCGCCATCCTGGCCCATTCCTGCGCCTTGGCCGAAACCCGCTCCCTACTCTTCGCATCGCCATTCTCCTCCTCCCACTTCGCCCACCGCCGGAACCAGGCTTTTGCCTGCTTGGGCTTCAACCCCTTAACCTTGCTTCCGCGCTCGAACAGGTCGCGGATGACGGTCACATCGGCGGTGCCCACCGCTGACGGCGATGTCTCCAGATCGAGCAGCTGGTTCCAGAGGTCAAACTTCTTGGGGTAGGTTGCGAGCAAGCTCTCGAAGAGGGTGCGGCCCTGCTCGCGGTCGCCGTTGGGGGAGCGGAACTCGAGCGCGGCGAACTTGGGTAGTAGCAAGAGGTACGTGCGCGACTGCTGCGTGCTGCTGCCGAGCACCTGCGTGGCACGCTTGAGGAGGGCTCGGGCGCGGTCCGGCTGGTTGGCGGTCGCATGAAGGAAGTGGGCGTAGTTGATCCAGACGTCCAGCGACTGGGAGCCGAACTTCTTGACGATCTTTTCAAAGAGATCGTCGGCTTCCTATTGGCAGCGGGTTAGTGATGGGTAATGCAACCTTGTCAGGGCGCATTGATTGAGCTTACCTTGTGCTTCCCAGCCTGGATGTAGATGCTTGCCAGCCGCTCGTGAACTTCCTGCTCGTCGTTGTATGTACACGCTCGTTTGAAGACCTCCTCTGCTGTTTCGTCGGTGCCATAAGCGACTTCAAGGTTGAGATATGCAATCCACACGTTCAACTTCTCCGTCTCTTCCTTGATGTTGATGGTTTTGATTGCCCTCTCTGCCACTTGCCTTGCGCTGGCCAGGTCATTGGCTTGCATCTGGAACGCCATGTATGCAATCCATAGCTGGGATGAGTCGGGCTGGCCGAGGAGGAGTCGTTCATAATCGCTGGATGTTTGCGGCCCGTTGATGTCCAGTTCAGCTGTCTTGTCAACCAGGATCTGGGGTTCATGCCGTTTCTTTGCCTTCTTGTTTGGCCTGTCCACAAGGCTATTATTGGCATTATCGTCCGCATCCAGAGCGTTGGCTGCCCAGTCAAACCCTCCGGCATCGAGACCAGCCAAGCCTTCTGGTTTGGCATCGACCATCTCGACATCGCTGCTATCATCACCTTCATCTCGGTCATCGTTGTCATGCTCATCATCGGACCCAGCAAGAAGAAGTGCACCCCCTGCATCGTCCATCGCCTCGTCGATGTCGCTTCCTTCTTCACTGCTAATGGCTGCACCGGCATCCTCGTCTTCACTCTCGACGTCCATATCGTCGTCGTCGCCATCCTTAAAGTAGGAGGGTTTCAGACCGAGGTTGATTCGCTTTTTCTCGAGATCGACCTTCAGCACACGGGCCTTGACACGGTCACCTTCGTTGTAGAGTGTCCTCGCATCCTTGACGGTCCTGTCCGCCATCTCACTGCGATGACAGAGACCGGAGAGATTGGCCGATCCATCGATGTCGATAAAGGCACCAAACTCTTCGACCTTCCGGACTCTACCGGTAATGGTCTGACCTTCCTTCAGGTCAGACATTGTGGTCAAAGGGACAAAATCCTTCTCTACCACTGACGGCTTCAAGCTCATCTCGAAGCGTCCATCAGCAGCAAATATGATGCGTCCTTTCACCACTTGATCGACTTGAAAGTGTTCCTTCCAGTCTTTCAGGAAAGAGTCGGACAAATTCTTAATCAGGACCAGTGCCACAACGTCCCCACCAAGAGAGACGAAGAGACCCTTATCCGAGACATTTTTGACGAAACCTCGGATAATGTCGCCGACCTTGAGCTCCGTGCTCTTTGTAATCTCCTTATCCCTTACGGGCAAGGATGAGTTGAGGACCCTCGAGGGCCGCAAAGACAACCTCAATCGCTTGTTGCTCTTATCAATCTCTACGACGGCTACCCGCACTATCTCATTCTTCGAATAGCGGAGTGGGTTCGCTTCGTCGTAGTCATCTGCGAGATCTGCCAGGTGCACCGGTCCTGCTACCGAGTCGCTGAGCTGGACGACGACTTGGCGGTCATTGACCTTGGTGACCTTCGCGGGCAAGACCATGCCTTGTTCGATCTTGTCCCAGGTAAGCGCGTTAGCGGCGCCGGGAGTCCGGGCAGAGAGATCAACGCGCTTCTTGTCCGCGTCTACGGCCAGAACCCGTACTTGAAGCGCACAGCCTACAGGGAAGCTCTTTTCCAAGTTTGCAAGCTTGGACAAGTCGTCGGAAGCCTCCATAGCGCTGATCCTGCCGCGCACGTTGGGAGATAGGTTAACCCACAGGTGGTTAGTCCCAACGTTGTTGACGAAGGCCAGATGGGTGGACCCGACTTCGACCTTCTCAAGAGATAGTGGCTCTGGAGGAGTCCCTTCCTTGAGATCGCTCGGCTTTGCTGAAAGCTCTAGAACCGAGTGGCTAGACCGATGGGTGATGGGCAAGAATCTGTGGTTACGGGCATCATGAATGCCCAGAACGCGAACCCGCACAACGTCTTTTGGCTTGAACTTCTTCAGCGGCCTCTTCGGGTCTGGAATATCACTCCAGCTATCGAAAACCTGCGAGACGTCGATTCGCCCCTGAATGTTGTCCGCGATTTCGACATTGAGTTGCGTCTCCTTAACAGATTTCACCCTAGCCTCGGTATGTTTGCCGATGCCAAGATCACTAATCGAGCTGATTGAGTCGTCCAGGGAGTTTACTGCCTTCTCGACCGGCTTCGCAGACTTCTTCGCCTGTTCATCAAGAACAGATGGTATCGCCACGACCAGGCGGCCGAGATCTTTGTCGACGTGGGTGACCCTGACAAGGACGGACTGTGACTTGTGCATTCCAAAATTGGGCTTATCGTGTATCTCCCGAGGCATCATCGACTTTGGGAGGAGAGCCGTCAATTTGCCTGCAAACTGCACGAACACGGCCGTGGCAGTGATATTCCGGACGAAGCCGGGCACTTCTTCTCCGACCTGGGCATCATCAACGCCGGAGAGGAGCTTCCCCTGTTCGCTTGCTTGGACAAGACTTGGCTTGTGTGAGAGAGTTATGGAACGGCGACTTTCGTTCTTCTCAAGGACGACCAAGTCGGAAAGTGTTTGGTTGACGTGGATTTTTTTCAGGGCAGACTGCGTCTTGCTGACCGATTTATCAGTCAAATGGCCGACGGGAAGAATTGCTTTCAATGAAGAGTCGATGAGCTCTACGAAGATATCGTCCTCTGTCTTCTGAGTCACCTTAGCGGAAACCAGATCGCCGATTTGAAGCTTCTTCAGCGCAAGCTGTTTTTCTAGTCCAAAAGCAGAAGGGTCTTTGCATGAAACAATGAGCCTGCTAGCTTCTGGGTCAAAGCTGAGGACGTATACACTGACAGTCTGTCCCACCCGGAAATGTTCTTTGGGATCGTGTATGTAGGCCTCGCTCATCTCAGAGACGGGAAGGAAACCGCGAAGTTGGCCGTAGAACTGGACGATGGCCCCGTGCTGCAGCACGCTGACGATTGTACCAGGCGCCTGAAGTCCTACCGCCAGCTCATCGTATGACTTGATGGGGGGTGCTTCGGAATTGACCAGCGTTTTCTTCAGTGTCAGACGCAATTGATGCATTGCTGGGTTGGTCGACAACACGCGGGTCTTGACTTTCATCCCTTCCCGGAACTTCTTCTCGGGATGCTGCAAGTGTACATCGGCGAGATGCATCTCGGGGACTAGACCAGATATCCCCTCGGCAATCCTGACGATAAGACCTCCGAGGCCGTCTTGGTTGACGACAAGCTTCTCAACCACACCGGGAACTACGGCTCCCACTGGGATGTCTTCAATTCGCAGGAATGGTTGCTCGAGAACATGCTTCTCGAAAGAGAGGAGGAACATGCCGTCGAACGGGTTGTAACCGACCACGCGGCCAGGGTGGACGGACCCAACCTTGTATGGGCCGCTGTTCTCGAACAAAGTATCCACCTTGCCGTCCTTGACCCTGGAAATGTGGACGAACCCTGCGACACCCTTTACGCCAACATCAACATAAAGCCCAATGCCAGGCTCGACCCTTTGTACCGTGCATTTCTCCACAACTGCGGAGTGAGCAAGAATCTGAGTTGGCAGCACTTCCTGGTCGTTTTGAGCAGCCGTCTTTGGCTTCATCGAGAGAACATGCGGCAGAAGGGAAATCCCTAGCTTCGGCTTGTTCGCGGTTGGGAATGTGCAGATGATTCTCGCCTTGACTCGGGAGCCCACCTTGAACTTGTCTTCGAGGACGACACCATCGGGTCCGGCGCCAGAGTGGATAAGATCTGCGGTCACGTCCAGATGACCCATTACCTTGCCAACGATGCCATGCTGAGAGACCTCAGATACCAATACATCGGCCGCAGCGCCCGGTAGGAATGACTCGATAGTAGTAGCTTCAGCCGGGTAGTTTGCGGCATTACCAAGGCGGTCCGAGAGCGTGGATAGCTGGACAACCTTGCCACCCGCCGCTCTGCCGGTCACAGTGCAGAGAAAAACTGCGCCCGGCTGCATATTATCCTCGTCTATGCTTTTGTCAAGCTGCTTGCGCGGCAAGAACCCCTTGAGCTCGGAATCAGGGATATCGATATCCATGACAAAGCCACGGTCCTCGACGCTAGCAACCGAAGCCATAAGCGTACAATTCTCAACGATGTCCTGCTCTGACATTGTGGAGTTTGTATGTGCAGGAAAGAGAGACAGTTCAATATGTCGTCTCGTCTTTCCGGGGGTTGATTCGTCCATTGTAGACACGACGTACGTGCGCACATACTGGCCAATACGAAATAAGCTCGAGAGATCGACGTCGTCAGAGCTTTCGTCCCCGGACTCCTCCGCCTCGTCTTCTTTCTCGGCACTGGTCTGCAGCCGTTGGGTCAGGGACTCGGAGATGGCGGTGATAGACACATGACCGATGAGATTGTTTGGCAAAGCGATGGCTATATCGAGGGGATTAATGGCCGAGACAGTTCCGAGAACGAGTGAGCCTTTGACAAGACGCTACGACGCAGTCAGCAACAGAACGGCATGCAACGGCGGGAGGCTGTAGTAGTCAGTACCTTGAAATTCAGACTTTCGACCTTGACAGCATCCTCATCCGTGACGGTCTTCGCGGCTGTCTCGTCTCCCCTGGACTTTCGCTTCTTCTTTTTAGAAGCACCTTCCACCTTGTCCCCCTTCTTGCCAGTAGCCTCCTCGAACAGCACATCCTTTTTCGCCTGGATCTGGATCTGCTTCTGTTCAAGAGGAGTGAGGACGCTCCCACCACCTCGAGGGAAAAGCGGCTCCTCCTCTTTGAGCTGTGAAACCAACGGGGCGGAAACTGGCTTTGAAGCGGACGACTTGGGCGACTTTGCGCGCTTCTTGTCGCTGTCTTTCGTCGAGTCGCTCGATTTGGCCCGTTTTGAAGGCCTGGATTCTGTTGCTGCTCGAGCTGTCTTGGATGCAGAAGCACCGTCAGGGCCCTCCTTGCGTTTCAGCGAACCCATGGTGGCAATATGGGTGCTTGTCTGGCCGCAATTGGGGCGATCTGCTGGTGAATGCTTCGCCCGCGCAACTGCCCGCCAACAATGCTTCAGAAAAGTGCAGTCGATCTGATGAAGCTGCACATCCACAAAAATTTCCCGGGGGTAACTCTCTTGGCAGTTGCCGATAACGATAAGTAAAGCGGTGAACGGAGGGGCGGGTTCTGCCAAGACCTGCAGCGATGATCAGGTCCGCTCTCAGGTCGATTGGAGGTACGAAGGTAATGCACTGTAATATACACGGTGTGGTAACAGCGCCGAACGCCGAGTCCATACCAACTACTTCGTACCTTAGTACTAGTACCTTCCACATCAATGCCATTCAAGCTCTAGGTGAGTCTCCTATCGATTTCTTTGGATATTCAAAGATTAAATTTCAGATCAGTGACATCTCTCCGCTAAAAAGCATGCATAGGTAGGTTGTTGAAGAAGTCCATCACTACAGTATTGTAAGTAATGTATAATACTGTACGGGTATGTACAACCAGTACCTTGTGGACCCCAAGCACAGAATGACGTACCGCCTGTGGGCGCCGATAAGCTGAGGCCAAGCAGCCGCGGAAGGAAGGCTGCTGCAGTGACTCGGGACGCCACGCAGGCCGACAACAAGCGGCAAAGGCAACCGAACAACAGAAGGACAACGGACACACAAAGCATGCGTCGAAACCTCTAGTATTTCAACGCCGCTAGCTGGTGGTCTCCCCTTTCGTGCACTTGGGCCATCTGCAACATGGGGTCCCGAAAACGGGTGAAACCCAATCCTTCTGCTGAGGGAAGTGCTGCAAGTCTGCCAGCAACCGTGGCATCGCAATCATCGCAGTACTCATCCAAATCATCGCAACCGCGCTCTTCAATGACAGAGGACTCAACCGAAGTTGCAACTCCCACCACATCGAAAATATCAAAACCGAATTCGAACTGCAGCGGAGACAACTTGAACCAAGTATGTGTATGGATTGGCCCGTCTGCCCGCTCCCCGGAACCGATTTCGCATATCACAGGCAGCGTACTGACGACGAACGGGATAGGTCCACAAGACTAAGAGCTGGTATGGATCTTGGCCCCGAATTCCGAAATCAGCTGCCTCGACGCAGGTTGCTCGGGAGTCTATCCTTGGAGGGACATCGAAACCCAAGGGAACTGTGGACCTTAGCCGATTCGAGTCGAAGAAAGCTTCCGACGGTATCAGTATCAATGAATTACCTCTATCCGGCTCTGATCCATCGAAAAGCCACGAGAGTATGGCGGCAGCAGCCGACGAAAGTTCTGGTCCAGTGGCCCAAACTTCCGAGGAGGTTAAGAAACCGGAGGAGATTAAGAGACCCGAGGAAGTCAAGAAACCCGAGGTCAAGATAGACGCAAAAGATGCCAACCAAGAAATGGCAGCAGCAAGCGGTGAGCAGGAACAGGGGACTGGGGCGTCCCCAGATCAACCTACACAGACTCCTACAGAGAATCCGATACTTGCTGAATCGACTCCCCAAAGACCTGCCTCTGGCTGGTTCGGATGGCTTGGGAAGCCTGCATACACTGAACCTGTCGTAAAGCAGCCTACTTCAGTTTCAGAACCTACTGCTCCGGAGCCCGCTGCTTCAGCGACTGCCGAGATGAAGTCACCGGACGTCAACCCCGGGCCAGACAACAAAGAAGTGCAACCAGAGCAACCAGAGCAACAAGAGCAACAGATTTCCGAGGGCATCCAGGCACCCAGCGATCATCCGGTTCAGGGCAGATCTGAACCCGTCTCTGGAAGTTATTGGTTCTGGCGTTGGTCTAGCACGAGCCTGTCTGCCCCATCTCAACCAACCCCGCAGCCCGAACCTGAGCCCAGACCTGCGCCTGATCCCTCAGCGGTAGATCCAGGGGCCTCGGCTTGCCCAATGAAAGAACCCGAGGATGTGGCCATGAAGGATGCGCCAGCAGCTGAGGTTCCTCATAAGCCTTCCGCGCCTCCGCCCAGAGCGGGCTCTACCTGGGCCTTTTGGTCTCGCGATACCAGCTCGGCATCGGGCAAGAAGCCGGTCCAGCAAGGGGAACATGGAGAACAAGGCGAACAAGGGCAGCTTGCAGTTATGGGCGAGAGCTCTGAAACTCATCCCAAGAGAGCAAATTCGATGGAGTTCAACGGACCATCAGTTAAGGAGCCTCCGTTGAAGTCAGGATCCAAGGATGGTCTGGGCAAGGCTGCCCCTGAATCCTCGTCCAAGAGGAGCAAACGTGTTCGTCCGCAGTCAATGGATATCGACGATGTGACGCCTTCTCGACCTAGTACACCAAAGGTCGAGACATCAGCGAAATCACAGGCCCCCAAAACACCAGCCACGGCGAAGACGTTGCCACCAAACCTTCTCCTGCCATCATTCAGTGGCACCTACAAGCTCAAGGAAAACGCTTCCATTCTAAAACAGATCGCCCAGCTGCTGCTCAGGACCCAACAGCCATCGGCGAAACATGTCTACCTAACCAAGGAACCGCCAAAGATTAAGAAGGCCATCGCAATCGGCGTGCATGGTCTCTTTCCTGCAAACTACCTGCGCCCAATGATTGGCCAGCCTACCGGCACATCAATCAAGTTTGCCAAGCACTGCGCCGAGGCAGTTCGGAGATGGGCTGATGCCCATGGATGTGAAGATTGCGAAATCGAGAAGGTCGCTTTGGAAGGGGAAGGGAAGATTGGCGAGCGAGTTGAGAATCTATGGAAGCTTCTGCTGAACTGGATTGACCATATCCGTCATGCGGATTTGATTCTCATTGCCTGCCACTCACAGGGCGTCCCCGTCAGCATCATGTTGCTTGCAAAGCTCATCGAGCTCGGCGTGGTAACATCGGCGAAGGTTGGCGTGTGTGCAATGGGTAAGTCTACCCAGTGTTCTCTGGGAGTTATCGCTACTGACGGATGCGTGGTTAGCTGGCGTTTCCTTGGGCCCTTTCCCTGACTACCGCTCTAGCATGGGTATTCTCATGGGGTCGGCTGCTGAGCTATGGGAGTTTGCCGACCCGCAGAGCGATGTGTCAAAGAGGCTCGAGGCCTCTACAAAGGCCGTTCTAAGTTACGGCGCGCGCATTACATACGTTGGCAGCATCGACGACCAGCTGGTTCCGTTGGAGGTGAGTCGCGTCGTCGTCAGTCGTGACCGGTTGAACCCTAGCCAAACTAACGTCCGGCATTAGTCCGCCATTTATGCGCCAGCCCACCACCCATACATTTACCGCGCAGTGTTTATCGACGGCCGGATCCATGCCCCGGATTTGTAAGTTTCTCTACCCTATCCCTCGGACTCTACCCCGCTTACAAGCCGCAGCATTGCCCACCTTGTGGGCTTTGCCCTCAAGCTTCGAAACTTAGGCGTTTCGGACCACGGCCTCATACGCGAGCTCTCCGCCCCACTAGCTGGGAGTTTATACTCGGGGGAAGGCCACTCCCGGCTCTATGACGACGAGCAAGTATACGAGTATGCTCAACCACCCCCCCGACACATTCCATCTGCTCCCAAGGCTAACCGTCACTTCACAGCTTAGCGGTAACACACGCCTTAGAGACTACCGACATTATCGGTAGCGTAGAATGTGAGATGCATAAGCGTCAGGGGCCAGGCCTGTCGAACCCCAATCCATATCACCTCCCGTGGATTATGCGAGGCCTGCTCGAGGAGGACTTTGTCAAGACGGAGCTGTCAGCCGAGACGGCCGAGCTGGTTAGACAATTTGACGACTGGAAGCCTGTCACCAAGGCGTTGAAGGATGTCAAGTACCGACTGGAAGCCGTGAGGTCAAAGCTGTAGATTTCTTTTGGTCCCTTGCTAGATCGGGGTCTGGCTCAGTAGAGGGGCATTGTTTTCGGGCGTAAAGGTTGGTATGGAGATTCGGGCTGGACGGGGCGATAACAACGGTAACCATCTCGGGCAAGTGCTATGCATGGTATTGGGTTGTTGATATTTATTATTGGCAAAGAGGTTTCGGCGTCTTTACTGGAAGATAGGTCTCGCGGCCAACCCACGAAACCGGAATAGCAGGAACGGACACAGCATGCGTTATGCTACCAGAAGACTTAGCATTGCTTCCGATAGGCATGTGCTCTAGGGTGTAGATATTTCATCTATATATGACTGCACGCAGCGGCAAATCACCTCCTACGTTTCCTAAGCCGGATATTGATATGTGAACATCCAATCCCAGGCTCCAAATCCTATAAAGTCTAATGGTTACACTCGCATCTCCCTTTTTATCTTACACACATGTCCTGTCATCTAGACGTATACAATCCTTTGATTTCACCTCCTCCCCAGCTTCCATTGGTAGATGACGTCTTGTATCTGCTCCCAGGTCATCTGCGTGGTCTTGACGCCCTGCGCGGTGGCCTCCTGCAGGACCACGGTCGGGGCGCCGCTGCCCTTGCCCTTGTTCTCCACCATGCCGCCGACCACCATGGCAGCGACGCGGCGCAGGTCCTGCACCGTCAGGTCGTTGATGCGGCGCGTCATCTCTCGGACGGGAATCTTGCGGCCGTGGACCTGGACCTGGCGGCCGAGGTCCTCGAGCTCGACCATGCGGCTCTCGAGGTTCATGAGCAGGCTGCTGCGGAGCTGGTTCTTTGCGCGGGCGACCTCGATCGGGTTCAGCGCCGAGTAGCCCGAGTCATGGGTCAGCGCCTGCAGCTCGCGGCACATGACCTGCAGCATGTGCGGGGTGCGGCCGGGGAAACACGACGCGGCGATGCCAAACAGGCCCGAGTCCGTGTACGAGTGGTTGAAGGCGACGCACGACTCGACCCAGCCGTGCTGGTTCAGCACGTTGGTGTACAGCCGCGAGTACATGCCCTTGCCCGGCCCCCCCGCCGAGAAGGAGCCACCACCGCCGAGGAGGGTTTGCAGCGTTGCGAGGGCGTAAATGTCATCCGAGGAAATGGGCAGGCCTTCAAAGGCGAGCTGGATATGGGTGAAGGTCGGGAGGTTGGGGTTGAGCGGGGGTGGTTGTGGCGGGAGGGAGAGGAAGCCGCCTGTGTAGTGGGCCGGCCGGTTCAAATCTTCGGCTGTAATGGGTTCAATAGTGGACACGGGAGAGGTTCTTTGGGGTTCGGTGGCGGAGAACCGCTTGAGGAAGGGGATTTTGGAGAGGAGTTTGGCCGGTTTCTGTTCGCCAGGCGAGGGCGCCGGTGATGAGGAGGATGAAAGGCTTGACGGATCACTAGAGTCTGATGTCAAAGATCCGAGCGATGTTTCTGACCCTGTCCTCGATAACACTGGCTCTGGAGACCTCATATTCCCAAAATATTTCTCGGCAAGTTTGACGGCTTCTTGGTGCGGGACGCCTGCAAAGGCCACCACCATCCTCTCCGGCCTGTAGAAAGCGTCTCTGTACGCCTGGATGACGTCCTTGTTGATCGACCTCAGCCTGTCCTCGGGACAGAGAAGGGGGTTTCCTAGCGTGTTGTCCTTGAACGCTGCCGTGTGCACGAGCTCGGGCAGTATCAATTCAGGCTTGGACCATATCTCCCTGACCTCGTACTCGGCTGTAAGGAGCTGTTGCTCAATCTCCTCGTCGGTGAGCTTGGGGTCGCAAATGGTTTCTGCCAACAGCTCGACCGCGGTGGGAATGGCAGCATTAAAGGTTGCCGCCTGGTACATCATGGATTCTCTGGACGAGGCGCATTGAATGTTTCCGCCCAGCTTCTCGACCGTCTCCAGCATATCGTCGGCAGACCGCGACCCCGTCGACTTGAACGCTAGCCTGTCCATTATGTGGCTCGCGCCTCGCAGCGAATCGTTCTCGTACCGGGACCCGGCGTCGATATAGACACCCACTCCGGAGAAGGCATCAGGGAGGTCTTCTGAGGCCACGCGGATGCCATTGGGCAGGGTGGTGATCTTGTCGCGCTCGGTCGGCTCCTGAAGCACTTGTTAGTACGTCAAGTACAAGAGGCCGGGCGCCATAAGTGAGAATAACAGGCTTGCCTTTGGCGCCGGGCTGACGCGGGTACCGGTAGTGAGTGCCCTGGTCGCCCCTCGTGACGGGCAATTGCTTCTAACGTGACTCCATGGCAGACCTATGCGGTTTAACAGCCGGGCTGGCCGGCAAGATCTGATCATGGCTGCGGTATGAGCAGGCGTAGTGCAGACCGCGGGCCGACGAATTATTCAAATGCGTCGCGGGAAATCTTTGTCCGCTGCTAGCCACTCGAACATGTTCAAATTGGCGATAACTCATCACAAATCCATGCATACGCTTATGATCCAGGGCTTATCGATAAGCAAGTGGTAGGCCTTGGCCTAGACTTGGCTGAGGTAAGGTACGAAGTGTTGTATTGTACGGATACAGTACAGTACTGAGTACTCGAAACGCAGAGTACTTACATGTCACGTATTTGACGTTCACAGCCATGACTTTCCTAAGTTACACTCTTTCGGACATTCAAGCGATCTTTGCACTGTTGTTGCACAATCTAACAGAGATTAACTATGTATGGGCGCTGCCCATGTGGGCATGTGTCAGCTTTCGTGGCCCTCATGACGGATTCGTCGCTTTAACACCCATTCGGTTGCTCTCTAAAGACCCTTTTCATCTCGGTTGACAACGTAGAGCATCACAAAAAAGCGAAGCATGGCATCGAGATGACGGCGCAAAGGGCTGGTTGCCCAACATTGTTCAGTTCATGCGATAAGGTAGTTATGCATGTACAGTACACACAAGTACCTACTCCCGTTGTTCAACCTGGAAGCTGCTGGCCAAAAGCCCAGATTCCAAGCTTGCAGAAAGCTGCAGTAGCAGGTAAAAATGGTCACCTGCTTGTCGTGACTCTTGATCCGTCCGGACCTGCTCACCTGTTGCTGAGATTCTGAGACCGTTCAGGGGGCACCGCCGTACACTACAACGCCAGCCTGGAACACTAACAAAAGAGAGAACAAAAAGGGGCACAGGCAGAGCGTAAAACAAAAGGGGATATCGCGCTAATCAATACAGTACCTCCTCGGCGCAACCCACTTTATTAATCTAAGTACCGTATCTGAACCGGGAACTTCGTTTTACATCTCCTGCACGAGGCAACAATTTATTCTGTCGCCTAACCACGGCTGGGGCACTGCCGATTCTTGAATCCCTTAGCATCTCCTTGTCCTCGGTGCTACCTTGTCGCAACATCAGAATAGGCGCGGTATTGTACATACATATCTAAAAGGTACCTAAGTTACGCAGTAGAAACAGCGGCGAGTTGATTGGTGAGGGGGCGGACTTGTTTCCAACTATCGCTGTGGGCGAATCAGCGATCATTTGATCCTCCGACAACGCCGAGAACACTTCCATCGAACAAACTCCGGCGTGTTTGGGACTCTGTTCTGGTGCCCAGCGCCCTCGTCAATGTTCACGCAATCTGCCGCCTCGCCCACACCGCTGGGACCTGGAAATCTGCCAGTCAACCCCATTTCTGCGTCGTCGGCGCCGCCCTCCTCGTCGAGGAGTAGCCGTTTGCGAGGCCTGAGTTACCTCCGCCACTACACCCAAAGCCACCTCCTCTCCCGCGAGCACAGCTCTGCCAGCTCAACACCACAGGCATCGTCACCAACAACGTCACAGTCTGTGATAGCAGGGCCCGCTGCAGATAGCACTACCAACCCTTCTTCCTCCACTCGAACCAACCGTTTCTCGCACCTCGTACCCGCGCTCGCTCACCCCCTCGGTCTACAACCCCCACCCTCGTCCTCGATAGCAAGAAGTCACACCGCGCCCGAGACGGGAACAGCGTCCAACAACGATCGATCGAGCGGGTCGCCTCTTCTTCTCCCGCTCACCACTCCCGCCCCCGGGGTTGCAGAGAATTCAGGTGCTGGCCCCCTAACCGGCGACATGACACGAACGCGTTCTGCAACAACCGGCGATGCCGCCGGCCGGCAAGAGGGCCCTAGCATGGACTCATTACCATCCATCCGCTTCAGCACTTTCTATGACCCCCGCGCTACCCGCCCATCCCTGAAGTTCAACCCCATTTCGCGTACCCTACCGACCGGCACGGAAGTGATACGTGTAGGCAGATACTCGGAGCGAGACAACCAGGCCGAAGTTCCGTCAAACGTTCCTTCGGCAGCGCCCGTGGGTTTTAAGAGCAAGGTGGTTAGTCGGCGGCACTGTGAGTTCTGGTATGAAGGCGGCAAATGGTACATTCGGGACGTGAAGAGCAGCTCGGGCACCTTTCTCAACCACATCCGCCTTAGCCCTCCAGGCACAGAGTCGAAGCCGTACCCAGTCAACGATGGCGATATTGTGCAACTTGGTATCGATTTCAAGGGCGGCGAGGAGATGATCTTTCGCTGCGTCAAAATGAGGCTCGAGTTGAACCGTGGCTGGCAGAACAAGCTGAACGCTTTCAAGTGAGAAAACTGACCCCCGAGTTTGTCCCCGGAAGTTTCAATAAGTACTGATACCACAGCAGCATGAACACCCATAAGAGACTAAGAAACATGACCTCAGGGTCGGCCAACAATGGTTCGGCCCAGTCCTACTCGCAGGACTGCTCCATATGCCTGAACAGTATCGCGGTATGCATCCAATGCCACCAGTGGCTCACCATCCAGCTTCTCTGACCGTTCTTCAGCCCTGCCAGTGCCTCTTTGTCGCCCCATGCTCGCACACATGGCACTACAGGTGCATCCGTTCGCTGCTCACCTCGCCCTCCTATCCGATATTCATCTGTCCCAATTGCCGCGCCGCCGCCGATCTTGAAGCAGAGATTGAAGACCCCGAAGAGTGGGAGCAACTCGATTCAGATGAGGGCGGGCCGCAGCAGGAAGGTGCACGACTACAAGCCCCTTCTGCTAACGCCCTGGATGCTCCACCCCGCAAATCTAGGGAATCCGTTCGGAGTTCAAGCCGCGTGGCGCTCTCACCATCACTACCACAGCAGCAGCAGCAGCAGCAGCAGCAGCAAAACTCACCGCTCCTACGAACCGAGGTGCCGGAAGTGACCATGCTACTCGATGATGACCCCCCCGCACAGCTCCCACTCCCCGCATCCGCACCGATTGACATCTCCGCTTCCGCCGTCTCCTTGCCATTGTCCTCATCGTCGCCCAACACAACCTCGAACCCCATGCCAATCCCTGCTGCTTCGGCGGCACAGCAACGGATTCTGGCCAGTGGCAGTGGTGGAAGCGATGGGCGCCGTGGCAGCACGAGAACCCCATCCCCGACCGGGGCGCCGGTACTGGCTAATGGCCATGAGGGTCCCATCACGCCCAGGAATGATGCTGGCCCATGGGTGTTTGATGGGAGCGGCGTGCGGTTGAGGGCTGACGGGGTTGGGAGCGGAAACGCACATGGAAGTGGGAGTGGGATCGGCGCGGTAAATAGTCTGGAGGCTGCTGTTACCCAGCCGCAACAGCAACAGCAGCAGGGAAGTGCTGGGCTTGGGAGTGGCCGGCTGAGGGAGGACGATATCTCGTAGAATGGGATGGTGTCTTCGCCTCTGCCGGCACACAACGCCTCGCTGTTGGAGATGGCCGCGTTTGCTATGAGGGCCTTGGGGTTCCCGGCTGATTGAAAGGGTCCTAGAAAATACGAAGGCGAAACGAATCAAGAGACTGGAGAGAGGGGGAGGTATGCTTTCCGCCGACAGAAAGACAGAAAAAAGAGATGGGATACCCGCTTGCTTACATAATGGGCATTGGATCAAGGGGAGGGAAGTGGTCTGTTTTCGCGTGTTCTAGTCGGTGCAGATCAAAGTTTGGTACCGCTAGTCATTGCGTTGCGTTGCGTTGTCGTCGCGTCGTGTCTCGTTGACTTGACTTTTGCACTACCTTGGTCTCTTTTTCGTTATAGCACTTCATGCACATGACAGCACAGCGCAGCACAGAGGGGCATCATCACTTCAGATACATACATCACGCGCTCAAACAGCACATCTAATGGAGTTGGGAGGTTGATTGATTGATTGGGTTGGTTGGTCGACGGGCGTGGGGGACACTAGGTACATACTTGCCTTAGCTTGGAGGGTGCATGGGAAAGAGGGCAGGCAGGGCAGGGCAGGGCAGGGCAGGCATTGTTACTGGGCTTTTTGTGTTCCTTTTTCGAGATCTGCTTGCTGTTTTCCATCTTGTGCTTGTCTGGTTCTGCTATGTTGGTAGCAACAAGAAGGCTCTTTTTGTGTTGTATGCGTCCGTTTGCAAGCTTCCTGGCGATCTCCCCGTCCCCAAGGACTAAGAGGACCGTATGATGTTGGTACTTGATACGCAGGGCGGATGAAAGGGCGTGTAAGGGGTAATGGTGAAGAAGATAGACGGAGCGGGCTGAGAAGGGAAGGGCTTGTCTTGAAATGGTAAATAGGGTACATATGTCTTTTGTGGGAGTAATACCAGTGGCGATGGGCGAATGAATAACTTTGGACATCTGGCAGAGAGCAAAGTGGAAGTCAACGCTTTAGAAAGTCGTGTTTGACCCGCTTCTAACAAAGTAACCTGTAATTCTAGATATAAACAGGCGACTTGATATCGAAACTGGCAATGGATGTTTGACATTGCCATGCCACTTTGCTGCCCTCATCCACCCCAGACAGCCCTGGCATCACTTCTTGAACACGGCTAGCCCGAGTCTCTCAATCTCCCTGCCCTCCGTCGTCCCTCTCCCTGCAGCCTCAAGGAGCCTGCTCCAAGCCTCGGCGTCCTTGATCTTCACGGCTTCCTCAGCAGCTTTAACCCGCATCCCGCACTTCTCGTACATGGTGATTGTCTGGCCAGGCTCCAGGCCCGTACACTTAGGTATGAAGGTCGCCGCTAAGCGGGGATTGCCTGCCTGAAGTGTTTGGTTATAGAAAGGCTTTGTGAATGTGGCGTTAGTTGGTATCAGACTGAGCAAAACACGAGGATTAGGTGCTTTACCTCCCAGCCGATAGGGCTCTTCCGTTGGCGGGATATCTCTTCAATCTCATTCCAGTCTCGCTTGGCAACGAGAGCTTGGAGCCTGGAATCTCGCTGTCAATACGCCCGAGCCGGACTTCCGGGTAAGAATAAACTCACCGAATCCACCAGGCGACTTTCTCGGGGACCTTGAATTCACTCTGAATCTTCTTGGCCCGGCCATGATAGCCAAGCCGGATCAGCTTGAACATGGTTTGGTTCACTGAGAGGCCTGTAAAAGTATCCGTCAAATCGCGGTCAAACGCCTCCTGCATGCGCAGCAGTGTAGTCGCTTCTTTCAGTGCGCTCAGCTCGAACGCATGCTCTTTGGTATTGTCCGAGAGCAGTTTCGCCGCAAGTGAGAGCTTGTCGCCCGCTGTTCGGCTCTCGGGTTGACGGAGGGCCTCCCTGACAAAAACAGCGGCCCCGTCCAGCCGGCGGTCATCCTGGTAGTACAAGTCCTTCAGCAGTGTAGTATCTTCGACTCCGTCACCGTCACCTTTGCGCGCCGAGGCCTCCACCAGCGCGGTTGCGGTGGGCCTGGTGTTGATGACGCGGAAAAAGGCTGCGAGGGGCAATTTGCGCTTAAGCTGATGGAGGACAAAATAAACTAAATCAGTATCGCCGCTCTCAATCGCCTTGTCCAGCGCAAGCTCATCCTCTTCCATGCTAAGAAGCAGCGGGACCTGCCGCCCAGCACGTGGTTCATGGTTCAGAAGCTCAGTGGCCAGACGGCCTCGCCCTTCATCATAAGCGGCGCGCGCGATTGCTTCGAATGAAATGCCAGGTTTCCCCGACAGTTTCTCGACTATCTTTCGGCAGATGGTATCGTCATCCTCGGATCCTAGCCTGACCTTGGCGGACGCCCAATGCACGTAGATTTTATCCGTCGGCAGGCGCAAGTAACCAGAAATGCGGAGGGCCAAAAGGTATTCGTGGCGATTCAAGAGACGAGTGATCAGTCCCGACGGCGAAAGACGTTGATATTGTTCGTAGGATAGGGGCAACCCGATCTCGAAGAAGCGCACGGCATTGAGAACACGCAAAGTCTCGCACATATCCACAAAGTCATCGCTGTTATAGATGTCGAGAACGGATTTGCCAAATGAGGCAGCTTTCAGGAGCTGTTTCTGCCAGTGTACGCTGAATTCCTGGCCTGCAGCGTTCACACAGGTGTCTACTGCTTCAACCAGATTGGGCCGTATGAGCTGAATATTGTCGTCGGCCTTTGGTGACTGCATCTCAAGCTGCTCCACCGCGTCTAGGAGGATGGAAGCCGCGGAATCCGCACCGAGGCGGAATACTTCTTCGGTAACATCCGGAACCTTCTGCAGAAAATCACAGGTATCATTGGCGATGATCCTGACCCCGTCGTAATCTGTTGTCTGGTTAGGAGGGGAGAGAATATCAGATAGGGGCGATAAGCTTACCGGGAAGGAGATGGACCCGGCCGTTGTCGTAGAAGAACCTAGCTACCGAATTACTTGGGCCGATGAGATGAACTTCGTCCTCCCAGGCAATGACGACGGCATCGTTGCCGCACCATTCAAAATATTTGGGCGGAATCTTGGACTTGGAGTCGTGCTCGCTCAGACGAGTTTGGAAATCGCTGGTGATGACATGGACCTGGCCAGTAACCGTGTAGAGCGCGGCGAATCTCCCGTTTGGTGAGACGGCAATGTGTGAGAACGGCCCAATATCCAGAAAGCGGTCTTCGCACTCGGTGGCATCGCACATGTAGATTGTTTGGTTGATGCTCAGCAAAACCTCGACTGACCGCGAGAGCGTATAGGCCGGCGGGATGATGTTCCATGAGTGAACTTGGCCCTCCGGAGGCGAAGCCAAGAGCTTGGGACGAGGCTCATCATAGGATGAGACAGAAACCAATGCATTATTAGCTAGAAGAGCAACAAGGCCATGGGCGTAGAATTTGCACGACACGACGCCGGCTTCGTCGGAGCCGTTCCCCAGAGAGAACTGCGTAAACTCCCCTTGCAGGTCGTAGTAGCATCTCACTGTGCCGTCCGCCGTGACGACGAGGAGCTTTTCATCCTCTGACCAGCCGAGCGCCTTGATGGAGCCCTGGTCCCAGTTGATGCGGCGGATGAGCTTGCCTGCGCAGCTGTAAATGTCGATGCTCGGCTTAGGGTTTCTAGCCGGCTGGAATGCTACTATCTTATCCTCATCGCGGTAAAGAGCTGCGGCCTTTGTTAGGGGTTGGCTAAATGCCAGCTTGAAGATACAGGGATAGCACAGCCAGCGACTCACCAATCGCGCCTGAGTACGGGGCGCCGGCGACGTGATAGTTATCGAGGTCCAAGTCCTGATCAAAAACCTGGGTATATAGTTGAATCTTGCGGTAAAAACGCTCGCCAAGCTGCTCCCAGCCTGCTGTGGGATGAGGGACGTCCATCGTTTGTCATCTCTACATGCTTGGTTGTGCAGAGGTGCTCCCTAGCTGTTCGATTCTCGGGTTGATGCAAAAGCAGGAAGCTCCAGGAGTAATACCGGGCTCGAGCTACAGGCAGCATGCATCCAACTTGAACCTAGCTCAACGGTAAGCCGAATCAGCATTACATATAATTTCGCACTGTTCCGCGGCATCCACTGCACTGCACCTTGGACCCACATAATCGTGGAGTCTTCAGTTCAACCTTCCCTGCCGCGCCAAGTACATAGATCGCGGGGTTGCCTGAGACGGCGTCCTCAAGTTGCATCATTCCAAACAGATATCTTGCCCTTTGTTCCACCAGCTTTTTCTGGCGTTTCTCTTATCTAGTGCTAGTGCCAGGCTTCTTATGTAGAGAGGAACGAAACGACATGGCAGACTGGAGACAAGAATACCTTGCCGGTATCAGGGACGCCGAGAGCAAAAGCCCTGTCAATCGCGAGCTTATCGCAGCATGTCAGTGGGCAGCCCCGCCATGGCCGAGCTACTGACGACATCTGGAGACGAAGGTCTCGAGACTGACCAGAGGATCCCATAACCGTTTTAGATTCGCAACTTGCCGACCGGGTATCCGTTCTCGAAGCTGAAAAGGCGGCTCTTCTGGCTCAATCCGAAAGGACTGCTACTCCTCAGACCCCGGCAGTCAAAGGCTCACCGGCGCCAAAATCGCCCTCGCCGACCCCTTCTGCAGACGACAGCGCTACGATAGCCCGCCTGCGCCTCGAACTTTCCGAGGCCCTGCGTGCCAAGGGACAGTTCCAGCATCGTCTCCAGACAGCCGAGGAAGAGCTTGCTCGTCTTCGCGCCAAAAGTGTGTCCGACTCCAAGACACTGCGCACTTTGACAGCCGAGCGACGCCTCCTAACCGTCAAGTTGCGGGATCGCGAGGAGGAGCTCCGTGTTAAAACAAAGCTTGTGGCCGATGTTCAGGACGAACTGGCCGTGCTCAACATGCAGCTTGACATGGTGGAGAAGCGGCGGGCCGAGCAGGAAGCCGAGAATAAGCAGCTCGTTGAACGCTTCATGAAGCGGATTGGGCAAGAAGCCGAGGCCATGAACTTGGCGAATGAGCCACTGTTTACAAGGAAGAGGTGAAAAACACTGGGGTTTCTTCTGTTCTTGACGCGGTATACTCTCAAGCATTGCTTCGGCTAGAGGTAATGACGGTCCGAGAAAAGGTACCTTTCATGAAGAATCTTTATGCGGGTATCTATCTGGATAAGGTATGTAAACTACACTGATCCGCTCGCTCTTCTATCCATTCGCTCGCCTTTGAACCCTGATGCTCGTGCAGCAGAAAGAGCTAACAGGGTATACTCCGGGGCGTCTTTGCAGACCGTGTCTCCGGACCATAGTCAACCCAACCCGTCCTTCCAAGTAGTTTTGGACCAGAATCGGCATTCGCCAATCTATCCAAGTAGACGGATCACTTCCTCGTCGAGATGCAAAACGTACCCGGCGCTGCAGTCCAGCTGACCCAACCACCAGGGTATGTCAAATGTTCGACGTTCAAGATCGATGAAGCGACGTCGTTCTCGGCAATCTTGTTGTCGTGGACAAACGTCTTGAGCGAGACAATCTTGCATCCAATCTTGAGGTCCAAGAAAATGTTGACGAGGTGATCATTGAGCTGCGACGTAAAGGCCTGGTTGTTGACCAAAACCACGTCTGCTCTTTTGAGGGCTTCAAGCGTCTTCTCGCTCTTACGGAAGTCCCCGCGTTCGAGATGGACCTCTCCAGGCGCAATACCCCAGAGGCGGCAACGTGCCGTAAACTCCTTCTTTTGCGCCTCGGCAAGGTTGCACGCATTCTCCATCATCTCACACCCCCAACTCTCGCACCCCTTTTCGAGCGCCGCCTGAAGCGTCACATTTCCGACACCAGAGCCAAGGTCGACGAAGACCATGTCCGAGGTCAGTTTTGTCCTCTCAAAGATGTCGGAGATGAAGGGGTGAAGAAGTTCTCCATAGACGTTGTCGGTGCCGTTTTCGTACTTGGCTAGAAGTTCGACTTTTGGCGCCACGGTGCGGTCGTATACTTGGTCTAGAATAAATTCGACGAGTTCCCGGGGGACGCTCTGCATCTTGTCCAGGTTCTTGACAATAACGCCCTTCTTCTGAAACGCCAGGAGCTGCTCGTTGTATTCCGCTAGTGCTGTCTTGAAGCCTTTCCCGTCCTTTGTATTCTTGCTTTTCTCCAAGCGGCGATAGATGCCGGTGTTCGGGTCCAAAAATGGCTGCGCCTCCTCTTCGGTCAGATATGTCGAGGCAACGTGCTTGACCACCTTCATGATGTCCATGGCGCCATCAATTTTGTCCTTTCCCCATACAAGCTCGTACCTGGAACACTATTAGCAGCTGAAGAGAAAATAAGAAATGAATCACCTTACCTCTCCAGATAATTAGACCCTGGGTACCGCAACCGCACGCCTACCTCCTCCCGACTGAGGCCCATGACGGGCTGGCACCTGTCCTCCAGCGATGCGACGTCGGCCGAGTGCACGATCACCAGCTTCTCCCGCGCGACGCCGTCCTGCTCGTCGCCAGTCCACAATCGCGCGTGTTTCACCCGCCGCGCGGGGTCCTCAACCGTTTCGGTGTGCGCCCGCTTCCGCCGCTTGTGCGGATCCAGCCGGTCGCGCCAGTCATCGTCGTCTTCGTCGCCCGACCCGGCCTCGGACTCGCTGAAGCTGGGGGTGGCCGGCGACCGGCTGCTGCGGATTGGCCTGGCCAAGCGGCGTTTTCGGCTGTTGGGGTTGTGGGTCTCTGGGGAGGTGGAGGGTTGCGGATGGGATCGAGGTTTGCTTCTAGAGGAAGATGGGAAAGGGTTCAAAGAGCCTGGGGCGGGCGAGCCGCGCGGTGTGCCGTGGGCGCTGCTGCCTGTCGTCGCTACCGAGGATGCGCGCCCGTTGGATTTTTGTTGCTGCTGCTGCTTGGCTGGGGCAGGGATGGCTTGTTTGACTTTGCGCACTTCGGTTTTGACTTTAAACTTGGACTTTTGATTAAATATGCTCATTTTGACGGTTTGAAGGGACGATGTTGAAGCGGGCGCGGGTTTTGGCGGTGGCGGTTCTGCAGATCGGATGCACGGCTGCGGGTAGGCCGGGGTAACGCGTGATGCCCTGGCGCGGTTAGGTTTCCAGGTTATCGGGTTATGCAGTACCAAGCGGGATATGCGGCGACAGGGGCGAACAATCTGCTGCGAGAAGAGACAATGAGCGAAATAAGCAACGGGAATATCAGGATATGTACGATGTATGTAACGGTCAGGACGAGGCTGCGGGGTGATCTTGAAAAGATTGAGCGCAGTTCAATTTCGGGGAACAAAAGGCGAAACTTTTCTGTTTTTCCCGCTGAATGGTTGACTTTGACAGCTGCTGTCACGTTGCGCAGCCTCGCCAGGCCCCCTAGAAGTTCTTACGTTATTCGTAACTACCCCACAAGTTCTGCCGCGGTTTATTAGCCGTTCGAACTTTTCGAACATTCGCGGTCCGGGTGTTCTGATGGGCTCAGGTTTTCAAGGAATTCTCCGTAGCTGAAGCACTGACCACGCGGTAAGTTCCATACAGAAAGTTCAAGTTTCAAGTTGCAGTCGTTACGGTAAGGATACATTGTGCTGTATCGTATTGTACAGTACGAAGTACCTTTCAGTACATGTACGTGTAACGAATCCTAGTGTTATTCCATCCGATGATTACGCTGATATTATGAAGTTGAAGACTTGGAGGTACATCGTTCCAAAGAGCCGTCTCTATGGACGACAATAGTCCTGAACCCAGAAGCCAGGGTTGTTCACGGATGAGATGAGATTGTTGCGAGGACGCTTAAGGTTCTGTAATGAACCTGAACCAATGTACCAAACCATCCATAGGCGTCAAAGTGGTGGCATGCGTCTTCTCAGCAGCAGGAAATTCGCCAGGAATCCGAGCTCTAACGACCTCGACGGCGACGGGTAAGCCCGACCGCTTCATGATTCCGAACTGGCGGCCGGTGCTGTTGACGGATTTCCATTTTCAGGCGGGTTCCCCGTACGACCTCAACAAGGTATTGTACCTTATCTACCGTAGTATGAATATGAGCCCTGGAAAATCCTTGGCGATCCTGGGTGCTCCAACGGCGGGTACCGTTTCTCCCCAGCTGGGCTGGTGAATTTGCTCTATGGCTTGCAAGCAGGGCAACTGTATGCTGAGTATGTTCCCTACCAGCAATGACCGCCGGAGCATGCGCCTCAACACTACACAATTCGGTGCGTGATGGCACTGATGGGAGATAAACTCCAGTCCCGGCTGGTGGCCGTGTGAACCCTGAGGGTTTCATTGGAACGACTTCAGTGGATGTGTGGGTCCGTCTCAGGCTGTGGGCTCAGGTGGCCAAGCTCAAGCTCAGGCCACACTCCCCACATAACTTTATGTTGACGTCATGATTTGCAACCTCCATCGTCGTTCATCTCTTCTGCTCTCTTCGTTAAGGTGGCGTCCATCCACATAAGGGCAGCATTCGAGTCCCAGCTAGGGCGGGAGAAGCATACAGCTGGTACCAGCCTGGCACGGTGAGCCAATAGGTAAGGTACCTTGGTTCTCTAACACTGCGGACGGGGTCCGAACTTGACAGGAGTGTAGGTCGACGAGTTGACGCACAAGGCCAGTTAGATACTTAAGGCCACGCTATGTTTTGAGCGAGCTTTGAAAGGCGGCAACACCAACCGGAATGGGATATGTGACGCAAGGTCTCGTCTCTTGGCTCCTTCTGGGGGCGTGTCGCAATTGGGCCCGAGCCGGTGTCGTGTGCAGCTTCCAGACGAGAAAGGTCAAGGCCCGCCTTAGTCGTAAGGAAAGACTTTTAATATGGGTTGTCCAATTCAAGCTTCCCACCTGTCACAAATTCAATTCAGGAAATTGTTTGGTGCTTGCGGTTTCCTATGACGCATTCCATATACAACATGGTGTACCCTCACGTCATTTGCCCTGATCGTTCTTTGCTTCCCGGATTGATCAAGTCACCCAAACCACTGCCTACTATAAACCCATTCCCGCCTCCCGCGCCCTGTCGCATGCTATTCACCGCTTGCATCATCGAAACTCGCTGACATTGTCGACTTTCCGAGCACACTTGATACCCAAAACTGACTCTGATACCCCAACAACCATAATTTCCGTTTTGATTCTTCCCAATCCAGTGATACCCCTTCCATACTGAGTAAAGGTCGCATCATCGCCCACTATGAACTCGTCAAAGAGCCCTCAGGTCAACAGACCTATGAACGTCAAGGAAAAAGAGGCAGATGTGAACCGCAAACTGCAGATCTACGGCATCATCGAGGCCTTCAAGAACGGAAAGGTCCCTTCGGTATGTACAGATACGCGTAGTTCTCCGAAACGAACGTACTGACAAGGCTGCTCAGAACGACCAAATTGATGTCGCCCTGAACAGCTTCCTCGCTTCCCAGGCACTCTCAAATCCCTCCCAGAAGCTGTCGGATGAAGGCCGAGCACTCGTGGCCGACGTGAGAGAAGTAGTGAAGCAAGCCAAGAATCTACTGCTGTCCAAAAACGAGGGAAACCTCCTGCAAGACTTCATATGGCAGACCGAGCAGTTCGACGCCCAGTCAGTCGCTACCCCAAATGCCCCTGTCAACAAGGAGCAAGCCCGCCAGCACGGCAACCAGGCCCTTGAGGGATTGCGCACTCTCGGTACCCTAGTGATTACCAATGGACAATTTCGAAAGCTCCGTATGTTGTTGTCATCCTATGTCCTAACATAGACAATGCACTGACACTGATTAGTCAATGATGCCACGACCCTGCTACGTGACATGGCTGCCGATGCTGCCACGAACGCAGCCAGCCGAGTGAGGCCTGCCTCCGAAGACCTCGAGCGGATCGATGTCCCTGCTGAAGACAATGTTTGGCATGACAAGCCTGACTTCTCTAAGGATACTGTGAGGGGTAAATTCCAAGAATATTACAAAGGCAATCCGAAGGAAGATGCGAAGGCGGCTGCCACAGAAGGGACGTCCGAGGCCCATCCCGGCGGCTCCTCGGACCCGAGGGATCTGGCAACTACCGCAGCACAGGATCGTCAGACCGGCGCATCCTCCGGAGTCAACGCCGTTGGCGGCGCGTCGACGGCAACGGATAACCTGAAGCAGAGGGCCGAGCAGAACATTGACCCAGAAACCAAGGACAAGGCCAAGGCCAAGGACCGAGAGTATCGGGAGCGTGTGAAGAACTACTTCTCCCGCAAGGTCCCGCAGGAGCGTCGAGACCAGACTGTTTGGCGCCTGAAGGTATGTTGATCCTGCTCCTTCTAGTAGTCACTTATCTGACACCGTCCCAGAAAATGGTTCTCGAATGCCAGCAGCATCCAGACTATCAGCGTGCGATCCAGACGCTGTTGGATCTCGCCGAGGAATACGGCGACCACGCGAACCGATTGGCGAGAGGAGGTACAGGTACTGTGAAGGACACTCGGGCCGGGCTGCTTCAGGCCGAAAGCGATCTGAAGGTTGGTTGAAGTTGCCAGATCAAAGTAACGCTATAAGCTGACAAAATTTAGACTCTTATCGAAAGATTCGCAAACGGCACCTCCACCGATGACCTGTGGGACTCGATCAATACCATTTACGAGGATGCGGACCGTGACCCTGAGCTCAAGAACTGGTTCAAGTCCCTGAACAGATACATTCGCCGATGCCTCCAGGAGCAGGGCTATATCCTGGATGACGAATCGAACGCCGAGTGGAACCGGTTGTATGACCATGGCAACTACCTTCTGCGCGACAAGTACCGTGGTCATACCAACCGTATTGTGGATGAGATCAAGTTTTTGGCGGATCAGTTTGACCAAGATCCACAGAACAAGGCATTTGCTGCCTCGATGACGAAGCTCTTTAACGACCTGGGCAATGACGAGAATGGGAAGCCAACCTTCAAGCCACACCTCATCAAGGATCTGACGGATGTTATCCTTCCGGCAGTGTTTGAGAAGGTTGCTTACGTTCCAGTACCGCGCATGGAGTACTCGGACTCCCAGTTCGATGTGGTTGTGGAGAACCTGGTCCTTGAGAGCGACAACTTCATGCCCAACGTACTCGAGATTTCAACCGAGAACTACAAGCGTTGGGGCCGAAAGAAGATCGGCAACAAGAGCTACTATTCAGTCGATGTCAAGGTGACAGGCATTCAGATGGACCTGCGCGACGTTAGCTATCACATCAAGCGCAAACAAGGTTTCCCGTCCATCACCGACACTGGAGTTGCCAACCTCCTTCTGGCTGGTGATGGCTTCGGCTTCCGGATGAAGCTGACGTCGCCCGACCAGAAAGACCCGCAATCCTTCTTCAAGATTGATAAGGTGGATGTCCAACTCAAGAAGCCGCAGATCACGCTTGTCAAGTCCAATCACAAGCTGCTCTTCAGCGTCTTCAAGCCGCTCATGCTCAATGTGCTGCGTCCTGGCCTACAAAAGGCCCTCGAGAAGGCGATCAAGGATCAAGCCACGCGGCTGGATAGCTTGATGTTCCAGATCAAGCAAGAAGCTGACCGAGCGCTTGAGCAAGCGCGCGAAGATCCGGAGCACGTGCCCAACATCTACAACCGCTACGTGACGGCCGCCCAGAAGCGAGTCATGCAAGGCAAGCAGAAGGCTCAGGAGGTTGCGGCAGACAAGAAGGTCAACTACGCCATTACTAAGGAGGACAGCATCTTCCCCAACATTCACCTTCCCGGTGGCATCAGCTCCAAGGCCACGGAATACAGGGATCTCGCTCGCAAAGGTGACAAGTGGGAGAGTCCCGTCTTTTCTATCGGGAGCGCGGCTAAGAGCAACGACATCCCCGCGGCTCCCCGCGTGGTGCGCAAGCCGCATGCAGCCAGCAACGGCCATGCAACGAACGGAAACGCTCAAGCAGGCTTCCGAGGACCGGGCGCTAACGGAGCTCCGGTGAGCGGAAACGGACTTGATGGAAATGCCAAAAACAACCCTACCGGCATCCCTGGGGCCGGGCCAATCGTGGCTTAGTGGAGGAAGAGATGAGGTTCCATGCGAAGAGGAAGAGGATCCGCAAACACGTGTGTATTAACCTAGAATGAATATGCAGGATGGCTCGCCGGTTTCTGTTTTATACCCCATCGAACTAATGACAGCAAGTTTTAATGGAAGGAGCAGGATATCAGACTGTTACTCAGGGGGTCGTCGGATATGCATACCGAGTTCTTACCATAAGGTCGCAATACTTTCACTCCCTACTTCTTACGCACCAACTTTGTACTGTCTTTCTACTGCCTTTCTTTCAATATTAAAATAATCCATAATTGCCGAGACAATTCAGTCGAATATGTGCTGCCAACAAGTATACCTACAATTCTCACCCCTATTAATACCTCCTCCACCAAACTACTGGTACTCAACTGCGTAAAGAGAAAAGAAACAGATTGAAGGGAGCTCGGTACGATAGTTTATTAGTAGTGGTTAGACTCGCGGGTTAAATGACCATTCCACTTGGGAGTCTGAAGACTTTGAACTCGAGATTAAGCTCGGATCAGTCTGATAATGCAGTCCAAAGTCTGGAGTAGGCAACTCCTACCAAAAGGCGTTCCTTCATGACGTCAATAATCACGGTTAGGGTTAAATGCGCGATTGCTGCCTAGGGGCTCGAGGGGCTCAACAGGCAACGACTGTCCTCGTCCGTACACAGTACTCTTCTTTATCATGTTTTCTTGTCAATTGCTGTGGGGCAATTCATCCAAAGCACTGCATTGCTCATCATAAAATCTCATCACAGGGATGGGTTGATATGTCCCGGCCACCGCTCTGGATATTGCGGGTGATAAAACAGCGCAGACTGTCAGTGTTCACAGGCGTCCATTAATTACGGCTTGCCTGTTACTCATCGCACGCGTCCCAAAATGGGCACCAGGAATAAGCGCCAGAAATCCCCAGACGTTGATGCGCTGGAGGAGGATGAGAGGCAATATGGCCGCAAGCCGCACAGCCTGGAGGAGCTTGACGAACAGTAAGCATCATATTCATTGCTTCCCCCAACAACCATGAGCGCACCCGCTGATTGAACGCGCAGCTTCCCCCACCGCCCACGCAACCACTCCAAGACCTTTCTCTTCTCAGAACTGTATAAAGCGCTCTTCAACCCGCTGATCGAATGCAAGCCCACCACGTCAGGCGCCGCCGCCGTCAGCCGACTTCCCGGCCGCCGGCGCGGGCCTCCGGGCTCCTCAGCGGCGGGGAAGCCGTCGTACCACGAGCAGCGGCGCCACATCATCGAGCGCTTCATGGCGCGCTGGCGCGCCGAGGTCGGCCCGGACTTCTACCCGGCCATGCGGCTGATCCTGCCGGACAAGGACCGCGACCGCGGCGTGTACGGGCTCAAGGAGAACACAATTGGCCGCTTATTCGTCAAAGTCATGAAAATTGACCGCAACTCCGAGGATGGCTACGCGCTCATGCACTGGAAGCTCCCCGGGCAGCACGGGCGCTTTGGTGGTGGCGGTGCCGGGGCTGCCGGCGGCGGCATGAAGGGGGTGGGCACTGCAGGCGACTTTGCGGGGCGGTGCTTTGAGATTGTGGGCAAGCGGCAGATGCGGAGCGAGCCCGGGGATTTTACCATTGGCGATGTCAATGTCATGCTGGACCGCCTGGCGGGCGCGAGCGGCGAGGCGGAGCAGCTGCCTATTTTCGAGGAGTTTTACCAGGGCATGTGCGCGGAGGAAATTATGTGGCTGGTGAGGATTATCCTGAAGGATATGAAGGTTGGGGCTACGGAGAGGACCTTTCTGGGGCTTTGGCATCCCGATGCCGAGGCGCTGTTTAGCGTTTCGAGCAGTTTGAGGAGGGTCTGCTGGGAGCTGCATGACCCTGAGTTTCGGCTCGAGCAGCAGGAGACGGGGGTCACGCTTATGTCGTGCTTCCAGCCACAGCTGGCGCAGTTTCAGATGACGGGCACCTTCGCAAAGCTGGTGGCGAATTTGGGCGTTACCGAGGAGGAGCCCGAGTTCTGGATCGAGGAGAAGTTGGATGGAGAGCGGATGCAGATGCACATGCAAGAGGATGATACGGTGCCTGGGGGGTATAGATTTTGCTTCTGGTCACGAAAGGCGAAGGATTATACGTATCTGTATGGGAGTGGGCTGGAGGATGACCAGTCGGCACTGACTAGGCATCTCAAGAATGCCTTTGACAGCGGGGTCAGGAACCTGATTCTCGACGGGGAGATGATTACATGGGATCCTGATATCGACAAGATCGTGCCGTTTGGCACCCTCAAAACGGCCGCGTTGGACCAGCAGAAGAATCCCTTCCAGAGCGGCCCTCGGCCGCTGTACAGGGTATTCGATATCCTCCTCCTGAACGACAAATCCCTAACGGAGTACACGCTGGCCGACCGCCACCGTGCCCTCGAGCGGGCCGTCAAGGGAGAGCATCGCCGACTGGAAATACACCCCTACCAGGCGGCCACCTCCGCCGACGAGATCGAGCCGCTTCTCCGCAAGGTAGTCGCCGAGGCATCCGAAGGTCTCGTCCTCAAGAATCCGCGCTCGCGATACCAGCTGAACAGCCGTAACAACGACTGGATCAAGGTCAAGCCCGAGTATATGTCTGAGTTCGGTGAGTCGCTCGACTGTGTCGTTATTGGCGGCTACTTCGGGTCAGGCCGACGAGGAGGGACACTCTCAAGCTTTCTCTGCGGCGTGCGCGTCAGCGAGAATTTTGTCAAGTCCGGCGCTGCCGCCAGCAGGGAAAAGTGCCTCAGCTTTTGCAAGGTCGGAGGCGGCTTCAAGGGAGATGACTATGCCGAGATACGGCACCATACAGAAGGGAAATGGAAGGACTGGGACTCTACGAAGCCGCCGTCCGAGTTCATCGAACTAGGTGGCGGTGAGCGGCAGCAATACGAGAAGCCCGATGTGTGGATTCGGCCGAGCGAGTCGATAGTCATATCCGTCAAGGCGGCGTCCTTTGCGCCATCAGAGCAGTTCGCCATGGGCTGGACGCTGCGGTTTCCTCGGTTCCAGAAGCTGCGTCTCGACAAGGCTTGGGACGCGGCTATGGACATGGACGACTTCGAAGCCATCCGCACGAAGGTCAAGCAGGAAGAGAAGGAGCGCAAGGCGATGGAAATGGAGAGCCGCAAGCGGAAACCGGCTAAGCGGCAGAAGAAGGAGCTCGTCATTGCCGGCGCCGATCCGGGTGCAGCGCCTGCCGAGTTTTTGGACGTCAAGAAGGAGACGGAGCTATTCCTTGGCCTAGACTTTTGCGTGCTGTCAGAGGCCCTCCATCCGAAGAAGGTATCCAAAGCCGAGCTGGAAAAGCTAATCAAGGAGAATGGCGGCCGGATCCACCAATCGCCGGACACAGGTTCCGGCATGATCATCTTGGCGGATAAGAACGTCGTCAAAGTGGCCAGCCTGAAGAAGGCAGGCGGCGCCGATATTGTGCGTCCCAGGTGGGTGTTTGACTGTCTGGAGCAAAGCGGCGGAGAGGGCTTCCTGCTTCCGTTTGAGCCGGGCCATCTGTTCCATGCGACGAAGGAAATGATGCGAGTCGTCGAAGATAATACGGACCAATTTGGAGATAGCTACGCGCGGGATGTGGGCGTCGAGGAACTGAGGGAGATCTTGGGCGGGATGGATATGCCTGACGGTGATGGCAGAGGGTTTGACGTGGACGAATTCCTCGAGCAACTCGAGGAGCATGGTCATGGGCTTGACGAGTTACCAAGCTTCATGTTCAGGAGGTGTCGGGTACACTTTGCCCTTGGAGAAGGCGTATCCGAGGGAAAGGCGCTCAAGCTGGGGAACTACGTCCGATTTGGGAACGGAGAAGTGGCCGGGAGTATTGAGGACGGCGGAATTACGCATATAGTAGTGGTTGGTGGCAGCGAGGACACGGCTGCATCTGAAAAGGTTGTGGCGGCCGACGTGAGGCACAAGGTTAGTTCCAGGAGGACAGTGCCGAGGATCGTCACGGCAAAGTGGATTGAAGATTGCTGGGAAGAGGGCACATTGGTGGACGAAGAGGCATACGCACCAAGTTAGCGACCAGCCATGATTCCTGTATTACGACTTGCAGAATGTATGGATACCCTTCGCGTCTAGTTCATGATGTATTCCACCGCATCAATCTGATTATCCAATCCAAAGATATTCCATTCATGCTCTGGGCAATTTTCAAATACCATCAGGTGGCAGCAGGGCGCCATATTTTCCTCCCATAGATGCCCCTTCTCCGGGTATATCCTGACCCCACGCATACAAACTTGTTCACTTCCCGATGGTCAAGAACAGCCTATCCCCGACATCCCCGAGACCAGGGTTCAGCATTCCATGCGTTGTCAGTTCCTCATCAACAGCAGCCACCCAGACCTCAACCCCGTCGGGCCACGAGGCAGCGGCCTCACGGACGCCCTTGTCAGCGCCCACCACGGCCAGCACGATGATGCGCTCGGCGCCCCATTGGCGCAACGTCTCAATGGCGGCCATACAGGTCCCGCCCGTAGCGATGACCGGGTCAAGGATGATAGCCAAGCTGCAGGCGGTTGAGCCGCCCACCGAGATGTGGTTCGGCAGGTTGTTGTAGTATTCTACCGGGTGGAGGGTTTCGGGCTCGCGGTACAGGCCGAGGTGGTGGACTGGGACGGGGGAGGGAAGGAGGGTTTGGATTGCTGAGGGTTGAGATACGTGTCAGTGGACGAATTTACGAAGCTGTGGTGTTCATACCTTCCACCATGCCCAAGCCGGACCGTAGGATGGGCACCAAGGAAATGCTTGCTGGGAGGATTTCGGACGTCTGGTACTCGAAACCAAGAGGGGTTTTGTCCTACAGAAAGCGGTTTGGCGTCAGTCAGTCAATCCATGGTTGATCGTGCGTTGGAGGACCCAATCGCAAGGGAATGCAATACTGACCGTGGGCCCGGGATTAGAAGTGAGCACCTTTCCGAGCGCTTCACAGCCCACGATCAAGGCAATGTCGTGTATCAGCGTCTTGACCTCCCTCGCCGGCGTGCTGTGTGACCGCAGCTGGCTGAGCTTTGCGAGAAGACACGGATGCTGGGAGACATGGACATTGGGCGGTAATGGAGCAGACATCTTGACGGATTACCGAGTGGTGCGAGGGATGGTGGTTCTGAGAGGACGAGAGAGCTGACAGTAGAACATCAACAAGTTGGAAAGATGACAACGACTCGGAATTGAGGTGTAGTCAAGGTGCGGTGGACTGGGACCGGCCCGTCAGGCACCGCTATTCCGACCAGATTATATATGTATCCCTAAGTAGCTCCTCAGTTGAGGTTGGATCTGCACTCAATGTCAACCCGCCAGTTGGTGAACGATATGCTTGTAGCTTTGTTCCCTGAGGCCGGATATACGTCTTCCCTATCAACAACCAACCTGCCGGTAATCTGTACCTTATTCGCGTTGCTTTCGGACACTGCTTCTGGAGCCTCCATCGCCAGGACCGAGACCCGGGACAAAGCTCAACTGTCGGTGACCTGCTTCCGCGTGACAGCTTAGCTGGGATGTTAGAACCTGGAAGGCGGGGCGCTTGGAGCTAAGATATGGAGGACCCATTCGCTGATAAGATAACGCTAGCATGCAGGGCTATCATCGCTAAGCTCCGGACCGCCTAAGGTAGCATTGATTCTTGGGCCCACAAATATCTCGGCCCGTCATCATGAGTTTCTCTCCTGAGTCTCCGTGAGTACTTTATATATCCGTGGCAATTCCGGGACCGACTTCCCGACCTCAAGCTCTCTCCAGATATTGAGACACGATGGGAGACTCAAGACCGTGGAGGCGCAGGCCGATCCAATGTTGCAGGACCCCTCTAGGTCATTGTCCTTGATGCCAGTTGAGATTAGTCTCCAGGCGATTATGCTGGATTCCTTGTTGGTTCGGACTGTGGCGGCAGAAGAGAAAGAGCTAGACTGAATTGCGAAATGGCACGGCTCAGCAGCGGTGAAAAAGCGACGACATCAAATGGCATCCGAAGTGATAATGATACAGCAAAATCTCCGGTGCATGATGGGCTTAGACCATTCGGGGGCGCTGGTGAACCTTCGACCCCTGGTGTCGATCCAGACAACCTCCTGTCTGAACCTCAACGGCGCCACTCCCCCGTTCACCGGGCATCCACTGCCTCAGCAGACTACGATGCGCCGGACAGCTACTTCAACTTGGACGAGCTAGCGGCTGTCTCGCCCATCCAGAACCCGCGCGAAGAGCCCATCTGCCACCTCCAGACCCTGGAGCAGGTCAGGAGTCGGCATGAGGAATCTATCCAGGAGCAAAGGCTTTCAAGGCGGCTCTTAGCACGACGATATCCGGAACAAGAGAAGTCCAAAGAGTCCAGAGAAGCCAAGTTTGAGATATCCCGGCTGCTCACGCAGCTGTACACCGTTTCGTACCTGATCCTGTTCTCTATCCTGGGCACACTCGCCCGGCTCGGGCTCCAGGCCCTCACCACATACCCGGGAACGCCCGTCATCTTCTCCTCCATATGGCCCAACTTCGCCGGCAGCCTAGTCATGGGCTTTTTGTCAGAAGATCGCATGCTTTTTCGCGAAGTGCTCGCTTCGCCCGAACAACGTCGAGACAAGCCAGACGAAGAAAGCGGCGGCAGCCCATCCAACGAACCTGCCACTCCTCCCAACCCCCCTACCGCTGCCACCAAGAAGACCATCCCCCTCTACATCGGCCTAGCAACCGGCTTCTGCGGGTCCCTCACCTCTTTCTCAGCCCTCATCCGCGACGTCTTCCTGGCCATGTCCAACGACCTCCCCACCACCAGTGACTTTTCCCCAAGCAGAAACGGGGGCTACTCCTTCCTAGCCCTCCTCAGCATACTCATCACCACCATCTCGCTATCCCTCTCGGGCCTCTTCTTAGGCGCCCACCTCGCCATCGCCCTCGCGCCTTTACTCCCATCCATCCCCGCCTGGTTTACCTGCCGTGTCCTCGATCGACTCGCCGTGCTCCTCGGCTGGGGCTGCTGGCTCGGCGCCGTGCTCCTGTCCATCTGGCCGCCGGACCGGGCACAACAGACACCTTCCCCAGACAGCAGCTCCTCCTGGCGCGGCGCGGCAACCTTTGCGCTGGTCTTCGCCCCGCTGGGGTGCCTCCTGCGCTTTTTTGTATCGCTCAAGCTGAACGGCAGGCTGGCTTCCTTTCCCGTGGGCACCTTTGTGGTGAATATGCTGGGCACGGTGGTGCTGGCTGTGGCGTGGGACTTGGCGCACCTGCCCGCGGGTGGGGTGATGGTGGCTTGCCAAATCCTCAAAGGGGGCGTTCAGGACGGGTTCTGTGGCTGTCTGACCACCGTCTCCACTTGGGTTGCTGAGTTGGCTGCGCTGAGGAAGCGGCATGCTTATGTGTACGGTGGTGCGAGCGTGCTTGGGGGGTTTGCGGTAGCGGTTGCAGTTATGGGTGGGGTGAGGTGGAATGGAGAGTTTCAGGGCGCAGTTTGTGGGTAGTTGGTGACTGACGGGGATCTGGCACTGTTTGGATACGTCTGTCCGAATCAATACCCGGTATAACCTGGAAGCTGGATCAGGATTCTACCGATACAGGAGAAGATATCTGCCTTGGCCATCGATCGAACAACCGAATCTAGCGGCCACAAAAGAAGACAATGTATCGGATTGTCAACTTCGCCCTATGCGACTATTCCACAAGGAGTTCTCCATGATCATTCCCACAACCTGACTCCATCCAACCCAGATCTGACCGCTTTACCGCATATGATACGGCAAGTTGGTTCCTGATTTGACCAGGTTTCCGTCAACAAGCTCAGTAGTCAGTACAACCGTACCGTGGTATTACACCCTTCACAACTCATAGATATATTCCATCCTACAATCATCCTGAGGCTGTCAGCCACCATTTAACCCTTCTCGGCAACTTCAAGTTGTAAGGGTTGAATGGAATGGTAACCACAAGCCTCCGTTCTCCTGAAGGACTTGTTTCGCGCCGCAGAACCGCCCGCCTGGACCGTACACGCCAGTCTGGCGGGTGCGGAACCAGCGGGGTCGGGTCAATGAACATCTCCGGCCTCAGTCGGATAGGCCTGCGCAGGACGCTTCTCCAGGTCCCGTTGTGGTAGTCCAGTGATGGGCAGGACAAGTCTGCGTCGAAGCGGTCGTCCGCTTCGGTGGCGTCAGTATCGGAAGGTGGACTCGGGAGTTTCACGACGACTTGGTCTTCAACCTTTGAACAAGACGGCGCCGCGCTCAAATCTTTCTTCTTTGTGGAGGACACCTTCATGGAGTCAAAACCGGGCTTGGATAGCCTTCTCCTGGTAGTACTTTGGCCGCGGCGGCTGATCAGCGGATGGTCGTCTGAATCAGAATCGTCGGTTGATTCCGTCGAGTCTCGGCATAGACTTGGTTTCTTGACTTCATTCGTGCTGCTCCTGACCAAAGGCTCGTCCTCTGAGTCCTCTACGACCTCCGGGACCGTTTGGGTTTGGGATGGGGCCTTCTTTTTTGCGCGAGAAGCTCTCGGCTTGCCATTGATGCCGGTGACACCGGTGAGGTATAGTTTCTGCTCGTCACAGATGCCCGGAAACACCTTTTCCATCTCGCTCCAGACGACGCTGATCATACCCCATATTCTCCACGAGCTCTTCCACGAGTCCTGAAGAACGTGTAGAGGAAATTTCAGACAACTGTCGCCAAGGCACTTCTCTCCAGATCTGCCTGTAACGGTCAAGCAGAAAGTGTCGCTTTGCCGATCGAAAACTGGATTCAAGGTCCAAGTACCCGGGCCTGGCAAAGGGCCAAGCGCCCCAATCTTCGCGGTCAAATAGAACAAATCGTAATAGGTGCGGACAGTAGCCTTTCCTATTGGCGGTCCAGCAATGTCGACAAATATTCGTTCATTTCCAGTGCCAGTTTGCTGAACAGGTTGAAGTGTGAAGTTTGCATTGCACAACAGCTGCAACTCCGCGTGAACTCCATCGGGTACCTGGATGGTGTAGCTCTTTGGGCCATTCTGAGTCTCGTGTCAGCTATCTTACTGGGTAGAGGTCTTGCAAACTAGGCTAAGCATTCAAGGACTTACTTTGGCAAAGAGCAAGTGGGTTTCATCCTCCCAGTCGCAGTCTTTTCCATCATCTAGTTTGAACTGAATAAAAATCCCACCGCCGTCGTCGAAATAGTCAGACACGCAGAAATTACGATTTTCGTCTGAGTTTTGTTTCCGGGAGCGCAATTCCATGATGTGATCGCGGTGCTCTTGAGGATTCAATCATTCAAAAGCTGAAGTGGTAGTGATGCGGAAAGTCAGTCGCTGGGGCCAAAGGTGCGAAGCAGGTTTGATTTCGATCATTGTTTTGTTCGTGGGGAAATCACGAAGAAAGGAATAAGAAATCGGCAAAGTGCTTTACTGAGTCCTCACTGCAGCGGCTGGAGTGGTGTCGGGAATGGGGAAGCAGAACATCCTATGCAACGAAACCTAACATGCTTCTTCCCATTGGCTTACCCTCTCAACTTTGAACCTCTGGGATCATCTCACACACCATAGCGCGATGTTCCCATGTAGCCGTTACATAGGTTCTATGAGTGCTGCCAGCCTACCAGCACTGGCACAGTCACACCTGATGGCATATGTTGCCTCAGGGCATTACTGATGCAGATAAACACTGAAAATCCAAGGAGGAAGTAATGAGTGGGCAGTGAAAATCAAACAGAGCCAGCGAGCCCAGGGATGCATCAATCTAGCCAGTGTCTTTAGAAATTGCTGAGAACAACCTGACAACCAAAGTTTTGATTGAAAATCTTGGCGTCTGCTCGGACGCTTTCAGCTTGCACCGCTTTGGTCGACTAAGGCAAGTTCGGCTTTCATATGGAGACAAGGAAGGGACGACACAATGCCTGATATGTCTCTGATTACGGAGGCGCCGAGCGTACTCCTTCCAAAAACTCTTCACCGACCAAAAATTACTAGGCAAACCCCAGGTGTACAGCCAGGCTATCTGAATAATATAGAATTTGTAAATCGTATTCAAATCTACAAATTAAATGTATATAACTAAGTAAACTCTTCCCTACAAACTTCTTCTACATGCTTCTTCTTCCAATCGTATACAATGAAGTTTAATTATGTGACGAATCTCGGTCCCCTAACCACTGAAAGGGACTCCTCAGACTGAAGGTTCGTAACAACGGGGTGAGGTTCGGTAGAGCCAAAGGGTCTACAACAGTTGACACAAGCAAGTGTTCACACAGTAGTATAGACAACTGCTTGCATTGCTTACTGGAGAACCTTCTGAAGGTCCTCCCTA